GGTAAGTTTTTTTTTTTAGATTAATATAAAAAGACTTGTTGGTCGAAGGTCCGAAGAAAGCGCAGTCACTAAGGAACTTGCTCACAGTGGGTGGTTCAGTTGCTCTGGGCGGATGTCGGAGAAACGTGGGAGCGACGAGCCTGCTGTACGGAGTGCTTACCTAAGGTCTTTTTTTAGGTGTAGTTAACTACTAGGTAGGTACCTAGTTTATCTGTTACCTTAGGTACCCCGTACAGGTAACTCTTAGTATACCTTGAGTTTACAGCCTAGACCGACTGCTAAGGCTCTAATGGTGCCCAGAGCCGAAGACGTACTGTTAGTATGAGGGATTTTCATAACCAAGACGAGGGGTCAGGTAGATGTATCTTCCTGTCACTCAGTTTCTTCCTAGTAGGTACCTAAGTACTTCTTGAGATAGGAGAGACCTGACTTCTATTCACCTGGTTCTATTTTTATTATTTGATTCTATATTGCTATACTAACTTAAAGATAGGAAATCAAATTCTACCTATATCCAATGTACTTATAGGTATAGGCAAGGTACAGCACAGAGGTACAGGTACAGATAAATTTTCGTACGTTACAACCGTTCAGGCGCTCCCGTGGGCGGAGACCCCTGTCCTGGCCCCTGATTGGACTAGAGCTCGGGGGAAAAAGTACCGTACCGTACTGGCGCGTATGGCCTCGATCCCGAACTCCGGCCTCAGACAGCGGAAAAGCCCGGCGGGACTCCGCTCAGGCTGAACAATCGCAGCGCAGAGACAAGAGGAAGAAGACCGACAAATGAGGTGCAATCGAGGCAGTGGGAAGAGCGCGTCGAGAATCCTTTTTTCGTTCAATGGACGGCCTCTAATTCCACCTCCCCCCCCAGTTCCTGTACACGCGCAGCAAAGGCCTAAGGCGCCTCCGACTTGCCAGCCGACCCGCGCCTCGTCCGCCTGACCAGTTCCACCCTCTCCTCACTCTCGCTTCGGTCTTGCTTTCCCCTCCCTCCCTCCCTCCCTCTCCTCTCCTCTCCTCTCTCTCTCTCTCTCTGTCTCTGCCCACTCGCCCTCTCCTCTCTGCTCGTGTCTGTACGCCACCTTTGGTGTTTTGCTTTATCGGTTCCTCTTATTTATAGCAATTGTTTATCCTTTTAATAATACCCTCTTTCTCGGTTCTTTCGGATTGTTGTTCCGCCATCGGATCCGAATCGCCTCACCGCGTCTACCACCCCAATCCAACGACCCAAATTGGCCCTGAGAGGCCTGTCGAACGTTTTATTATTATTACTATTATTCTTTATTACTACTACTATTATTATTTTTATTATATACTGTTGCTATTAAATCGGTACAATGGAACCTAGGCCGGCAACGGCGGAGCCGGCGCCCAAGCGGCCGCGGTCACCATCGGGTGACTTTGCCCCGATCGCGTCCAAGGTGCCCAAGACGCACTCGAATCACCTTCAGATCAACTACCTGGCGCGCCAGTATCCCGATAATTTGCCCCTAGTCTCGACCGAAGACACCATGCCCGCCATCCTGCGCCTTGTCGGCGACTACGACGGCGTGCTGCACCGCCACGAGAGCATCGCGGGAAACCTGGGGGCCTGTCCGCTGGGGCCCATTTTGATCAAGCGTTTCGAGCGCCTCTTCGACGGACCCCCGCGCGTCCTCAAGTCACACGGGAAGGATGCCGCCGCCGCCGTCACCTGGCTCGACGTCGTCGAGTTCGCCAAGAACAAACCCGAGCAGTTCAACCTGGAGAAGACGCGCAACGGCGTGCGCGTTTGCCAGTTCTATACCAAACAGTGTCGTGTCGAGATCAGCGAGGAAGACTTTGTTCTCATCGCCTCAGGCATGCCCCAGAAGATGATTCCGCCCCAGCCTATCATCGAGGATGAAGAGAAGGAGCTCGGGGCCCTCGAGATTCTCGAGAAGAACCTGCAACAAATCATCCAGATGGCAGATCAGGGTATTTCTCTTCTCTCATATATATATCTGGTTGTTTCTTATTCTGACTCTTCCAAGTATCTGCACGCGCCCGCCAGCTAAATCATCGCCTCAAAAACCGCCGCACCGCTATTGTCAGTCGTCGCGAGAACGATGCCTCCCTACACACCCAACCGCCGCGCTCCCTCAGCCCCTCGTGGAAGGACAGCAACGGGACTGGTCCGCTGCCTGTCGGCAGTGGTAATGGTCAAGTCGCTCATACCCACTCGCCACCGTCCGGCTTCGTCGCGGTCAACGCGCATCGTGGCCCTGTCGGCGCTGAGCCCGGCGACGACAACAATAGCAGCAGCAGCGGTGGTGGCGGCGGTGGCGGCGGTCTGTCCTCACAGTTCATGTTCTCCCATTCCAATGCCGAAAATATCACCATCATCAACGGCACGTCCATCAAGGGCGCCTCGCCCACTACGCGCGCTGAGCTGATGAAGAAGTTTTTCACTACCGCCGACCGCCACGCCCGCGGCCTCGATGACCCCGTCACTACCGTGGCGCCCGGCAGCCGTCCGTCATCGCGTCCTCGACCGCGCGGTTCAGATGCTGCCACTGACTACGCCTTGTACGCGGGCGCGCCGGGCACTGTTGCGATTCCTAACACCCCGTCGTCGCTGTTACCGCCGCCCAAGTCGACTCACTACGAACGCGATGACGGCGGGCCCTACAAGCTGGAGATGGTGGCGCGAATGGAGGAGCTGCAGCGCGGCGAACGTATCCTCCCGCCTTGTGACCGCTGTCGCCGACTGCACATGGACTGCCTCAAGAACCTCACCGCCTGCATGGGCTGTACCAAGAAGCACGCCAAGTGCTCCTGGAAGGACGTCAAAGAGGATGAGTTGCACGAGTTCCGCACCGCTAGTCTAGGGCGCGAGCGGGATGATACCTCCACCACGGGTGGTGGCGGTGGTGGCGCTGTTGCTTCTGCTTCTGGTGCTCCTAGTGGTGGTTCGGCCCATTCGCCAGGCACACAGGATACCCCTATCCCTGCTCCGACACATGATGAACCGCGCGAGTCGCACGACTCGCAGGATTCGCATGAACCACATGAACCGCACGAGCTACTGCCCGGTCCTCCGACGCGCGGCTCCTCAGCACCCAGCATCCAGCAGGCGTCCGAGTCACAGCAACAGATGTCGGTCGCCGTGGGGGCGCTCTCCCCGCGACGAGCAATTAGCGAGGTGCATGGTAGCGCTGTGCTGGGTGGGCATGACCGGCAAGTCGGCCTCCACCATCGGCCAGAGTCTACCGCCGCACCTTCCGAGGATGACGACCCGGACGCCAACCAGCGGCTGATGCAGGCTATCCTGGACACGGTCGACCACCACACGCGCGTAGCAGCGGCGGTCAACCGCGAGGGGGAGCTTCCAGCAGAACACGACCGCGACCAGATGGTGAAAGCTTGATTTGATTTTTTTTTTTTTTTTTTTCATTCTTTTGAATTATTTGGTCTCTTTTTTTTTGACATGGATTCACTTGGATACGATTTGCCTGTGGATACGGAGTACAGTTGTTTTTTTTTTTTTTTTTTCTTTCCTTGGTTGACGGTGTCACGGTTCAGCGACTTTATCCCCCTTCCCCACCCCGTGTACAAGAATATATGAATTGGTCTTATAAAGTATATATATACTCAAATCAAGTACGGAGATGTGCCTGTTGGATTTGCTAACCGTGAATGCCTTAGGCACCCATGCCCCGGAGATAACTTTTAGTTATCGCGGTAAAGAATTTTTCCCGCATCATGGTTGGAGTCTCTGCGACTTGGAGAATTTACCTGCTCATGGGCCTCTTTTATGGCTGGTGTAAGCAGTTAGACCTGGTAGGTACTGCCATTGACCTGGAATGACCTGAATGGCTGTTTCATGCTTGATGAGTAAACAAGCAAACGAGAACGATTCCCAGGTACTTTTTTACTCCGCCGCCAGCCAAAAAAAAAAAGTATCCATGACGCGGGGTGCGGGGTCAACTCCCGTCTGATTTGCCGATCGCTTTCACATATCAGAGCTATTTAGCTGTACAATTGTCCAACTCTCTGCCTACTCTGCCTACTCTGTCTACAATTGTTGACTTTAATCTTGATACGATTGTCTCTGATTTGATTAAAGTCCTATTCTCCTCCATACTCCTCCATACTCCTCCATACTCCTCCACACTCCTCCATACTCCGTACAGACCATGGATCCGTCGCAAGTGAAGATCCCCCCCATGAAAGACATGACAGTCGACAACATCACCGAAAATGTACACCTGATCAACTCGCAGTGCGCCGACCCGCGGCTGAAGTACGTGCTGGAGCGGCTGGTGACGCACCTGCACGACTTTGCGCGCGAGACGCGCCTCAGCACCAAGGAGTGGATGGCGGGACTCCAGTTCCTGACAGAGGTAGGCCAGATCTGCACCGACGTCCGACAAGAGTTCATCCTCCTCTCCGATATCTTGGGTCTGTCCATCCTGGTCGACAGCATCGACCATCCCAAACCCGCGGGTTCAACAGAGGGGACCGTCCTGGGGCCCTTCCACACACACGAAGCCGAAGAACTACCGCACGGAGACTCCATGTCGCACGATCCAAACGGCGAACCGTTACTGGTCGTCTGCACTTTGAAAGACACGGCGGGAAATCCCATCTCAGACGTGAAGATCGATATCTGGGAGACAGATTCCACGGGCCACTATGATGTCCAGTATCCTGACCATGAAGGACCGGACGGGCGGTGCATCATGCGCAGCGACGCAGAGGGGATCTTCTGGTTCAATGCTATCACGCCGGTGCCCTATCCGATCCCGCACGATGGACCCGTGGGCAAGCTTCTGAAACGCCTGCATCGTCACCCCTACCGTCCCTCGCATATGCATTTCATGTTTGAAAAGGAGGGGTACGACCATCTCATTACGTGAGTCGCCTGGTATCTAGATTTATCTCCCGAGTCATGCTAATTAAAAGTGCCCTCTATCTTCGCAATGATCCGTACGAAACCTCCGACGCCGTCTTCGGAGTCAAGGACTCGCTCGTCGTCGAAATCGGCAAAGCTGACGCCCGCATCGCGGCAAAATACGGCGTCAAGGAGGGCCACGCCCTGCTCACCTATGACTTTGTGCTGGTCTCCGATGAACAGACTAGTGCCCTGCGGGATCAGAACTCGCGTGACGCCCTGGATAAGTTGGGCAGGAAGGTGAAGATTGTCAACGGCTTGCCGATTCCAGACCTGGACTAAAACAGAAAGTTGGTTCAAATGTAAATAGATATTGTAAATACTAAACATCTACATTTCAAGTAGTGATTATATTCATCATAGTCATATACTCGGTATGCTAAGACACCCGCCTTACCCCCCCCTCCTCTTCGATAAATGCTTCCTTCTCTGCCACCTCGATATACTCGCAGCCCACACGGAGATTCAAACTCGCACACAGCGCCCGCTCGATCCGCGCCTCGCGGCCCTGCGCCACCAGCGAGCGCAGCACGGCCATCAGGAACCCGCCGAGGATCTCCACGCTCCATTCGTCGGGCACGAGGGCCAGCACCTCGCCGACGTCGAACCACGCCGCAAACCGCGCCAGGAGGTCGCTTGTCCGGTCCAGTCGGTCCGAGAGGTCGCGGATGGCCAGGAACTCATGCAGCAGGTGACGGAACAGTTCCCTTTGGAGATCCTTGGAGGCCATGTTCGCGTCTGCACTTCCGCCACTACTGCCGCGCGGACCCCCGAGAAGACAATATCGGATCGCCGAGTCGTAGTCGCCTAGCCCGTGCGTCAACAGCCGTAGAGCTTCACGGTGCCGCCCTTGTAAGCCGTCGAGAATGATGCTCTCCGAGACCAGCTCGTTCTGGAAGGGCTCGATCCGCGCCAGCACGGCGGGGATGGAATACGTCAGAACCGACGATGAGGAGGATGCCGTCGCAGACGCTGTTTTGGAAAACAGGCTGCCCCCAGCGAGCAGTTGCAGGAGCCGCAGCCGCGACTGCCACCATGCCTCGGCGGGGGTGTTCTCGGTGATGAAGTTGAGGTATGTTGGTTTCGGTGGCCGCAGGGCGCGGTAGGTCGAGTATGACTCGGAGAGCGACGTGCGGGCCGCGGGCGAGGACTCGAGTACCGACAGCACGGTGTCAAGGTAGTATGAGATGAGATCGTCGGCGTATTGCGTGTACTATCTCCAGTCAGCAATTCAAAATCAAAAATGGGACGTCCATTCGGCCTCGCACATTCTTCGAAAATACCAGATATTCCAGGTATATCTGGACGGCATTGGGCGCCCGCTTCTTGAGTAAGGCGACCACATCTGTCGGCTCCAGTTTGACCCGGCTCGTATTGTCCGCGAAGACTTGCACGCCCAGGCTGGGGTTGCGCGCCGCGAGCCATGAGCCATACTCTTCGACCAGCTGCGCATCTTTGGTCCTGACAAGATACCGACGCATTTGCGCCTCGATCCCCTTGGTCGTCACCTCGCTCCCCGCGTCTGGCTCGCCATCCACGATTCGCCGCCAAGTTTTGAGCACGTTCCCGAACATCTTGCGGCTCTGATACAGGCGGCTCAACACGTACAACCGCCGATACTCCTCCAGCAGCGCCACAGCACGCTCAAAGTTGCCTTTCCACGAGTCGACCAGCTGGTTCAGCTCGGTACGTACTGAAGCAGCAGCAGCAGCAGCAGACTTGGCATTTTGCTCAGAGCTCGAGACCTGCTCGAGGAGCAAATGGAGTAGAGCGGCGTCTACACTGTCAAATACATATGTTTCGTCCGTGATGCTCCCGTACCCACGCTTCTGTTGCCACGAGAGTAGAAACCGCTTGACCAGGTTCAACACAGTGCTGGTGAGCACATCCCCATCCGGTAAATTCTCCTTCTCCTTTTCTAATCGTTTAGTGTAGTCCTCCGCAACGGCAGCCAGACCTGCATGGATCCAGATGCCCTTGGGGCCCTGAAGGACTTCACATCGTAGGAGAGGCACCAGCAGTAAGAGAATGCGCGGGTCCAGATTTCCATCTACCAGTGCCTTTTCTGTAGATTTGATGACCTCCTTATTCGTGGACGCGGACTCCATGAATAGAAGGTCCCCAAACAGAAGCAGGCTGGCCTTTTGCTTCGCATAGTTGAGCCCCAGGTATTCCGCCTCCGAGCGCGGCTCGGCCGTCTTGATCGATTGCATCAAGCTTAGGATCGCATTACGCTGCAGCGTCGCCGTGGTTCCATCCTCGCCACAGGTCTGCGCGTTCTGAAGAGCGCTATCCAGCTGGACAGTCAGCGGATTCCGGAGCAGTCGCCAGATCTGGTCCCCAGACCACATTATTAGACTGCTTTTGATTCCCCCAAGCGAGCGGGCAAACTTGGCCTCCTCGGCATCCCGCTCGGCCTCCCAGCCTCGTTCGGACGAGGCGCCGCCTTTCTGGGAGCTGTCCGAATCGGTCAGCTCCTGTGACTCGAAGAGTTCTTTCTCCTTCTGAAGCTGCTCGATAGAAGCTTCGGTTCTGGGATCAGTGGGGGAAACATACGGGGATAGTAAAGGGGTCTTGAGCCGGACCATTCGCAACAACTTGCTGACTTCGGTAAACTCAAGCTGGCTTGGGCTATTGGTGTGGCGGAGAACAACTTCCGCCGAGTCTGAATCGTCCCCAACTAGTGGAATATCGAGCCATGCCTTGGGCCGCTCATCTTCTCCTGGGTCAACATCCCAGCGTTGCACTTCCAGCCGTTTGTAAGTCTTGCCGTCTTCCTCAAAGTCCATCACAGCAATAACATACTCCTCCAGAGCACCTGGGGTCTGCATGGAATCATTGTCTTCAGAGCCATCGATGATGAGAGAGTCCGGATATCTGTGGAAATTGATCGTGCCACGAACCACATCACCATCAATATTTACAAACATTCCGACACCGGGCTCGGACTTCTCCGTCCCAGTCACCAGCAAGAATTCCGACGCAGTGGGGGATACAATGTGCGGTCTCAGTAACTGCGAAGCGGACAGTTTGGGGAGAGGCGGGAGGGGCTTCGCGCCATCACTTTGTGGAGGCTGAGAGCTGCGAGGCCGGCTCTCATTTGAGTCGCTTGGGGATATCGTTCTTTCCCGACCCCGTGAGCTCGACCGACTTGATGCCCCAGATGTTGTTGTGAGGTCCGGCGTCACCGACTCAGGCCTGCTCCCATGGGTCGACGACTGGTTCTGCTGGAGTTTATTGACGATAGCGTTCAAACTGGTGTTCCGAGTATGATGGCCAGGGCTATTTGTAGGAGGCGAACTCGGGTGCGAAGCAGGGGGGGACCTTTCGTCTTCAACGGAACTAATCTCGACTACCTCCTGCGAGGAAGAGATTGGAAACAGCGGAATCTTCTGCTGGTGCTCCACCTCGAGCAGTGAGTATGTGTGAGGGTCGGCAACACAGGCTATCGTCCCTCTTCGCGACGCGACCAGACACCCGGGGAATTCGATGTTCCTGACGAGTCGCGCCTCGTCGCCGATTCGGACCAGCATGATCCGGTTTTGCACTGCAATCATGATCACAGGTTTCTCCGGATTCTCCGGATCATCCACCATCCTGTTGAGATCGAGACCCCCGAGCCAGCGACAGTGCGAGACCTTGGTGTTTCCAAACGCGGGGCTGAGCTCCGGGAGCAGGTAGAATGTCGTCACGCCATTGCACAGGATGCACGCCTTGTTAACCATCGGAAGCAGCAAAATCTGCTGCACACCGTTCGCAGTTGGGGAGTTCTGCGAGGACCGGATAGGCAATCTCGAGGCGAGGATAAAGGAAGGCTCGTTGGACTCGTCCGAAGGGTCCGCCGGCAGGCAGACAAAATGTAGGATCTCCCCCGCCGACGTACCAATGTAGAGATTCTCATCTGTCCCTGGTGTCAATACGACAATTCCATATCTGTAGCATACTTCTTTTCTCTTCGTATAACTCACTCCAGTATTCCACACAGGTAATGATGACCTTGGCGCTGTGATCCTCCGTAGCTAAGGGCACCTTATCAAGCAGCTGCCGTAGCACATAGGGAGCAGCTTTCGCATCGTCGACCCGGCGTTTCTTGCGCGGACCGACGCCATTATCTTCCGAGGCCATCGTGGGCAGACTCCGGGCATGCCCCGCTGATGCCTTTGGCGGCGATAGGAGAGGGAGCAAGAAGGGGGGAAGCTGTGAGGGAGGGTGTTGGTGACGCTGGCTGCGGAGCTGCTGAGTAAGACTGAGTAGTTGACTATTGTTGACAGAGGCAGTAAGTATTTCATTCAAGGCAGTCAACAACCAGATTTATTACTGGTTTTGAGCTGGTGTACCTCTTAATTGATGAGCTTCTGTTGAAGAAAGGAGGAATATAATAGCTGTTTGTATTCTCCTCCGCTATATTGTCATCCTAATGGACTTGAAGCCTTCAGCCTCAACAACTGCACGATATTACCGGCTAAATAGCTGTCATCATACCCCCTCCTTACAGTCCTAAACACTCCTCTACCTGATAACCAAAAAAAAGCAGTTAAATCACTTCTTCGTGGGGTAATCTTGAAAATTATGACAACATTCACAACACTATTAGCTTGGCCGGAATATCATCGGCCCGGTTCACGTGCTGCTCTGGCGGACAAGTTACAACGTAACTATAGGCAAAGGGTTGCAAACGCGCATTGCTGGCGATTTCGGTAGGCAGGGAAGCTCATCTGGAGACATGCGAATTTGAGCAAGCCTATATATGAACAGGCCGGAAGATGGACGCCTTTGCGATCACAGAGGGCATTGTCCCTGAACAGACCGAGCAAGATGGGCACCCCCCCGAGACCGCGGAGGTCAGCAGCAAGTTGTCGGAGGAGACCAATAAGTTCCAGCGGGCTATTGCCGCGTGGAGAGGTACGTCAGGCGATTCTGTGTTTCTGTTTTATCTGGGATTATCAAGTGGCTGGCTAACAGTGATGCGGCAGGTATTGATCTCAACACGACGATCGCGAAGCTTGATACCACGGCTTCCGACATCATCGCGGGGCAGCGGGATGCTCTGGTGCAGAGAAAGGACCTAGCTCAGAAAACAAAGGATTTTCGGAAGCTCGACGACGCGTCGAAGCTCTCTGAATACAAGAGTCTCCTCAAAGGTAAGTGGGTGGGTGGATGGGGAACTGTTCACAAGGTGGTGCCTTGCTAAAAGCCAAAAACAGCCTACCAGACCTTCATCGATCTCTTGACGAATCAAGGCAAGGCCTCATCGTCTGCGTTCCTCCAGTTATATTCCTCCATGTCGGAAGCCCCCGATCCATACCCGCTTCTGGAAGCCTCGGTCGAGTCGTTAGTGCTCTCGGAAGATACTGTCCCCAAACTGAGCTCGGAGAAGGAGCAGTTACAGAAGTCGGTGGACCGACTGACTGGCCAGCTGGAGGATACCGAACGACGATTGCAGGAGGAACGGTCGGCGAGAAAAAAGCTCGAAGACAACCAGGACGCAAAGATCAAAGAGATTGAGGCCTCGTGGTCGGCAGTCCTGTCGGAGAAGTCGAATAACTGGGCCGCCAAAGAGAAGAGCTTGGAGGAGAAGGTCGAGAATCAGGAACGGCTACTGAAGGACCTCAAGGCCAGCTACGAGGTGTCACAGCGCTTGGGGCAAGACGATGAAGGGGACAGCTCGCACCAGAGGGCTACAGCTGCCGAGCTTGAACTGGTGTCGACCGAGCTGGAGAAGACTAGCTTGCGCCTGACTGAAGTCGAGGCCCGAAACGAACAACTGCGGCTTGAGCTGGCTCAGGCTGCGTCACACTCTCAATCCGAACAGAAGACCTCCGTGGAAGACGACCCGGCTTATCTGCATCTGCAGTCCGAGAACTCATCGCTCCTTCGCAAACTCGACGCCGCCCGTTTCGACAGAGACTCCGACAGACATTCATGGGAGGCGAAGCTTCTTCAGTCTGAACGGCAAGGGGCCAAGGCTGTTGCCGAGAGAGATGAACTGCGGGCTAAGGTGGAGAAGTATGCTGATTACGAAGATATCCGCCGAGAGTTGGAGGTGATCAAGGTGAGTAATATCTTATAAATCCGAACCTTTGAGACTCCCCTAAATTAGTTCAGAGCATCGAATTTTCGGCGGGCGACGATGATGATGGTGGAGACGCGACAGACGATATCACGACCGCTAGCAGTGCGAATGGAGGCGCTGCAGCCAAGTCGAATGAGTCCTCCCTGGAGCAACTTCTGCTCGCGCGGAACAAGAAGCTGACCAATGAACTTACCGTTTTACGAGTCTCTCATCGCGACCTCCAGGGCCAATTGGAAACTCTCCGCGACGAGGTCTCGCGGACCAAACAAGAGCTGGAGAAGTCGCAGAGCCTGTCGGCCACCCTGGAAGACGACCTTGTCCGCATCCAGCAGGAAGCAGCCAACGCCTTTCCCTCATCTGCCATGTCCGTTGCGGGCACGTACAGCTCAAAATACTACCACTCGCGGCGCGGAGGGGCCTCGTCCCCGACCTCTTCCATCATCTCGGGATTCGATCAATCAGCTGTCTCGGCCAACACAATGGACGCTATCCGCGCGGGCGAAGCCGTGGGCGGTGGATCCGGCATCCTGCCGATGGTGCAGGCTCAACGGGACCGGTTCAAGAAGAAGAACTCCGAGCTCGAGGAGGAGCTCTCTAAAACGTACAGCACCGTCAAGTCGCTCCGGCAGGAGATTGCCTCGCTGCAAAAGGATAATCTGAATCTGTACGAGAAGACACGCTACGTCTCCACCTACAGTCGCGGGCAGGCCGGCGCCGGAGCAGCAGCGTCCTCCTCAGCATCGGCGTACGCGAACAAGCCCCATAGCAGCAGCACGTCAGTGCTCTCTGCGGCCGACACCCCCTCCGGACTGTCGCTGGACCGGTACCACTCAGCCTACGAAGCACAGATCTCCCCCTTTGCTGCCTTCCGGGGGCGCGAGTCGGCGCGCGCGTACAAGCGCATGAGCCTTCCCGAGCGGATCGTCTTCTCCCTGACGCGCATCATCCTCGCCAACCGTATGAGCAGGAACCTCTTTGCAGCCTACTGTTTTGCGCTGCACTTTTTGCTCTTCGTCATGCTGTATCGGATGAGTGCGGTTGAAATCGAGAAGCATAGCGCTGTCAGTCTCGGGTCTTCGGCTGCTTCGGCTGCTGCGGCCGTCATGGCTGGAGCAGGAGGAGGAGCAGCAGCAGCAGGTAATGGCAATGGACAGCTACGCGGTGATGACTGGCAACAACAGGGATTCGAACATTCCAATTAAATCTTTTTTTTTACTTCCCTTGGGGATTTGTTTTCGATTCCATCTGTACAAAGGGTTTTCTTTTATTCTTAAGGGAGTCTATGCCGGTCCAGGGGTTAATCAATCATATATAGTATTTCTTCCTAGTCATTGTGTTGCTAAGTTTAACTAGAGTCTAGTATGTACGGCGAATGGAGAGATTCAGTCCCAATGAAAACTGTTAGGTTTAGTTCAAGGTTCTCGACACCCATCGGCTTACATCGGTGATGACCTGCTCGTCGACGTTTCCCGGAACGCTATACTCGAGCGGGGTGGAGAGCCCCTGGCCAGGGATGAACAGATGATTCAGCGACTCGTAGACATGGAACTCGACGTTGCGGGAACCATGTAGCGCGGCGTGCCATTTCTCATAGTCGTCGGCAAGGGTGACCTGGTAGTCGCGTCCGCCCTGGAGGACCAGGACCGGCCGGGTGGTTGCGACACGGGCCGCAGTCTCCAAGGGTTCGAACCGGCGATAGTCGAGCCAGTAGGCCGGTCCTATGCCGAGGGGGAGCTGGGATGCGGGCGTCGACAGGGAGAGCGTCGGACTGTCTGCTACTTCGGCCTGACGCTGTGCCTCGACGCATTTTTTTTCGAGGGCTTCTTGGTCGGGACCGCCTAGCGAGGCGAGATACCGCAGCTGACGAACGACAGCCCGGTACAGTGGTCCTGCGGGGCCGGCCAGCAGGATGCAGCCGGCGATCGAAGCGTCGGCCGCGGCGATGGTGGGCGCCACGACTGCGCCGAGGCTGTGGCCGAGGATGTAGACTTGGTCCGGCAGGATGTCGGGGTGTCGTTGGCTCTGGAGTACCGCGTCGACGGCATGCTCGACGTACTCGTCCGTCAAAGTGATATCTTTGCATGCCCGAAGCGCTTTACGATGCGTGTGTGTCACCTTGTCGAAGCGAATGCTCGCGATGCCCTGTTGCGCAAGACCCAAGGCCAGATCCTTGAAGGGCTTGCTCGCGCTGACTGTTGAGTCTCGATCACACGGGCCCGAGCCGGCCAGCATTACCACACAGGGATATCTGGGGTATGGCATATCATCTGTCACAGGAACAGTAGCAGGAGGCAGACACAAACTCCCTTCCACTTTATACTGCCCCTTGCCCAGCGTGATGGCTGATTCCCGCACGGCGTCACCGTCCGCATAGCCAGGCACCTGCCACCCGGGACCCAGCCCGAGCATGTACTGTGGGACCACGCGTAGTCCAAAGAGACTGCCTGTTGGCGTCATCTGCAGCAGAATGCCGAAATTGGCCCGCTCGAACTGCACCGGCACCTTGGCTGTGGTCATCCACCAGCCGGTCGTGATAACCGGGTCTCCAACGCTCTCGAGCGGGCCCAAACCACTGCACACGAGATGCCATCCCTTGCTGAGAAGAGTCACCGGTATGAACCACCGAAAGACTGGGAGAAACTGCTGCCTCAGGCCTGTCCAGTTCTCATCCTGGAGCTGCTGGAGTATCTCTGACGCGCGGAGTCTCATGTATAACGCATCTGGGCGTCTCCATGAAGTCAAACACGCAGGAAACTGCCATAGAATGGTGGCTATCTTCTGCACAACTGCCCGAATCACCGCCATGTCTGTCTTCAACTCGAAACCTAAAGACTCACTGTGCTGGAACACTCGTGGTACGCTCTCTGGTGGTCAGTAAGAGGTTCACAATGTTGACTCGCGTCCAGCATGCCCATAGACACGATGAGCAAGCCCTAGTAGTGTCTGTCGTATGTCACTGCTTCTGTGAGAGGACGCCGAGCTGTCAGACTCGAGGATGAAGTCATATTCAGCCCCCAAGAACCGTCGTTAGTCATTAGTTCGTATCTTCGTAAGTCTTCGGAGCAGGTGACCATAGTCATGCCTTTCTGCCTAATCCTTCAGGCATCCAACGAACGTGATCACACAGAAAACAAACAAGCAACAACAGAACCTTTTCTCTCCCTACAATTGCGGCGAGAGCTCAAGAAGACAGTCTTCAGGACCTGAATGAGCAGAATTATCCATACGAATACTGAGTGTCCCGATCTACCCCGCACAGCATGAGACAAACACCCTTGAAACCTGTCTGCCTGTCAGGAATGTTGACAGTAAATAATTACTCTGGACGAGTCGAATTGTGTCAACTACGGCTTGGAAATAAAGGAGTACATGGTCTTCTGACAAAACCCCCATGCTTTGAAGACTTGGTGACTGCTGATCTAGACCGAAAATCATCTTCAGGCGTCTTTCAGCAATTGCCACCCCCTCCGTCCCCGTCTTCCAACAGGATCCTTTTACGTCGAGGATACTACATCCTACACGCTGCCACGCTGCATAAACGAAGACATATCCAAGAATAGACCATATCGTCAGAAACGGGGTAGTCGCTTGCGCTATCTCGCTGGGGCTCTCCTCCGACTGGTGGCTGCGTGCAGAATAGCCGCCGAGGAGTCAAAGATAGATGAAATGCTTATTATTAGAACGACAGGGACCAGGGTCTCCAGTATAGCAAGACAACGTTAAAAATGGCTGGCGCTAGGACGACCAATCGCGACGTCAAAGTCGTCCGCAACACCCAATGGCAGCGCCAACTCGCGCATGACGATTCTTCGCTGATGGAGATAGTCCTGCAAATATGGTGCTCTATAAGTACACACATCTGCACGCCTGGCTGTCCGGACCAAAATCAATATTCTAGCGCTGTGAATTGTGTCTTATATACGACTGATTTTCCTTGCTTCTCGGTTTCCTGCATTTACACCAGCCATTGACTGTGTTGGTTTTCTTTTGTTTTTCTTTTTTGGGGGTTGTTTTCGAATTCCTGGTTCAATTGATATACTCCTGTTTACTTTTCTTTCGAGATTCCAATACGGTTTTTCTGGTAGAAAAAATATCCGGAATGCGGTCGATCTCATTGTTTCTTGCTGGCCTGATGGCCAGCATTGCCTTCGCGGCGCCGGCGCCTGGCATCTTCAACAACGCATACAAGCGCTCAAACAGGATGGAAGAGTACTACTCCCGAGTGAGCAAGCATATCCACGACAGCAAACGGACTGGAAGTGCATCGTCCACCTGCGACACCTCGTCCATCTCTCTGCCGGCGTATGCTTCCAGTCTTCCCAGCCCCAGCGGTCAGACACTCGCCTACGTCACTGTCGGTGTCGGCACGCAGGTATGTCCAGCGTTTTCTCTACATTTGCCTGGATCTTTGCTAATTTTGCAGAACTACACCTGTGCGAACTCGTCTGCCAGCGCCACCCCCGAAGCCATCGGGGCGCTGGCCGGCCTCTTCAATGCCACCTGCATCGCCGCTGACTACCCGGAAATCATCGATCTGCTCCCCAACATCGTCTATGACATGGACGTGTCGGCCAACGCGACGTCCCTGAGCATGCTGCCGCCCGCCAATCTGCTCCTGCTGGGCTACCAGTATTTCAGCGACTTAACCACGCCGGTCTTCGACCTCGACACCGAAGACCAGAACGACGGCATCGCCTACACCAAGAAGAACGACACCCTCGACGCTCCCTCGGACGCCATCCAAGGCGCCTATGGCGCCGTCCAGTGGCTTTACCTGACCACCACCAACGAAACTGTGGGCAAGTACTCGAGTATCTACCGCGTCATGACCGCCGGGGGGGATGCCCCAACCACCTGCGAGGGCATGCCGGATTCCTTCACCGTGCCGTACGCGGCCAACTACTACATCTACGAGACCTGACCGCGGGCGGTCATGATGATTCTTTTTTTTTCTTCATTGCCATCCTTGTTTTTCTTTATATAGTTAGAGCATGGTAATCAATTTTTCCAGTAGTTATTTGTATTTGTGTTTCGATTAGATAACCATTGTACAAAGTATAATTTTTTTGGTGCTGATCTGGGTCATGTGCACTAGCGCCTTCCTGTCTCGCGGACGAAGACGAAACGACCCCTGGTTGTGCCAGCAACTTGCCGACTGCCTCGCGATGCTCAGAGAGATGCCCAAGGGCCAGAAACACGCTCGTGTCTACCAGGTTGGTGGCTGAGAGGGAGGGGAAGAAGAAGTACTGGGTTATTCTGCTAACTTGCGAAGGCGTGCGAGCCGTGCCGGATCAAAAAGGTGCGCTGCAACCTGGGGACGGTAGACAACCCCCACGACGCCCCCTGCGCCCGCTGCCGGCGGGAGAGCAAAGAGTGCTACTTCACGGCGACGAGGAAACGCGTCGTCTCCGGCACGGACACCGAGGGGTTCCTGTTCAGAAACAAGAGGCGTGCTGGTTCCACCGCCGTGGTTGATCCACAGCGCGGGGAGCGGGCGAGTAGTAGCTGCATCAGTGATCCCAACCACCGGCCGACCGCGGAGGGCGACTCGCGCCAGGTTAGTATTTAAAATAGCCAAGGTAGTTTTAATAATCGCTGCTAAGCGGACTAGGAACGCCAAGAGACTGTCTTGCAGAATGTCGCCTATACCGATGAAGACACGCTGGGGTTGCTGTACCGTGCCGGCTCGGCGCCAGAGACCACCGGCTCGCCCACGATAATAGGCGGCGGCGGCAAGACGCAGCCTATCCCAACATCCTCGGCTACCCAGTCGAGCCTGGATGGTGAAGGGGTGCAGCAGGCCCTGCAGGCGTGGTCTGAGGTGCGTTTTGTCCGTGATGGCCTGTTCTCCGCCACTGAGGCGATGGCGTATATGCAATACTTCCATGACCATCTCGAGCCGTTCACGCCGGTCCTATCACCCAACTTCACCGACCCGGCTGCGCACCGGAGGCTCATCCACGAGGAGCCCATTTTGGCGGTCACGATCCTCATGCTGGCGGCGCGCCACTGCGAGCTGCCAGGGGCGGGCAGCATCTCGCGGCGGTACGTCATCCACGACCGGCTGTGGTCCTTCCTCCAAGGCATGATCATGCGTATCTTCTGGGCGCAGGACTACAGACCCCGCTGCAAGAACGGCCGCGCGAGCGGATTCCGCACCCTTGGTACCTGCGAGGCTTTGATTCTGCTAACCGAGTGGCATCCGCGATCCTTGCACTTCCCGCCAGCCCACAACGAAACCAGTATCGTCGATTCAGATCAGACGTATAAAAACGCTTTCACCGCGCAGGACCCCGTCTTCTGGCTCGACTGGTCATGGCGGTCTGACCGGCTGTGCTGGTCGCTGCTGGGTACGGCCATGACTTTGGCGTTTGAGTTGGGCTTGTTCGACGACTGCGACAATACCACGCTGGGTGCCAAGGAGACTACAAACGACCACTGGCGCGATCCGTCCTTTCAATCCCGGGCGTATCGGCTGCAGCATGTATTCTGGGTGTTTTCCACTCAGATGTCAGGACGACTCGGTGGGGACCTTTTTTTTTCACCTTCTCAAACGTTGATGGTTCCGTCGCTAACTTTGATCTCACGTAGGATGGAAGTACCTTGCACCCTTTCAACTGTCCGAAAAATCAGTGGTCAGTTTCGATGACACCTCGCGCCTGTGGACGGGGATCGCCACTCTCATGCGAAAAGGTAACGAGTTGATGTTCTCGTCTCGACGTCATACCCGCGAGATCATCCAGGATGGCCGATATGTTGGTCTTCTTTATATTATACATCCCAATCTAGTAGATTGGAAGAAGGAGTTTGACAGGACGAGGGGTCAATGTAAGTGATCTATCTACTTACCCCCCACCCTTGTTTTTCCCCTTTCTCTCAGAGTCCGATCATGTCAAATTAATTAAAGCAGTGACAAAGCAAATGCGGGCGATGCTGGCCATCGAATATGACTATGTCCGAGTATACCTCCATAGTCTTGCAACCCAGGCGGTTGTAGAGAACAAGCGGACAGGCCAGCCGGCCCTGCACCGGGCCAACGAGGAGTTTGTGGCCGAGGTCATCAATGGGGCTCGATGTATTCTCGAATGCGTCCTGAATGATCTTCTGCCTGACAACAGTCTGAAGCACATCCCGGTACGGGCGTACTCGAGGATTTTATCTGCGGCCTTGTTTTTAATGAAGGTATGGTTCCCTCTTGGCGGTGTTGCTCCCGTTCTGTGCTTATTTGCATTAGACAACCTCCCTGAACATCAGCCCCAGAGAAGACGCAGATGTCTTGCTTGGGCTTGTCGAACGGATGGGCCAGGCCTTCAAAGTATGCTCCGTGGACGATGCCCACCTCGGTGCACGGTGGGGGACACTCCTCACCTCGCTCATTTTACGGCAACGCGAGAGCCTCCGGACTGCAACGTACGGTCCGGGTTCATGGCGCGCAGCCCAGACGAGCCAGGCGTACCCGACTCCCGAGCAACTCTCGGGGGCGCCTATGCCCCCCATCGATGGAAGCCGAGACGAACATCACCCCCCAATGAACGCCGTCGATACCCTGGACTGGTTACCATTACCGTTCCCCATGGATCCTATGGATGGATCCTTTATGGAATTTGGTCTGGACACAGGGCAGATGCCGTGGGGCGGCAACGAGGCCGGCAGTTACTCAATTCTGCCGTTTTCCGGTTATCAATGATCCTTGACTCCTTTACAGGGGGATCTGAAGCTGCAGCTTCTATATATACACCTCTCTGTATATGGGGCCCGATGCAAGCCGATCGGGAAAACATCGGACACCAGCAGACCTCGGCTAAAGTCACAGTCACCATGATTATTATTATTATTATTAAGGTAGATGACTGATTCTTCTCGAGGGATAATAACTATTACTAGCTGAATTCTACGGTCTCTAGGCCTAAGGACTAACTTGCTCATCTAGATATACAGATAACCTACTACAACCGACTAGAATAAGACCAGACAGCGCCGATCAATGGTATTAATATGCACCATCTCGAGTCCATGTCACAAATCTTAATATCAGACATCTACTTTAAGAGCCAGAGCTATTGTTGAGCTCGAAAGACAAATATAATACAGTCTAGAATACCGACCTCCCGGATGGATAATTATGATCTGTTAGGACAAGATAGCCATTCATACCCTAGGCCCAGGCTACCACAATCAATACAACAATTCGAATTCACTGATACCACTACTGTAGTACACGTAGTAGTGGTAGGGGTACCTAGGTAACTAGTACATAGCATCGTCTTCTAGTGGACGATCGAACTGTCGGCCGGTTTAGACCGGAATTCCACGGTCACTATCACAACGAAGGTATTATTAATAATAATAATATTGCCTCCAGGTAGTCATTCGATTCAACGATAGACTCAGGCATGTACAAGAAATGGAATTCACTCTCGAGGATGTCGCAACCCACAACTCGCGCGAGAGTCTCTACGTTATCATCCATGGCAAAGTGTACGACGTGACGGGATACGCAGATGAACATCCGTAAGCCATCCCTTTTTTTTTAACAAGGAATCCCGGATGAACAGGAGAGCTCTCTAGAACAGCTAATCTATCTAGAGGAGGAGCTGATATCTTGATGGAGGTGGCGGGCGCGGACGGGACAGACGGGTTCGATGATATCGGGCATTCGGAGGGGGCGAAGACGACTCTGGAGGGGCTATTAGTAGGGAGAATCAAGGGGAATGAGGCTGAGGAAGAGGTGCCTTTGTCTCTTTTCGATATCTATGTTCATGATGACTTCTGCTAACTCTGTTAATAGGGTGAGGAGGAGATCACAGAGGAAGAAGGAGGGAAAACCCCTTCGGGTGTATTTTGGAGGTGGTTCAAGGCGGTCCTTGCGATTATCGTGCTGTTTATTATTGTAGATCGAATTGAGATTCCAGAGGATATTTAGTAGTAGTATTTATTATTGAGAATAGTGTTAATAATTATTTAGAATTATTTCATTATTTCATTATGTAGTATATGTATATCTATGTAGTGATAGTAGTATAGGTTGATCCGCTCTTTTCCGATACTATCCAGCTTCATACAAAAGTACCTATAGTACGTATATGCTCAATACCTCTAACACAGAACATTCCTTTATCTTAATTACTATCTAAGTATCTAATATGCCTCACTTCTATACTGCCTTCCCCCCCCATCTCCAGCAATGGGCGCTGGAGCAGCCCATCTTCTTCACGGCTTCGGCGCCCCTCACCGGCGCCCACGTCAACGTCTCCCCCAAAGGCCGTCCCTCGTCGACGCTGGCCATCTTCGACGACCGCCATGCAGGCTATCTCGATCTGACGGGCTCCGGGGCCGAGACCATCGCCCACATCTACGATAACGGGCGGGTCACCGTCATGTTCTGCAGTTTCGAAAGCAAGCCGCGTATCTTGCGGCTCTTTTGTCACGGGCGCGTCGTCGAGGCAGATCAGCCAGGTTTCGAAGATACACTGGCACGGATGGGCAAGGCGAATATCACGGGTGCGCGGGCGGTGGTCTTGCTGGACATTTGGAAGGTTTCCTGAAAAGCACATTACCTGGTTTTCTTTCGGTGAAAGCTAAACAGCAGATGTATAGGTTCAAACCTCGTGTGGGTACTCGATTCCAGTCTTGGACTCGCCGGTCCCTCCAAAGCAGATTCAGCAGCATGATCATGATAATCACGACGACAACATAGCCGAAGTCCTTGATATGAGGGCCGTTCCCTGCAAGTGCTTCTCCGATCGGTACATGCTAGAGCAGTGGCTGGTCAACAAGGTCAACAAGGGCGCCCTGGGTGCGTACATGGTGCAGTACAACGCTCGCAGCCTAGACGGTCTGCCCGCGCTGCGCATGGCCCGCAGGGAAAGCGGCGAGGTGCTCCTTGTCGCTGACGTCCTGGCGGACCTCAGGCGCCGACTAGATCACCCCGAGGCGTTGCTGCTGGGTGTCGTGCTGGGTGTGGCCATGTGTGTCTATTCGCCTTTTCTCATTCTAATCATGTGGAAAGTGTTGAAGGTGCTCAAGATTATTGTTAACTTGACGAAACGAGCACTTTGCCTAGCCTGATAGACATGAGTATGACTTATAATAATACCTCGCTACAAAACGCCCTCATTATACCAGTGATATAGATATTTCACAGCACTAGTAATCCTATTGCTATTGTTTCTTATTGTCTTCTGCTATACTGGTTGTACTGAATTCCCAAAAGGGCTAGTGTAATCACATGATCACACGTGATGATAGCTCTAACTGGGGCTAGTCCCTATTAGAGCTAGTGTGCTCTGATTTTCGAAAGATCCAAAGGTTCGCCATAAAAAAAATCTCGACCGCCAACATCGACGAGCAGCCCGGCTTCGACAGACCCGCATTATTGCAGCTGTTGAAGAAGAAGAAGACACGATACACGGTTCTTCCGGTTTCTAATCATCAAATCTTCATTGTGCATTCTCGAGCTCGGAATTTTCCTGCCTCGTCTCCCACAGATTTTTCGGTCACCTCTGGTCTAAGATTGGAGGTTGTCGCCAACGCACACTAATTTAATTTTTATCCTCTCCAACACACTCACAAAATCACAATGGGTTTCGGTGCTCCTCGAGGAGGTAGTCGTGGTGGTTTCGGTGCTCGCGGCGGTGGCCGTGGTGGTCCTCGTGGTGGTGGTGCCGGGCGCGGTGGTAGAGGTTTGTTTCCACTGAGCCCATTCCTTGCATTGAGGCTTTGTATATCGAGAGACGCTAATTGCCGATTGAAATTCTAGGCGGCGGTGCTCCTCGCGGTCGTGGTGCTCCCCGGGGCGGCGGTCGTGGTCGCGGAGCTCCTCGTGGCCGTGGTGGTGCTCGCGGCGGTGCTCGTGGTGCCCAGGGTGGTGCCAAGGTCATCATTGTAGGTTTATACAATTCATATCATATGCCCTGGATGATATATATATATATATATATATGTACCTTGTACTTACTCACTATTTAGGAACCCCACCGTCACGCCGGTGTGTTCGTTGCCCGCGGCGGCAAGGAGGATCTGCTGGTGACCAAGAACCTGACGCCCGGCGAGGCTGTCTACGGCGAGAAGCGCATCTCGGTGGACTCGCCGGCCAACGAGGACGGAACGGTTTCCAAGACCGAGTACCGCGTGTGGAACCCCTTCCGCTCCAAGCTGGCGGCCGGTATTCTGGGTGGTCTGGATGACATCTACATGCGCCCTGGGTCCAAGGTGCTGTACCTGGGTGCTGCCAGCGGTACCTCGGTCAGTCACGTTGCCGACATCGTCGGCCCGACGGGCAACGTGTACGCGGTCGAGTTCTCGCACCGTTCCGGCCGTGATCTGATCGGCATGGCCACCCACCGCACCAACGTGATCCCCATCGTCGAGGACGCCCGCCACCCGCTGCGCTACCGCATGCTCGTCCCCATGGTGGACGTCATCTTCGCTGACGTTGCCCAGCCCGACCAGGCCCGTATTGTCGGCCTCAACGCCCACATGTTCCTCAAGGCGGACGGCGGCGTCATCATCTCCGTCAAGGCCTCCTGTATCGATTCCACCGCCAAGCCCGAGGTCGTCTTCGCTCGTGAGGTCCAGAAGATGCGCGAGGAGCGCATCAAGCCCAAGGAACAGCTCACCCTCGAGCCCTTCGAGCGTGATCACTGTATAGTGGCTGGTCTCTACAAGCGTTCGGAGTAATCTTCTTTCTCTCTTCAAATTTTTCTTCCTATCTTGCTCCGTTTTTTTTTTTTTTTTTCTTTCCTCTGGCGTTGTGTGCTCGACTTATATGATGTTCTGCTGAATCTGTGCATATGTATTCTGGTCAGAAAAACTACTGTTCCCTGGTTTAGAAAACAAGTAATGAATATAGAGAAGTATTGTAAAGAATCCTGGCAAGACTGGATAATAACAATCAATACCCACGGCACATTTACAATCGGACTTGCGCCGCCCCGCTGCTCAACCGCGGGTTTGTACCCGGATTTCTCACCGAGTTGCTCACCAAGCCTCACCTCGGACATAAAACTGGTTCAACTTGGATTTCTCGTATGGAGCCTGGTGGTTATTCTGTGTATTACCTACTGGTTACGAGGATACTCAGGAGTAAAACCTAGTGTTGGGAAGGTTGGGTTGCGGGGTTTCCCCGCAGAATCTCTACCGGAGGAGGGCCGTAAATATATGAAGGATCTCATCCATAATTTATAAGTGCTACTTTTAATCTTGTTTACCATCGTTTATTTTCTATCATAGCCTTAAGGGAGTATACCTTCCATATACAATGTCAATTCTTATTACGGGGGCGGGCGGTTACGTCGGCCAGGAACTGGCAGCCGCACTACTCGAATCGAATCCCTCAATCACCGTCACCCTCACGGACGTGGTGGCTCCTACGGTACCTACACAGCACGGCGACCGGGCGAGCAGCGTGGCAGCGGATCTGACCTCACATGCAGCGGTGGACGAGCTGATCAACCCGGACAACCGGTACGATGTCGTTTACCTGCTGCACGGGATCATGTCGTCCGGGTCCGAGGCCAACTTCGCGCTGGGGATGGCCGTCAACCTGGACGCGACGCGGTACATCCTCGACCGGCTGAAGGCGACGATGGCGGGCGTGAAGGTGGTGTTCACCTCGTCGCTGGCCGTGTACGGACCCGCGCCGCGCGGGTTCGTAATCGACGAGACCAACTTCCCGCCCGTGCCTTCGTCATCGTACGGCTCGCAGAAACTCATGACCGAGATCCTTATCAACGACTACTCGCGCCGTGGGTTTCTCGACGGCCGTTGCGTGCGTCTGCCGACGGTCACCGTCCGCGCGGGCAAGCCCACCCAGGCTGCCAGCAGCTTCGCCAGCGACATCATCCGCGAGCCCTTCCACGGCAAGAAAGCCATCCTCCCCGTCGGCCGCGACACAGAGATGTGGATCTGCTCGCCGTACACTGTTGTCAGGAACCTGGTCCATGCCAAGGATATCCCCAAGGAGGCCTTTGGCGAGTCCCGTTCCGTCAATCTGCCCGGGTTGAAGGTCAGCGTGCAGGAGATGTTGGACGCCTTGGAGGCGGTTGGAGGCAAGGAGCGACGGGCGCTGGTCGAGGAAAAGTATGATGCAGATATCGACCGGATCGTGCAGTCGTGGACTCCCAACTTTGCCACGGCCCGGGCAACGAAGCTGGGTTTCGCAGAGGACGTTCCGATGGTGGAGAATATTAAGAAGTTCGCCAGTCAGTTTGTATAATCTAGAAACCAGTGAACATAAGCCTTCATATTATACATATATATGCCATCACTTGAAAGAATAAAACCCTCATATTTATTATTGTTATTCGACGCGAGGGTATTCGAGCGACCGGCCGCAACGCAGGAGTTTGGAATAGATCGCCAAGAATCATCTATAATAATTCATAAGTATCATTTTATCATTTCCGATAATAGTCAATCGTCATACTCATCAAAATCACCATAATCGCCCTTTGCTGCCAACTGGCTATTATTATTAAGAGATGGCCTGTCAAAGTGTACTAGGGAACAGCCGGGACGGTTTGGAAAAGCGGGTCATGTGATTGGCTGGGGAGCTGGCGAACAATTTGACTCCCGAACTTCAACCTCAACTCCAGGGCGTCTCACCAGCCGCTTCACCTTCTTCCCTCCCCTTCGTGCCTCCTCCCCCCCACACAGACGTTCATCAGTCTTGTCACAATGGCTTCCCGGCGTCTTGCTTTGAACTTCAACCAGGCTCTGCGGAGTCGCAATGCCATCCAGAGTGTGAAGCGAGGCTTTGCCTCTCCGGTTGCCCTGCCGAGCACCACCCAGTCGACCACCCTGTCCAATGGCTTCACGGTACGCCGGAATATCGAGTTTCAATGGCATTGTGGGTGTGCTAATTGTTGATAGATCGCTACTGAGCACTCCCCGTGGGCCCAGACGTCCACCGTCGGCGTGTGGATCGATGCTGGTAGCCGGTCAGAGACTGACAAGACCAACGGCACGGCGCACTTCCTCGAGCACCTGGCCTTCAAGGTGAATTTTTTCCTTCATATTTCTCAGACAGTCTATGTGGAATGGGTTGCTGATTTTAATCCAGGGCACCAACAAACGCTCCCAGCACCAGCTCGAGCTCGAGATCGAGAACATGGGCGCTCACCTGAACGCCTACACCTCGGTATGAACCGGAAGCGCGATGGAGAGGATTGGTATACGACAATGGCGCTAACAGGGCTATAGAGAGAAAACACCGTCTACTACGCCAAGTCGTTCAATGCCGATGTTCCCAAGGCCGTCGATATCCTCGCCGATATCCTTCAGAACTCCAAGCTGGAGCCCTCGGCTATCGAGCGCGAGCGTGACGTGATCCTGCGCGAGCAGGAGGAGGTGGACAAGCAGCTCGAGGAGGTTGTGTTCGACCACCTGCACGCGACTGCCTACCAGAACCAGCCCCTTGGTCGTACCATCCTTGGTCCTAAGGAGAACATCCAGACCATCTCCCGCGAGAACCTGACCGACTACATCCAGACCAACTACACCGCCGACCGCATGGTTCTCGTCGGTGCCGGTGGTATCCCCCACGCGGAGCTCGTCAAGCTCGCCGAGGAGCACTTTGGCGGCCTCCCCAGCAAGCCTCCCACGACCGCCGCCCAGGCCCTCACTGTCGAGCAGAAGCGCGCCCCCGAGTTCATCGGTTCCGAAGTGAGACTGCGCGACGACACCATCCCCACCGCCCACATCGCCCTGGCCGTCGAGGGTGTCAGCTGGAAGGATGATGACTACTTCACCGCCCTCGTCACCCAGGCCATCGTCGGCAACTGGGACCGTGCCATGGGTAACTCGCCGTATCTGGGCAGCAAGCTCAGCTCGCTCGTCAACCACCACAAGTTGGCCAACAGCTTCATGAGCTTCTCTACCAGCTACAGCGACACTGGGTAAGTTTTCTCTCCCCCTCCCTCTCCCTGTCTCTCTCTTTTTGCCTATAATATGAAGGAAAACTTGCTAACGATATAGTCTCTGGGGTATCTACCTCACCACTGAGAACCTGACCAACATCGACGACCTCGTCCACTTCACCCTTACCGAGTGGTCCCGCCTGTCCTTCAACGTTACCGAGTCCGAGGTTGAGCGCGCCAAGGCTCAGCTCAAGGCTTCGATCCTGCTCTCCCTCGACGGCACTACTGCCGTCGCCGAGGACATTGGCCGCCAGATCATCACCACTGGCCGCCGCCTCAGCCCCGAGGATGTTGAGCTTGCCGTCGGTCGCATCACCAACAAGGACGTCATGGACTTTGCTTCTCGCAAGCTGTGGGATCAGGACATCGCCATCAGTGCCGTCGGCAGCATCGAGGGTCTCTTCGACTACCAGCGTATCCGCGCCAACATGAGCCGCAACGCCGCATAAACTCTTCCCCTGTAGTCCTCCCTCCATCTTGAGTTTCTCGCCGCCCCCCGCAACTGATTTCCTTTGTCTCTCCTGTGTTCCCCCTTTTTTTTTTCTTGCGAGTGGTTAATAGATCGATGACGATGATGTGGTGGTAGTCGCAGAGATCAGCGTGTCTTGTACAGTATCCACTGTCCACTGATATAAAACTGTATTATTGATCTATTTTTCTGTAGCATAAAAAGCGACTCCTCCATTATCCAAGTAACTTGAGACATAGTAAAAAGTGATTAATAATCCAAAAACCCGCAGAACCGAATCTCTGACGCAGATCCATGGAAAGATCCACCCCAGCTTAAAAACGGCGAAGAAACTGTGGAAACAGTCCGCTCACATGGCATATTGGATGCATTCAGTAATGAAGCCTTAATGACGCAAAGCCCAGCATAATTCCCAAACCCTCCACGATGATCGCACCCTTGCTTCAAGACGCTCTGGGCCTCATGCCCGGCGCCTGCAACGGTTCGACTGCCTGAATTGGCTGCCTCCGACGGGGGACTCCACCAACAATGCTGTGCGTACTACGTCTCTAGATAATTTTTTCCCCATCGCTGGATCAGATGTCGAAGCTTCGCTATCATTGGAGACCCGGGTGTCGGGGCGTCTCTCCTTTGGGACTTTCCAGAAGCCCAACACTTTGCTTGATAATACTGTGGTGGCTTTGCCAGTGTTTGGTGTATATAAAAGGTTCAAAACCCCCCCTTTGATGGAGGGGTAGAAAGAGGTACTTTCTTTTCTTGCCTTACCATCCTATCTATCAATACCTTGCCTTGTCTTCTTCTTTTTGTCATTCCCAGTCTAAACCATGAACAAAGCACTCGTCTTCAAGAAGGTGCCCAATGGGTATCCCGTCCCTGGCGAAGATGTGGCGATCGACTCTGCCGCATACGGCGCCGACGTGGCCACGCCTACGAACGGAATCGTGATCCAGTCAATGTACGCCAGTTTCGATCCGTACATGCGCGCAAAGATGCGCCCCGCGGAGGCCAAGTCGTACTCGCCGGCGTTTGTCATCGGGGCGGCCATGGACAGCTTGTGTATCGGCAAGGTGGTGCGGTCGAACACCGAGGCATACGCAGAGGGCGACGTGGTGATCGGATATTACCCTATCCAAGAGGTTGTGGCGCTGGACGAGGCCTCGCTGCCGCGCATCCGCAAGCTGGAGAACCCGCTTGGCCTTGACATCCGTCTTTTCCTGGGCGCGCTGGGCATGCCCGGCTTGACGGCGTTCTCGTCGCTGTATGAGATCGGCAAGCCGAAGCGTGGCGAGACCATCTTCGTGTCGGCGGCGAGCGGCGCCGTGGGTCAGATTGTCGGCCAGCTGGCCAAGCACGAGGGGTTGAAGGTGATCGGCAGCGTGGGCTCGGACGAGAAACTGAAGTATATCATTGACGAGTTGGGCTTCGACGGCGGCTTCAACTACAAGAAGGAGAAGCCGAGCGAGGCGCTGGCTCGCCTTGCCCCCGAGGGTATCGACATCTATTACGAGAATGTGGGCGGCGAGCACCTGGCTGCTGCCCTCGACGCGATGAACGACTTTGGCCGCGTCGTCGTCTGTGGCCTCATCTCCCAGTACAACAGCGCGCCTTACCCTATCACCAACCTCCAGAACATTGTTGCCAAGCGTCTCGCCATCCGCGGCTTCATCGTCGGCGACCCGGGCTTCGCCGATGTCTACCGCGTCGAACACCAGAAAAAGGTCCAGGCCTGGATCAAGGATGGAACCTTCAAGGCCCTCACGCACGAGACTGTCGGCATCGACAATGCCCCGGAGGGCTTGGTCGGTATCTTCTATGGCAAGAACATGGGCAAGGCGGTCCTGAAGTTTTAAAATGGTACTCATCTTTCTAAGTAGTACATATATGGTGTTCAATTAATATACCCTCATATTCCACTGTTATCTAAGTACTGCTTAATGTAAACCGCGGGTTCCGCTGCCATATCAATGCTGAACAGAGAACAACTAGCCCGCTGAATCCAGCCATGACGTGCATCTGCAGCGCGTACCCCTGTGCATACACTGTTCGCACTGCGGCCTGTTCTGCCGGCGCCAGGGAGTTGATGTACGTTGCCGAGTCCGATATCTGCTGCAAGGTAGCCGCGTCCACGACGTTGATCAGTCGAGAACTGGTGTAGTTGCTGAATACCGTTGAGCAGATTGCCAGCCCCAGCGTTCCACCCAACACGCGGATCTGGGTCAACGCCCCCATTGCCACGCCCATATCCTTCTCCGCGACGGTTAGTGCGGCTAGGACAAGCAACATGCTGAGCCCCGTGCCGAACGATAAGCCCAGGATCACCTCGTAGGCGAACTGTTGGCGCTGGAGGATTAGAGGTGTTGAGGCCAGGGTGCCTACCAGACACACGCCGACAAGCTGCAGCACCGCTGCGCCTGCGATAAGATAGAATGGCGCGACTTTCAACTTGGAGACGATGAAGCTGCTGGCACCGCTGGCGAGCGGAGAGCAGAGCAGCATCGGCAGGAGATAGATGCCTAGTACAAGTAATAGAATTAGAATAAGAGCACTTGGAAAACAGGATAACAGACAAATTACCTGCGTGCAATGATGACACCCCGTTCACGTCTTGGAAGCGCTGGGTAAGGTTGACAATAACCGCCATGAAGGGAAAGCCGGTGAAAAATCCATAGAGCATCATCCCAACCATGACACGATTGTTGAGCAGGCGGACAGGAAAGATAGGCTCCTGGACAGCTTGCTTGTGCTGCAGGTAGTATTCCCAAGCCGGAAAGAGAATCCAGCAGATACATGCAAGCACCAACATAGCAATGATGATAGCTGAAGCCCAGGCGTAGCGAGAGCCTGCTTCCTCGAAGACAAAGACGAGGAAGAGACTGGCCGCGAGGAGGAGCAGAGCCCCAGCCACATCGACCCGGCGCCCGATCCGCCTGGGGACTTTCCCATAGAACAGTCCAAACATGGCCGTGTCCGTCGGAGTCGAGGGGAGGAATATCACGATCAACAAGAAAGCTATCGCTCCAACCGGGCCGCTGGAAATTATCAGCCCGCAAGAAAAAAGAAAAAAACATTCGCCAGGAGACACCGACGCACTTGAGATAAAACACCCATTGCCAACTCTCCGGGTGGGCAGTGATGATACCCCCTAGAACTGGCCCTAGGATACTTGATAGGGCAAAGACCGAGGACATTATCGCCATGTATTTAGCCACTTCAGTACGGGGCACAACTTGCGGGGTGATGACCATGACCATAGAGTAGATCCCAGATGCCCCCAATCCTTGAAAAGCCCGGAGTACGATCCTGCGTTGTAGTTAGTTCTGATCTGATAGGGAAGTTGAGTGGGAATATTACAAGGTCAGGATGGACTGGCTCACGCCACATAATATCGAAAATACAACAAAAATACCGATACCCAGCAGGAAGAGAACCTTTCTGCCGAAGATGTCACTGAATTTGGCGTAGATCGTAAGAAAGCCTTCGCTTGTGTTCCGTCAGTGAGGTTCTACTCTAGGTGAATAATTCGGCATCCTAACCCGTATAGGTGAGCAGATACGATGTGACTATCCAGTCTCGTCGAGAGAAGCCATCCAAGGCATTTGTGATTGAAACAAGAGCCGTACTAACGATAGTAGTCTCCAAGGTTGAGAGGAGTAGGCTTACACACATCCTAGTAGGGATCGACATCGCGATGCGTCAGTTTAGAGCTTAACTTGACGACCTCCTACTAACCCAAAAACAAGCATATTAAGACGCCATGTTGGAATCTGGGCACTTGCTCCACGCGAACCACTGTCCGTGTCATTGTCTATTTGAAATGAGCTGCTGATCTCGACTGTTTTGTTGCTGCTGGGAGGGTCGACTTGGCAAGCGGATGCTTGCGGAACAATGTTTCGTGTATTTCTTTCCTCTGTCATCTTTGTAGAATGTTTCTAATCGACGATCATGAGTCCTAGGTGTTTAAATGACCATGAATGCCCCCCAGTAATATTCTGTAGATGATAAATCCCAGCTTTGACGATATGAACACCTGTCCCTTTGTCACTGGGCTGTAATACGAATCCTGCCTGTCTCAGGTTTGGTTCTTGCTGAAAGGCAGATACCCCGACATAGCGACAGGTGCCATTCAACGGAAAACATTCCAGATATAATTATTATTGTATTCATCTTTCGTATTGGAGCCCAATTGACGCAATGGCACAATACAACTCCCCCGGGTATAATGTCTCAGCCGAGAACAACGAAATTCTGGGAATTGGAGGATCTGCGAATCTGCCGTTCCATAAAAACTGCACCGTCTCCATCTCCAATGTTTTTACAAGCGATTGACCTGAGATTTAGCCAGTGTGCAAGAGGTGAGGTTGAGATATCTTCCCCAGATCGGAAGGTCCTTCGGGTATAGCCACGTGACCTGGTCCTCTCCGGCAATGGAGAATTGCTTATCCATCGACAAGCAACCCATTTGATCAACGCAGGTCAGATAGTAGCGAGTCTTCCAGTGTATCGAAAGAAAAAGCCCATTGTGTTTCTCACGACACCTGATTTCTCGAAATAGTAAATAAGACACGCGATGCTCCAGTTTTGACGTGGGAGAAGAATCGGCCATTTTCGGCTGGACGGAGAATGCTCGACCAATCACATGACCCGCAATCTGATGACCGCATCCCGGCGCGGATTCCCGAGGTCTGAAACCTTCATCCGTGAACCTGCGAAAGTCTGCGTCGACTGCTCGAGACTGACGGCGACAACTGCCTTGTTCACGCCCTCTCCACTCCGCTGAATCCGTTCTGTCTCTCTCTTGTGCTTTCCGATCCAACACAATGGCCTCTTTGGCGCGCCAGACCCCCCTCTTCAGGCGGTCCTGCCTGTCTGCTTCCCGATCACCGATGCAGGTGATGGCCTTCCATGCGTCGGCCAAGAAGCAGATTCTCCCTCCTCTGCCTCGTAAGTCAATTCGAATAACAATTCCAGGGCCGGTTTCTGTGGCTTGTGGGGGATACGCGAGACTTCCGGCTTGGGAAATGCATTTAGACGGACAGTGCTAACAAAATTGTCTTTGAACAGAGGTCATTCACGGCACCAGTATGTTATCCCGATCTATTGTGTGGTGAAGAAATTGGAGGACTACATTCTTGATTTTGATCGTCAGAACACGGGGATTCAATAAGACGAAGGACACTGTATGGACAAACACTGACGATAGGGTGATATCCAGCCAACGATGCCGTTGAGGTTCCCAAGACCCATGCCACGGAGGGCAGCTACCACTGGACTTTCGAGAGGTGCGTTTAGTTGGCAAGATGCGCCCTGTTCAGAAAGAGGTTACCCGCTTACACAGTTAGAATCATCTCCGCTGGTCTGGTTCCCCTGACCCTTGCGCCGTTTGCCGCTGGATCTCTGAACCCCACCATGGATGCTATCCTCTGCTCCGCTCTGATCCTTCACTCTCACATCGGATTCCAGTAAGTCAATCTGGCGGGAATGGGTTGTTCAAAATAGCTTCTAATGAAAAACCAGGGCTATGGTCATCGACTACTTCCCTCAGCGCCGTGTTCCCAAGACCCGTGCTGGTCTCATGTGGCTCCTGCGTGGCTTCACCCTCGCCACTGCGGTCGGTCTGTACGAGTTCGAGACGAACGATGTGGGCATTACTGAGGCCCTGAAGAGGATCTGGAAGGCATAGATTGGATATTCTGTTTGAGAGGCGCGACTTTCTTTTCCTTTTTTCATTTCCCTATTTGACTACTTCCCCACCTGTTTCTTTATCGATTCTGGTTTCTACCCGGTCATCCGGGCTCTGTATATGCTGGCTGTTTTCTAACCGGAGCCCATTCGCGCAAGTGTTGCCCTTGGTGCTTCAATTCATCTCAAAATCGAACTGCATGTAGAAGATTATTTCCTCTTCCGTTTCAAGCCCTTCTCTTCCAAGTTTTATGCCGAGTGATAGCGAACGCCAGCGTTCATAAAAAAATACCAAGACGGGTCCCTTCATCAAACTATACAAGAGAGTCATCTATAAACCCATTTACTCTTCGTCTTCATCTTCTAGAAGATCGGCATTATCAGACATATTTTCTTCATCATCGGCCTTAGTCATGACCGTCTCGATCAACTTCAGCGTCGCCTTCAACGGCAACCCGACCACATTGTCATAGCTACCCTCGATCTTCTCCACAAGGATTGAGCCCAGTCCCTGGATTCCATATCCGCCAGCCTTGTCGGCGCCTTCTCTGGTCTTCACGTACGCAAGGATCAGCTCATCCGTGACCTCGCCGTCGAAGGTGACTGCCGTCTCCTCAACAGCCGACTCGAGCGCGTAGCCCGGCTGGCGCGCGCTAGCCAGCGGCACCATTGCCACTATGGCGGTGAAGACCTTGTGGTGACGGTTATCGCGCAGCATTTTAAGCATGGCAAGGTGGTGCGCCTCGGACCGCGGTTTCTCCAGAATAGTCCCCGTCGAGGAATCGACGACCACCGTGTCAGCTGCGAGAATGAGGGCGGGTTCCCCGCGCTCTGCATTGTTGATTTCCTGCGCGTACACGGCCTGCGCCTTCTTCACTGCTGTCGCGAGCACGTATTCGAACGGCGACATCGTCTTGGGCAGATCCTCCGCCGCGTTGGAGGGGACCACGTCTAGGTTCGTTAGACCCAGCAGCGAGATGATCTGCCGCCGCCGCGGGGACTGCGACGCAAGAATCACACGTTCCGACCGTAATCTATCCAGTACGGCCAGTGAGAGGGGCGGGGGGCGTGGCAGGGGGGCGCGGGAGGGCGTCGATGCGGGCATCGTGCTTGTTTCGTAAGCTGGGGGGGGATCGGAATCGGCGAGGAGACCCTTTTTGGAGTCCGCCATGTTTCAATATGCAAGACTTGGGGTGGCTTGACTTGTGAGGTTTATTATTTAGCCTTCAAGTAACGATGTTATTCAAGATTTAAGGATATTTAGGATAGCATGAAAAGAGTTTCTTGTACTAGGCGGTGAGAGCTCTAGCAGATCTCAGGTGAGTCTATATTCTAACACAAATGGGCTATATAGAGGAGAATGATATATTATATATATATATTACATTTCTGAGCCCACCAATGAGTATTTGGTGACTGTGACGAATATCCATCATTGTTGCCAAGTCGACAAATCAGACTCGGCAGACAAAAATTCCAATACACTGAAATATTTAAAAACAAGTCCTTGGATACCTTTATAGCATTGTTTCAATTGAAAAAAACCTGGTTGTTTAATCTCCAGATAGGCTTTTCTCCTAATACAGCCTGATCCTCCAAATTATCGCCCAAGAAAACGCCAGTAGCCCGAATCGAATCGTCGATCGTAGTAAAACATGCCCTATGTACAGGGAAAACGGATAGAAGCGAGCATCACTCGCACAAGTCATTACAAAGGACATTATGAAGCGACTTTGAAGGGCTGGGAGCCTGTGTAGGCTTCTCATATTCCTTCTTGACAAATCGCCAGATGGGAGAGTGTTGGGCCGTTTGCCATGATTCGCGCCCGGTGAAGCTTTGACGACAGTCAGGTTCGAAATGAATCGTCGACCCGACCCCCGTGACTTTCAATCTCTGCAATCAGCTCCTGTCGTTCCTGCAGCTGCAGACGGATAAAGTCGACTGTCTTCTTTAACACGATGCTCTCGCTGCGGCCTTGGCCCTCCAGCCCCGGCACCAGCTCTGTAAGGCGATCGAACCCTTCGCGGATCGCCGCCCTTCGTTTTTGCTCGGACGCGATATGATTGTTTTTCTTCTCTTGCTCGGTCAACCGCGGCTTCTCCTTGTCCTGCGCGTTCGTCAACGAGCCTGTGGTATTCGATGAGTCCCCACCGGCGGGGGGCGTGGACGATTGATCATCGCTATAGTCTGCGGTAGCGGTGGCATCAGCCATTATTACGGGGGAATAGAAATCTTCAGATGAGCTGGATGCTGTAAAAGCGGGCGGGGGTGCGGACGGCATGTCTTAGAATATTTTCTTCTGCCTTGAGGAGAGTAGTAGAGCTTTTGTCTCCGCACCCGCAGCGAAGACCCGAGGTACAGGTGCACCTCGACGACAGGGAAAACACGCGGACTGAGACTGAAAGACTGGCTGCGACAGGCCAGACTCCCCAGGGCTAGAGACAGACTGTACTTTTGCCGCAACACCAATAAAGAAAAAGCACTCCTCGTTCGTTAGGTAGTCACTCTTGATTCCAACCGACAAGCCGATAGGAGGGTATGGGGTAATGTCCGCAGCGGGCCCTGGCTGTTCTTAACACGGTTAGCGCTGAGTGCTTACATAAACGCATCTGGATCTGGAAGGCGTTCGGGTTGGCTTGGCACCTTCACGTCATCACTCGGAATGGTTTTCTGACCAGACGTCCGCCAGAAGGGAATTTCATCGTTGGGGTCTGGTTGAGGGTTGGGCTTGGTTATTCTGTCTTGAATTGAATTGTTCGGTCATTAATCTCCTCGCGTTCAAGTCTACAGTGATAGGAGTCACAGTACTACTAGTACAGTATATACCGAAAGCCTGAGACTGAGCAATGAGCCATCACGAACCTTTGCGCGGGTCCTGCTCTTGTGGGAGGAACCAATATTTGATTCGAATCCCGGAAGATGTGACAGCTCATGCCCGGATCTATTTCGATAGCAGTTGGGACAACCGTATGTGACCAGTTCTGCGCGAAGACCCTTGATGTTAAGTTACTAAAACTCGTAATCTTTAATGGGCCCAGGACGATCACAAGGCACACCGATCACTGCATGGCTGCAGGTGCCTCTTGGATGGTATGAATCCTACACGCAGGCATACTTTCCAGACGAGACTCACGCCTCCATCCGGCGCACCTTCACTCCATACCATTCCCCACATACGAAACGCAATTTCTGCGGCTTCTGCGGCACACATCTCACGTATTGGACTGAAGAGCCTCGAGAGGAGGCTGATTTAATGTCTGTATCTGTTGCAAGCTTGTTGGGGGACGGCCAAAGCCTTCTGGAAGAACTAGATTTGCTTCCGGAGGAGCTCTCAGACGGTGTCTTGAGGACGGAACACATGACCGCAAACCAGGAGGCTGGCCGCCATTCATCCACAGTGGCTATGCAGTCGGACCCAGGTAGCCCTGGATTATTGATGGCCGCGAGGCACGGTATAGGCGGGGGAATTCCGTGGTTTGAAGAGATGATAGAGGGCAGCCGACTGGGTCGTTTACTACAGAGCAGACGAGGAGTAGCAATTAGTGATGATCAAAAAACACGCGTTGAATGGAGGATCAGCGACTGGCACGAAGATACAGATCCGGCCAATGTTCGCAGCGATTTGACAACCTCTGGTCATACCATTGGTCATGCCATAGGTAAAAGAAAGCGTGGATAGAAAGCTGGCGTTCAATCAAACCCTCAAAGCTACCAATAGATATTCCTGAAAGTGTGTCTGCACAGGGAGAATCAAGAGGCCTTCGATCCTCAATGGTACCGTGTCTGGTGGGCTCCTTCGATCTATCGAATCGACGCCCTCGAGGATAACTGAACGTGCAGAAACTGTCCCAATCTGTGGGTATAAAATGTTCTCACTACTATATTTTAGCCCAATTCTGGCTCAAACAAAGATTAGTATCTTATTTTTTATACCATTATATCATTTAATCTCATCATGACTAAGGGTGCAGTGTTTGACTGCGATTCTCCACAGAGATGTCATTGGTCCTAAGCCCTATATAAGGCTATTAAGAGACTGTTTGATATACGTCAGTCCATCTCTATGAGAACCTATATACTCTCACTTTCTTAAGTATCTCTCACCTCTACCTCTCTCTCTATTGGTCTTAAATATCTTCGCTTAGCTGGCTCCTGTTTCCCACTTATAAATTCATTATCGACCCCTTCTATTTATTCTTTCTTATTCCTATGCTTCCTAGTATCTACTTTATGCCTCTATTCACAGGTCTATAGCCTTACTATTATCCTTTCAAGAGAGTGTTCGCACAGTTCTATCTTGAGTAAGTGAAGCTCTTTATAAAGTATCTCTTATATAAGTTTATAAGATCACTAGATGTCTGTGTTGCTGATGCTAACTTCCTTGAAGCTTCTGTTGTCACAGAGAATCGGCCTTGTCATTGCTCTTCAACTGTTCGAGATCCTCGCCTCCTTGTCTGCCAGACAGCCTTCGGATACAGTCTTCTCTTGGGTTTGCGTACCAGTCAGGGAAGTCTGGAGCTTTTCAATATGGAGGACGAGATTCTTCCGGACACCAGCTCTGCTAAGCCTGGAACTGCCAGGCATATGCTCCAGACGCGTAGGTCGGCACAGACTTTGCGTAATGCATCGGCCTCCGGTCGAGTAAAACGGATGCAAAGCCTCGATGCTCTCCCTGTTCCCATTGCTTCTCTTCCGAGGTTCATGCCCGCCAAAGATGTAGCTGCCGCGACCGAACCGAGGAGAGTACGCCCGAAGCGTAAAACAAGCAAGCTACCGACGATCATAGGCAGTTCTCCCACTGGCGCTTCCACCCAGCAACCCCAGCATGTGAGGAAGGTTGTCGTGAACCGCGACAAGCCAAGACAGAAGCTGGGGATGCATTTCCAAAAAATGGCCAAGTGGAAGCTGATGACCAAAGCACTGGTTGGCATGAGGGCCGCAAAAAACATGAAGCTACGTGCTCTTAAGATGCGCTGTCTGCCTGCTCCATCGTCAGCGCCTGTTGAAAGTGTGGAACAAGAAGCGCCGAAAGTTGAGGTATGCTTAACCTGCTCCATATATCTGTGGCTCTCGTGCTGATTTTATGATTTGAATATATAGACTGCGCCGCTTTATAGACTCACGGCTATCAAACGGGCATCTGCTGTCCTGACATTTGCGAATGCTCCTGTGAGAGGAATCAACGTAAGTCCCAGAAGAACGGAGTCATTCGATTACAGACCAAAAGCTGACTTTGATGTAGAGGAGCAGCAGCATCTATAGCCGTCCATCCTTTGAGATCGCTTCCGACGACGACTCGTGTTCTGAAGATGAAGGTTTTGACAGCAGAGATGCTCCTGTGAGAGTCAGTGGAGGACGGTTGACTCCATACCCCTCGAGAAGTCCAGTGTGCTCAGGTGAAGGGCTCTTTTTCAACGGCTCTCCTGAATTGATCGCTGGTCCTGTGCAGAACACAACTGTGCTGCCAGAAAGAGCCACTGAGGGAGGATCTTCTCTCATTTCATCAGTCACTGCCCCCGCCACGGCAAACACATGTCTCTCACACTCAACCGGGCTTTCTTCTAAACCATCCATCCCACAGATTTGGCTGGACTGTGAAAGACCATCTTGGAGCGTGTCTTCTGGGGCATCTTTTGTTACCTCCCGCACTGTTCAAAGCAATACTGTGACCTTGAATATGGCAGCACATCCTGAAGGTCTTGAGGCGATGCCTCTTTCGAACCCGTTCGAGGACAGCGCTGAGGAAAAAGCTGCTATGGGCTCTGTCAAAGGCGAAATGGCGACCGAAGAAGGTAATCCAGTCTCTCATTCCCCTTCTTTTATGTGAGATACACGATTCTTTACTCTGGGAAGTCACACACATGCGTGATGAGACCAGAGGGGAGCTGAGTGGCCGTCTCGTTCTTTTCCCCCCAAAGCCTCTACGATCCTTTTTTCTTGGACGAAACTCACCTTCCTCCATCATATGGTCTGATGCTAACGTCACTCTCAGTGGATATGATCCTAGATTCCACCAAGCCATCCGATTCTGCTACCCTCGTGGCGAAGGATGAAATCTCTGAAAGGTTAGTGAACGATGATGGATCAGTCGTGGTTGAAAAACAAGCTGACAATACCTCTCACAGCAGTGTTCATCTTGAATCTACCGAGCCCCGGACTCCTGTGGCAGACAAGCACATTTGCTCCGACGAAATTGAGAACAATACAACCAAGGCCCGTGAGGGTGGAAAGTCACGTATTCCAGTACCCAAAGCCCGGGTTACCTCTTGTGGAAGTCCCGTTCTACGTGTCAGCCCATGCCCTCAGAGTTCCATCCCAGTGCCTTCTCGCCGCACCACCAGTGAGCAGAGCGTGTCGTCTATCAAGCATCTGGTCGGTAAAGCCCCCACTGGCAAGGTTCTTCCTGCTAAGAAGCACCAGATCTCCGGAGAAAATGGCGGGTCTATTGCCTCAGCTTTGGAGCAAACTACCGAGGAAACCTCCAAGTCAGACAAAGATGCAGAATCCGAGACTTACACTTGGGGAACAGATGACGGTGACGATGAAATCGTTGCGCAGCGTCCTACTGGTTTCACAGGCGACAACAGACCTAAGTTCCAGACGTCAGCTGCCAAGTTCGGCAGTTTGGGCCCTACGCTCAAGATTGCCCCGTCTGCTGAGCGTCTTATCATGGGCTCTGACAAACAGGAGAAGCCGTTGCCACCCACAAAGGAGTCCCAAGGTGATGAAGCTTCTGCAACCTTCAACATGGATAATAGACAGGGGGCTACCAAACAAGCTCAGGGCGAGCAACAGAGCTCCAACCGTGTGGACACGCGTGAGCAGACACATATCCATGATGTTTCTGGGCTTCTCAGCTCTCATCAGGTACGCATCCCTGAAGAGGGTACCCCCAGGGATCCTTTTGATCCTACTCAGATGCTTATCGTTCGAAAGCCTGTCAGCTCGAAGAGCTACGCCAGCCTTCGTTCAAAGGCCACTGCCCAATTATTCCAGGATAAAAATTCGCCTATCCCGCCTCCCAAGACTTCTCAATCGAATCCGTCTTTGCGAGCTTTCCCTCCCCGGTCAGACTCGTTGACTCCGGTGCCTGATTTCACTGCTCGCTTGGATGCAGTTGTCGCTTCTACCTCTCAGGATACCACAGCCGTGGCGAACAACGCCGTTCCTCCTTCAAAGGCCACTACTACCTTTGAAGAGATGGAACAACAAATCCTGAAGGCCCAGGCAAACCTGGCTCGCGGCCCCAAGCATACTGATTCCAAGGTTGCAGAACCCAAGGGTAACCGCGTCTTTGGGGGCTTGAAAAACATGTTTGGTAAAAACAAGCCTTCCATCACCAAGGACATGATCCGCAAGGTCGACGAGTTCGAAGTGACGAACACCTCTGCTAGTGACGAACAGGAAAGCACCGAGTCAGCAAAGGCCACCAAGTCTGTCACTGAAACCGTTGTGACAACAAAGCCAGTGGCTTCTAAGTCAAAGGGAAAATACCAAGCTTGGAACAGGGGTCTCCGCACCCCTAAGGTCGCAGATGAGAATCTGCCTCCTTCTGTTAGCACTCCCACTACTTCGGAGTCATCCCTTCCTGTGCCGACCTCGGTCAAGGCACCTTCCATCCCTAGTTTTGCTCGTCCGACCAACTCTACCCAGGCGAAGGCAAATGCAAACATGAGATCTGTCTCAGCGCAGGAGCCTAGACTCCGCCGACCTTCCCCAATCGTCACTGCAGGTGGAAGCTCCGCTGCCCGAGAAGCGAAACGTACCCCTACGGTGAAGACCCCGCTGAGTGTCAAGAGATTTGCGGCTCGCTCTGGCGGCTCTTCGCAAAAGGCCAGCAAGACTCCAACCACTGCATCTCAGGAGCCCAACACTGGCAATATTCAGCTGCCCCCTGTCATGGGCGAGTCTCAAATGGAAAACGCGCAGAAGTGGATCGAGTTCCTTTCTGAAAGGATCAAGTTTGAAGAGTCTCCCGATAAGAGAGGCCAGTATCTCCAGGTAAGTCGGTCCTCTATCCTGATGATCTCTTGTTTTTGCCCTCAGCTTTCTGACCAACGTCCTCTGCAGCACCTCCTGGCAGTTCACACCGTTCTAAACAATTACAAACAAGCCGACAAAGAGGAACAGGATGCCGAGAGCCTCTTCAATCTTCGTCACCTGGATACTGTCTCGTGCTTGACCAAGCTTACTGAGTGTCTGTCCTCCGTTGCAAGCGACCTCGAGGCTCACTAAATGAGACATCTTATGTGCCCTTGTTCAAGCTTCTTTCTCTGTTTTCAGATCTCACTGTTTTACTTTTCTTTCTTCAGTTTTTCTTGTTCTTTTCTATTTTCTTGCCATGTCACCTGCACGTCGGTTTCAGTTCATCCCCTTTTTCATGACACTCTATGGCTGATGCCCGAAACGACCTTTCTTTTTCCTCTGGAGTTTTTGCCATGAAGTTTCCTTGATGTTTCGTCCCCTTTATTTTGCTGCCTTCTGCTTTGCTGCTTTCTAATTTGCTGCCTTTTCGCCTTTTTGCCTTGCTTTGTTATTTGCCTTCACTTGCACTTTGAAAAAAGAAAAAGCGAAAAAAACGTGAAAACAAAAAGAAAGAAAAAACATGAAAAGGAAAAAAGGAAAAAATCGAAAAAGTCCAAAAAGACAAAAAAAACCAGAAAAATCGAAAAGGGCGCCAGGTGGACTACTATTTGCTTGTGGGTTTTGCGATAGGGATGGCCGGCGACTTCGACGTTTGTTGCTAGCTGCCTGGCAAAGCTCATGGCTCTCTTTTGACAAGTACCAGTGATACGATTAGAGATACTTGGTACTCCTGTGCCTCTCTCGAAGTCCTGTCTGCCTTGTACTAGGTTGTTGTTTGTTCTGGGGAGGCTGAGATGGGAAGATCATGGTTCTTCAATGCGGCGAAGAGGTGATGCCGTTGCATCTTAGGAGGCCGTGGCTTGTCAGCTTGTCTTCATCGCGGTTGAGAACCTGATTACTCTCACTCTGGAAGCAGATAGAAAAGCTGGTATTCATGTATGTTAGATAGTCTCTACAGAGATAGCTCTTGTAGCCTAGATCAATACTACATACAGTTGACGGTTGGAAATTCCATGAACTATGGTCAGATTAAAATATTGTAGGCTACTAATTTGCAGAAGCCCTGCCTATTTAAAGATGCTCTGGCAGAATCTACTGCTTTGTGTGTAGTTTTAAAGTGAGATAATGGGTTTATATTGTCATTATCTGCTCTTCATGGCATGTCAGTCACCCAGAGCGGGTTTCTTTATAGGCAATATCTTTGAGCTATCAGGCCACCAAACAAAATAAATTCACTGATACTTTGGCAGCATGCTCTCACTTGGGCCTCTCATACCAATGAGGGGTGTTGGAGTGAAAGGTCAGAGAAGATGCCCTCTGATCAAATATGCCCTACAGCAGTAGCCTAGCTTGCCCCTGCCCACTTTCTTTTTCTTTTATTTTTTTTTCTCTTTTTGGATTCATGTTGGACTCTTTATCGGTACATCCCAGTTACAACTTTTTTGGCCATTTATATTTTTTTTCTAGCATTCAGCGCTCCTAAACTCTTCATTATGTCTAAACGTACCAAGAACAGACACCGTGAGAAAAAGGTATGGATCCCCCTGTCTCTTTGGGACTGGAAAGAAGCTTCCTTTGTATCATGACGGTGAAGCCAAGGCTAATATCCAGCAATATAGCAGCGTAACGGCGGATTCAAAATGGCTCAACCTCAGCATCAGTCCGAGGAGGAACACCTGAACATTCGGATCCTTCCTCACCTTGCCAACGGTTTTGACAGCGTGGTGCCTCTCTCTGGAGCTTCTGCTGGCTTCCCGGTTTTCAACACTGCCGTTAATCCCGCTGTTAATCATATGGTCAATCCCGTTTACAACTCTGGCGGCGGTCCTGTCAGAAACCCTGGTATCAACGCCGCCCACAACCCTCTCGAGGATCTTGTCCACGGCTCAGCTCACACCCCCGTCTACCCAGTCAACAGCCAGCAGGGCATGAGCCTCTATCCTTCTCATGAGTTTACCCCCTGGCACTACGTGCCTGAGCATCTCGCAGCCAGAGAGACGGACCAGTCTGCGCTGTACCCTGCTGAGACTCTCAACGAGCTTTTCCTGGAGCAGTTCCGTTACGCTGGAGCCCAGCAGGTAGGATAATAGTTCTTTGCTTTTCTTTTAATCTGTCTTCAGCGATGTATTAACGTCTGCAGCGCTACCAGCCTCCTGGATGCGACACGGCCTCCCCTGTCCCAGCGCCCATCAAGGCCGACAAACCCGTCAAGAAGGGACCCTTGATCGTCTCCTCTGAGCGCAAGTCTAAACTCCGCGGCGACGCCCCCGAGTTCATCCCCCAGAGCATGCGTGCCCTCCATGAGTCCGGTCAGGGCCAGGCTTGGGGCCAGCGGAAGTACTCTTCTGACGTGCAGCCTTTCTAAGTGAGCTCACACACGTTTGGAAAGAAAGAAAGGGGAGTTGACTACCTTGACCTACGCTGTAATACAACGAAGTGGAGATTTTTGATCTTTTGCGAATGGTATGGTTGTGGGTTGGCGTTAGTTTGAGAGACTTCATCCTGATACGTGTATCATTGGAAATCTCCTGTATCTCATAGGTCCAAGGCATACGATACTGAATTGAGAATATTCGCAACGAGTTCATTGATATGTAGATCTATCCATAACCAGACATTCAAGGCTTGAGTGCTATATACGTAAAAACAAATGAAAGAAATATAAAACAAATGAAGCGAAAAAGAAGTCTATCGAGAGGAATAATAAGTCGTGTCAGCCGTCAAACTCTGAAAATGCTGGCCGTCTTCATGGATGGGCGGCTGGCGTTGCAGCGTCATCCCCACCGCGAGACAGATAATGACGACTGCAAACTCCTCGAGGACAGACATGACGAGCTCGACGGTGACGTTGCCGTCGAGCAGGTTGAAGGTCGAGGTTGGAGAGAACCAGCACAGCATGGCGTAGAGCAGTCGGACGAAGATGATAACTGCGCAGAGCGAGACGGCCCCGAGCAGGCGGTGCTCGCCCTTCCCCACGTCCCGACGGCGGTAGATCAACACTGCGAGCAGAACACACAGCTGCGCCCACGCAACCACGATAATCGCGATTCCGGCCTTGATTTCGACGTCGGGGTGGAGAAAGGCCTCCTCGGTCATGTTTTTCGTCAAGCCAACCACACTGAGCACCAGGGAAGCGATTGTGAGGAGGCGGAGAAGCCCGAAGAGCCGGTCACTGATGGCGACGCCTGACCTGCGTCTGACAGATTCGTTCCTATAGAGAAATCGAATTTATCAGTCTAAATAGATCTCCTGTGGGCAATCCGGTGGTTACTCACGCTCTGGATAGCATCCCGCTGCAGAGGAGAATCAAAGGGGCCAACCCAATCGACGAACAGACCGCGGCAGCAATGTACAGGCCGAGGGTAGGGTGGGCGATGGTCGCTAGGTCGCAGCATGCGCCGACAATGCGTGTAAGAGTGAAGGTCACGACGAAGATGAACCCTGCGCTGGTTCGAATACCCAGCCGGAAGACAAGAAATGCAGCCAGGAAGAAGCATGGCACGAACACGATCAGCTGGGCTACCGAGATTGCATGATGGTATGTGAGTCCCATTGTGAATGACTAGGCTCTGGGATAGTCTAAGCCGGCGGAAATATTGTTTTTTGATGCTTCAAGCCCGATGCTGTCAATTTTCTTTTCTGATTTTCAACGTCTGGAGGCTGCTCTCCTTATATACACATACTCCTCTCAACGCCATGGCGCTCTGGTCCATCTCCAACCACAAATCTCAGGGGGGCGGTGCTCCATGGCTAGATTTTCTCAGCGGCTGATCCAATAATCTCACAATTTTTGCCGAATCGAACTGCGTCTCAAGTAGCAATATCTCAATCTGTATTGTGTTGCGAGTGATGTTGTTTTTGGCGCTGTCTGCAAACCTTGGCTCCCGCTCGCAGTGCATTCCCATATCGGCCTAGCGCTGTTCATCCTGTGGCTGCCTAAGTCCCGTGATGTCGAACCCCCTCCCCTTTGGGTCTTTCCTGCGCCTTTCGGGCTTCCCCCATTGTGGCTTAGTAAAGGGCGCACCTCGTGGGGTACGAAGTACGCTGTGATGCAATCGTTTTGGCGTCGACCATCCAGGGTCTCTATTCTGCAGCCTTAGGTTAAACACTGCTTAAGTGCTAGATCTGGTCCCCCCCCAAGGGATCTTTATGCTTCTAGACGTCTTCTGCCGGAGTATACGCCATGGTGTACCGTGGAAAGCCCAGTAAAGGGTGCGGTGAGTGTCGGGCGAGGAAAATCAGAGTAAGGAGACGGTCTTTTCCATTTCTTAACGGTCGGCCTTCTTCCTAGCGGTGGTTGATTGATATGGAATCGTTGAGTTACGATTTAAAAGGGGGTTCGGGGGAGGGGGCTGGATTCTTGTGGCGGAAGATGCTAACTCTTTGACCTTTCGCCTCTAGTGTGACCAGCAACGGCCTGTTTGTTCGCAATGTGTAAAGACGAACCGTGTCTGTTCGGGGTACCGGGATGAACTGAGTCTCATGTTCCGAGATGAGAGCCAGGATGTCGCTCGAAAGGCCAAGGCAGGCCCAACTGGCCGCAAGTCTGCCAAAGACGCCCGCAAGTCTCGCACTGCATCCCCAAGCGGGGATAGTGCGCAGTCAGATCCGGAGCTTTGCCTAGAAAAAATGATCGACTACAGCCACCTTCTAGTTAACGATAGTTACAACTATGAAGCTAATAATAATATCCCCACCATCCTCCAACTGCAGCGACGATCACAGCTCGTGTCTCAGCCCTATCCAGCCCTAGAGAGAGACGAGGCAATATGTTTCTTTTTCCGCAGCAACGCATGGCCGGGCACGATCTGGATGTTGGATAGCACGTTTTCTTCCTCGAATACGTTGCCCAGTCAGAAGGCCATGATGGCGGGCATCACCTCTGTGGGCATGGCTCTGTTATCCCGGGCAAGGAATTCGAAAGCGATGAAGGAAGCGGCTACCAAGGAGTACGGCTCGGCCCTGAAACTGATCAAGGCAGCTCTCGAAGACAAGGTGGACGTCAAGTCAAACTCCACTCTGGCCACAGTGATTCTGTTCTCCATCTTTGAGGTAAGAGCTTGGACCAGGCAGCTTTGGACGGCTGTATTAATTGTCTCGATCTAGGTCGTGGTCAATAGAGCGCCACAGGATATCGATAATTGGACCAATCACATATTGGGGGCAACTGCATTGCTTGAGATGCGTGGAATAGAGCAGCTACAGACTGATGTTGGACTGCGCATGTTTTTACAGCTCAGATACCATATTGTGCGTGCGGTGATGATGGAAAATTGTCATAGTTCATAACACTACTAACGACTAAGTAGATCATCAGTTGCTTGCAGAGATCTACGTACATTCCCCCGACGCTTTTGGAGTGCACGAAATTTGCCATGTTTCTACGGCCTGGGGTGGAGGCCTATAGCGACCATCTCGTCAATATCATCGCACGACTAACAAATCTTCGCGCCGACCTGACTAACAAGGGGATCGCGGACGAGTCCGTGATGCTGAACGCTGCATGTTTACTTGATAACGAACTCATTACGTGGCTTGCTGGTGTTCCTCCCGTATTCGCCTATGAGGACGTCGAGTACTCGACGCCCAATCCCTCTTTAGAGCGACGTTGTCACGGTATCAAACCGTACGGTGCTCATTATCACGTCTACCAAGACCTTTGGATCACCAACGCCTGGAACCAGTACCGGTGCGCTCGCATTCTCGCCAGCGATATCATCATCAGTTGTCTCAAGCGGATGGCTTCCAAATCACCAGACTTGACCTCGTCGAGTGAGTACCGAGAACGCTGCCGAAGTATCCGTGGTGTCATCCGGCAGCTGGCTGCCGACATCTGCGCCACCGTGCCCTTTCACCTAGGCTTCGCGGAGACCAGTGAGGCGGACGCCGGTTTCAAGCCGACATCGGAAACCTATGTGGGTGGTATCATTATCCTCTGGCCTCTCTTCATGGCGGGGGTAATTGAAATCCCGGGGCACCCCCTCTTCGAATGGGTGGTGAACTGCTTCCGGGTCATCGGCCACTCGATGGGGATAGATCAGGCGTTGGCTTTGATGGACTTAATCAAAAATGGTGAGACTCTGCTCGAGGAAAAATCTAGCTATTTTTCCGACGAGGCGGTAGAACTCAACGGCGAGAACGATTCATCGCAGGTCGATGGCTTTTCTCACGCTATCGACTGGGAAGCACTCGATACCCTCTGTTAGGAGTATGTTTTAAATCTAATTAATGTATATAGAAGGTGTATACCCATTTGCGCCTAGGGAGCCTCAAAGCAACTCTTGCTAGCAGTCCATGGTCTCATGTTGCACCTGTGTGGTACGATAAGGCCTCCTGTTTGCCCCATTACAGTACTCAGCCGTCAACCAATTTCCCCCTTTGATAAGTTATGCCTTAGGCATATTTTAAGGCTGCAATTGGTCCTTCTCCAAACCATGTGTGGTCTTATTTACCAAGCCCTGTTTCAACATGGAATTTGTAAGGGGTGAGTGACTATGCGTCTGGACTCAAGTGGGCTGCAGTGGCGGAGTGCGCGGGCCGACTAAGAGCTACCAAGAACGAAGTACCCATAGTATGTATGTATGCATAGCCCACCAAGGGGCTCAGTCTACAGAACCAAATCAAAAGTCAGTAAAGTAGTCATAGGTTCCAGTTGAATGACATACTGTCTGCCTTACTAGCCTGAGTATTTGGATATCCCATCATAATTTATTGCTAGTAGTTGCAATGGAGAGAGCAATTCTGCCTTGGAAGATTCAATGGCGAATATAAGAGGCTTTTAGTTGGAACTTGGAAGTTCCTGAGGCCAAGAAGGAAAGAGCAACTGAGGCAACACAACAACTTTGAACTTGCCTGATTAACATTCTTCATATCAATTCCATCTTATATTCACCATGCCGCTTCTATTTGGCAGACACCACCACTCCTTCTTCCCTCACGACTCATCTGCCTATGAGAAAATCATGGGTCATCGGCATTCAACCGCTCGTAATGGCGAGTTTGCACAATCTCTTCCAGGATCAATGAGACCGGTCCGCTCGAACGCAGGATACTCGCCCAGGCAGGACATAAAGCCGCAGGCTCCTCAGAACCTGTGGTCTCCGCCCCCTTACACGCCTCAGGATGCAGTCAGACCGTCACCCAACGGTATAAGCAACAGCAACAGTGTCGGTGATGACAGAGGAGGGGGGGACTCGCCGTACGCATTCCTCGCTGAGTTTGACACCGTCTTCCTGGTGGACGACAGCTCGAGCATGCTCGGGCAGCGGTGGAAGGAAGCGGAAGCAGCTATCGCGACGATCGCGCCCATCTGCACGCAGTACGACAGCGACGGGATCGACATCTTTTTCCTCAATCACCGGCGGGCGATCACGGCTACAAATCCGACGGGCGCGTATATGAACGTGACGACTTCCGCAGACGTACAGGAGATTTTCTACAGTGTGCAGCCTCGTGGCGCGACCCCCGTCGGCAACCGACTGCTGCAGATCTTGAAGCCTTATCTGCGACGCGTGGAGGCGATGACAGCTGCGAGCGACGCAGATGGTAACCTCAGCGACCCATCGCTGTTTGTCAAGCCGCTGAATATCATCGTTATCACGGACGGGGTCTTCACTGACGACGCGGAGAGCGTTATCGTCGACACAGCCCGACGGCTCGATGGACCGCTGTGCCGCGCCGTGCCCTGGCAGGTGGGCATTCAGTTCTTCCAGATCGGTGACGACAATGCGGCACGGGAGCACTTGCAGGAACTCGATGATGAACTCGGTCAAAAGACGCGCAATGGGGGTTTACGAGATATCGTTGACACAGTGCCGTGGAGAGGGGAACGGGGACAGACTCTCAGTGCGGAGGGGATCTTGAAATGCGTCCTGGGTGAGTCCTTTTTACCTTCCTTCTGCTCTAGCTTCATGTTGATTCTGACTATCCAGGGGCCGTGCATAAGAAGTATGATAAACGAGAAGCGTTTCGTTGAATGGTTTGGAGTACCAACTCAACCTCCACTCTGAGTTACTACTACTATACGTATTTTTCCTCGGTTGGCCAGTGACCGCTCGAAATGAGTTATTAATAGTAATGATATCCAAGGCGTTAGCTATGAAGCTCTAGATAGCATATCGTAGACGAGTTTACAGCGACAATCTTAGATTTACTGTAGTATCCAGGGATTGCAAATAATATTCTAGGAATCAACCTTCCTCGAAATACTATTCAGATATAAAACTTAATAATCAATTGTCTAGATACCTACAAGTAAACAATCAAATAGAGCCTGAATAGTTCTAATGCCTCACATGGATGAATTCGACAATGCCATCAAGGCATACCTAGCATCTGCAAACCGGCCGGTCGATGAAGCCGAGCAGGGAATTCACTATCCACATATGGAGCCTTTTCAAAGTCCAGACCTGCAACAGAAATCCTTCCATATAGTTCCTGATATAGAGAAGGATATGCTCGACGATGCGGACCTAGGGAATACCGAGCCCGAAGTCCACCGTGTTCGCCGGCATAAAGATGGCACCTTGTATGTGTGATGTATTATTTAGGAATCACTTACAAGTAATGTATCTACTAGTTAATGTACATAGGGTGGTTAATCGAGTCGGTAACCCGACCGAAGAGAAGAACTTTGTGGAAAAGATGTGAATGTTCACTGATAAATTCTATCCGTGGGGGAAATAGAGGAAATGTTTTATTCAGATGAAGAAATCGGCCTGAATATTCATTTTATGGGATAGAGCATTTATATCCTAAAGTAGTCAGTCCTCAATCTAGGCTCATGGGTTATATATTACGCCGAGATACTACGGAGTAGTTCTGGACATAGGATTCTATAATTTTGGAAACCATGTCCTCTGATTTATTTTCTTCAGTTCTTCGATAACTAATTAATTGTCTTGCCGTTCTGTCATCAATGGTGCGGCATATTTGATGAGGCTGAGCACGGGGGCGGAGTACGGAGTAGAGGTAGGTGCCTTACGATAATAGATGAAACGGCCAATGGAGAAGGGCTATCTTCCCATGCACTTACTGCATAGTGTCTACTGTTCTCCGTACAGAGTCTATCTAGCCCCTTTATTTGACAACTTGTTGGCATCATACTTCGTACTGCAGTAAGATCTGCCTTGCTCCGGGTTCTTGAACCATCTCTTTCTAGAGAATTGATTCATCGAGAGGACTCCTCCCTGGCTGACACCTCGGAGGGATCATCTTGTTTTCTTAATTGCATCATTATCGATTGGATCAGAGACTGTAAGGAACATGGAAGACGATCCATGCAGTGATCCTAGATGGGGTGGGAGGAGGAGGAGCAAGAGTCCAACAAACAAGGCTGGCGACGTTTTGGTACCATCGGGCACACCTGCTAGTAGGGACCACAAATCACAGCCGAACAGCTCACCTCTGTGGACCCTGGAGGGCTGGATGCAGGGCTGGGCGGAATTTGCAGCTCACATTTACGACGAAGAAGTCGAAGGATTCAACGCCCTGAACGGTAAGAGTAGAACAGGTAGAGTAATGGCTCGCGACATGGGGGGAAAACAGTAGCAGCCAGTAGCCAATCCCAGCTGGTCTTTAGATATCGCCGCTGTAGGAGATAACAGTCCATCTAGCCCTGCAGAGGAGGGTTATTCGGCAGGCGACACCATGTAGGAGAGTAGTCCGTACTTCGTAGGTGTGGTGACATTTAATATCGAGTATTGAGCTGCAGTGCGGGTTCCTATGTAGTTTATATACTTCATCCTATCAGTAATCGCAATATCAGTCATTGTTTATAGATAGATTCTAGAAAGTAAGGTAGACCTTCGGTGTAGAAGCCTGTGTACTCCGTATCTGACCGCGTACCTTCCTGCTCAGCCGGATGAACGGAGTACGGAGTACTCTGTAGCTGCCTAGCATTTAGATATGGACCAGGAGTACTCCGTCCTCTGTATTCAACATCAATGCGAAGTAGTGGAGAATGTGAGAGGTCAAATGCTGTGATCCCTCGAGGCTGCGGAGCTCCGGTTTATATTAGAATCACGTGGCTTCTCAGATTGACAATCACGAATCACTAGCGATTGCCGATCGCCGTCAAAAATTTGTTGATCCTTCTGATCTGTCAATCTTGCACGGAGTGGCTACTCTGTACGGAATAGATATCTACCGATCTTCGAAACATAGGACTAATATTCCTCTACAAAGCACTTCATTCAATTTATCATTATCATTTGTAGGTTGAGCTGAAGCTCAGCTCGGCGTTTGGCACGGACAGGGACCTCGGGTCGGAGAATTACTTCTTGTCCCCTATTAAGAAATTCAAATATCTTGCTTTCGGCCGAGCTCGGTATCCCCAACTAGTAGTGGAGACGACCTTGACTCTGATTTCTACGCCATCTAGGTTAGGTACCTAGGTGGCTATACGAACCATAGTTCCCCTGGCAGGTGAGGGGTTTCTTTTTTCCAGCTGCCGCCGCTTTTGTGAGGGCGCTCACGGTCCTGCTTGATAAGTAGATTTCAAGAGTATTCTTCGATATTTAGCGTCCTGGCATTTGCCTTCTTCCTCTTAGAAGTCAAAGAACTAGCCCCTAAGTGAATCACATGACATAGTAGACGACTCGTCGGACTCGACGCTCGCATTCAATGTTGAGAGCTCCTCTGCTGTACACAGGGAGGCCTTAGGCAGATAAACAACAGCTCCTGGTGAGTGGTTCCCGATATAGTCTAGCGTCAAATGATCACACGCGTCGCGAGACCTCGCCTCTAGACACTTTACAGCTTCTTCTACATCCTCGATAACATATCTTCGCAATGAACGCGATCCTACAAAAAGAGGAGACTGAGAACTCTTGGAGAGACAGTTGACTCTTATTATGCAAGACGAGGCGGCTAACAGGGTGGATTGTTGTTATATAAATGGGGATCAGGATGGAAGAGGCTCAGCCGTGCTGAAGCCAGAACACTTCATTTCTCAAGGCTGATTGTATCGCTGGGACTCTCCTACGCATTGTCTTCCAAAGGGAAATTTGCAGGGGGTTGTAATGATTAACGAATGGCTTTCCTGTTGAGGGAGCAGTTTTGGTATCATGAAAGATGGGTTACGCCGTCGCTGATCGAGAATCACCGTCGTCTATTCGCAACAAGACATTCTATCGGCAACTTTGGGCCTCGGCTTTACACTCCTGACTTTTACTGATGTGATGGAGGAAATCAATATTCAATATTTACCTGGACAATCGCCGAACTCGCTTCTTCTTTTGACATGATATTTGCTTTGCAGAACGGCAACATGAAATGCGGAGATGGGCTCTTCGTTTTTTCAATCACAACCCATGAATGTTAACGGCTACGCCCTTCTCGAATAAGGTCCCCAGCAAGTCATAAATGGATATATTTGAACTGCAGCTCAATCGGAATCTAGAGAATATTTCTTGTACGCGGGCAACCAACTACAAATCATCTTCCCACTCTGGTACGTCCAGCTCGCGAACCTGATCCACAATCTTCTTCAGACTTGGAACATTTCTTTCCTTCAAGTTTTGCAATAAGATTGGCTTGATTTCATCACGCAGAATCCCAAGGACACGGTGACGAGCCTCAAAATCGTCACCTCGTCGTATTCTCTCCAACGCCATGCACAAATATCTCCAATCCACGTCCGGGAAGAGCGCAACTTCGTCCATCTCCACGAGATTCCGAGAAGCACGCTGGCGCCAATACCTACTTTCTGCAACGTTGAATGTCCCCAAGGCAAATTCCAATTTTTGAATATCCCTGTATTCCAGGAGATCCAATATCAGATGCAGAAGCTCGACGGGCAAGTTTGAAATTGTCTTGGAATAAGAATGTGTGAAAGGTTGTCGCTTCCGGTCTGCTGCTTCTCTCCTTTTTGTATGTCTACTGTCGCAACTGCGAGCAATGACTTCTTGGACCCTAGTAATCCTAAACGGATCGAATTTCCTTTCTGCGTCCTGGTATTCCCGACAATAGTGTGTGAAAGCAAAATTTCGCAAAACAATGGCGGCAAACAGCTCCAAATTGTTGTTTTCGATAGAATGGCCCAGTTCCCATAGGGCTAACTTCCAACAACCCATGTGTATTGGAAAAGGCAGTTGTCGCCAATCATGATCCCTCTCAAACCAATTATTAGACGACTGAAGGAAAGCGTCTGTATCATATGCTATCGTAAGATGCTCTCTCTCTGCCTTTGTCGCTCTTCTAACAGATCCAATGACAGCCTTGCTGTAATTCTTTACGGCTGCATTTGATTTGGCCCGTGAATCATAGTGTCCTATACCGGATATCACCAGCTTTTTCTCGGCGGGATCGTACCACACTAGATGATGCGTTACTAGGTACTTGCTCATATGTCTGACTCAAACAAAGGCTTGGTAGCACTTACTTAGACGGTACAGAGAAACCCAGTGGTCAATATTCTTATTTTTAAAGTCTTTCGCTTCAAGCTCTCTTGCCTCCATGAAGACTACTCGTCGTTTGCGCTTAAACTTGACCCACTTTTTATCTTCTGTATATATATCGTCCATAAACATTTGTTCTTGTGAGAATCGATAGCCAAGTAGGCCCTGGCAAATTAGACAAAGAGCCATTGTCTTGTTGTAGACGTAGTATCAATTGGAGGACCCCGGCGATTAAATAAGCCCAGTCTCGAAATGGATCCATGGGTCTAGCTTCGCCGAATATGTCATCGTGATATGTCAATATATGTAGGACCTTGGAGCTATTCTTACGAAACTCTGGAATCTTGCCCAATGCTTTCGTAGGTAAGCAGCGGCTATTAAATAAACTAATAAAAATGTCTATCTAATATTTTTATTTACTCATCATCCTTAAACTTCAACCCAGAAGCCTTTCTAATCGCACTATATATCCCCGCAATATCCCCCTTCTCTCCCAAATGTTCCTAGGATATTATATAAGGCTTATTGATCTGATTAGTTATAATGCCTCAGGTTGTGCTTAGTTTTACTTAGTGAGTAAAAGCGGCGAGGGGTTGAACACCAAAATGGAACAGGAAAGCCACGGCGCGTCAGGGAAAATCCGGTATGTACGGAGTAGGTCCTCTGTAGTAGGTAACTACTAACTAGTAACTACCAGTCTACCACACGGAGTATTCGGTAATCCGCCCTCCGTATCTACGGAGGAACTACTCCGTATTTAGTTACGGAGTACTAATTTACTAGTTATCTAGTAACTACTCTGTATCTACTCCGTAGGTGATTATAGCGCGTTCCCGCACTGTGTTCAGCAGGCAAAGGCTGATCCGATCATTGGTTAGCAGGGTGTATCAAATCGACAGGGGTCGAACAAGAACAAAACCCTTGTCAGGAACAGGAACGCATGGGCACTGACCAGACGGAGGACAGACTAACCGATTATTGTCTAGCGGCGCACTGGCAAGTTACAGCCTATTGTGGCCTAGTGCCGCTCAGCGAGGAATGCACATGGCCTCACGTGGAGAGACTCGAGAGCTCAGAGAGGGGCCTCAGTGCCTACGGAGCATTATTGACGCTTTCTTTCTCTCTGGGAAGACCTATCTTCACTCCTCTCGACTCAAGTTTCAGTCAGATCTGTTTCAAGTTCTCATTCAGTCGGCAATTATCGACTTTCAGCCCATTCCTCTACCGAGTAAGCACAATACGATCGCCACTAGCGGACCAGCGGTTCCTCTAGGCCTGCCTCCTTAACCCCTCGCCAACGACTCACCGAATCCAAGGAATTGTGATCGATCAGCTCCTCCACTATCTGGACTCGAAATTTCACTGGCTCCGAGCCCCAGTTCAGCCATGCCACCACTCCCCTCCCATGCCTTTTGGTCTCTTGCATGCCGTGCAATCGTGACGTGATGAGATCGATCCAGTCCGCGCGTTGCCATACGCTGTCCCAGTCTATTGACTGTTTGTTTGTCCCTGGTTGATCGCTCTATAGCAGCTGCGACTATCGTCGTTTTATTAATGCGCGCTGATATATCGACGACAACGAAAACGACGCACCTCCCTCCTCTTCCTCTACTCTTACTTGCTCCACCCCTTGCAAGTGGTTTAATTGAGGCTGGTCGCCCGGGTGTTGTCAGCGCCAACACTGTCTATGATCCCTTACAGCGACATCTCAAACAACACTCTACACCAGCAGCCGCTGCCCGATAAATAAATAAAATTGTCGCTTCGGCCTTGCAGGCGCCCTCTTACCTGTCATTGGGTTCCTTGATTGGTTGTCGGCGCTTCCAGCACTGCTACGCGCTTCGCAAAACCCCCTTCTCATTTTAATTGCATCCGCCTGCGCGCGTACTGGTGCAGAAAAGGCCCGACACTCTGGTTCGCTTCAAGTCTGCTTCATCTTCTCTCCGTCGTTGTTCGCTTTCAATGACCCGGTTGGCAGTCGTCACGCCAGCGAGTCAGTGACCCGTTCCTGAAAGGCACAGCTCATCGTTTTTCAGTTCCAGACCGTTGTTTCGAACTTGACGACGGTCAACAACAGCTGTTATTTTAAGCTCAAGCTCCTTTCTATATATTCGGCTGAGTACGGAGTACTGGACACAGGATATCCGTGTCTTCACAAACCTTCATTCGGCTCTTCCTTCTTTTCAATCTTCGGTGTTTTTTTTCTTTCCCCTTCCCTTTTGTTTCCTGTTTCCTCTTTTCCTTCTTTTACGTATTTTCCCTCGTTCCCTTTCTTTTTCTTTTCCATCGAGTACAATCTTTCCGAGCGCTCTGCATCTGCATTGTGGGTTTCTTTATGCACATTATTGCTCATTATTTGGTGCCCCTTCTCCATATCGTGTGCGAGACGAACTGCAAATATGACGTCGACCACGCTGATCACTTTCCTACTGTAAGTATTTGCGTTTTTAATTTTTACAGGTCTTCTTGCTAACTGTGGTCTAGTTCTGCCCCCCTCAACACGAGATCAGTCACCCTCCTTGGCTCATGGGATAATTTCTCTCGGCCCTATGCCATGGAGCGGGACAAGCGCGTCGGTGCTGGCCACTGGCGCGGCTGCTATACATTTACCGACATCGTTTGCGATGGCTCGCCCAACAATCTCTCGCCGGGACGCACAGGTGGTCTGAAGATGGGGGGCACGTATTGGTATTATGTAAGTCTGCTCCGACGCTTCTAGTTACTTGGAAAGAAGGCGGCTTCTAACCAGGTGGTCCTCAGTATACGTTGGACGATGATATAGAATTTTACAACCATGCTGAGCCGGTGACCACCTTGTGTCCTTTTCTCCCGGGTCAACCGGTGAATGTCCTTCATGTTCCCATTATTCTTCCAGATAGCATTAGCAGTCACAGCCGGGACGGAAGCATGAGTTCGCAACACTCAGACTATCGAACCATGGATCCCGAGGCCAAATACATGAATCCGAGGAAGCCCCCTCGTCCTCAATTAACCCGCCTTCGCACATCTCCGCCACTGATCCAACCGCCAAACCCGCTGTGGTCTTTTAATGCCAGCCCGCTCGGCGTGATTACCAACAAGGGAACCCCCCGGTCACATAGTGCCAACGGCCGTGCTGACCGCCGAGATATCGAGACGGGCCACAGCACTGTCAAGGCTGCGCGGTCGGTCTCGCCTCCCCGATCTAGAGGGTTCAGAGCGGCGTTGCGGTACTTCAATACTTCCACTACAGATATTGACGCGCGAAGCGGCAACAAGGAGCTTGTCGCCGAACCAAGTGTCAAGGACCTCGTTTGCGACCAGCTTCCCCTGCGCCAACCAGACTCGTCCGAAAAGCGCCAGCTCACATCTGTGCCCATTCAGACCCGGCGTGTCCTCAATCCTCGCTCAAGAGATGCCTCGCCGTTGCGGAACTTTTTGACGGTGGAAACCAAACCTAACAGAAAAGACCACCACCACCACCACCACCAACCCCCCGTCCAGGAAGAAAAACCGGTCACGGCGGAGCGTCTGCCACCGACGAAACAATTGGCCCCCCCGAAGTCCTCACCCCCATTCTTCAACACCCCCGTGGAGTTGCCGGCTCTGCACGACCAAACGACCCCCACTGCTGTTAACTGCAAGGAAAAGAGACTCCCAACTCTCCCAAGCACCCCATCATCCGTCATGGATGAGGCCTTGCGAATCATTAATTATGGGAATGACTCTCTGGACATGGAGGTGTTGTGCAGCCATTTCTCCGACTTCACCGTGATCGATGAATCCAGCGCCGAAAGTTCGCCGATAGAGAGAAGCCACTTCTCTGAATGGAGCCTGGACACGGAGGCGATTTCGCCAGAGTCCATGACTTCCTCGTTGATCTTCGACAAAGAAAAGCCTTCCTCCGAGGAGACGGGAACCGACTCGTCCTTTCCGGAAGAAGATCTCGGCCCTGAGACACCTGTCATCCCTACAATGATCTCCCGGCCATCCTCCCCACCCTCAGTCGCGGGCGACTACACCTCTTCCCACTTCCAACCCCTACCGTCCCTCCGTCTCTCCCTCTCCCTGTCGCCGTCTGATCTGCATTTCCCCGGTCTTTCCATCGACGAGTGGGACGTAGCCCCCAGCAACCCGAAACGCCATGCAGCTCTCTTCGATGCGATGCAGGATCTCAACCTGGCCACTCCGCAGCCGTCCACTGTTGTCTTCCCCGACGATGTTCAGCAGGATCTGAGCACGCCGCGCTGCGCCGGCCAGAATCGCTTGAGCGATACCCGCTTTGCCAACTCGGCAGCCATGCAGGAACTGATGGATGAGCTGAGCTATTTGAAGACCATGATCGAATCCGGTGCCAGTGAATTCATCAATTAGATAGATATGTATGATATATGACATACAATTAATTCAATAATAAAAAATAAATATGTACTGAGTACTGTGCTGTAGTTAGTCGTAAGTTGGTTGTACTATGTAGCTAGTAGTAACAGTACTCTGTATGTGGTATTAAAAAAGACGCGCCAAGACTCCTTCCATCAACATTCAATGATCCACTCAACAAGAAACATTCAACTACGACACAAAGTGGCCACTGGCCATTTCCAGAATGGATACATGATACATAAAGTCAGATAAGAAAGAAAAGAAAAGAAAAGGCGAAGAGAAAATGGCAGGACTCGATCATCCCCCGCACCTCACGCCGGTGGGCGAGAAACAGCTCCCCGCCAAATGCAAGCCCGGCACGCTCTCGTACTGTCCGACGATGGACCTGATCGCGCTGGCAACGGAGAACGAGGAGCTGCATGTCTTCCGGCTGAACGGGCAGCGCGTCCTGGGGGGTTCTTTTGAGGGGGATCCGTACCTTGATGATCCTGCGGAGGGGGAGATTCGAACTCTAGCATGGAAGAATAATGGTATTCTCTCTTTCTCTTCTTCTTTCCCTCATAGTGTCTATCTTTAATGCATTTTCTGAATCTTTAGGCCACTCGTTAGCTGTTGCTTGTGGTGATGGAAGCATCCGCATCATCAGCTCATACAGCGGCAAGACGGTCCATCATTACTCTGCCCGAGTGTCGAGTGAACAGAGCTCCCAGCAGGTTACTTGTCTAGGGTGGGGTGTCAATTGCACGGATACGCGATCCGCGCAGCGAGTGCTGCAAGAGGGGAATGGGAATTTTTCGATCGAGGACCTGTTGTCGCCGGACACGCAGCCAGACAAGGCGGCCGCGCTCTTCAGGGCCGATCTGCCTAGAGAACTTGCTCTACTAGACGTGGAGAGTTCGTTGCCGAAATTGAGTACCCTGCCTGGAACGGGGGGGGAGTATGTTTCCCTCGCCCACTGGATTCTATTGTCTACACGTGAAGGTCGAAAAAAGAGAAAAAAAAAGCTGACAATACAGTGACGATGTGTTTAGCTCGAGAGCATCGCTGGATGCGATGTTCCATGCGACGGCGAAAACCAGCGACTCGGTGGATGTCCTCGTCGTGGGGTTTGACGACGGAACCCTTCATCTCCGCATCTTTGACTGTTTCGAGATCGGGTCTCTGCAGATCGGTGCCGCGTGCCGTATCCTGCGGCATGCGTCGCATCCATTCAGCTCGACGCATGCGCTTGTGGCCTCGGTGCCTTCTGTGGTCGGCGCTGGCGGGAATCCCAACCCCTCTCTTCGTCTGATCACGCTGGATCTACGCTTCATCCCGAAATCGGGTCGCTATCTTTCATTGCTGGCCTCCAAGACGACCCAATTGCAGAACCTCCTCCGGTACATCAACCAGGTTCAACGGCAGATCGAGCTCGAATGGAAGAATGCCCAGGAGCTCCCGGTTCGGTACATGCGTAGCGTAAATGAAGACTTGCAGGAAAAGTGCCACTGTGACTTCATTACCGCTGCCTATCATCTCGTGGTCACGGGGGATTGCTTCGAGCCTCTGAAAGAGTTTCTTGTTGATATAGTGGGAGAAAGAGTACGTTCAATTGGTATCATTACAGATTTTCTTAAATCTCTTCTCTAAAAACAAGGAACTAGGGCCACAAGCGATGGGACAAGGCCGTGTCTAGCGGCTACGAAAACGTCCGCCGGTTGACGCATGAATGCTTACTTCCGGCTTTGGAAAGGTGCGAGGTGCTGCTCAGCCGGTTGATCGGCTTGTCCAAGTTCCATAAGCTCAGTGATGTGCTAGGGCTGGACACCGCCAGCCTGAACTGCATTATCGAGACGCTGGACTGCCTTCACCTCCTGGCGCACCAGGTTCTCATATGCACCAACGACGAGCTGGCACAGTTCAGCGCCTTCTCGAGATGGCTGCGACACGAGATCGACGTACAATCTGCAGAACCCATGTCGCAGACGCTGGAGGATTTGCTGGAGAAGACGGACACCATTGAGCACCCACAGACACTCAAGTACATCCGCGGGGCCCTGACAAACAGCGTGCTCCGCAAGTACATCCAGCAGCTGCCGATGATGGGGGTCCCGATGCGGCCGCCGACAGCACCCGGCTCGGCGGACAAGTGGTTGCCTACCGGCCAGGATGGCTCGTTCTACGCGACGTTTAGGACGCTACTCGAACAGAGCCGATCTCAAAAGGCGCAGGTTGAGTTACCGAAGCTGAACGATCTCACAAAACGGCTCGGGATCCAGTTCGACAAGGTCTTTGGCCGGATCGCCTTGACACAGCGGCGAGGCATTCTCCACAAGACGCTTCTGACGCTCCATCCCGATTGCGATGTGAATTCTGTGGATATGATCATGTGCTACGAGGTATTTCATCTCATCCCCCCCCAAAAGAAATAATACTCAAGTGGTATTGACCTGATTAGACCGTTGAAGGCGAACAAGTATGTTCCACTTACGTCGTTGCCAGGTCTCTTGAATCCAAGGAGCTAGGTAGAGTTTCCATTATTTCTTTTCTCTATGAGATAGTGCCTGACTGAGAATAAATAGTGTATATCTACCGAGTGACGCTTGACTCGGTCAACGGTATCACGTCGACCAAGACGACGTCCGTGGCCGCCCTAACGCTCCCGCGGGGAGTTATTCGCCAGGCACAGTTTGTTCAGGACGAGACTCTCAGTCTCCTCTGGGAAGATGGTATAGACTTCCCCCTTCTGTGGAATTTTTATAGATATTTATTTTACTAATTTTCTTAGGTTCTTTGTACCTTCTTAACCTTGCGTTTCAACCCTCACCGACCTGTCCCATCCAATACATGGACCACCATGGATCATCCTTCACCACGGTCCCGCCGACCCCAACTACGCTAGACGTGGCAGAGCACCTGCAACACGCCTTTGCGCCGTCAGGGCCCAAGGCGAGACCGGTGCGCGTGGATATCAACGGGCGGAAGGGTCGGCGGGCAGCCTGTGTGCTCTACGAGATGAGGTATGAAGTGTTGGACATTGATGCAGAGATGGACGATGAAGACGATGAAGATGAAGAGTAATATTCGTAATGAATCATGATTATTATAGACGGTTGGTTCCTATATAAATCAGTCCAGTAGTCCAGTAGTCAGTGTATGCGAATCATCGACAATCAGTCTGTCAGCATCCCCCAGGTAGGGTAGTCATTAGGTAACTAACTAACGCCAGTTACTAGAGCAACCGTGAAAATTAGTGGGAAACTGACCGCAGGTCTTCGCCTCACCTGCAGCCATAGCAGCTCCTCAGTCGTGTCCGATCTACTGGCTCCTTGAACAGTCCTCTGCATCCTCTGTATAACTGTATCCCTCGTAGAAGCATGGACTCGACGCAAGAATTACAACAGAGCAAGGTGGGAGAATCAAGCAGGAGTCAACAGTGAGGGGTGGGATGGAACAACAAAAAGCCCGGGTCGAAAGGGGAATAGCGCCGAGCTCTGGAAAGTTTACGTCTTGGCGCTAAGAAAACAATCGATTTGTATGTGTGTCAGAGAGGGGCAGAATTCTTGGTGAAGGCGTTCGTTCTGGCTGGAGAGAAAAACCCTTGGTAGGGTGTTTTTGATAGTAGAGAAGCACAGTACATAGGTTGTTGAATTTAAGATGAGATCTTCTACAACTATAGGCAATAGCGCCTTGTGGCTGGGACTATTTTTTCCTGGTAACTTAATACCTGAGTGATGACGCAGAGTACCTAGGTAGGACAGGGCTATTCGATGGCATACGGCGGTGATCCGGGGGGTTTCGCCCTAAAGGTGAAAATAAAACTAAATGTGTGGGTTAAAAAAAATGAAAAAAACAATATAACACTTTGTAGAAAGGCATTAATTAAAGAGACAGCCTCTCTAGCTAGGGGCGTACTCTGTAGGTGAGATGCAGTATTGATCCAATATTATTTGCAGTTCACGTGTTCTGCCGGAATGAAGGCGGACGAGAGACTAAACACTGACCCTGCCAGGAACCTCAACCCTCCACGCCTCACAGCACGAATCCATCCACTGCTCCCCTCTCCACTACACTACCACCACCCACTAATAGAATACCTTTTTTTTCCTTCTAGTTTACTTCCTTTTTCCTCTGAGGATTACAAGCCCTCTTTTTCTTTCCATCTGTCTTGCCTTGACTGTCTGGCCGTGTCCCCCAAGGACACCCTTTCCTACCCACGCTTGCCCGACAAGGCTTGTTTAGCAGCGCATGCCTCGTTATATTCCCACGGGTTGCCTGCCGAAATAATTGCTTCTCCTCTCCCCTGCTGTCCTTTCTTCCTTTCCTTTCGCCTCGCTCGCTGTCCGTCAACCACCCTTCCCTTTTTTTTTGTGTCTGGTGGTTGCCGTCTTGTCTGTCTTGTCATCCGCCCTGGTCCCTCTGATTTTCTCGCTTCCGCTGCCCGCTTTCAGCCACAATGAATGTCACGCAGGTGTTGGAAGGCACCCTGTCGCCAGGTGAAAACTTTCCCTTGATAATACACTTGGTTGTGATGGAAAATTTGCTGACTGGTTAGATGCCGCGACTCGTCAGAATTCTGAACAGCAGCTACTCCACGCCGCCGAGGTGGATTTTGTACGTCGTCGTCCCCTCCCCCTCCCCCACCACTGTCTCAGACACGGGCTCTCGCTCTCGCTCTCGCTCTCGCTCTCTCGCTTTTTTGAACACACTGCTGATACTTTCATTCCCAGGCTGGATACCTTACTACCCTGGGTCAAGAGTTGGCAAACGAGAGCACACCCACCCATATTCGGACAGCGGCCGGTATCGCGCTGAAAAACGCCTTCACCTTTCGCGATGTCGCCAGGTTGCGTGAGGTCCAGGCACGATGGGTGTCGCAGATCAACCAGGAGGTCAAGAACCAGGTCAAGGAGCTTGCGCTCAAGACCCTCGGCTCCAAGGACTCCCGCGCCGGCCAGTCGGCCGCCCAGTTCATCGTCTCCATCGCCGCCATCGAGCTGCCCCGGAACGAATGGACAGAGCTGATGAACACCCTCGTCCAGAACGTCGCCACAGGCTCTGACCAGCTCAAGCAGGCCTCCTTGGTTACCATTGGTTTCATCTGCGAGTCCACCGACCCGGAGCTGCGTGACAGCCTGATCGCTCACTCGAATGCCATCCTTACCGCCGTCGTCCAGGGCGCCCGCCGCGAGGAGTCCAACATGGACGTTCGTAATGCTGCCATCACCGCTCTCAGCGATTCGATCGATTTCGTCCGCTCGAATATGGAGAACGAGGGCGAGCGCAACTACATCATGCAGGTCGTCTGTGAGGCCACTCAGGCCGAAGACAACCGCGTCCAGGCCGGTGCCTTTGGCTGCCTCAACCGTATCATGGGCTCCTACTATGACAAGATGCGTTTCTACATGGAGAAGGCCCTGTTTGGCCTGAGCATTATGGGCATGAAGAGTGAGGAGGAGGATGTCGCCAAGCTGGCCATCGAATTCTGGTGTACTGTCTGCGAAGAGGAAATCGCCATCGAAGATGACAATGCTGCTGTATGTTGGCCTCTTTTTGGCGTAGCCATCCAAAAACCCCACTCTTGCCTTCCATTTTCCCTTTCCGCTAACTCTTTCTTCTAGGCTCAAGCTGAAGGTTCAACCGAGATGCGGCCGTTCTTTGGCTTTGCCCGTGTCGCCTGCAGGGAGGTTCTTCCCGTGCTCCTGCTCGCCATGTGCAAGCAGGACGAGGACGCCACAGATGACGAGTACAACGTATCGCGCGCCGCCTATCAGGCTCTCCAGCTCTACGCGCAGTGCGTCCAGGGCGATGTCATCGCCCCCGTGTTGGCATTTGTCGAGGAGAACATCCGCAACGAGGACTGGCGCCGTCGTGATGCCGCTGTCGCCGCCTTCGGTGCCATCATGGATGGCCCTGATCCCAAGGTTCTCGAACCTTTGATCAAGCAAGCGCTCCCCGTCCTCGTGGGCATGATGGAAGACAGCTCGGTCCAGGTCAGAGACTCGGCGGCGTACGCCTTGGGTCGTGTATGCGACTACTGCTCCGAGACCCTCGACCCGGATGTTCACCTGCAGCCTCTTATTTCTTGTCTCTTCAACGGACTTGCTAGCACCCCCAAGATTGCCAGCTCCTGCTGCTGGGCTCTCATGAATGTTGCCGATCGTTTTGCCGGTGAACCCGGCGCTCAGACAAACCCCTTGTCTAAGCACTTTGAGGACAGTGTGAAGTCCCTTCTTACGGTCACAGAGAGGTGGGCTTGAACAGTATCGATCTTTGAAAATGTATATGTCCGCTAACTTCCTTTTCCAGACAAGACGCGGATAATCAGCTCCGTACTGCCGGCTATGAGGTTCTCAACTCCTTCGTCATCAACGCTGCCAATGATAGTCTTCCCCTGGTCGCCAACCTGTCCGACGTGATTCTTCAGCGCCTTGAACAGACCATTCCCATGCAACAGCAGGTTGTCAGTGTGGAGGACCGCATCACCCTCGAGGAGATGCAGACTAGCCTGACCAGCGTCTTGTTGGTAAGTCTTCCCATGATTTCTTTCTCGACCGTCGGTGGTTGCTTTGGACCGATCATCTAATTTTCTACTACCAGGCAATCGTTCAACGGTTGGAGGTCGATATTAAGCCCCAGGCGGATCGGATCATGCACGTCTTGCTGCAGAACCTTTCCACCGTCCCCCCCAAGTCAAGCGTGCCTGATGCAATCTTCGCCACCGTTGGTGCCATCTCCAGTGCGCTCGAGGATGAGTTTGTCAAGTATATGGAATCATTTTCTCCCTTCCTGTACAATGCTCTCGGAAACCAGGAGGAGCCCGGTCTCTGCGCCATGGCCATTGGTCTGGTCAGCGACATTGCCCGTGCACTGAACGAGAAGGTCCAGCCGTACTGTGATACCTTTATGAACTATCTCCTCAACACCCTCAAGGTAATACGCAGTCTTTTTTTCTTTTCTTTTCTTTTCTTTTTTTTACGCATCTCCTAGATTGGTCAGTTTGCTTACATCGTCAACGCATAGGGGTCAACCAACCAACTCAAGCCTGCCATTCTTGAGACTTTCGGAGATATCGCTCAAGCCATTGGTACACAGTTTGATACTTATCTGTCAGTTGTGGGCCAGGTGCTCCAGCAAGCTTCGACTGTCACTGCCAGCGCCGACGTGCCGTTAGAGATGCTCGATTACATCCTCTCTCTCCGTGAGGGTATCATGGATGCCTGGGGTGGTATTCTTATCGCCTATAAGGGCAAGCCCCAGAGTGAGTCCTCTTTCCTACTTTGGCACTTCTTACTAGAACCAGTCAACTAATTCATTTTTTTAATTAGTCACACAACTCTCGCCGTTCATCGAGTCCATCTTCCAGCTCCTGCATCTCATTTCTCAAGATCCTAACCGGAGTGAGGGCCTGATGAGAGCATCAATGGGTGTTCTTGGGTATGTTTTTGAAGTAGATTTCCCACTATAAGGAACAACCCAATGCTAATAGTCACCAGTGATCTTGCCGATGCCTTCCCCAACGGTGAATTTGCCGCTTTCTTCCGCAACGACTGGGTGACCTCGCTTGTCCGGGAGACGAGACAAAACCGTGACTATAGCCCTCGTACCATCGACACAGCCCGGTGGACCCGCGAGCAAGTGAAACGCCAGATCAATTTGGCCACTGCCGCTGCAATGGCTTAAGTTATCTTGCAGTATCTTAACACGTTGCCATAATCCCAACCCTCTCCTCCCCCACCCCAACCCCTGATCTCGTCTTCCCAGACCGGCTTTCCTGCAGCAAGGTCCCCAGCCATCAGTGGTCCCGAAGGAAAAGTAACCCCATGAGGGTGTTGTCTTATCCTTGTTGAAGTGAGGCATCTCACCTCATTCAGGGATCCCTCGACAGATACAGATTCCACCTGAACATTTCTCCAATCTGCATCTCCGTTGAGTTTTGCAATTGCCGGGCCACAGCGGAATTGAGCTCTCCGCTGCGTCTGCACTCACCCCCATCGCAAGCATCGTATAGCACACAAGCTTCTTTTGACCCTTCATCATCATCCATCCCTTTCTTTCAGGCATCGCCTAGGCTTAGCTCCCCTAGTTTCGGATATCTTTTGCTTCGCCCCCTGTTTTCTTCTTCTTTTCCTTTTCAACCCCCTTCCGAATGAGATGCCCTTCACACCCCAATTTCTTTATTTCTTTTTTTTTCTCTTCCCCTTCATTTCGCCCCTATTATTACTACCATTATTTGTTCCGTGTGATTGGCCACGGTACTAATTTAGACAAAGACCCGGATTCGCGTTAGCATAGCCTTACTGTCATGTATGCCCAAGAAGTCATGTATCCCCGTCGAGGGAAAAAATTGTTGTCATGAAATCATCATCGTCCTCATCATCTTCCGTCCTTGCTCCTCCCGTGTAATCCTCTACCACCACGCAAAACCAATCAGAAATGACCCCTTGTATAAAAGACAATGATACTCGTATACACTGTGCGATACCGGTCCTTGTTCAGGGGAGTGGAGTTGTAATGTCAATGTCTGATTTTGTTTAAACGTGGTAATTTGAATGCCTGATAAAAAGGGTATTGATATTGAAGTAGCTATCTCCACGTGACAGTGGAAGAAATTAGGGCAAACCCCAGCTGCACACACTACATCCGAACAGGACTAGCGCCTCGCCAAACATTTTCGTTCCCGACGATATTAACTCTCCAGCAGAAAAACGCATCGCTGCCGACAACCTAGCTCTCCGGAAATCGTCGAGGTATGTATGCTATGCGTTTTCTTCTTCGGGTTCTGAAGCCTCACAGCTAGCCTGGGAGAGCAATCATTCTTGCCTGAGATTCAACTTACTTTTCTTGAAATAAAAGGGGGCGAGTTGTTTGTTTTCTCTGGGCAGGATGATACGCTTCTCTCATCGCGGCCGGGCTGAAGAACCTTTCTGTCATGAAGGGCACTCTTTACGCTCGCAGGCTACTGGTGGCTGACTTTTTTTCATCTCCCTTTGCTATTACCATGATCTCGTCCAGAGGTTAGTGTGTAATAGTGATTGGACGAATTTGATTTTTAGATACCTCATTTCTTTGCAATCAGCCAAAGTTTCGATCTGAGAATCTCGATCCGCCGCCAAAATGGTCAAGACCTCCGTCCTCAACGATGCGCTTAACGCCATCAACAACGCCGAGAAGTCCGGCAAGCGCCAGGTCATGATCCGCCCTTCTTCCAAGGTCATTGTCAAGTTCCTCAGCGTCATGCAGAAGCACGGTATGTATATCTGGACAACAACTATATCTTCTTTTATTTTCTGCGCCCTTTGGAATAGTTCTGGAACATGGTGATCTCGCGTGGTGTATTGTTCGGGTTGATAACTAGGCGGCGCTCCGATTCTTCACACGGACGTCCGCCCTTTAAGTACCCGATATATTGATGGGATATTTTTGTTCCACGCGAAGATCTTACATGTTTCCGGAACTATTTCATTTTCTCGGTGTTTGGCGACTTTTAAATCTTCGCAACATGCTGACATTCTTTCTTTTTAGGCTACATTGGCGAGTTCGAGGAGGTCGATGACCACCGCTCCGGCAAGATCGTCATCCAGCTGAACGGCCGGTACGTCAAGAACATAAGTTGGGAAATCTCTGAGGAAGGAAATTCAAACTAACGAATACAGCCTCAACAAGTGCGGTGTCATCAACCCCCGCTACCCCGTCCAGCTCCGTGACCTCGAGAAGTGGACCGTCCAGCTCCTTCCTTCTCGTCAGTTCGGCTTCGTCGTCCTGACCACCTCCGCTGGTATCATGGACCACGAGGAGGCCCGTCGCAAGCACGTCTCCGGCAAGCTCCTTGGCTTCTTCTACTAGACAAAGATTTTGTCTCGGGTCACCAAAAATTCTTAGCGAGAAAAAAAAAGTTTTTGTTTCTGCAGCGGAATAGCGATGATTTGGTCAGGGATTCATGAGCGAGGATGGGATTTTTCTTGATTTTCTGTGTTCTTTCTCACAGCAGAAAAGTCTTGCGATGATGCATTACGGATTATACCCCCCTTTGGCAACCTATGTATGTCATAGATAGTCTACAGAGCGAAGTACTTACTCTATCTCCGAGCCAAATCATGCTTTCCGTTCTGGTTACTATTCATTCCTCGTATCAGACAACTTGTTCTGTGTATGTAGTCCGTGTCCCCTTGTAGGTTTGTCGAAAGATGCCTTAGTCAAAGGTAGGTTGCCTGCTGGGCCATCCTACAGACCCTTTTCGCCTTTTATTTCTCCAGACAGACTGATCATAGCGTTCCAGGCATTGGAAACCCCCAGTCAGACGTTTACCCCGTGGATGGCCGCCCCAGTGGTTTTTATGTACATCTGCTGTGATATCTATTTGTCTCCCATCCTGAGCACGAATCTCGCCACTCATGTTCGACTGGTATCGGAATGGTCTAGCACATCAGCTGTATAAACAGCCTTCATATCCTTGAGCCTCCGCTATTTACCAAATATATATATCTTTCAACTCCGGGAACCTGGCTTCGTTCATTGATAGATATTAACGCAGAGACTCGTTTACAATGAGGCTGAGATATACTGATTATAACTGGTGGCATGCACAAGGCTGAATCAGCCTGATGTGCCTGCAAGGCTTGTTGAAACATCCACCCATCCTGACTTCCCTCATCATTCCTTCTATCTTCGCTTTCCCTTGACGCACGTCTTTCAAATGGAATATCACTCGGCCTTTTGATAAACGAGATAACTTATACAGTTTTCTTTGGGTGAATTCACACACGATGGAAGACCAAGGTTTCGAAGGGAAATCCCCGGATCCCAACAAGATGGACTTGCAATCCACAGACCGATCTGCACGCCAAAATATTGACAATTACTTCCCGACATTTGAATTCTCTTACCCCGAATACACGTTCACTCAGACAGACCTTTCTCATGATTCCGCTATTCAAGTAGAGCCTTGTGAACCGGCTCCCAAGGTGAGCATAGGACATATTATCCTGGTGTTTCTATGCCTGACACACTCAGCCATTCCCAGGTTTTCCACCAGGTCAATCGAGAGATCCTACAGACTCAGAGTCTCTACTACAATACCACTTGGACGGTTTAGCTACGGCACTCGCCAAGGCAGAGCCCAAACATCTCCCAGCCATTAGGTCCTCATTGATCTCTCTGCTTGCCCAGGTCGAAGAGAAGCAGCCACAGAATAACATATCTCATCTAATGCCATTCCTCCCGCCTCCAGAACGAGAGATATCCTCAAATCCATCTATACATACCTACATTTGTAGGCTATGTCAAACAGGGACACAGAAGCAGTTCAGAACACTGGGAGCATTTAAACGGCACATAAGCACAGCCCATTTCCCGAAATATGAATTTAACTGTCCATATGACTGTGGGTGGTGTACCATCCGGAAGGATAAGCTAAATGATCATATACGGTCAGTACATCGTGCAACCAAGCGTATTGACCTGCAAGTTATGCAAAAAAACGGAAAATTGCTACCACCTCCTGGAAGATGCAGCATCTGCAGCAAAGAGGTTGGATCCTGGAAAGAATTTCTACATTGTGTCGCCGAACACTGTCGGGTTCCTATAGACAATGGCCCTCAGCCTTTGGTGGAAAAGACTACAGAAAGGCACAGTATGCCAAAGCCCTTCTCTCTCCCTGAAGAAATTGACTTCACCGATTCCGGATATGGATCTGTTGTGAATCAATTCAAAGTGCAAGCTTCTCAAGCTGAATCAAACATTCAACGGAGTGTTGATGCTGAAACCATCTATTCCGGTGGCTCGAGCCTTTCTGGAACAGTGAAGGGAGATTACATCTCTGAACTTGTCGGAGAGTTGTACAAAGTGGTTGAACCGTTACAAGCCGATGCCAAAACCCTTGAACGCCTTGTGTCTGCACTTCCTGAGCTTTTGAAGAGCTTTGCGCTGAGCCTGGGCGGGCCTTCTTCAACACAGAAACATCGAGACGTGATGGTCTTTATTCACAAGCACAGATAGTAAGTCCATAAAACTTGATTTATGCTGTTCTCAAGGCTTATGGATAGTGAAATTACTACAGAAGCCATGGATCAGTTATGTGAAAAGACCGACCAAGACGAAGAGGCAATGATCTCTCGATATAAGGGGAAATTACCCTTAAATGATATCATGTCCCTCTGGTATGAAAAAGGGTATCAGGAGGAGCAGGAACCCAACTCCGAGCACTGGGAAGAAGGGCTTTCTGCTTTACCGGATATACCCAATCCAGCGGATGACCCTGAAGCAGTCGAAATGCCCCCATGATGTCCGTCTTGGGGATATCGTCGTGAGCACACCTACCCGGGACAAGTCCGGGGTTCTTCCCTATGATATGGTGAAGACCCTGCAGTCTGGAGTCTTTCAGTTGAATGGATGTCTATCTCCTCCTCCTCGAGAATTGACATCTGCCATCAGCGAATTACGATCCGACCCGAAATTCTCTCCAGCCCTTATCCAAAAATACCTGCATGAGATTGCAACCTATCCTGGACAAGAAAGGGATATTCTCTTTGTAGCTGATTATGTTCATAATGACCATGGTCCTTGCGACACCTCATTTAGAGTGCAAAGGAACCCCCGACCCTCCAATGATCCTGTGATTCATTATGGCTTGATAGCATCTGGCAACCAGCTCATGCGATGCGCGAGAACCAGAGACCGACTAAGCGCAACGGACGAGGTGCTCTGCTTTGAAATGGAGGCTGCAGGAGTCATGAATACATTCCAATGTCTGGTCATTCGGGGGATCTGCGACTACGCTGATTCGCATAAGAATAAGACCTGGCAGAAATACGCGGCCGCGTCGGCGGCTGCCTTTGCAAAGGTTCTCCTCTTGCGGCTGCCGAAATGCGGCAATGAAGTGATTTCCCTGGGTAAAAGAAGATTGGGAGCAATTCCTAGAGAAGACAGTCCATGGAAGAGACATCAACTGGATAGAAGGGCTTGATGAAATCTTCCATGCTTAATGGAAACTATTAGGTATGTTTTATCAATCTACGTACTATATACTCTTTCCTATTCACTTAGCTTGAAATTAAGGCCTCGATATTGAATGAAAAGAAAGCATAGCTATCGGGTGAAGAATTACTCCAAGTGGCTAGAACTACAGAAAAAGCTGATATCTGAAGAGCCAGTGATGTAATGCTGAAAAAGCACATGGATCTTGACCTCATCCTTGATGACTCCAAGCCTAGCTTCGCCGAGGAGGGAGTTCAGGAAGGGACTGCCCGTTATCCATGAATGGGCCAGGCAGGTGAAATCGAACCCGTCAGCTCAACAGAGAGTGGAAGATATCTCAGATGAAAGTACCGAATACCTATTTTAGCATGAAAATATCGCTATATAAATAGGTGAGTAGTGCTATTTCTCTGTGTGAAACGCAAGGATCGAATTTTCAGTGCTCTCTAATCACCCATAAGATAGTTTGTTGGCTCCCAGAAAATAGACATTGGCTAGACAGCTATCAACCTCCAGCTGTAGCAAAATTTGGAAACAAAAGGAGAGACCCCGGAAACCACTCCCAAAGATCGGATCATTCATAATTAATGATGGGTTTCCTTTTACCTGAAGATTGTCCTCCCACTTTGGATCCGGGACATGGAGAACAGATATTCATTCCACAGTGAACTCATTTGTGGTAGACACTTTACCCACCGCGAAAACTGACTTTGCTGTCGACCAAATGTCATAATCCACCTGGGGAGGCTCTTCAGATGTTGCGAAATCATACACGTATAACTTTCCCGATGTCGAACTCATCCTTTGATCCCTTCGAATCAGTCCACGGAAGTACATACCCCCGTTGATTTGCCACGACTCGTATTCCCTGATTGATAAACTCCGTGGTATAGTGTGTGTGCCCAAAAACCCAAACTTTGACACCACTCAATGTTGAGATCTGCGAGAGTATATCAGTTGCAAAGGCAGAGCTCCAGGGTTTGTCTGCGTGTTGCGGACTGGATGTGCCCTGGAGGGACGGGGCGTGGTGTGTCACTACTAGTATAGATTGCTTTTTATTCTGTGTCTTGCTTTTGCTTTGTATTGACCTCATTTCGCTCAGCAGCCAGGTAAGGTCTGCCTTATGAGATTCATTATGATCGTTAACAGTCCAGTTTTGATTTTTTTTGAAGTCTTGTATCTTCGACCCGACAACGTCCTTTGCTTTGTCTGGAATACTAGACCAAAGCGTACATCCAAGGATAGTAATATGGGATCCTGGTATGTCGTAGCGTCCCTGGTGGAGGAGGACGAGGCGCCCATTTGAAGAAGGTTCTTGCTCAAGTTGCCTAGCCCTCTGTATTCCTGCAGTAAAGGTGTCATTATAGAACTCATGATTACCGAGGATCAGAAAGACAAGCTGAAATCGGTCTGTTTGCTTTTGTAAGAAACAGCGATAGTTGTCGTAATCCACTAATCGCCCAATATCACCGGCGAGGATGAGATGTTTAGCGCGTACGGGAATCTCGAAAGATAGGTATTGTTGATTGATCTCAAGGTGCAGGTCAGAGAGAACTTGAAAAGAGGCGGTAAATTTACCGAAGATCGCGAGTATTTTCTCGAGCATGATGTCTAACGATCCCTAATTCTTTGAGTCGTCGGAAAAAGGGGTGTTTTAAGCACTGTGCCAAGACCTCACTAATGCCATATGGAATACTGGATGTTTTATTTAAAGCAAAAGTTGACCACTATCCCAGAAGCCCTTCTTACAGTTGATAGGATCTCGAATTTTGTGTTCTGGAGACTTCACTACGTGAGGATATCTCCACAGTCTGTTCGAGTGGCGGGTTTGAACGTGTGGAAAGAGTAGAGGAAGACAGGGTCAGCTTGTTGCAGGGAGAATCTTTACTACTATTTAAAGCACTTTCAAGTTACTATACCATTTGCATTGACAGACAAAAAATTGCACTATAGAAAGCCTTTAGATATAGTTTAGCTCCCGCCCTATAAAACCCTGTGTGCCTGAGGCAGCAGCACCGGCCGTCACCATGTCTTCATCAATTCACATCACTTCCCCCTGCCCAATCTTTTCACCATTCTCAACTCTTCATGAAGAAATGCACACCTCTGATACTCCGTTTCTGTCCGGCCTTGAAGGTACCGAGGTCATCACAGATGCGAAGCCGCCCCTTCTCTTGCCCTCGCAGACCTGGGTCATCACTGAGAAGCTCTCTGAGCGTGCCAATCATCTAACTCAGGAAGAAATCAACGAGGGTCTCGGGACTGCTGCATGCACAGCCGCCAAATTTCTCTGCTATCGCGTCGGTGATCCTGCCAAGGAGCCGGTGTTCATGCGCATGTACCTTCAGATCCCCGTCATCGGCACCGAGTTCTCCAATGCGCGAGTTCGGGCGAAACAGGCCGCACCACCCCTCTCATATCCTGAATTGACGGCATTGAAAGCGCTAAAAAAGGTGGGCTGCGATGTGGTCCCTGACCTTCTTGGCTACCAAGAGGGAAAGCAGGACGATGACGGGATTGTTCCGGGGGGGTTCGTGACATATGTGGTATGGGAGAAAGTTCCGGGGGAATCGTTGACGCAGGAGAAGTTCTGGAACATGGAGCTTTTCTTGCGAGATGCTGTTCGTAAGGAGTTTCGCGGGGTCTACTCGTAAGTTTTCCAGACTTTGTTGTGTTGAATACAGTATTAACTGGCCAAGGAAGCTTGTACAATGTGGTTTCGAGCCGCGGATGGCCACATTGTCGAAACTAATCTATGATGAGGCGAGCGGGAAGATGCACATCTCTGGTTTCCGCGCTGCTTGTACTACGGACAAGGATAAGGAATGGTCTGACGTCAACTACGTGGTGTACAGGCTGGCCAAGCCATCTTCCAAGATCGACTGGTACCTTGATACCAATGGGTGGACGTGGTAAGGGGACTATGATTGGATATAAGTCCCTAGATCTATACTATAGGAATTGAAAATATTTTCCTTATTGCTACCTTCCAGCAGACCAGGACCCCTCCTGCCTTGAGCCGTTCAAAGACAACTGCGACGTCTGACATCCGTTCCATCATTATTTCCCCTGCCCGTGAGATTGCCGAGCCGAATGAGGTCGAAAAAAGGAAGGTTGCTGCTGGCATCGGAGTAGCGATTCAGGTCGCTGTGGGTGGCACAGCAGAAGTTACCTAGGTGGGAGGAAGAAATTCAAGATTTCCCATTGTGGCCACCCTTGATGATTTTGTATGTTTAGTGATAAAGAACTCTAACTCACTCCTCGTCTCTGTGTGTTATTGAACACTGGCCCCTGAGCACTCGCAAGACTAGCAATGTATAGGAAGCATTGCTTCGCCGAAACCGTCGGCGAGGTGAGTAAATCCGTAGGGTTAGATTTAATATACGAGGTGGATGCTTCAATCAAACGAGGTACAGGGAGGCTCTGAATCTCGCCCCGGGAGACCAAGTCCAGTATCTGCTTGCTGCAGGTAGTGGATAGTCTCTCGTCCTTTGGTACAAGGTTTTGGTGCAAAGGAGAAAAACCAAAGTAGGAATTCCTGAAAAGAAGCAATCGAAGACCTTTATTTGGCGTCTCAAACGTAGGAAATCCTCTTTTGTATTCCGTGAATAGATCATACTCTCTTTTCTCCTTCCACTCCTTCCAGTCACTTTTCTAGCTTAGTCTATTAATCCTTGCTCTCCCAACAATGAAGTACTTGTGTGTGCTGCTATCAATATGCAAGCCATTTTGACGGCATTCGTAAGTACCACCACCAGTCCGACCACCGGGCTGAACGAGAGCTGACAGTGACCCGTGGCAGGCAGACGGAATCTTCCCGCGTCGGCGAATATCCTCATCACTTTTGGGAGTGTGGCCTACCAACGGCAAAAGCCAAGAAAGCTCTATATCTAGAACTCCCAATTTTGCGGATCTCCATCCCAATCTGGGTCCGACAGCATGCGCCGAAGCCTCGGTGTCTTGACTAGATTGAATGTGACGAATGCCTTGGGAGTCCACCTATCTGAAGGATGTATCCCACATCTCCAAAATCCAACAAAGTAGCTGATCAAGATATTAGCATAGACATGAATACAGCCGGTGGTTGTATGATAGGTAGATAGACACGTACAGCCGCTGCGTCTCCCTATCCCAGACAAGATTTTTTGCTCTGCCAAATTCGATAAGATAGCCATATTCTAGAAGTGTCTTATAGCCATCCTCAAATGCAGAACGAACTGCATCACGCTCCGAACGGGGTAGAGTCCAGAATATATCACCACCAAAGTCATCTCCGAGCCGGATTCCTGGCACAATCTCCCAGACTACCCATATGATGAACCCGCCAGGCACCGGTCTAGATTCATCCTGCTGGCTTGAACGCCAGTCAAGAAGGCGCGGAGTATACCGCACACCTCCTTCGGTGAATTTCTGTAGTGCAGTCAACTCAGAAGGGGTGTAAGTCGTAGCTTGCTGGGAGCGGTCTATCGGATCCTCGCCTTCAGTATTGAGCATTGGGGTTTGGAGGTAGATCCGCATAAATGCAGACGCTTGTGTTTCACGACTCTGGGAGGGGCGGCAGAGAAGTAGTGCATAGCCGTAGCAGGGTTCAATGCTGATGCGCAGGTCCTCCTCGTCCGCTGAGAGATCCTGTCGGTCCACCTCTTCGACAATTGTCCATTCAGTCTGGTTGAGTTGGACTCGAGCACCTGGCGCTGTCAAACGCCGACTGAACCAGTTGGCCATGTAAGATGAATATAGATGAGATAGATGAAATAGATGAGATAGAGGAGATAGAGGAGATAGAGGAGATAGAGGAAGAAAGAGGAAGGTGTTGATAAAGTGGATAATGATGAAGGTGTTACCTCATCTAGTAGAAGCCGTGCTTACCACCACTAAGCAATTCCCCAGACTTATTATCTTTAATTCCTTTCCTGCTCTTACTCTTACTCTACTATAGAAAAAGTGAGAGACTAAGAGTAATAGGGATGAACTATATATTCCCTCATCTATGTATTTAAATAGACTTTATTCAAGAAATACTAAAGAAAGAGAAATTAGTAGTAAGGATTTTTCTACTTACCTGTACTATTATTATAATTCTTCTGCCATTTTTTCTTATTCTACTACTCCATTCTATCTTTTAGATACTACTTAAATTGATGCCTTGCCAAGTTCCTCGTATTTAATCCCAGCTGCTTCTGCCATATCGACCTGTAAGCACTGCAAACACTGCAAACTGCTTCAATAATCTATATAAAACCACCCCGCGTCTTTAGAAGAGTACGTATACATACTCCTAGTATTTTCATCACAGCCAAGTATCCAGTAGCTATCTACTAGTCATGGATCTCTTCGCACATGAAATCGGACACGGCCTCCCCGTCCTAATAATCCACGGATGGCAAATGAACAGCCAAGTCGAAGAAATGGACTTTGAGCCAATCTTCAGCACAACAACCGGTCTTCGCCGTATTTACGTGGACCTCCCCGGCCACGGGAGAACAGCAGCGCTCAACATCAAAAATCTAGACGATATCTACGCCCGCCTGGTGGAATTCATTGATCGTCGACTTGGAACAGAGCGATTTCTCCTCGTCGGCTCGTCGTGTGGCGCATACCTTGCTCGTGCGATCGCTGTGAGATATATCCGCCAAGTCGACGGGTTATTACTACGTGTGCCTGTGGTCCATCCGAACAATAGTTTTCGCGATCTCGATCCCTTCCAACCGCTAGTGCTTGCCAATGAGCAACCGGTGCCGGCTGGTCTTGGGAACGTCCTCATCCAAACGCCCGCGTATATTGATGCTTTGAAGAGGAAATACGAGGTGTACATTGCTGCAGAGAGGCAAGCGGACAATACAGTGTTAGATCCGATCAGAGTAGATCCAGATCGGTACAAGTTGAATGTCTCCTCCTTGGACGACAAGGTTCTAGCACCCACGCTCGTTGTGTGTGGTCGGCAGGACGAAGACGTAGGCTACCGAGACAGTCTGCGCCTGCTGGAGGTGTATCCGCGGTCGACGTTTGTGGCGCTGGACCGGGGGACTCATGGGCTGCCGGTTGATGAAACGGGGCTTTTTGAGGCGTTGGTGAAGGACTGGATAGCGAGGGTGGACGAGTGGCGTGGACTTGGCCGTGATGCGTAGATACAGTCTACGACTATCTTGCTTAAAATTGGTCCTTCTAGACCTAAAAGCGAGGTCATTGGTTATGTCATACTTATATAAGTGAAAACATGCAAATATTCTCTTCATAAGCATGATGTTTTCATACCTACTATAAGCCAGATTACTAAGGCGAGCGTTAGGCTCTCTCCTCTTCTTGAATATCTACTTATTCAAAAATGATAAAACGCAAGCAACCGCTCAGGGGCGCTGCAAAGACTGCCCATGAAGCCAAGATAGCCCGCCTCGCGGGAGATGGCCACGATCCTATCACCACTGAACTAGATGCGCTCGCTGCCGCTGGAGCTGCTACCTACGGAACCCTGGATGAAGCGATTGCACGAGCCAAGGCGTACCACCAGCAGAATGAACAAGATCATACAACAGCCATTCTCCTAGGATGTCTAGACGGATTTACTGGCGAATGCCAGGAGAACTTGATCCGCGATGTACTTGGACGTGACGACGAGGGGCTTCAGATCCTCGCGCAGGGGATCAACGAGTATATTTTCTTTCGGTGTAAGTAGTGTGCTTTGATCAGTTTCTTCTGTTTTATGCTGAATAAACATCTTTATTCCAGTGAAGGCCACCGGGGCCAGAACCCCTACCGCCTCTGAGTTCTCCTCAAGCTGTGGAAATGAACCGGACTTAGGGAGGAATATCAAGATAGGAACAGACCAGGGAAAGCTGAAGGCGACCTGTCTGTCGCGCGACAACACTCGGTGTCTGATCACCGGGATGTATGATGCAGATGAGGCCCAACAGCTCTCTGCCGAGGAGTATGAACAGGTGTTGACGATCCGGACGCAATGCGCCCATATAATCCCCTATTTTGCAGCCCCGGCGAGTTCCAAGGGAAGTACCTTGCTTAAGATATTCTCTCGGTATATACTGACTCGAAAAGGTGCAGCGATCGGCGAAAAAGCTGGGCGTTTCTGTACCGTTACTTCCCGCGGTTGGAGGAGATTGTGGACGTTCGATGCGCCGGGGCAATCAACACCCCACGAAACGCGATGACGATGGCCTCATTTCTTCATACGGAATTCGGCAAATCACTACTGGCGCTGCAGGCAACTGGCGTTCGTGCTCTTCATGGCTTCGTATCCAGAGCTTCATGTCCATGGCTTTTAAAGCTAATCCTATTTGCAGGTAGAGAATCAGTACCGGCTGAAGACCTTCCCTCGCTTTCCGAGAGGGCTCAATACATTCCTACCAGCCAGCCGCATGGTGCAGTTTTACTCGCACAATTGGATAGATGTTCCAGACCCTTTGCTGCTTGAGATTCATCTCACCATCTCCAATATTCTTCACGCCACGGGCATGGGACGGATCATTGACCTCACCTTAGAGGAGATGGAAGCCTCTGGGGTCGATCCCCTGGGGTGCTGGGAGCTGGAATCAAGAATCGGCCAGTGGCTCTGCGGTTGTGCCGAATTCCTAGCTCAGGGCTGCAATAATCCATAAGATGATAGATATAGTACTGGTTAGAGAGTGAACCGTCTGCATTATTTCCCCTAATATGATGATTGAATATTATTTGACCAAGGTACGGTTATAGTCTAAAGGCCAAGGATACTTTATTTCCAATAACAGTATCAGCATATCTACTCAAAATTTGATAATATAAACAAGTATAAATATAAAAAAGACTGCAGAGATTTGCGGGGTGATGCCTGGAGGCGCCGGGTGAGTTCAGTATGGATAAAGGGAGTTACTAGCTTAAGACCTACTAGTTCTATATCTTTAATTCCACTTGCTTATATGTTCTTGACATATGCACATGGCTACTCTGAAGTACGTACTTGGTACTCTGTAGTTACTCCATTCTCCCTACGGAACATTTCCCTTTTCTTTTCTTCACGGCGTGGCTTCTTCCCTGGCTCTCAGCATGATAGCCAGGATGATTTCCAAGAACGCCCTATGCACAAGCCAGTCAGTCATATGCAAGCAGTTAGGGGCAAGCAGTTGTAGACAAAAGACACACCGGTTTGACTTCGGTCCAACTGGTGGCTTGGCCATGAGCCAAGCCACCGTCTCCGCTGCCTCTTGCATCGAGACAGCGGGCTCGTGGCTTTCACGCGCGCCAGCCTTGGCCTCAAGGAGAATGCTAGTTTGGCCGGAGAGTCCAACCCAAAAATAACCATCGACCTGGGCCTCCATCGTGGCCCTTCTAAAGTTGGCAAAGAAAGGCGCACGGTGAGGACTCCAGACCGCCGGGCTGGATACATGCTCGAGACTAATGGCCGTGAGCAGGGATAGAGCGGCCGAGTTGACAGAGTCTTCGTTTATTCCGTCATGAAGTCGGGTCTCGCGGGGCTTAGGGCTGGCCTGGGGGTCTGGGTTGCGGTGGCGCTTGCGCTTCGGCACCTTCGAGAGGCGGAGGACCTCTTTAATCTGACTGAAGGGGATCTTAAACACCCCCATGGCCCCAATATCGCCAGCGTCGCCTGCCTTGATGGCTTCTAGCCCCTGGAGGAAGGCCTGGTATTCTGGATTGCCAGCGAGCAGCTGCTTCGCCGTCTCAAGGTGCGAACCTAGGCCCAGGTCTGACACATCATAATTCTTACCTGTTTGAGAAAGGACCTTTAGGAGAATGAACTCCTCTTGGGTGATTTTCGAACCAGCATGCATGTCCCTGCGGCCGTGGATTGTTCTCCGGCCAATCTTTGCGGCCTTCGCGGCCCTCTCCCACTCCGCTGCAGTCTTGGGGACACGCTGGAAGGCGCGGCCATTAGCCGTGGACATTGTTGCAAAGAATTATCACGGTGAGAGGCCGAATTGATTGTGTAAGCAGGATAAGATGGGTGAGGGGGTTTCCCAGCTGCTTTCGACTTCTTTCTCGCGCTCGAGGAAAGAAAACAATGCGAGTAGGCAAAGGAAGGCGTGGGTGTTCAAGTCGGCTTTCACTTTATGTTTCTTCATCAGGACACACAAAACAAAATTAAGTGCAAAATTCTAGCAGGAAGATATGTTTGTATTTGAAGCGCCTTCATCTTCCCTTTTCCTCCTTTCCTCTTCTCCTCTTCTATTTTCCTCTTCCCTCTGTCTTGCTCTTCCCATTTCTCCTCTTCTCTTCTTCCGCTTCTCGGCTTTCTTCTTCTTTTCTCTGTTCTTCCTTTCACTTTCTGTTCTCTTATTCTCTTCTTCTTTTTCTCTTCCCCTCTTCTCTTCTTGTTCCGTTCCCTTCTCTCTTTCCTCTGCCCCTCTTTTTCGTCTTCTTTTCGATGCCATTGTGTAGATGAACCGCTTGTGTAAACAGATGAATAAGCAATGTGTCTCCTCTTCCCATTGGCCAAACAATCGCTCTCCTTTCGATGACGTCGTTCAGCTAGTCGAAAGTAGTCTAGCCCCTCCTGATTAGGAAGTGCTCCAGGGTTCGCCGCAAGCAAACACAGCAAACAGATAAACTTCCTTCTTCCTCTTGCTGTCCTCTTCATATTTTCTCTGCTCTCTCGCCCTCCTGTAATGCTTCGTCATGGATACTAGAGCTAATCGCCTACGGCGACAGGCAAAACTACGCAGCAAATATGAGACAGCAGCAGAGAGCATCCTAGAATCATTCTTACTTGAGCCTAAAAAGTCCTTCTCCTCATGCGACTTGGCCAGGCTTGGGATTGACCTAATGCCTTTCGACCCCTTTGACCAAGACTTCCTCCAGTCTAGAAAATGCCTGTTTAAACCGCTTCCAAAAGATGTTTTGGCTGAGTACTTCATCGACCCTTCAGAGCTGCTGGATGGGGATCATACGGCCCTAAAGTGGCTGGAGCATCCATCATCCTCTGTCAATCTCTCGTCTCCATTGCGTGCAGCTGTGACAATCTTCAGCTACCTTGAGACCACATATCTCCACTTACAAAGGAAGACACCGAAAGGCTACCTATTTGAGGTGGCTAAGTGGCAGTTTATCATGTTTGTTAATAGCCTTCCTGCTTAATATAACCACTCAAGACTGCTCACTTACTCAACATTTCTTTAGGTGCGATGATGATTTTCACGACGCGAACGGTTTTTACAACCACCCATTTCCCTCTCCGATGCCTGTCTGGTCATACCTGTATATGATGCAGCACTGTACTGAACAAGGCGGCAAGCTTATAACTCTCCCTCATCTTCAGCTCATCATGGGCAATGATGCTGTTCCTAAGGAGAACGAGATTCTGCCGGGCGAACTGGGTCCCATAGTGCAAGGAATCCTGGCTCGTCTAAACCAGCCTGACTTTGACCACACATCTCTTTTTCCGGTATTTTCTCTTTATCTGTCTTACTTGCACATCTAACACTCCTCCTGTAGGTCCAAATGCTCTCCCTCTTTGGACCGCGCGATGGCCGTATCCTCCAGGCTCGGTTCTATCCCTCTGGTCGGCTGGTGATCCGGGCCACCCAGATCTACCGCTTTGAGCGCCACAATCAAGACGACCTCGCGACCCTATTCTTGCGTTTCTGGCTGTCTGAGCCGTGTATCGGCGACGAATACGAGTTCTATGTTGATGAGGAGTCCCCAGGAGGTCTCCCGCAGGCTGTGATTGCTCTCTCGTCGACTTCGGTGGTCAAAGCGAAGCAAGTCTCCCACGCATATTCTTGATAAATCAGTTCTGCAATCGCAGTAATAGGGGAGCTAGACAGGCGTCGCCAAATACTCTTCTGCTCTGGTCAGTGGATAAGGGCATACAAGCCACATTTCTGACTTCAGATGTAAAAAACAGCTTGTCTTCACCGATAGGATGTTGTATTTCGACATCAGGATGCTGTAATTCTCGGGTTGACGTCGAAACTTCCTCGAGAACTAGCACGTGGTTTAGGATTCCTAATTAGTAAAGCTCCATCTATGGCCTGACAATTGGTCGAGTTTGAGTAATCTTAACATATAGGATATTCTCACGTCAAAAAAAAAAACAATCAACAGCCCAGTATCAAAAAATAAAGAGTATTTGTACCCTTCATAGTGACAGGGCGGCTAAGGGGGTGCAAAGACTGTATCATGCTCACGACGGCTATTACCCTTATTAAATCCTATATATAAGACAAGCCACATCCCAAAGATATTACAATGGGTAGAATCATAAAATAAAGTAGTAGAAACCAGATAACAGCACCTCTCTTTTATATTAGATCTTCTTTGCCTCAATATAGTCTTTATCCTCTTTAGCTATCCTAAAGTACATATCATGTGAAATTTCTGATATAAGTCGCACATAGTGAACTAAACTAGATAGTTTATACTAAGTAGAATGATGAATCGGCCTAAATCACATGATCTGTGCAACCTCTTGGTGGTATAAATAGTACTCCTAGAGCCCAGGCGGCTTTCAGAATCTCAACAGCTATCTATTACTTCATTATTGCTATGGCGTATTCTTAAACGTCCCTTCACTGTATGCTCTGCTCTGGTCAACTAGGCAAAAAGACATGGACCAGGAATTTCCATACAGGCAAGTAATAGTAATTCAAGTCTTTAAAGCATGACTGCTCACTCTTTACAATATTTTAGTTCTTCTAAAGAATAATACACCTGTCATAGGCTCTTTCTCCTACAATAGAGACTTGCTTCTACAAGAAGTCTTATTAGTGGGATCATCGGATCCATGGCGACTAAGATTGAACGTGGCTTATTCGTTCACACCTACGGACGCTTTCCTTATGCATTCATCATGCTATAGTCTGTTGCAAGAGTTCTCGAATCAACTGATAAGTCCAAAACGATTATTTAAGCTATGTCAATCCCTTCAGTCTGATAAACAGAGAAACTTTGGTCGTGATATGCCATATGAATTGTTAGGTGAGTCATATGACCAGTCTTAAATGCTGAGAAATTATCTCATCATCACGATAGATTGTCTTTATCCTTGTGTTTCTCTTCTGTCCCCTGATTCATCATCTTTCATATCGCTCGAACGTCAACCAACAACTATCCAGCCACCTTTGCTACAATTACCACTTGAAATTATTTTGATAATACTCAATATCCTTCCTCCGTCAGCTTTGATAGGATTTTTTCAGGACTAGCCGACAGTCTTTGAGCTATGCTCAGGAGTTTCTACGAAAGAAGCCACTTCAGTTCCATCGTTTAACTGAGGCCGGAAATTCTCTTGATTACGAGGCGCTTATTCTTGCTCTCAGCTCCAAAGGATTTTCCAGTCGATGTTCAGAGTTAGATAAAAGATGGGAACAGATCATAAAAGTGAGAGATCTGGCTGCATACATTGTTCATATCAACGAGGACTGGATGTCACCGACCTTAAACCCGAAGGCAACAAGTCAATCGGTTGACCTTCCTTCCGGCTTCCAGCAGTCATTCATGGACTTTCCATTTGACCTTGAAATAATTGAGATTTATGAGATTGAGCTTCAAGGATCTTCTTATGTTTCTGGAATCAAGTTTTTGTCCAGGAACTCACAATCGTTTGTTGGTATTGAGTCAAAATCGGTTCGCCGCTTTCGTCTTCCAAAAAAAACCTTTAGAGACTATAGGGCTTGTTGTGGACTCTTTGGGGATCAGAAGTCTTAGGTTTGGTGATTTACCTTGGTCCTCTGGACGCCCTGAAGATATCAATTGCTGGGAAGGTTTCAGTCAGAGGCAAGAAGATAGAAGAGTTCGGATTGTTCGAGACGTATGTTATGAATGCTATCTTATATCCTCCACTAACTTTTGAACAGGCATTGAAGTTCCGACAGCTGTCCTGGTGTTATTCTAAGTGCCTATCTTTTGAAGAGAGCATTTTTATGCGAGGAAAACACGCTTTCTGGCACGGCTCAATTTCTAGAGACAGCTACATACAGGTCAACCCTCACCAGGAAACAGAATTGATACATGAATTCGGAAATTTTACCACAGATGCAGTATGGCTGGATGAGCAAAGTGATGGTATAACTGCATATTGCCACAAGGGGATATCAGGCCTTTCTATTCAGACATCATCAGGTCCACTTTCAGTCGGCTATTGCAATGCTATCCCCAAATTCTTCCCGATACATGGACCTGATGAAGCAATCACTGAGATTGATATCTATATAGGCTCACCTGAGCCTAATTTAAGCATCACGGTGGGTTTTTAGAAAGCTTTGACAAATCCTTGCTAATATATTAACAGTTGAAGACCACCTGGAATCGGCATGTCTATTTTGGTTTCGTCCAAGACCACAATGCTCACTGTTCTGTCCGAACTCTCCGATCACCCAAAAACTGTCATATAAAAGGCCTTTATTTCCGTGTGGGAAAATTATCGATCGAATCTTTGGGAGCAATATATGCATATAACTCCTATCAGCCCACTTATCACTCGTTTCATCCACCGCCAGTACCCAGGATTAAACTAAAAACTGACGAAGTGAGCCCTGAATCGATGGAGACATGTGCAAGTCTCTGGAACATCCAGAAGGTTCGATTTTACTACATCATGGGTTACTGCACAGGTTTATGGCTCTTTTATCGTTCCGGTAATTCAGAAGTGGTTGGCCGAATCAACGAAGATTACTCTCATGAACTCATACTTGTTGATGATGATTCGTTGCACCAAATATGGCTCACACAAGCAGAGGGGAAAATAGAGGAGATAGGTTTCAGCACGGATAGCCATATGGATTTAGAGAAAAACAATTATGATATCACTATCTCAACGGTATACTTCCTATGCTCCGGATGACAACTTATTCTGACATATTTCCAGGCTATTTTGTGGAGGTACTCCAAGGACAGTGACTTTATTCAAATATTTGATCAGGATATGCTCGAAGGTGAGATCTAGATCATATATGCAGCGCAAGTGTTTCGTGGTAGCTCTTCAGCATGGTGTCGTGTCGTCCACTGAGACATTTTCAGTAAAGCTATCGACTAGACGTTCGAATCCTTCCCATGGTTATAGCCTTAGTTGTGACATCCAATAATCTTATAACTATGCTATCAGTAACCTGACTATTTTCTCCTTTATTTCCCACACACAATTAAGTTGGCTGTGGCCAGAGACGGCTAGCTAATTCTATATTCCTAAATACATGATGAGCACCTACAAACTGGATCTCCATTCATAAATATGATTTAATATATTTCTATATTAGACTGCAGCTTATTGAAAATGGCCGGTTGCCCAGATGGATTCATAGATCTAGTAAATACAAACATTTGTAGTGAGTGGTGGATAAAGGACATATTGGCCGTTCAGATAGACAGATAGATAGTACTCATACCCCTCCAGAATGTATATTACTATGGCTGCTATGCCGGGGGAGCTAAGCTCCTAGGAGTCAGCGATTTATATCATATTTACACCGTACGCCATGCCGGGCTGGCCTGGAATAAGCACAAGCTCAAGATTGTAGCCATGAGCACTCACAGAGGCGAGCATGAATGACATGTTCATGTCGTACGAGGGTGCGAAGTCGAACGTGGCCTACACCAGCACATGAAAATGGGACGAGATGTGGACTACCTAAGATCCCGATCTCGAGAAACTGCACGGCTCCTCTGCCAGTAAATTCATTCTTGGCTCGGTGCCATCCCCCGTAAGAACCTTGGATGGAAGGACAGGCTTGGTTCCTTTATCAGATTTGTCTGAGTTTTTGCCTCAGGCTACAACTTGCATCATTACTATTCCTATCTATTATCTCCCAAGTTTCTCCCCCCTGTACCTTTCCAACAACCTAATACTCCTGTCCAGTATCGCTCTGGATGCATCTTTATATGTCCCATATGCGGAGGCACCCGAAAAGTTCGGAAAAACGAAGTGAATGAGGAGGAATCGAGGGTCAATAGACACCCAAATACCATTTTGATTCCGCGGATGAGTTGCAAAAATACCATCGCCTGGTTGAGAAGAAATGCTGGACAGGGAGAATTAGACCACTCAGTCGCTAGCAAATAGGTAGACCATTCATGTCAATCTATTTCCACCATTTTATGGTCTGAAGGTCTATTGGGAACCCCAAACCCGCTCATCTTTGGGCCCTCTGATGATCCCCCAGATATTAACGGCGACAATGCGCTCAACAAATGCGTCGTTCGGTCTACGCAGCATCACTCCAAAGGCTTCGTGCTGCTCCTTCTTCTCCTCAGCCGTGAGGTCAAATCCACGGTCTCGCATACAGCAGCCGCACTCCACTGTGCAGTGGCCAACTGCCAACCTAGTTCGACCTGTCGCCTCTATGCCGCGTCTCTCGCAACAGCCACAGGAACGGCCACAGCATTCCCCGCGACCAGCACAGTGGTAACGGAGAGCACTATGGTGATACCAGTCTGTAGTTGCGCGCCAGGCGTGGAATCCCCGTTTCTGTGGTCCAGGAGGACACAAGGACTCACACCTATACCACTCTCGTTCCTCCTTCCAGTAGCGTCTCTGCAGCTCTTTAATCTGCGCATCCCACTCCTCTAGCTGGATCTTATTCTCTGGCGTACACACTCGTTCTTGGAGACGGCGAGTTTCTTCCTTTAAGTATTCCTCGCGTTGAGGGGTTATTCGTAGGTTCTCTTCGATCGTGACGATATTTCGTGTGAAGGAAGTGCTTCGACTGAAAGAGAGCAGATACCGCAGCATCCAGAGACGGTGGCGCTGGACAGCGTTGAAACCCCCAATTTCCTCCACCAGGTCCTCAATCGTAATAAACAACCGAGAAAGAATCAGCATTGTGGAACTATGATGGATTTTTCAGCGATGCAGAGTAGATGGGACGAGGAAGGATGGAAGGAGAGAGGGTCGTGATTGGAAAGGTTCCATGGAGCCGCCGCTTCCTCTTGCTGGGAATTGTCACGGCCCTGGGCCTGCTAACCGATCAGGTGACTCCTCATATATCTGGCATCTCGCCGACGCTTCACCTCCATCCTTCCTTCCCTCCCCCGTCTGATTCTCTTCGTATAGATCTGCCTAATATATTGATGCCTTTGAGATCGATTGAGCGTTATTAGTTGAGCCGTCACAGAAATCGCAGCTGCCATGGCAAAACATTGCTATCGTAGTTGGACAAAGCTCCTCTACTCCTCGACTAGGGGGTGAAAAAAAAGATATATGCCACAGGTTTTACCCATGAGATTTAAGGGCTGGTAGATGATGATACTGACATGTTTAGAGACCCAAACTTCCACCAAAAAAATGGATGCAAACGCCACGATGTCCAACCCGCTTGCAGCCCTCGAAGTCACCATAGGCAATCTCCGGGTGAATATCCTTGTTATTCTTTCGGCACTTTTGGGATTCAGCATTGCATTCTGTGCATTTATAAATCGGTGGAAGCTTTGTGTTGGGGCTAGGTATGACTATTGTTATCATTACAGAAGATATGTAGAGACACTAAACGATACACAGATACCCCAAATTTCCAGGCTGGCCCTCGTGCTTCGGCGAAGGGGAAAGCCAAGAGGGTGTTCTTGCTGCATGGAGGGGTGATGAGGAGGAGGAGTGCCTAGCCAGCGCTACGAAAACTGTGCTCCCCACCGCACCTCCGAACACCCCGGAGTCCTGAAATTCCCATCCTGGGAATGAGCAAGGCCCTGCCTCGCCCATTCCCGCCAAATCCCGGCCCCGAACTCTTTGCGGTGCGTTAGGAAGCACGTTGAGCGCAATCGGTGCGGCTGTCCTGTCCGCTGGCCAGATCGTCATCAGATTTTGGTCGCCGGACCGAACCAACCCAAGCCAGGAAAATGAATTGCTGGTCAACCAACCCCCAGCATGGGCACAACAATACTACTGCAGGAAGCTCTTCTTTTCTCTCTTTCCTCTTCCTTCTTTTCTGCTTTCCTCTTTCCTTTCCCATGATTTCCCCCCTTTTTTCCATTTTTGTTTTTCTCTGTCCTAGATAGAATAGCGTTTATTAGATTAGCCAGTGTATACTTATCCCAGTTGTGTTTGAATTGTTTGGTCTAAGCTACCAGGACCCCAGTCATGAGTAAGGCCACAGTTCTGGTTACTATTCACTTCTCTTATTGAATATCTTTGCAGTATGTCACTTAAGACGCCATAAACAATATTAATTAAGAATATATATGACTTTTGCTCCATTCAACCATCCATTAAACCAAAGTCAAATTCAAAATCATTTCCTCTTCGCACGACATCCTCGTGAGGCCCTTGACATGGTCTAATTGTTTTTTGAAAAAGATCCAGATAAATCAGTCACAGAGGCGGTACTTGTAAAAGCTGCTTAAAATAAGAACCACTGTTCTCTGCTATTCCACTTTTCCCTCTCTTGACGGCTGTCAGACCGTGTTATTTCTCCAAAAACGTGATTAGAGCTGTATTGGACTTATATTCTAATGACAGCTACGCATCGAAGCCATTTGCAGAATCGTCGTCACCCATCAATCTGCTGGGCCGCGGCAAGCTGTGGCCGACCCACACAATGACCAATTCCCCTGGGGACAGGTGAGGAAGCTGATCTGATCAACAGCACTGGCATGTATTAGGATATCTCTATCTGGCAGTGATGCCTGCGGTATTGTGGATGTCAGGAATACACACCACGCGGGCGGTCTTTTGGTCGGTAGAAGTTGTAGTCTGGAGGGGGAAATGGCTATAAATTAGTTTTATAATTATATTTAAAGGGAAGCTGAACAGGCGTCTTTAAACACTCCTCTGCTCTGGCCAGTGGATAAGGGCATATAAGACAAATGACAACTTGTCTTCACGGATAGGATGTTGTATCTCGACATCAAGATGCTGTCATTTTAGGGTTGACGTCGAAATCCGAGAACTAGCACGTGGTTGACTATTCCCAATTAGTAAAGCTCCATGGCCGGTTACAATTGGTCAACTCCAAGTAAGCTTAATTTAAGTATATAAGAAAACTACCTAATTCTCACATCAAACAGCAGAAAAACAATCAACAGCCAGCTATTAAAAAATAAAAACATACAACAGTCAGGATTCGCTGGTGGTCACCCACCCAACTACTAACTGACCGGCGTGTGGCTTAAGTACGGCTGAGCGGACGGGAAGCCCTGTTTTCCACACCCTGTGGTCGTATGTGCTAGAATTATATGGATAGGGGACTATATAGACAAGAAATAGTCAGTTCTATACTACCTCCTTCGTCAGCAGAGTCTCTCCGCCATTCTTGACCTGGTGCCATCCCACGTAAGAACCCCTTGGAAGCATAGGCTTGGTTCCGAAATCAGCTTAGTCTGTTGAACTTTTCCCTCAGGCTACAACTCGCATCATTAATATTCCTCTCTTCTCCCAAACTTCCCCCAACATTCTCTATGTTCATTTAATGGCCGAGCATCCAGTCGAGGATTGAATTATCAAATTAAGGATCAAATATAGCATCAAATTGAGCTTCAAACTGAGCATTGGATTGATATAAGTCTAACACCTTTATTGCTTCTTTTGCTAGTTCCTTTCCTTTTTCCTAGGCCAATTCCTGCCTTGATTCCTATTGATTACACGTGGATTTCTGCGTCAATTCCTGATCTCACCTTCCATAAGCTATAGGAATAATATAGTACTGTGCGTGGATATCATCGTTGTAGAGTGTAGCTCTGCCCATAAAACATTACATGCGAGTAGAGGCCCGTAGGTCTAGAACGGCTGCCAACAGAATAAAGCATCCAATCAAGGATCTAATTCAGGCTTTCCTTCCTAGAGGAAAGGTTGCCTATCTAGGTATATGAGTATAGAACTTCGGTATACAGCAACTTACGGCGAAGAAATGACTCCCTTGCGAAGCCTAAGCAAGCCTGGGGGTCTGGGGGGGTGCGTGCACCTTGGAGGTAGCTTTGTCCTTATACAGGCTGTACACCCTTTGGCAAACTGTGTGTTACTGCATGTCCAAGCCAAATCATGCTCTCAGTTCTGGTTAATATCCACTTCTCCTATCAAACAGCAGCTTTGCAATCTCTCACTAGAGACCCCGTAAACAAAACAACATCAGCTTTTTTTTATTTCCAACAGCCTCCCTCCCACTTGACTCCCCAGCTCACTCTTTTTCAAGAATTACCACGACGAGTCATCATGGCAGCATCGGTCTCTTATAGTGCGTCTAACCTCTTGCTCAAACCGCTCCCCGACCTTGATGTTGCTGCTCGCCATACCACCAGCCACGCTCTATACCAGATACATTTCGTCGGAATTCTGCAACCATGGGCCAACTTCGAGGCAGAGGTTGCCAACACATACAACGGCCAGACCTGGAACCTGCAGGCCATAGCGTCTAAATTGACGGGCAACTTCCTCGCTGGTTCGGTCCACGAAGAGCGGGTTTTCGTGTGCGACGAACGCGGCATACAAGGGAGACTAGAGGGACGGGCGGGCACAGCCCTTGGGGCCGTCTTCAAGGCCCAGAACCAGGACCTTAAGCTGGGCGCTTTTAAGGGTGCTTTGCCGCCGCACCCAGGTTACAGGAAGGCCCCTGACTTTGTCCTAATGACCCAAGCTCACATGGCGAAGGTCGTGGGAGAAGCCAAGTCTCCTTGGATATCTGAGCACCACCTAGAAGACCTCGTTGATGGATTTGAGACTGGGTTCACGGAAGAAAGGTTCAGGCACGCACTAGGTCAGTGCTGGGCGTTATTAATTGGAAGATTCACACTGACGCATACACGTAGGCCAAATCGCGCAGTACATGTTCGATTTGCGCCTGAAACATGGATTCCTGACCACATACAACCAAACGGTCTTTCTTCGAAAGGTGGATGTCGGTCGAGCATGGGGACTGGAGTATTCCCCAGTAATCTACCATGGAGACAGAGGAAGTGTATCGGGCACCACTGTCTCGTTTTGTCAGAGTCTTTACCATGTTGGATTATTAGCCCTAGCAGACTCGGATTTTGGCACCAGCATAGGCCTGCGGAACCAGACGTGGACGATTTCTGAATAAGAGGCTACTGGCTCATGAATGAAATGTACATATGTTTTTCCCGTGATAAATGGAGAGTCCCCCGTCTGGTCGCATACATATGACATTATTTCCTAGCATAGCATAGCAAAGATCAATCAATCACCGGTCAAACGAATGATTCAGCTTCCTCCTCAGCTACTATTTCCAGTCGCCATCCTCCTATTTGCGTGAAGACTCCGGTTCAGCGAGCTCGAAAGTCGCTATCAACTTGGGACCAAAAACTGGACGTTTAGGCTTGCCGGCCTTGCTGAAGCGTCCGATAAAGTAGCTATTTTACAGTACACCGGTTAATAAGCGAGCTCGTCGAGGTGATGGGGCAATACCATACAGTGTTTGCGTCTCCCGGTGCCAAACTAGACTTCTTGCCCTGGGCACCGTGGGATACCACCCATTCTCTACCAGCTTCCTAAGTCGCCAATAATAGTTAGATTCAGTGAGTGGTAGAGGAGGGAAAACGACTTACAGAAGAGCATCAATAAAGACCGCCCGGATTTGCTCTCTTTCGTAGCTTTCGAGGGCTAAAAATGGACCAGCGCCATCGCTATCCCCGAGGCGTAGTCCTGGAACGATTTCCCACACAAGCCAGATAATAAACCCACCCGGAACTAGCCCTGAGGGACCCTGAGTACCGATCTTGTATCCCAGTAGCTTTGGTGTGTTGCTTGAGCGCTTCTGAGTGAGGTCCCGATAAGCGACCAGTTCTCTCGGGTTATATGTTGTGGCTTGTCGGCCTCTGGTTTCCGCATCATCCATCTCGGTTTTTCGATGGGGAACCTGAGTGTAGATTCGCATGAGGGCTTTCTTTGCACGATTTAGGGGATCACAGCATAGGATTTTGGCCGTGGCGATGGAACGGAAGCCATACTCATGGTGTACCTCCTCGTTGACTTGATAATCATGCTCGTTCAGCTTCTCGAGGATCTTCCACTGGGAAGAAACAGGTTGATCAAGGGTGATAATAGTTCCAGGTTCGATTCCCTTACGGAACCAGGCCGAGTATGAGGACGACATTGGAGTTGCTTTGAAAATGGGGTTCCTTGGGCCGTGGAGGTCGAGAAGGAGAGCGTTGGAATTGCTAAAAATTATGTATTTAGCACGTAACAACTAGAGTGGGTTTAAATAGAAGCAAACAGAAGATCGCACCTGAGGCATTCACTCTAGTCTCTAGGCAGCTCTTCCTGTCAGGTCCAACTCTTGTCTTGAATGTTTGACTCAATTCTCGCTTTCACTCAAAACTAAACAGCTCCTACGCGAGGCGAACATTCTTTTATTTGCTTTCAGCGATGACGTCCGTTGCTTGTGTCCGCCAAGAAAAGTGACTCGTACATCCAGAAGCATGGGCCCTACAAGACTTCAACAAACCTCGCCTTCGAGCGGGAGAGTTGAGAAAAAAGCCTGAGGGGTCGAAGGTCGGGAACCTCAATACCCCTTTCAACTTGAAGTCCTACATCACCGCGGAAGATCCAATGCGCTGGAAAGCAGGATGGAAGACCCGTCGGTGTCTACAACCAACGTCCCATGTAATGATACTAGTGACAGCGAAGATACCGAGGTGATGATATCCAGAAGAGGTGTTCGTCCTGTCGGCGAACTGCAGAAGCATGGATTGAGGCCCGTCTGGACAGGATCTCGAGGTTATCCCGCAGAAGTTATACCAGACGACATCGCTGAGTGGCTCGATGATCAAGGAAAGCGTCGTGAGTATAAGGCTGTCTAGGGCTTTTTGTTTCCTATCTAATTAATATCAGGTTCCGCACAGTATATAGGGCCCTTGAAGAGCCTTTTCTGGCTTGCAGGCTATGATGAACTCGTGCGAGCCGTCGACGACCCCGCCTATACCATCGAAGATGAAGTTAGAGTCGTCCTGAATGGGGTGGACATTGGTTGGCTCCTGGAGGACTACCTGGAGGAAGGCAAAATTCCTCGGCAGCTGTATATGCAATACTTGGACTATGCCTCTCCTCCATCCTGGCTTTTGCCGGTTATTATCTCTCGGCTCAACCTCATTCCCCAGGCCGTCACCACCGATCTGCGTTCTCACAATATCAGAACCCTCTACCCACTGAGCCGTCCTCAGTATCTTCCTAATATTGTCAAGAGTGTCAAGGTGAAGTGGGAGAGAAGGCCAGAGAAGTTTCTCCGGAAGATCGAGGAGATAGCTCCTGATCTCCTTGAGGGACACAATGTATGGCTGCGAGGGCTGTCTAGAACCGCTTTGATGTGCACTCTTGCCTTTCTTATCCCTTCTGTGTCCGACAAGGCTTTCCAAACAGAATTCGGTCCCGGCTTCTACACGACAAATGATATGAAATATGCTTTCGACTATTGCTCCCGTAACGGCGCAATGATGGTGTTTCAGAACCCTGACCTGCGCAACCTAAATGTATGGGAGCCAACAGAGAACGAGTGGAACCAGCTGGTTGCAACCTGGATCCAGCTACCGCTGTCCGGGGTCATTGAGGATATGCCGGCTCGGTATAGTGATGCGGATATCATCCGTAGTCCCATCTCATCTGCGAAAGACACCGCACGGGAGATGAACGCCTTCCCGAAACGCGGCAAGGAGGAGCAGCTGGTTGCCGTTAGCTACGACGGCTGCAGGGCTCTCTCGCGGTCGCTATCCACAATCATCTACTTCGACTCTTGCTGAAGAGCAGAACCTGACCTAGTGTCTCTTATTCTAGCCAATAATCCCTTACTTCCCACACTGCTCGCGACTATGGACAAAGTCAATATTGGTTACGGAGCATTCTGTTCTAATCAATAATCGAGGTTTTAAATTAAGCACAAAATGAAATTGTCTTTTTAGTCGAGATAATAATATCTATCACATAATGGCTACACTTTCCTTAGACCTCTCTGATGATTCTATTTTAGAAGAACAACTCCTGAGGTATAGTTCTAATAAATAGCCCCTACTCCATCACATATGCACAACTTAATATAGACTAATATTAGTCAGGCAGGTAAAGTTCTCTTAAAGGCGCAGTATCTGCAGCTAAATATTGTCTACCATGATTTTGAGGGCACCTGGTCTCACTTCATTAAGATATTATGTGTTGCAGGAAAGGATGACCTTGAGGCTGCCAATCAGGATGATTCGCGTATATTTACACCATCACCTGACTAGCTAAGCCTAATATAGTTAGCATTACACTCCGATTTTTCATTCACTAGGCATATCTGGCCTGACCGATGTCAGATAGGCCTGAGTGTGCGAATCATATAGGAATATGATACTATTGGCCCTGAATACGTATAGGATTTGTTAAACTATCTAACTTATTATAATAATACTATATAGAGTATAGTAGTATATATAATATATAATATATATGAAATAGAATACTTCAAGTAAGCTTATATGCAATATAGCAAGCACTATTGTAATCTAGGCCATAAAGACCACCTGAGGTTGTGGTGGTAGTGATGGTGGTGGTTAGGACAACTCGATGTGGTTGTCATGGAGATGTAGACTCAGGTGCGAATGAGCGCCAGACAACCTGTTAGGAAAGTAACCGATTACTGCTAGGGGCTGTGTGGGATACTCAACTTCAAGGAGCTGAGAGATAGGTACGTAGTATAGAAAAAGCCAGGCCAAGGTTACTTATGGCTACCAGGGTGACCCCGACAAGGGGAGGGCATATAACTAAAGCCAAGCAGGGCTATAAACTATATCATAAACCTATAATTATAGACAAAAATCCATTTTCCTCGCTATCATTGAGCAGCAATTAGCTATGAATTAGTCTAAATTCTCCCATAAGACCTCCTCTTAAGCTCCACAACAACAGCCGAAGCCGATTTCCAAACGGGTTATTTTGCAATACTGGTATAATTATTATTCCTAGATACCAGAATCATTCACATAGAGTACTTACATCAAAAGTCCCCGAAATCACTTGAATGGGCTATGAGTTGAGAGGAGGCTCACATATCTCTCAGCTTCCTGTGGCCGGCCTATCCAATGCAATTCTTCTTTATCAGTAACCGGGCGAATGGCATGGATGCCTCTGTACCCTGCGTTGACAATGAATCCTTGTAGATATCGACCTTTGAGATCAACTGTTTCTTGTCTCCCAGGAACTTGATAGCCGATAAGAGTGTTTGGTGTTGTAAGCCTGTTCTGGTGGATCAATTCAAGGCCTGTAAGGTACGTTTCCTCTTCCCATTGGAGCATTGAAACAATAATCTTGACAGCCAAGCTGGGGAACTGGACTTTTTGAGTGAACTCAATATCATCCTCCTCCCAGAAGCGACAGAGCTTGCAATCATGGCATATATCCTCGTCTCGATAGCACTGATGCCTCTCCGCTTCCTTCCAGTATAAAACCAGCTTTGGTTGCATCTGTACAGTGGCATCTGGCGCCCTCATCATTGAACATCTATCTTTAAAGCATGTGTTGGTTGTCCAATTCCTCCATATCAATTGCCAGGTAGGTGTATATTGATCCACATGATTTGAGCACTGGTACAGCAGTCACAGCAGTCTCCAACCAAGTATATCGATGTCTTTTGGTTGACTTTCAATAAAATAGGCAAAAAAGCCACGCTCTCCATCCACAAGAAACCTGGTTCATCAGAATGATTCCATTCCAAAAACAGCGTCCATGGCCCGTGAACAATAGCGAATAGTAAGATAATCTGTGGTTAGCAAACAAGATGCAATTTGAACCCGAAGCTACAAGGGTAAGAGAGCAAAACAGTCATCTAGGGACATCCTAGTCATTGAGTCACTGACTGCTGGGCTTGGCGCGGGAAAAGGCCTTTTTCTCGCTTGGGACCTAATAAAACGAGGTAGCTGGCGAGGGTCTGGATATTGCAGATAGATAGCTTCACCCTCTAGTTGCACATATTTCAATACATGCCTCTAAATAGTGATAGGGAGAAAGCCGACCTAGATATGAAGAAAAGTGGGGGCTGTACTTTGTCGCTTTATAGAGTCTGTCGAGCGGAAGAAGATCGGTGTCAAAATGTTTAACCAGACGGCTCCAGCAGAGTGCATGAAAAAGGTATGCAGTCCGCCCGGCCTCTTCAAACCACATGCTTGGGTCTTCCTCCATATCAGAGTTGTCATATGCTTCCTCATCCATCTCCATATTCGTAACAGCGACATCAGAAAGCTGAACACCGCTGGGGTTATGTATACTAGTAATCTCAAGTTACTTCAAGGTCATTTAAAAACAGTGATCAATCAAAGCTTACTTGCTCGGTATTCAGTGAGCCAAGGGTGCTTGACAACAGTTCGCCGTGCAATAATCTCCAAGCTACAGGATTCGCACAGGGCTTCGGACATCTTGATCGTGAGAGGTGTTTCAAGAGGCATAAGGCACAGAGAGCAATAGTTTTATCAGCGAGACAAACCCTAAACCTTCAACTCAGTGGCCGTTCCATGTCACCATTCGTCTGGTTCCATAACCTTGAGCCATGTCTTCTAGGTTCGTTGGACAGAACCCTGGAAAGAGAAGTACTTATGTAGCCGCTCTGATCAACAAGACATTCCAGAAGGGCCTCGTAGACTTTATCAATGACCTGCTGGACAATATTCTCCCGCGCAACGATGAGGAAGCGGCCAACTCTGTGGACGCTTGAAGTTCTCGAAGAGAGACGGAAGAGGAAGGATGGGAAGGACATTCCATGTTTCACGTGTCCCTCGACACGTGGATTTCCTCCCCCAACATCCAGACAAAGACGCTGGCCGAGCTCACATTGCCCAGTTCGCACGACAGCGCAGCCTACGTCTTCGAGCATGTTCTCTCCGAGATTTAATATTGGGACTAGAGGCTCTTATAGAGCCTCCGTCAGGGCACCGCATCGTCCAGAGGCAGCTGGAAGACGAAGTCTGCGTGTGTGACCTCCATATCTACTTTGACTCGAGAATGTACGACCGGGTGAGTTTAATAAGTAGTATTGTCGGGAGCTTGATTACAGCCAATATCGATTTTTGAACTTTTTGCCATATTCACCAGCTTATAGAGTCTAGATTAGATTAAACGCGACTGCAGCAGGTAGGGCAGGAAGAATCAGTTTCTAGCCATTGCGAGATGCAATGAGGATGGAACCAGTGCCCACAAGACAGAACCTGAACAAATTCCTCCAATATCACATTATCTCTGCAGATGACACACATTGTGTCCTGATTGTCCCTCTGTAATTCGGTCAGAACATTCCAAAGTCGCGGGTGGTGTGAATGGTCGTGGCGATCACTGTTGTCGATGTCCGGGATACTGGAAGGAGCCAGATGCCTTGAGGATGACTCTGGCCTGACGTGAGCTACCTCAAGGCGACTCAATTGGATTGCGAGTTCTTCCTCGTCATAAAATGAATGTGAATACGTTGGAACAACTGGACCTGCCTCAACAACTGGATCTGCCTCAGAAACTCGATCTGGTAGCGGGATAGGGCCGTTTTGGAAAGTGATGGATGCAGAAATAATCCACAGCGCCAGGTTTAACAGATCAATCCATACAGCCTCGCGCATCTGGAAAGCCGTCGAGCCATTGTTTGCCACTTTTGAGGAGGCTGGCATAAGGTACATATGGGCGAAGACTCCGAACAGGCTCAGCCACAAGATACACAAGCCCAGCTCCCATAGAAACGAGGCTCGGATCCATTTCGAATCAGGCGAACGACAGAGCTCGCCGCCATACCTGCAGGACCAGGCGAGAAGCAGATAGATCATAGCGGTGATTGCCGCCAGCGTGCCGAGAACCACCGCAAAACACCATTTCAGGTAATATTCGCTGTCCTGGCTGACGCCTTCACTGTACAAACCGATCACCGCGAGGCCAAAGGCGAACTCAAGAATGCGTGCCATCAATAGGATTGTGGAGAGCCAGAGGGGCATCTTGAGAAAGTAAACTCAGATGAGGGAGTAAATGGAAGACATGGGATGCAGTAAATTATTTCATAAATATATAAAAATCTTTTTGTCAAGGTATGAGCCTCCCCATATATAGGATACCCATCATCTGTCTATACATACGAATTCTCGAGGCAGCTGCAGGTCAATGCCGTGTTTCAGCCTTACACACTTCAACCAATCTACCAATTAAATGGCCCTGAAAAAATGCCATAGCCAGACGTCTTTCTGAGAGTCAAATTAAGCGCCTGGTTCCATCTCTGACGCGCTGAGGCTGACGGTTCAGATCTTGATGATATGCACGATCATGCAGCGGACAGCCTCGTCGGCTGCTCTAGGGTATTCTTAGAAAATAGAGGACCTTATGTAGATAAAGTTGCAGTAGTGTATATTAATCACAATAAAGTAGTAGGTAATATTTTCAACCAGTATATTCCTGTCACTATTGAAGATGGGGATAGATTCTGGTTCGACTATCCTACACCATCATTTGTCTATAGTACAGAAATAAGAGTTACACGACATCTATCTCTATCAATACACGATGGAAACCACACGGCGGTATGTCCGAAACAGCAACTGACTTCGATGCAGAGATCGATTCAGCCTTGAAATTCAGTTCCTGTCATCTAAAAACAGTACGTTTTGGATGGTCTTTATATCTGCGACATCCGAAACCAAAACCAACTGGCTGGGCGACAAAGCGATGATCCCGAGGAAGTATCGGTTGCGTCGCCTGTCAAAGCTCTCTCTCGGGTATGGAATCTTTGGTTTGGAAAAGATAATATTTCCAATAAGGAGACAGTAGGAAACAGTAGGAAACAGTACAACGCCTACCAGTGTTCTCTACAACACTTTACCGGAACCCATATTTGTGGAAACTGAATGAAATGTAAGTTTTATCCATCATTCTTCTGCTCGAGGTAATGATTTTCGACAATTCTGCCGTCTTTGCAAAAGACTTTTGGTGGGAGGGGACATTCCCTTTGGTTCCTCTGAAGGGACACGGCTTCTACCACAACCCCTGCCATGACAATGACTCTGGGCAGGACCAGAAGACTATACAAGAAATGCGGTATATCCGCTAGGTGGAAGAAGGCTGGGAACCTAGCGGACTGACTATTTTCTGCTCCCCGGCAGGAGAGCTCACTGGTCTGGAACCCATTTTCATCGAATAGATGGTATAGACCAGAAAAAGACCTCCTGGTATGGCAAGCACAATGGGCTGGCAATATATCGTCTCCACTGGCAGAGGGAGGGGGGGACAGATCAGTTCCATCAGTACAGTGACGCATCATATGGACTCTTTGCATCGGCCATATCTTATCGTATGTTGACTACCTTGTGGGAAGATAATCGATATACTACCTTATAAGCTGACGGGTCTAGCTGGAGCCAAGTCAAGGAAGACATATACCACTTACCCCGTACTGGTAGCCTGGCCAATGTGGTGAGCGACAGTTATTTCATTGCAGCCAAGGCACACTTCTCGGTTTACACTACGATATCTCGCTAGTTCAAGATGAAGTGGGAAGCATGGGTGTTAGCTGGATGCCGAAAGATACAAGACATCCAAACTTGGACTCTACTGGATGCACAAACAAAGACACACCCACGTCTTCATTTCCTTACGAATGGGTACAGTACACACTCGAAACCTCTCCGTGGTGCTTGCTCATCTCTAAAGTAATTCTTTCTGATATTCTTGCCCTGTGAGTCTGTTCTATCAGATCTGGCTATAAAGGATTGATGATCACACATCAGAATGGTACCAAGGAGGTCTTGAGACAATAGTATAAAGATACTAATAGTTAAGGTATTAATATACATGCTCTCAAATTCACCCTGCAACGCATATTATGCTTCTCTCTCGCCAGTTCCAGACCTGATCAGTCTATACGTCAGATTAATTCAGTAGTGAGGAGCGCGTGCATTAATTTGGCAGGAGAAAGGGTCATTGATGTTGCGTATGGAGCAAGGAAATATCCTTGATATGATTTCAGTTTCTATCACTAAGGACGAATCCTGTCTATTTTCCGATATATGTGATATGGTTTTTAGTATACTTGGCTGTAGATGGTTGTATAAAGTAGTATTGTTGAGTATTACTAGAATATTTAAAGATGTTGAAATCTTATTTAAATTTTCTCTAACCAGTCCAAATATTCCTAGAATATCAATATCGGGCTTTGATAGCTACTGGTAGTAAATATATTTAATAAAGAGCTCAAGACAGCTGAGCGGATAAGAACTTGAAGCCCTATTTCCCACCCCTGCCCATCTTCCCCGCAAACCACCAATGTGAATTGTACAAACAGCAGCTCCCAACGGACGACATGCCCCTCGATACAATTTACCTCGTCCGCCATGGGGTACGTCAACTGCTCCCTTTTGATATTTAAAAACCTAACAGATTTCCCTTCCAGCACCGGCTCAATTGGACCATCGACTACAAGACCGGCGAATACTTCTCTCAATTCCCCACGCCGACAGGCAACCCCGCCGACCCGACGCTGACATCGCATGGCGTACGGCAATCACACGAGCTCGCCGCACATGTCGCGAGGGCAGAGTTCCAGCCCAAGCCGTTCCGCATCTACAGCAGTCCCTTCTATCGCTGTCTGCAGACGATCCAGCCGTGCGTGGAGGAGCTGAAGCGGTCCGCTGAGAATGCGGCGGATTTGGACGTCAGAATTGAAAACGGTTTGGGGTATACTCTTCACGACACCAACATGAAGATATATATATATAACGAGACATGCTAATACTCCCTTGTACTCCAGGGAGTGGTTCGGTTCAACCACTTTCTTCGACCACCCTCTTCCGTCCCCTGCATCGGCTCTCCAGTCGCACTTCCCAACTATCCTGTCCGTCTCACCAGAGACATACTACAAGCCTCACCTCCTCCCCTCACCCCGCGGCGAGACCATCCCTGAGCTGCACGACCGCGCCGCCACGGCCCTCGCAGCTATTATCGCCGATATCGACCGCGAGATCCAGAGCAAAGAAGCCGCCCAGTCGGCCTCTACCCCGCGTACCAGCAAGGCCATCCTTATCTGCTCGCATGCCGCGACCTTGATCGCCATGGGCCGTGCCCTGACGGGCCGCATGCCCGAGGACTCGAGCGAGGAGGACTTCTACGTCTTCACCGCTGGTCTGAGTACATTCCGACGACGCCAATCTCCTCCGATTCCCTCTTGCGACTCTGAGCAGGGCAACGAGAACGCCCTAGCGGAAGGTACTCGCATCCTCCGCCCGGACACGTTTGTTCCTATCTGGAGGGACGGCTCAGGCGTAGCCGGTGGATGGGATTGTGTCGCAAATTCTGATTGCAGCTTCTTGTCGGCCGGTGCGGAGAGAGGATGGTAAGTCAACCCTCCCCTATACATCCATGATGTAACTATCCCTTTTACTTATGTTGGTGAACAGGCACTTCAGTGGTGAAGAATCTTTCAATACAGGGCCTATGGCGCCGAGTTCTGCAACACCAGTAACGGCGGGGGAATCTTCCACGACCGCGAGCTTAAAGTTGTGATGTTGCTCTGTACATACTTTTAGAGTATAGATATAAGACAACCTGTCGCTGTACATGTATTGAGCTACTTGGGTGATCTTCATTGACCAGAAACATTTATTCCGCAAAGCTCAGATGGACATATTATCTAACGCTATGAAATATGTTATGAGACATGCTATGAAACATGATATGCTCAACTATGCAGCTCTCTCTTCCTCCCCCCGGGGTATCATCGGACGGTGCATCATATCTCCACGATCATCCTCCTGCTGGCGCTGCTCTGGCTCCTGCTCCTGCTGTGCCACCCGCTGCTCTGCTTCCTGCCGAAGGCGCTCTGCCTCTGCCGCCTGTGCTCTCTCGGCCGCGTTGCGCACTTCAATCTGTCTCTCACCGACGCCTGGAACAAGACTCGCAAGTAACAATACCACTGATCGCTCGAGTCTTCTCAGATTCTGTCGCCAACCAACAGGGCCCTCTCTTGCTCCACCAACCGGGGTACGGGCATTCTCCTGTGTAGAATGCTGTAGATGCTCGTCCGGGCGGAAATGCACCAGGCCTTCGAGGTGTCGTTGCACAGGTGCGATAAAGATCCCATGTAGCTGTCGCGGTACACTCGTCTCCGAGGCGAGAGCAACTAGGACCGCCAGGGTAACGAAGATAATACGTGACCATGTGCCTGGCTCGCTGAAAAGATAGCAGAAGAAGTAAAGCCGTGCAAACAGCCAAAATCGCCTGATGTTGCGTGCGAAACCAAACTGACCATTGTTGCCGCCTCGCTGGTTAAGGACCGCCTGACGAACGACATTTTCAACCATCATGGCATCCCCATTTGCGTGCGGAGTATGCGCAACTGCTCCCTGGCCGCGGATATGTGCTGCGACTGAGTTGAGCGCCGCAATGGACCTCTGGATTGTTTCGACCTCGTCAGGTGGCACAACCAATCCTTGGAAGCCATCGGGAGACGAAATAAAATAGGCAGAAGGTTGGTCGGGGCGGCTTAGATCAGGGATAATACCGGGTACGCTGCTTTCCATATTTGTAGATCTAGATCCAATTATGCGAAGCTGATCGGCACGGGTAGAGATGTTGAAAACGCGGGTAAGAAGCGATTCGATAGACCCTTGTCGTCGGATATCTGGGTTCCGGTATTGATTATCAAGGATGCTGAGGAGCTGGCTTCGCATCCAGATGATGTGATCGAGTGGCGGAGCAACTCCACGGCTCACTTGTTCCTCTGCAAGGGCTATTTGTTGCTGTATGAGCCGTAGCAGAAGGTGTTGGTTATTTGGCAATTGTGCACTTGGTATCTGGTCTCTCAGTATATGCTCGGTTGCGCCACTTGGAAAGGCCGTCTCGGATGAGATCGCATCCCTCAATACTTGCGGGTTTGGCGGGTCTGACACACCAAACGATGAGAATGATTGTGTAGAGGAGGTGTGAGTAGCGGCTCCCGTTGCAGCTCCCTGGGCTACATTTTGCGGCGACCTGCGCGCGCGTTCTTGTTGTGCGATTTGCCGCTGCATATTTTCAATATTTCTTCGGATAGCTGCACCGATGTCCGCTTCGTGAAGCCCCGTTGAAGCCATCGGCCCTCGAAACCGCAATCCTTGAGGTAGGACGGGTTGATTCGGTATGTTTATCCGGCTCGTGGAGAAGAAGGGGTTTTGCTGCAATGGGGTCGCGGATGGGCCCTGAAGAGAAGGATCTGCTGCAGGAGAATTGGTGGATGAACTAGGGTCCGGAGGAAGAGCCAGATGCATGGTGTATTCGGAAGCCTGCAGCAGCGTCAGCCGAGTTGATTCACAAGCCTTACAATATTAGACACCCACCTCAATCGGACTCAATATCTCCTGCAATGTAATAACATTGTTCGACAGGGATTTCCCACGATAGATCAGCCGCTGGTTTTCCGCTGGAGGCTGGCTGGGTAGAGTTTCCGAGATACGGGCCTTGAGTTCGGCAACAGTGGTGGAAAGATGGAGATCTTTAAAGGTGAAGCGATTCGGCGGTGGAAGCGATGGGCACAGAATATGCAGCGCGATCGACCGTATCGCATTCTCAGTGGTCGCTGAAGTCGGTCGCTCGTCTGAAGGCAAGGTATCGGAGTTCATTGTGGCAGAATGAAGCTGTGGAGCTATACTCACTCCAGCTCAACTCGTAGATAACAATAGTATCAGCTTCAGCCTGAAAGATAGATATCAGCATCATCAGCTAAGCAATTTCGAAAGCTCATCCAGGAAAAGCGCAGAAGACCAAGGCGGCAAATAAGGAAGTAGTAGATCACGTACAGCGTGGCGAGTTTGCTGTCAACAAAAGCACGCAGACTTGCTGGAGACACTGTCAACTTCCACCTAGATGTCAGCTAGGCCTCTTACATATCACCTCTCTCGCCCGTGGTGTAAAAGATCTCGATCATCCCCGTCGTTTCGATCACGCCAGCCTGTCGCATGCGCGGAGACGCTGACGTTGCTTCCCGTTTTGGTCCGGAAGATCTCTCCTTCCGATCTGCCGGGCGGTGACCCGAAGAGGAAACGCTGAATGGTTTCATCGTCACCAAACAGAGGGAAGGACGAAAGACTGCCAAAAAAAAATACCTGACGATTGTCCTCACCACGCCTCTCCTGGCTACAGATTTCCCGTTGATGGAGTAATATAATCCTGCAATATGGCCTTGTGCCCTTCTACCCGCTCTATATTTTCACGTCGGTTTTGTGCAGCCACTCCCTTGACGGGGAGGGCTGTGTTGATGCACAGTATGTCCTGCAAAGTCGTTGTTGGCCGCCTTAACAGCACAGGCAGGCGATTCTCAACCTCTCGATACTGGAGAGACTCCCATAATGAAAATAACTATGGTACTGGAAAGGGCTCTTTTGGATCTCGCCTGCGCTTTGCTCTGCGAACCACCAAGATCGAGTGGTATCCAATCCCTGTCGGTCTAGGAATTGGTCTTCTCGGATTACTGCAATTCTATAAAAGTCAGCGCAAAGAGAAGGAGCGGTTAGAACGGGAAGCAGCCGGCGAAGTCTGGCAAGATGGAAAGCCTCCACGTCGTGAAAGGATCCGGCCGAGTGGACCCTGGCAGGTCCAGATTATGTCCACATTACCTCTAAAGGCAATGTCACGGCTGTGGGGTCGCTTCAATGAACTGGAATTGCCGTACTACTTCCGTGTTCCTGGATTCAAGCTCTATTCGTGGATTTTTGGAGTCAATCTGAGCGAGGTGGCCGAGCCTGACCTGCATACCTATCCAAACTTGGCTGCATTCTTCTATCGTCAGCTGAAGCCCGGTGTCCGACCTCTGGATCCCGACCCATCAGCGCTTCTGGCCCCCTCCGATGGGCGCATTCTCCAGTTCGGTACGATTGAGCGCGGCGAGGTGGAACAAGTGAAGGGAATGACCTACAGCCTGGATGCTCTCCTGGGTGCAGCGACCCCTACTCACGCCGACCATTCAAAGAAGTTTACAAACCACACCGAGGAGCTTGCTGCTCGACATGACGCTACCATGGATGCCCACGAGGAGTTTGCAAGAGTGAATGGCATTTCCTATACATTGCCAACGCTTTTATCGGGCGAAACAGACGCAACTGTGAAGAAAAGGGCATCTCTGGATGCCTCTGTTGCGTCCAAAGATGTGGCCGAGGCCGAAGTCAAGGCTGATCTCGCCCGCGGGGATGGCGCTTCCTGGTATGCACCCAAGCCTCTGTCAAACAATGCGCTGTTCTATGTGGTTATTTACCTGGCCCCTGGCGACTATCACCGATTCCATTCTCCTGTCCCGTGGGTCGTGGAGAGCCGACGTCATTTCGCCGGAGAATTGTACTCTGTTTCGCCCTATCTCCAACGCCATCTGCCTGGCCTTTTCACCCTGAATGAGCGCGTCGTTTTGCTGGGTCGCTGGCGCTGGGGCTTCTTCAGTTACACCCCTGTTGGCGCTACCAATGTTGGCTCGATTAAGATCAATTTTGATCGCGAACTGCGGACTAACAGCCTGACCACCGATACCGCTGCGGACCTTGCGGCCGCCTTGGCCGCCAAACGTGGCGAGGCCTACCCCGGCTTCGTGGAAGCGACTTACCGCCACGCCAGCAGGACTCTGGGCGGCCATCCTCTCCAACGCGGTGAAGAGATGGGAGGCTTCCAGCTGGGTTCGTCTATCGTCCTGGTTTTTGAAGCTCCCATGGGATCTCGGAACCCCCTCGACGCAGGTTGGGAAGGAGGCGAGCGCGAGGGAGGATGGAACTGGACGATTGAGAAAGGCCAACGCATTCAAATGGGCCAAAAACTTGGGTTTGTGAAGGAGTAGACGGCTTCAGCCATTAAAACGGAACGGAACGGCTTATGTCGTACTATGAGATTTTCAACAAATTCGGTGTATGTGTTTTTCTATGCTTATGGTTTGCTTCATCACGCAAACATTGCCTGTATTATAATATTTTCTCATCCTTGACAGTGTTAGATACCAGGTGGCAGCTCTTAGCGAGTGAGCAGCTTTTTCTATATACTGATGATTAGTTTAGGCATTCGTAAGACATCCTTACTATGTATTAATACCATGAATACCTACTCATAAGCGTTGTAGATACTTTCTTTTGTATGTAGATCATCAATGCAAGGACCTTACTTACGCCTTGGCAACTTTATCGCCGAGGCGATAAAAACATCCCACGAAGAGCTCCCAAGCTCAGATAGAACTAAGCAGGCTCGACCACACTATGCTGCTTGACAACGAAAGACCCCGCCAGCGCTCAGTCAACCTGTATCTCTCTAATTGATCTCCGGCCTCACTCAGAGCCAAAACCCATCCATCCACAATGCCTCGCAACCTCCTCCGCCGTCACCCCGCCCCTTCCGCGCGCGAACCAGTCAACAATACAGACCCAGATCCAGAAACCCCACAGCTACGCTCGAGTCGAGCTCGACCCGCGCAGGCAGTCGCTCATCAATCATTCCAGACACCGCCTCAGCTCCCAGCTGCCTCGTTACCGCCGCAATTGCTTCCATCGTCCGGCCCGACGTTATCTCATCCAGCCGCTGCGGCGCAAGCAGCCCTGACGTCGATGTTTGGGCGCGGGGGCCCTTTTAGGAATCGACGTCACGTTCAGATGATGGACGAGGATGATTTCGAGGAAGAAGAACATGAGGCAGAGGCGGAGTATTTGGATGATGAGCAGGAGGGGTCTACGCAGGGTCCCGACGTCACTTTTGAAGGGGATGACGACGAGGAAGCACCAGACGCAGACGAGATGATCGGAGATGAACTGGGAGATGACGAAGATCTAGATGCTGAGGACATTGACGATCTAACAGGAGATCGAGGTAAGACTGTTACTTCGTTGGCTGTAATCCCGCGGCAACCTTGAGGCTAACTACTTTTTTCTATAAAAATCTTCCAGAGCGATCGCCATCCCCTTTACCTACAAATCTTCGCGAAATATCCTCGCTGGCATCATGGACAGTCTCCACGCACAAACCGGGCTGCGGTGTCGCAGCGTTGCGCAACCCCTCGCCCTCGCAGTACTGGCAATCAGACGGGCCGCAGCCTCACACTCTAACACTACATTTCTTCAAGCTCGTTGCTGTTGTCAAAATCAGAGTGTACCTCGACTTCGATCTCGATGAGAGCTATACGCCAACGAAGATGATCTTTCTTGCGGGGATGGGCGGCAACGATCTCGTCGAGTTTGCCATTTGGGAAGGCGAAGGGCCATGCGGCTGGGTCGATATCCCACTAGATGGGGTTGGGGGAAGAAACGGTGGCTGGGCCTCTACACAGCAGAAGCGGAGAAGAAGACGATTATCAGGGAAGGGTCACAGTCCTAGGAAGAAGGGTGCGGATGATTACTTGTTTTCAGATTCGGATGATCATGGCGAATACCATCATGATGATACCGATGAAGCAATGGACGATGAGACGACTGATGATGACGCCGATGATAAATATTCCGGGAACGTTCTCAAGGCGATGGTCATCCAGATGCGCGTGATGGAGAACCACCAAAACGGTAAAGATACCCACGTCCGTGGCTTCCAGGTGTTTGCGTGCGATGAGGACCGTCGCCGTATTGGGACCGCTCCCTCTGCTTCGGCCAGTACCCAGGCCCGAAAACAGAGCATCCGCAAGTCCCTCCGTGCCGGCAAGGATGACGATATGCTCCATCCAGAGGTAGATGAGCAGGGAGATGCAAGAACAGCTACGAACCTGGAGGAGCCAGATTGGATGGGCGAGCCTATCATCCGATAAACAACATGGAACGATGCCTCTCTGACTTAGTCCATTTATTTGTATTTCTATTTCCCCTTGAGGTGGCGTCCCAAGAACTCGGTGTTTTCGATACCCCCATTCCGTTACTTCTCATCTATGGAACGACAAAGAAAGTCCTCTTTTGTTTATCCTTTCATATTTATGGGTTTTATTGTAGACTATCTCTCTCTCTTTCTCTCGTATATCATCATGGGGTTTTTTTTGTTTCATACTGAAATTAGCAGAGAAGCACTTAGCAACCCCTAAAAGTCAAAATGGTACCCATAAGGTGAATGCTCCAGTCATTTCTAGTATATAGAGGGGGTATGTCGGGAAAATGAAAAAAAAAAGAAGAATCAATTAAGAAGAATGAAAACAATACCATTTTGAGTGAAAGCTGTTCATCTAGTTCAGGAGCTTCTCCAGCTCGGCAGCAACCGCGTCACCGACCTCCTTGGTGTTGGCAGTGCCGCCGATATCGCCTGTACGGACGCCAGCCTCGATCACGTTGCTGACGGCGGTCTCGATGGCTTTGGCGATTTCGAAGAGACCGAAGGAGTACTGCATCATCAGGCCGACGGAGAGGATAGCGGCGACGGGGTTGACGATGCCTTGGCCGGCGATATCGGGGGCGGAGCCTAATGAATTAGTAAATGAATCACTAGATATAAGAAGGTGAAGGAAAGGAGGAATTATTTTCATACCGTGGATAGGCTCGTAGATACCGTTGACCCTGCTCTTGCCGTCGGGGATACCGCTCAGACTAGCGCTGGGGAGAAGGCCGAGCGAGCCCGGAATGACACTGGCCTCATCGCTGATGATGTCTCCGAAGAGGTTGCTGGTGACGACGATTCCGTTGAGCTTGCGCGGGTCCTTGACCATGATCATGGCGGCGGAGTCGATAAGCTGGTGGCCGATCTGGACCTGGGGGAACTCCTTGGCCATGACCTCGGTGACGACCTTGCGCCACAGACGGCTGGTGGCGAGGACGTTGGCCTTGTCCAAGCTCCACACGGGCAAGGGGGGGTTGTGCTGGAGAGCGAGGTGGGCGGCCAGACGGGTGATGCGCTCGATCTCGGCGCGCGAGTAGGGCTCGGTGTCCATGGCGAACCCGCTGCCGTCATCCTCCTTGCGGTCACCAAAGTAGATACCGCCGGTCAACTCGCGGATGATGTTGAAGTCGACGCCCCGGCACACCTCGGCCTTGAGCGGGGAGCTGTCGACCAGGGAGGGAGCAGCAAAGTTGCAAGGGCGCAGGTTGCCAAAGGTGCCCATTTCCTTGCGGAGCTTCAAGATACCCTGCTCGGGACGCACGGCACCAGTTCCCCATTTCTTCAAGAAAAAAGTCAGTCACAAGAAAAAAAAAAGATAGAACAAATCTTGTCGACCTACCGGCCCACCAATGGCACCCAGGAAAACGGCATCAGCGTTCTTCGCGGCATTCAGAGCCTCATCCGTCAAGGGAACTCCGGTAGCATCGATGGAGGCCTATGGTTCATTCAATCGTAAGTATTTGTTGGTCTGTAATTCCTCCTCAAGATATACTCACACCACCCAGCAGATGGTCCTGGAGGTTGAAGCTCAGGTCGCTACGGCTTTTCTCGATGACGCGGAGGACCTAATTCGCAAAAGAAAAAACAGGTCGGATTAGCTCATGATCAATTGTATTGAGACAATGCCTCCTCTCCAAATAGAAAGGCTCCTCTCACCTTAACAGCCTCCGCGGTCACCTATGGCAGTCATCCTAGTTAGCTTGGCCTCTGTTGGCTTGTGTGGAGTTGGTTAAGACGTTACCTCAGGACCGCAGTGGTCTCCAGCGAAGACAACAATGTTGAAAGAAGGCATTTTGGAAGGCGGGAGGGAGGAATAAATTATGGGAGCAGGACGAGGGATGAATCACAGTTGACTTGTTTCGCAACAGATATTATATTCCCTTGGAGCTTGCCAGCTTAACTTGCACATTATGGAGGGGCGCAAAACACCGACCCCGCGCTCCGACACCGGCTCCGGCAGCGGAATCCAGAACGGCTTGTTTTTACCCGGACAGAGGAGTCATATGTAGTACATGCCAGTAAAAGTTCTATTTGTGCAGTCATTGAGCAAAAGGATGGATTAGATAAATGATTAGAAAAAAAAGTTAACCTAGGTGACAAGAAAGCGAAAAAGGAGAAACATGTCATCGCAGAACAAAGCATACTCCCTCCCCGCCGATTCCCTACCGAGACGCATGACGAGATGAGACAAGAGACAAAAAGCATACAAAAACAAAAAAAAAAAAAATCCTGATGACCGGAGACAGCTGAAGTAGTGCTTCTTTTGAACTCCGCGACAACGTACCTAGAGCTCCAGAGCCATGCACAAGACGACAATCTGCCAAGGAAAAAGACAAGTCCTCTACGAACGATGGAAAATGGAATGGGCAGGATACAGTGAAAAACAGGCCCAGGCAGAGGTGGAGGTAAAGAAAGAAAAAAGGATGGAGGGAGAGAAAGAGAGGGGTAAATGGACCCTTATGTTCAATGAGGACGGAGAAGACTGTTTCCCAAGTCGTGATGGCGATCCGAACGAAAGCGAAGACTTAGATCTTCTTGCCGTTCTGAGCGGCTCGGCGGCGGGCGACATCACCTTCTGCCAGCCACTTGCTGGCCTTGACCATCTGCACGACGTTGATTAATTGCTTGAGAGCCATGACCGGGAACGAGACGCCGGTGATGATCCACGGCAAGGTGCTGTCGATCTTGTTGGCCCGGGCCATCTCTAACGCACCGGCGCTCCACGGGCTGGCGAACAGGCTGGAAGGAGCCGGGTGGGCAGGGTTGCCGGGGAGAGCAGACGACGGCTCAGGGTCGGCAACCGGCTGTAGGAGAGAGGGCGAGAGAATGGGAGAAGAGAAGGAGAGCAGATACAGGCCGATAAAGAAGGCCTCGTTGAGAAAGCAGCAGATGAAGAGCACAGTCTGCAAGGGACGGAAGGGTTAATGAATTAAGAACGAGTCTATATCGGGAAACGCTAACACGCACCTTGCTGTGGTAGTACTGATAAAGGATCCAGCTTCTGCTCGAGTCCACCTTCTTGTGACTCTGGCCAGAGCCGCCCATGCTCAAAGTAGCATACATGTGCATGTAATGGCTCGCCAGGTCTAGGGCGATCAGGCTCTGGAACACAATGGCCCATCGCGGCCAGGCGGAGCTCAAAAAGACGAGCAGACACGCAGTGGTACACCGATCCGTGACCATATCCAACACCGCACCGAAGGTCGTGGACTGGTTAAAGTACCGTGCGGCATAGCCATCCAGGGCATCCAGCAGACATGATATGGTATAGAGGATGGAGCAGGTTCGCGGGTGCAGCGGCATGTAGTAAAGCGAGGCAATGGTGAGGACCACTCGTGCGTATCCTACACATCAGACCGAGGTATCAGCTTGTGTATGATCTTGCTGCAGGACAGACGCCGTGCGCCGCTTACCGATCAGATTCGGTATGAACAGGAAGATATTCTCTGTCGATTCCTCCTCCGTATCAGATGAGACATTCTTCTTCCTTCCCTGCTTCGGCGAAGACCTGGTCACAGTATTGCTTGCGCTCGACGAGTCGCTCTCTTCGGACTGGGCGGCCAGAGCGGCCTTTTGCCTTCTTGTTCGTGCAGCCATGTTGCTCTGGGAGGGGTAGGTGATGTATGTTTATGTCTAGGCTGGGCAATCTCACTCGACCTAGTCAGGACAGATAAGGCTGTACTCGGTAGCTCGCACGTAGTGGACAGATAGCGACCAGCGTTGCGGGCGCGCTCAGGGGGTGGTTCGTTATCCAACGGAATTCGCGATCAACGGGCAGAATCAAGACGGCGCGTTTTTCGACAAGAGTGTTGAACCTGTGCGGCAAAATCAACCGAGAGAATCGTTGTCCAGCAAACTGAGGTTTTTTTATCTAGTAAATCCCCCCAAAAAAAATCAGCCCGGTTTGACTAGCAGCTTGTGGCCCACCTTCTGACACGCACCTTGTTCACGCGTCCCGAAGGCGGAATCGCTCGTTGGAACGACGGGGAAACTTTGGCGGGTCGACGATACGCGAGTTCTGTGATCTGGTATCTCGAGATGGACGATTTAGGTCTATAGATGTACTTCGAGGGGGAGTAGATAGCGACCTGCAGACTGCAGGGTTCAGGCCGTGTCTGTTCGTCGATAAGGTATGATAAGCCAGACAGCGGTGGTCTCGAGGACGAGGAGGAGACACCGGCGATCGAGAAGAGAGAGAAAAGAAAATGGATAAGGGAGCGACAGAAAGTTAATGGATGGCAAGGAAGGGAAGGCAAGCTGTGAAGATATCAACAGAGCTCTCAAGCTTTGGTTGTCGTCGGGATGGCCGGGACGGAAACAGCTTCTTGGCCGTGGCCGGAAAGATCATCTTATGACGACCGAAGCAAGTATGGGTTTTGTGTACATTATTGACTATTGCAGCAGCGTCAATTTTTCTCTCTCTTGTTCTATACCTATCCCTTGATGTCCTTGCACCTTCTTATCCCATCCCAGCCTCATTAAGTCTCTTCTTAGCCCCAATATTGAATCTTCGTGTGAATTTCTTCTCTCTACCGTCTCAGCCTCGAGTTTTATCCAGTTATATTAGTTATCTTAATGATGACTATGCCTGCTCAGCTTGACCGGCCATAGGAGAAGACTAGCTCGACTGAAAGTCTGTACAGAAGGTTTATAAGGCTTCTGCCTCGTATTCAGTAGCTAAGTACCTAGACAGCTTCTAGGCTTCTAGGCAGCCTTGGGATTCTCGTAAACTCATGACTCACAGGACATGGCTTTATTGCATACAGTTAAAGGCTTTGATTCTGTCGATGATCCAGTTTATACCTCTTTCCTAATGAAAAGCATCGCACTGAGAAGTGAGACCACTTATTGACCATCATGGTGGCACCACCATCACCAGACACCAACAACCCAGTTTACTTCTGGAAACCAGTAGGAGAGTATGGATTCCTAGGACAGTGGTGGCCATCATCATTTGAATGGGAGAATGAGGATGGCAAATACACCTACGCAAATGCAGAACAGTAATAAACCTCAAATCCTAAACAAAGATCAGACATCTTCTAACTATAATCCTTGCCCAAGATACATGATGCATCGTAAAGCGCTCCTCTTCGCTGGACCAAGCCACCCCATCACGCAAAAGATCCAGAAAGGCTGGAGACTGAAACCGGGGGCGATTCGCAATCTAGGCCGAAAGATCCCTCACTTCTCGGAGGAAGTGTGGGAGGAGCAGAGATTCGCAATCGTGCTGGAAGGCAACTATCTCAAATTCTCGCAGAACGAGGGCCTCAAGGCGAAATTACTTGCAACGGGGGATCAAGAGCTGGTCGAGGCAAGTCCGCGGGATCGCGTCTGGGGGGTTGGATTCGGAGCAGCGTATGCAGGTGCCAACCGAAGCGAATGGGGCTTGAATTTACTGGGCAAGGCACTCATGGAAGCAAGAGGGAGGTTGGCGAGGGAGAATCTCTGCAAGGCTGAAGTTATGTGACTGAGCCGGGCGAGAAAGAATATTCCATTGTAGGTCCTCTTCGCTTTGGATATCAATTTCATGACGTCGAAAACCCGGAATGAAAATAAAGGTTGTCAAAGGCCTTGATTTGATTGATGCTCGTGTATATACAGTTGTTTAAGCAGATGAAAAAAATATGTACAGAAAAAAAGAAGGGGAAAAAAAAACACATGCAATTACTACAAGTCAGCCTTTTTAAATCATCTTCCAAAACCCCGTTCATCTCCGTGACCTGCGCGGATCTGTCGCATCCTGTCGTCGCCATTCCCGCGACTCCTTGGTGCCCATACTGCCGACGCCTCCTTCTAGTCGCCGCTCCCAGCCGCCAAGTCGGACCACGAGACACGTTGCGTTGTCGCCTTCCTTGGTGACCTCGGTTGCGAAGCTGACGACGTCGCGTGCGCCTTGGTCCGGGGTTTTGGCCTCCTTGACGATATCGACGATCTCCTGATCTTGGAGCGTACCGCTGATCCCATCGGACATAAGAACCAAGAACGAGTATTCTGCGGGGCCCATCTCGATGCGTTTGATCTCCGGCTCCGCGGAGACTCCGATTCGTTTCGACTGCATGTCACCAAAGGCTCGGGTGTTGGCCAGCCCGCTCATGCGCTCCTCGCCGAACGAATCGGTGACAAACGTCGCCGCATAGCGGCGCAGCCGGTTCGCCTCGATGGGTGAAGAAGGGTGGTGGTCGGAAGTAAGAGGGATGGCAAGCCCGTTTGTCGTCGAACAGAGTAGGATCCTCGTATCGCCTACATGCGAGATGAGAAGACTCGACGGTGCAGCGGGATGCCAGAAGGGCGCGGGCGTCGGGGTGGAGATCATGGCCACACTGCAGGTGCTTCCACCTTTGAAGCGTTTGCGGCCCCCGATCTTCAACGAGCGCGTCTGGCTGGGGCTGTACAAAATGTCGTCTTCGTTCAGAGGCTGGTCGGCCTGAACGACGTCGTCGTCCCGCTTCGCTGCTTGCGCCGACACAAAGTCTAGGTCTGCTCGCAGAAACGCGTATTCCATCACCTCTTCAATGGTGACCCCGCGATCGCCGTCGTCCACCGCATCACTTGTCGAGTCCGCTTTCTGGCTCAAACACGAAAAATGCGGCGGGACGAATCTCTTGAAATACCCTCCAACCATACCCCTCCAGTCGTCCAAGAGTTCCCTTTCCAGTTCACTAATTCTTTGGGAATTCCCTCTCTGAACAATCGGCAGAAGCTGTTGGGAAGACTCGGTGTCTTCGAGCTCATCCTTTGTACATTCGCCCGCCTCGCCCGCCTCGCCTGGCAGGCTTCTCCTTTCCTGCCTTATACTAGACTGTAGCTCGAATTCCGCCGCCGCGCACTGTATGTACTCGTGTAAGTTCTCCCGTAGAAAGTTACTGCACTCTGCTCCGCCATGGCCGTCGAAGATGCCAAAGTAGAATACTTGCGGATCCCCGCTCGCTGTGTCCGCAGCACGATTTTCCAGAGGCGGCGGGTTAGACGCGCCCGATCGCCGGATAGTCAGGGATCTGGGGGCCCGTTTGGCAAAGGCCGGGATATCGAGCACCCCGGCCTGATGGGCATCCTCGTTTGCCGGACGGGTGCCCCGCGACGTCGCGACGCCAAAGTGATGCTTCGCGCTCCGCAGCGGGATCCGCACCACCGTCGTCTCACGGCCTACCAGCGGGTGCAGCAGGGCTGGCGAATGCGAAATTTCGCCCGTATGAGGCACGGAGGCGGATCGAGGGAGTTTGTGGAAGGGGGAGATAGGACCCCTGGAATCCGGATGAAGAGAAGACGACGGCAGATGCGTGACGAAGTAATCGTGGAATTGGCCCCGTTTCGTCGCCTTGCTGATATTATTCAACAACGGAACGCAGTGATCGCTGACATGGCGGATCCCCAGGGATACAGCGAAGCCTAAAAAATGAAGAAAAAAAGACCAGTCAGTGATAACTACGTTCGTTCACCTGTCGGAGATAAGCACTGTGCAACACACGTACAGGGACAGTCAGCCAGCGTCCAGACCTGGACGGTTACCCGCTTCGCAGAAATCCCAATCATGAATGGCTAGACATTGACAAAAAGATGCGACCGGGAGCACACACGTCTCACCTCTGAAGGAGAGAGGGAAGGAGAGGAGAGAGGGGGGGTAGGAAGAAAGCGACAGAGCAGAAGAGAGGAGAACCGTAAAGAGTGTTGAGCTGGAACTGGCCCGGTCCGATCGGAGTAGAGACAGGGCAAAAACTCTCAGGGCAGACGGGCGGCAAGAAAAGAGCCAGAATATCGCCCCGAGGACTTCTTACCTCCTGCAGGGCTGTATGAAAGCGAAAATAAAAGATACAGTGTAAATTCTATCCTCCTTGCAGTTGTTTTTGATAACTGTAGAGGATCACTCTGCCATGATTGCAGTAACCAGATCCTTCCTTCAGTGCCAACGTCATCGTCTTCCGGCCAGATTTAAAAGCGCTCTTTTCGATTAGCAAACGAGACACAAGAAGCCCGTCAAATTATTAGAATCTGTGGAATTGATTCTACAAGCCAAGGCGCTATTCTTCTACACTACAGAGACTACGCCAGAGCGAACGAGATGGCTCTAGAAGAGTATTATTGCATTGAAGTACTGACAGAAGGGCTCCTATAAACATATCATCTGAGACGCAGCCGATCGGCCTGAATTTGAAAACCATGGATAGCAAAGTATTTGGACGAAGAAAAAAAGAAGCAGGCACCTACCAAGGGCAGGGTCGTCTCTACCACCCAGCCAAAGAGCGCGTGTGGTTCTGCCATCGTGATTGTGCCTAATAACGACAATTAGATTGAATACCTACCAAAAAAAAAAAAGGAATTCCGGGCGAAGATGGAACACGAGGCGACTTTTGGTTTTTTCAGATGGCCTTGGTGCGAGAGAACAGACTGCTGTAGACAGCATCGACGACGGGCTGTGCAGTGATCTGTTTACCGCCGAAGAAACGGCCGTTGAGACCCTTGATAGCGTTTTCGCCGCCCTGAACTCGGTCAAATTTCAGGTAGATGTCGCCTTGAGAGTTGGGATCTAGAGCAATGTGAACAACATGGCCATATTTTTCTTCGCACTCGGCGCGGACGTCATCCTCCAACTCCTTGATCCACTCTTCGCCCTCTTCACTGTAGAAATTGTTAGTGTTCTATCAGACTACAGGAATGGCAAGAACGACTGCAGTGAGTGGGTATTTCGACTTACTCAGAAGGGTCGAACATGTTGCGAAGCAAAACACATCGGCTAGCCATGTTGACGTTGACAGGTAGCGGCTTCGTTTCGGCCTTGGGTCGAAGAATCTTCTGCTTTTCATCGGCCGCCGGCTCAGCCGGTTCATCGGTTCTCGCGAGTTTGCGCATCAAGGCGTCCCTACTATAGTTGCTGAAATTAACGCCGGCAACATCTGTATCATCCAAAGCGCTCGCACCAGCGCCCTTTTCGGTATCTCTGGCACCGGCCCGGTCGAAATTGTTGTTCCCACCAGCCTGCACACCACGTCCACCGTGGCCGGAGAAGAGCGAGCCCTGGAAGTTATGTTGGCTTGCTGATTCCCTCTGACTACGTGCACCCGAGTCCGAGGTGGTGAACTTATCGTTGCCAAGGCCAACGCGGATCGCTCGACCAGCAAGATCGAAACCGTTCATCTTTTCCAACGCATCTCGAGCCTGATTAGGATCACGGAACCTAGACAGCATCTCAATCAGTCGTTGCTCGGCGAGTTTAGTAAAGTCTCAGGAAACTACTCACTGCACAAAGCCATAACCCCTGCTTCGTCCAGTCTCATCCTTCTGGAGCTGAACGAATTCAAGTTCGCCAAATGGCTCAAAAACATTCTGGATATCACTCTCAGTAATACTGAAATGGATGTTACCCACGTACAACCTGTGAAACGGCGCCGAGGTATTGCTTGCACTGGATGCCTCCGCCGGGTTGCGGGCTTGTCGGTTCTTCTCAGCTTCGGTCAGCTGTGCGATTATTGGGATTCCTAGAAGCTTCTGCCCTGTAAGCTGAATCCCAAGAGGGACTGATTCTTCGCTTCTGAATTCAACGTAGCCAACACTGTAGGTTTTTTCCCCCCTTTGTTAGATCCTCGATCTTTATAATAAGAAAAGATGGGGGCTAGAGGTAAACTCACCCTTTGGACCTCCCGCTAACTCGGTCCTTGACAATCTGTGCTTCCTTCACGGGTCCGACCTTTTCAAAGAAGGCGATCAATTCTTTGGTTCTCAACCGCGCTGCAAGCTGCTGGACAAAGATGGTACGCCGATCGCGTTCATCTTCATTTGGCTCCGGGGTCTTGGTGCGCTCCTGACTGGGGCTACGTTTACGTTCGCGGCGGGGGCGTCTGTCCTCGTCTCGCTCGTCACGACGAGACCGTCCCGAGGGACGGTAGTAGCGATCATCATAGGGGGACCGAGAGCGAGAGCGAGCTCGGCCACCACCACGATAAAAGTCGCCGCCGGATCGGTAGTCCTCCCCATAACGGTCCCGGCGAGCGCGGCTCCTGCTCCTCTTTCTGCTTCTATGGCTTCCGTTAGCACTGCCGTGTTCGCTTCTCGGACTTTTCATTTCTTCATCTCCATCGGCATCACGTTCGCGGCGGCGGTCACGGCTTCTGTTTCGTCGCCTACGCTCTTTCTCGCGCGAGCGATCACGGTCACGGCGCTCGCTGGGGTCGGCTTTCGAGTGGCCATCGCGATCTTGGGATTGGGGTGTGTCTTGAGCGGAGGGAGCAGCGGTCGACTCGAGAAGGGCTTCAACATCTAAACCGGACATCTTGCCGATATATTCAAGGGAACTCCCGTTCTTCCTGGGCGTAGCTGAGAATAGAAATAGCGCAAATGAGGGTCTTTCAAGTCACTTGGATCTCGTTAGAGAGCGGTAGCTTAGGAGGCGTTGACTGAGAAGCGAACCCTTCAATTTTTGGTTCAGTCACGAGGGCCAGACTGCAAGTTCTAAAATTAAATAAAGAAGTGGTCTTGATTGAGAAGAAAGGAACTGTCTGAGATGAGGGGATTAATGTTCAGTGTTAGGAGTGAACTGGAGATTAGGCTGGGAAAAGATAACTAAGGGAGATGTTTCCGCCGCACTCTCACGTGACTTGATATTCGCCTCCTCAGAAGTCCATCAGAGATTTGGAATTGTATTAGAGCAAAGGCTTCTCAGATTGGTCTGCAAGGTTCAAATTATCTAGATCTTGATGAAATTGAGAAAGTAGAGTTAACCTATAATTAAAAATGGTACCATTATATATTAAGTAATCGTATGTGATCAAGGAATAATACAGTGACAGGGCCAACAACAGGGAAAGTCAGGGGGAAATGGTACACCAAGCGACCTCTGCTGCTGGACAAGCGGGTGAAGCTGTTGACAGTAATGTATAAATAGGAAAAAGCCACTTAAGCCAGAATGAGGTCGTACCCGTCATGATATCGTGTTTCGAATTAGAACCGTATGGGACACAAGAGTAAACATTCACATGGAACTTGATTAGTAGGGGGAAGGCAAGGCTGAGACAAGGCAGCCCTCTACTGGGTCTTCAAGGCCTTAGGAGGGGGGGTCAGGATCTCAGTGCCAAACATTCTGTCCCAAAAGCGGCTGGTCACCCCGAAACCGTTATCAAAATCGGCGAAATGATGCTGGAGGTGATACTTCTTCAAGGACTTGTAGTACGAAGGGAGGCTATAAATGCGGCATCAGTAAACGGCTGGCCTACAGATGAAATAATGGACAAGAGACACCGGCTGGACTCACTTGCGATGATGAAGGAAGTAGTGGGTCATATCATAGCAGATATACCCGAAAACTCCACCACAGTACACAGTCAAGGCGGCATACCAGTTGTAGAAGAAGACTGCGTGGGCCAATTTCCAGAACGGGGCGGCAAGAACGATGAAAAGAGTCGGGGGCATGACCAGTCGGTACTTGTCCATGGGGAGGTAGTGGTGAATGCCGTGCAGGAGGAAATGTAAAGTCAGGCCGACGCGATTATCAGGGAGGTACCTGTAGGAACGTTAGTTATGGTAAGGGAGATGATAACCAGGAAAACAATCATCAACGTACTTGTCAATGTGGAAGAGGAACCGGTGCATAAGATACTCGATCAGCGTCCAAAGGAACAGGCCACCGACCCAATAGGCAGCTGCAATCGAGGCATTGCCCAGTCCAGACAATCCAACAATGGTCCCGTATGTCACCGGCGGAAGCCACATAATAGGCACCACATACCAGGCGGTCTTGCTGAGTGGCTCAAGGAAGTTGCCAAACAAGGGCGCTGATTCTCCTCCTTTGTAGTGGCGAGGACGATGGATCTGTTCCAAGTAGAACTCCTTGGAGAAACCACTGTTCCAGAGCTGGAGTAGAAGTGGCTTGTTGAGGTCGAGGAACTTGTGCGTCTGATAGTCTCTGCTGTAGTCCGTTTCTACGGACAAGTCCTCTTCCCTAGACATGCCCGTGGTCGCGTACACCGGCCCATCTTCAGACCCATCCACCTGAGTATCCTTCGCGTTGCCGTTTGCCTGGGGGTTCTTCGAACCGGGCCCAGCGCTCAGAAAGCCGATATGATAGTCGTCAAGAATTTCATAGGCGGAATCGGTATGTCTATGAGAAACCTCATCCTCCAAGATCTCGCGTACATCTTTGCCAGCGTATTCCAGAACGAGATCGCCACCTCCGGGGTGGTCCTCAACAAAGGGCGTGATATCAAACACCTTTCTTCCCAGGGTCACATAGCACGATTTCGCGGTGTTATGCGATTCGACCTCGGCCGAAGTGAAGGTAGGGAGAGTCTTTCCAGGCATGGTCGACGATGGAGGGAACAGCGAAGTTCGGATCGGAGGGATCAGGGGGCCACGTCGAACAGCTTCGTACAACTTCCAGTTGGAGCAGAGAGACGCAAAGAGTGGGCTGTTCAGGTGTCCAGATCAGAGTGCCGCAGGCTTTTAATCAGTTAATAACAGACCACCAGGGAGTGGCGTGAGAGTTGCCCGGTATCCAGGATTCGCGGGTCCGATGGGCTCCGTGGCTAAAATTTGGTCGGGCTTCAGGAACAACAGGAACCGTTTTCCACTCAATCAGCAATAGCTAGTTGGCATCGAGATACAGGGGACGCGTAGAAAGCCTTTCAGATAAACAAGTCACAGTGTTTCAATTACTGCATAGGTATGAGTTAAGCTGGGAGTCACTGGTAATTATACAGTAGGAAATATGAACAGGGGTGCTTCGCGACTCCTGAATAATTAATTGATTAGGTAAAGTCGATGCCGATCGAAATAGCTGACTAAGAATGGCATAGTCAAGCCCTAAGCCCTAACTACCCAGTTAGTTTATGGGGTACCTTCAATGCTGGCACTGGCATTATTACTCTGTCAAACTCCTTACTCTTTCTATCCAGCTCTAACAAATGAAACCAGGACCAACATTTTGAAATTCTTAAAACCAAGGATCGAGAAAATCAAGAAAGACGGGGGTGTCTCGCAAACTCCCTGGCCAACACAGACAGATCTAGAGTATCTGGTCGAGCTATCCACTACGCCACGGCCCCTATTTATCGATGCAGACACTGTCTGTCGCTTTGTCTATGATCGGAGTCGCCGTAGGTTTAAAGCCCCTGTCAAGCGACCGAGTCTCTGGTTCATGCAGACAGAGAAGAGCCTGTAACCCTCGCAGCTGACAGAAATGTATACCCTCATCCTGTTCAAGGACAGGAGGACGAAGAGAATCCAATATCACTAGCAACTGACATTCTCGGAGAGGTAAATATTGTTGCCTCTCCCCTCCCTACCACAGTATGAGCAGTGCTCTTGAATATAGAGAAGGACGACATTCGCCGATACCTCCAAGAGCTCTAGGCACTTCTGAATGTTCCTGATATGCAGCACATTCAGTGCAGATCCGGCACAAGCCTTTCAGCGATTTCCTGTTGGCTACAGGAGAGGAACAGCTGGCCCCATTTCGAGTCGTTGCAGAAGAGACACATGGAAAGTTGGCATTGAGATGCTTAGAGATCATGGACACCATGCTTAAACAAGACATCTGCAACATCAAAGACCCTGGAAGGGAGATTAAAGACATCATCAAACATAACATTACACCTGAGCTCGAATATGCATGTCATTACTGGATATATCGTCGGCCGCACAGTGAGCTATATGTGTTGGACGACAATAAAATCTATAACTTCCTGCAGCGTGACTTCCTTCACTGGGTAAAGGTTTTATCCCTCCTCAGGATGATTCCGGAGGGCATTATATTAGCTATAAGACTGCAGCAGGCTATTCCAGGCGGGTACCAAGGGTGCGGATCCCTGAAGTCTGTTTCTGTATGATGCAGAACGACTTCTGTCCAGCTACGGGTCCATAGTTGAGACAATTCCTTTACAAATCTATGGCACTGCTGCCACAATCTGTCCGAATGGGGAGAAGGCAGCTGAACACACAGTCTTGCCACAGTCAAGAGCTTCATGCTGGGCTTCGCGGTGGTTTTTCATACACCAGGTAGCTGGAGTGCGAGAGAAATGGGACTCCTGCATCCAAAAACTTGAGGGGGACAGGCACCAAGTATCAAGTGTCACATTTTCCCGGGACAACAACAGCATTGCATCTGGTTCAATCGATGGCATGGTTTGTATATGGAATGCGGCCACAAGAGCTCATCAGCAAACTCTTGACTGCAGCAAGACTGTGTGTTCAGCTGCCCTCTCCCCAGACAACCAAAATATTGCAGCAGGCTTAGAAAATGGAAATTCTAGGATCCGGAATACAGCCACGGGGTCTCGATGATTCACTCCAAGGCGTGGATAGATGGATAACGTGCGAGGTGGGAAGACTCTTCTTTGGCTGCCTCCTGACTATAGGCCAAATTATGGACCCGATTGCGTTGCTACCAGTGGTGATACTCTAGTCAAAGGCGATAAGTCTGGCGGAGTGATATTACTGGACTTTACCTTCTCTAGCTGAATATGAATGAGAAGCATAAAAGATAAAGTCACAGGGTTATAAGCTTGCAAGAGCCCTCCAGAATTTACCAACTATGCCATGAGCAACAATATAGCATTCGCTAATCTAATTCTTCAATTCAAGAAGAGTAGTCATATTTCGGTGGAGGATCATCAATAAGATCGAATGAGTTGTCATAATTAAATCCAATCAGGCCCATCAATGAAGAATAGGAGATTCGGTGATAATACCCAGTCGTCTTGTCAAGACTAAATATCTTCTCATAATAAGATCTTTTTTCCGGACTGAGCTGAAAGCCCCTGGCCTCCTTGCAACAGTGACACTCAAAATTGCAATGACCAGCTGCAAATTTCCATTTTGATAGATACTGGTGATTAGAGCAGCATCCAGCTTTCTTCTACGGCATCCTCCTCTCCACACACAATCTTTACGCAGTACACGGTGCATATGCCATCTCGGGTGTGATCGCCAGAAGTTCATTACTTGGGTAAATGGAGAATCCTGGATATTGCCCCTATGTATCCACCAATTTCGTTCGAGTTCCCAGTAGCGTTTATTCTGCTGTTCAAGATTTGCCTTTAGATCCTGAAGAAGAGCTGTATACTTTGTGCGATCTTCTGCGGTGACGAGTTGCTTCTCACAGGCCGCCAGCTTAATATTAAGGGCTGTCTCCAGCTGAGTGCTTTCCCGAAGGTGATATTCTTCCGTGAGCAGCGATTAGAGTCTGTGAAGGCCTTGCATTTCAGGATCTAGGTTCATTAAATACTGCCATCGTTTCTTCTGAAGGGCGTTGATCTCTTCGGGGTTTTCTAGATTAGGTCTCCAGGCTAAATATTCCTCCATGTTAGGAATAGGAAAGTAGAAAAGTAGGCAGAATTCAAGAGTAAATAACTGGTGAAGTCTTGTCATATCCATGATGTAACTATCTACCTAGGCAATGGTGAATGTATAGAACTAAGCCTATTCGGTCTATATCATATATGGTATCTAGGGCATAATAATAGGGCTGTTATCTGCGCTTATCGCAGGACGAGGATCAATTAGAAGCCTGACACAATGTTTGATATTATGCTCAAGCATCTAACAAAGACATTCATGGAGGCATTGATTGGGGTACCCATCGAAAGGTCCTCTTCGAGGGATCAGTAAATACCTACGTGAAAGGTCTCAGATCTACAGCAGACCCTCTAGTGCTATTTTCGTGTCGTCTTCTTACTAGGTAATATATTGTACCTTGTTTACATATCTTTTCAGTCACTACCTGTACCTACCTAGAGAGGTATTCACGTTTTCATTACTCAGTCACTTTTCCTTTTCACTGCTTACCTAGTCTCTTCCCCCCCATTCTTCTAGGCGTCCAAGTCAACAAGCTCCATAAAGCCAGTACCTCGACTACTGCTTCTGCTTCTTCTTCTCCTTCTTCCTCCTACACAGCAACAACGACGACGAAAACCACGACAACGACTGCAATGACGCGACGATCAAAATGGAAAACCAGTCGACCACCACCCTGGAAGACATTTATACGGTCTCACCCCCGCCAATCTCTTTGAGATTTTGCTCACTTATTTGCAGACGGTCTTTAAGGAGCCGTCTGACTGGTCGACGTACATTTAGATAGTTTTTTTTGTGCTCATTGTGCTGTTTTGGAGATGGGCCTCGGCACTCATCAAGTTGTAAGTGGATTTATTATGTTTCTTATAAGTGTGATAGTGAGGGTGAAACAGATCCAGTGCCTGTACCTGCTGCTTGTGGCCATGGACTTTCCCCAATATACCAATGTTTCTAACCAAGAATAGTAGTTTCCATATCGCAGTCGCCTTCTCCGATGCAACCGACGACGGGAAAACGACCGCCGACGCCGTAGATGGTGACAAGAATAATGGTAAAGATACCACCAAGTGTGGGCTCACATTGTGGCCGACTGGTCTTTAACAGTCGAAACGGCCGCTGACGCGGTAGAGACCGCCTCGTCGGCCTTGCCCTAGGGGGATGACGGGGATGAATGGTTTCACACGCAGCCTCAGTTGGTTCTAAGAGAACAACTGAGAGTCTCCCGAAGAGCGCCCCGAAGGAGCTAGAGGAGGGGCTTTCTCGACAACGTAAGTCAATAAAATAAGGGCTTAGTGACAGTGATAGAGATATACTGACTTGACAAATCAACAGATTCGGCCGGTTCCTGGTGGCGAGGCCGAGGTCTGGTTCATGCCTGAGGCAGGACTGGACAGCAATCCACGTTAGACCAATGGCTGACTAATACGAGCCCTAAGCCCTAACTAACGGTAGTTGGTAGTCAACATCGTAGCGAACTAATAATAGGCACCTCCCCATATGACATCTACTCCGTGTGCTAGGGAGAATACTAAGTTTTATTTAGCCATTTACCGGGCACTGCCTGTTCTCTGTTCTATTATTGCCTTGGTAATTCGGTAAAAAAAACCTGCAACGGGGAGGTCAGAAGAGGCTAATTTTGAGTACCACACTTTCCAGGCACTCAGCTAGTCAATAGTAGTATGGAGTAATTACTCGGCTTCAGCCATCCCCTTGAAGCCAACACGTGAACGTTGATTATGCTTATCTACAGGCAACTAGTTGAGGAGCTAGTTGGTTAGTTGATAGTTACCCAAGTTAGTATCTACCTACCTATCTGGGTAGGTCGAAGCTGTGGCTTGATCTGTACGGAGTATTGCATGTATATTATTGCCTGAAACTTGAGCGTTCATCCAAAGTCAGATATCAGAAATAAGGCCGAGTCAAAACCCAAGACTTAATTCTAGGTAAATGAAAGTTTGGTAATTAACCAGAAAACCAAACCTTCAGATTGGACAGACTTTGCAGAGGACCACGGGACAGTCAGCATCGGTATAAAGAACCAAGACCCAAGAATCAACACGACGACAAAGCAGTGAGTGAAGCACATGACAAGCCTTCCCCGGGCCCACTGTTATAATTTCGCCTCAGGTCGAGTCTTTGCGCCTCTTGATTCCCCATCGACTGTCGCTTTTCTTGTACCTCATGATCGACTCTGGAGACATGAAGGGTGGGTACTACCTAGGTAATACTGGGTATATTGTGGTCTCCGCCCGCCTATTGGCCGTTCGGCCGAGACCATGGAGCAAGACACAGCTGTTTTTAACTTTTCTGACCGGTGGTGCGCGTAGCCCTGGAACTGCAGCCCAGCGATCATTCGGTGGTATCTGCATCAGGCCCAGTCTTTGATTCTTTGTGATGTTCAGCTCAGCTGTGGGCGGCAGACCTGACAGTGGCCACTGTGGATAGTAGTCCGGAGAACACTGCGTCAGTGTTATCCTTGCGTGTTCGACTGATTGTACAACGAGTTCAGGATTGATGTCTCTTACCACATAGATGAAACAGAGTCCTCCTATGTCTCGCCAATCGTTTCTGGTTCTGGTTCTGGTGCTGGCTCTGGTGCTGTAGTAACCACTCCGTACAAAAACCTTTCGAAAGCTCAGCAAGTCACGCCCAGCCCCGTCCTGATTGGCACTAGCGCCGGGGCCAGCTGTCCGCCCGCCGGTCTCGACCGTCGGCCCTGATTGGGAGCTCCAGCAGCTTCCAACGCTTGGGATCTGCCCATTAAAAGTGTCACCGTGCCCTCTGGCTGCATCTTCCATCGGCATAATTAGACCTGGTTGATTGTGATGAATCTGGCCGTTGTGGTCTGATATTTAAGCCTCTCTCCCTCTCCCTCACTTTCTCCCTCTCCTTCTCCTCTTGTTGACTCTCAATCGCTCTTATCTCTACCATGGCGAACCCTTCCGAACCCACCCCCTTGGCCGGTACCAACCGTCTGATTACCTACCTCCGGACGCTGGCGACCTCGAAGAGAAGCCTGCCACATGGACAGCTGGTCTGTGTGTGTGCGTCGCACACGATCAGCACTACAGACGCTCTGCTCGAACTCGCCGAGTCCATTGGGCCGCACATTGCGATTCTGCAGGTTCAGGCAGACATCATCGATGACTGGAACGAAGAGACGGGTCGTCGATTGATGGTGTTGGCCAAGAGATATGCCTTTCTCATCTGGGAAGGCGGGCGGATACTCAATGCCAGCGTTGACGTCGTGGGGAAGCAGTCGAACGAGTCGAACGAGGTGAAGAAGACCGTGATCGACCTGATCCGCAAGAAGTACACCAAGGGGGTCATCAAACCAGCTTCGTGGGCAGGTATCGCGACAGCGTGGGCTTCGGGAGTGGCCGTGGACAACCAGGAAGCCGACATGCTTATCCCGTCCTTGAAAGCCGCCGCCCGTGAAACGGTCGCAGATACCGTCCAGACCATCCGGACCGAAATCACCGCCGAGCAGAGCGATGACTATGAGGATGAACCAGATAATGAGATCACTGATGTGAAATTCACCGTCAATCATGATCTGGGATCAGAGCTTGTCGTCAACAACGACGACTACAGCATCAACGGGGACGGGTTACCCCTGAGGAAGGCCTCCACCATCTCCCTCACACAAACCATCACCCAGCACACGGAACCGTCTCAGGGCCAAGAATCCAGCGATAGCTTTGAGGAGGCAGCTGTCTTCCCCATTGATGATCTACCCCCGCCTCCGCTCCTTGCCCGCGGCTTGGTCCTGTGCCTCCCTTCTGCCAACGACACCTCCTTTACATCGGAATACCGGGAGACCTGCATAGCTGCTGCTCGTGCCAACCAGGACTTTGTTATTGGCTTCATGAGCACCGAACCCTGGGACATTGCATCTCAGAGAAATGGCCTCGAAAGCTCGCCTGCGAGTTTCAATGGAAAGGGACGAAATGGGAGAAGAAGGCCCGAGGATTTAGACGAATCGTCGTACTTTGCTCTCTTCTCCTTGGTTCCTCATCGCTACGACACGTTTCAACCATCAAATGGCCGATGGGACTTGCTTGAGGATGATGAGACCGTCAATGATGATATCTCCACAGAGCCCCTCAGTCCTTCCAATACCTCGTTCAATCCACACGCAGCGAAATTGCATTCCATCATCGGACAAGCGCTCAAATGCCGCGACGCGCAAAGCAGCGACCACACCCAGGTCGACTCTTGTGAAGACCTCAAGATCATTCATGTCCCGGTTATCTCTCTGCCATGATGTCTTTTTCCATACGTCTCTATCAGCGTGAGCACAGTTCTTGCAACATCCATTATTTACGGGACTTTTTTTTTTTTTCATGACTGTTTATTTGCCTTGATCTTTTCCTTGTCTTCCTTGTCTCTTATTGCAGCGATACATTCAGCCTCCTGGTATATGCAGCATCAGTGCCTCGCCACGTACTTTTGTGTTATATAAGGAGAGAACAGGTCACTCCAGGCACTCCTCATGATCCTTTTACGGCTCCCCCCTTACCTGGTGGCATTTTTTGCAGGAGACTTCTCACCAGTCTCAGATCTATACCAGAAATCAAGTACTTTGGGCGGCTCTTTTGTTTTTTCTTGTTAGTCTTGGGAATGATGGGATGTATACCATGTATGCAGAAGAGCATTTGCGCAGGCGCTATTCAATACATTGATTTCTGCTAAATAGAGCAAATTATAAAGCATCCTATTTGTAATTGATTCATGGCGATCAATCGGTGGCATCTGGAATCTGGACAGGCGAGTCACATGATATACCACGTCAAATCGTTCGAGTCATCTGAAGTCGAACTTCAACGAGGATTCCCCTGCTGTCAATTCCTATATCTCATTGATGACAATTATCTGTTAATATATATATATATATATATATATATATTAAACCATAGCATTTAACTTCTTTACTAAATCTTCACGGTCAACACCCTAGATTTCGCTACCCACTATCTTCACCATTCCTTTTGCAGTGATATACGGAGAAAATGATTATTATCGAGCACATTACAACCTAATGGACAGTTATCTTGCCGACTCATCTGCTATTGTTTAAAGATTATCAAGGCGTTATGGATGCCGAGGGTTTAGAGGCTTCGCTGAAGACCCTGGACCTCCAAGGAAGGTTTAAAAATAAACATATCCACGTTCCTCCGAAGGTGATCAGCAACAATGGGGATGTGATTATCCAGCTTGATGGTTTCCAAGGGGCCGAGACGCATCGCTGGCAGGTTAACAGCGAAGATCTCATCCGAAACAGCCCTTACTTTCGAGCGTTGCTTGATCCCAACAAGTTCATCGAAGGCAGGACCTTCATGGAACAAAAAGCAGTCTACACCTCTCAAGTATCTTTTGAGAATGATACCCCGCTGGATGAGGGTCAGGATTCCTCTGGATTTCTTCCGAGTGTCCACCTTCCAACAAAAGAGAGTGCCCTGCCCAGGCTTGGAATGGAGGCCGTCGAGCTCTTTCTGAAGATATTATGCTCTACGTCTTTAGACTGCGAAGCAAAGGAAGTCTTCCACCGCGAGGTAAAATATAAGCCAGTCTCGCTAGTGGCCAAAGTCGTCGAAATCGCCGACATCTTCAACTCTCCGCAGGCTGTGCGGACCTGCCTCCATGACTCGGCGTATGCGTACGGCAAAAACAAGAACCCTTTTTATCGATTCTCGGCCCCATTGCTGAAGATGAGTGAGGATCGGCTCCGGCAGGCGCTGTGCATCGCTATCTTTCTTCAAGACGAGGGTATCGTCCAGGTTCTCTCCCATACACTTGTTATCGCCGGCTCGAAGGTATGGGTCAACGGTGTTGCAGAGAGAAGAGAGAGTCCCCGGTGGACGTATTTTCCAGCCGGTATAGAAGGTAGAATATATGGGAGATACTCTAATCAATAACCGATTACTAATGAATACCCTTGCAGAAGAACTATATTATCGACGACAGTGCGTGTTGAACACCATCACCGATCTCCAGGCATATTTTCTTCGCATCTACGGCGCTCTTGAAGATGAGGGACCATCGACAACGCCAACCCATCAAGTTAACAAGTCCCGCCCCTTCCAGTGTCGCTGGGGGTTCGATAACTCTAGCGCCTGCGATTCCTTCCATCTAGGACAGATGATGCGTTTCTTTGCGCTACGCACCAAGACGATCTTCCTCGGATCAACGCTGATCGACCCGGACTTCAGCTTAGAAGATGAAGAAGAAGAAGAAGAAGAAGAAGAAGAGAAGGAGCAAGGCTTTGACGCCCCGCTGCAACCGCCACCTACGGATATTCTCGCCCTAATTGCCTCCCTGAAGCAATGTCCAGACTACCAGATCGACTTGAACCACAGTGGCTGCGGCATTCGGCGCCGCCTACTTCCCGCGCTGGAATGCATCGAGCGCTTTGTCGGCGATCAGCGTGGTTTACTTGGGATTACGTTACGTCATGGCCATCCAACACCACCTGCGAGCGTCGGTACTGTCTCGCCACTACGCACTTTCTCCTGGCGCAGTCCGTCCTTGCAGAGGGCCCAGACCGTCAATCTACGATTTGCAAAGATTATCTCTGTGGGCCCTGCCTCGCTCCGTTCCGGATCGCAGGAGGAAGATGCTCGGCTCCTGTTTACCTCTAAGAAGCGGAATTGGGAAGCGTAGGCTCGGGCTTGTTAGTAAGTTATTAAGTCATGGTAATGAGTACCTGGATGTCATCTTGCGGAAGTGTTTTGCTCGAATCACCTTTTTTTTCTTTTCAAATGCTCCCAACGTTTCCCTCCTGGCATGGAACCAATGGGTCCCATCGGGCGATGAACAGTCTGGACTTTACCTTGTCCCTGTTCGCCATGGGCTTCATATGACAGGAATTGCTAAAGCTCCGTCAATTCCTATGGGTAGGAAACCCCTAATCTCAGAGGAGCTTCCGTGGTTCCCAAGCGGGGAAAGAAGGCCGCTGTATACATTGCATGTTAAGGGAGTCGACGACAACATAGGATTGCTGATAGATATAGACCAAGTATTTGCTTCATCAAGAGGAATGTTATACAGCATCAGTTTCATGAAACGCGCTTATACATAGCTTTGCCGTAAGATAATCGAAACGAGCGCATAGCCATATCTATCGGCACCACGTTCTGTTGTTCTGTCTCTTTCCAGCTAGAGAACAGACAATATGCAGTAGGTAAAAGAAACTCATTGGAATGGTGGGAAAGGGCGTACAGAATCCAAAAAAAAAGGGGGGGGGGGAAGAGGGACAGTGCAAAAACGGCCAATGTCTATCAACTTGAGCAGTAGTCTAAGTATTCTTTCTTTCTTTCTTTCTTTTTTAATTTTCCTTGAAATTATTATGCGAGCATACCAGCTCAGCAGATTGGATCGCCCCAGAAGCATCCCAGATCCAGGTCGACGTTGGCGGTTGGAGGGAAGAACGATCCAGTGATTTGACCCGTTGCAGGATCGTAAGGGAAAAGGTCATCGTATGCATTGGCCAGAGCAGATTTATCGGGCTTCAAAAAGTCAAGGGTCTCTGACCGGTCAAGGTCATATGGTAATTGAACGTCTAGGGCTGCGTCCGACGGGTCCATTGGTGAACAAATGATTGAATCCAATTCAGCAGCAATGCTATCGGCCGCAGGAGCGACAGAGTCGAAACTGACCTCTGCAGAGGTGGTCACCGGTAAAATGACAGCAGTAGGAGCAGTAGCAGCAGCGGTAGCCAAGTCATTGGAATATGGCAGGTCACTGATGTCGATTTCGACGCCTGGTGCTAGCCGACGCAAGACGCCGTCTGAACGCTTCCACGCTCTCTCGGCAGCAATGTTCGACTTGGAGAGAGTATACAGCCATTCAATAGCCTTTTTGATTGCTTTGGAGACCATCGATGACTTTTCAGGGACATGCTGCGATTTGAACGAGATTTCAAGTAGAAGCACCGTCGTGGCCTGCATCAGATAGTGTAGGATGCACCACCATGGAGCTATTTTATATAGCAGACTCGCATCCGTCGTATCCGGAAAGAGGGTCAGCATATGGCACGCTGACTCGACACATTCTGCTGCGGTCTTGTTGCAGAACTCGTAGATTTGGTCCCCTTGTTGCTGCACAGACTCTAGACGGCAGAGACAAGGTCGAGTGATGCCTATCTTCGTGCTGTAGAACAGAAACGCAAGGCCCATTCTTTGGCCTGCAGGACATTGCGAGCTCTGTGTAGAAGTGAAATCATACGGTCCAGGGAGGTTTAACAGCCAGGAATCGATATCCAACATCAGGCTTTGGATTGTAAATTCGACGCCGGCCCATGGCGACTGGAGAGCCTCCGGGCTATAGAGTTTGCTGGTCATTCGCTTGGCAATCGAGGTTAACGCAGCCAGTTCCACAAAGTAAAGGGACATGCAAGGGGCCAGCGTCTTGAGGTATTCAGCCTTGCTAATCTCTGCGTCTTTGGAGGCGGATGGTGGCTCGCAGTCAGATTCTAGAGTCCCGTTTAGCGCCGCGTTCGAGCGCAGAGAAAAAGACTCGAGTGAATTCCCCCTAGATGAACTGCTGATCAGACGGGACACTTCCTCCTTTTGGAAATCGGTCTCGTCAAATGGAACTGGAAGAGGTGTCGTGCATGCACTGTTGATAATACATGATGGACGCCCAGTCATGAGGCTGAGCAGATGTTCAATGGTATATAAAGACCACCAGACTCGATATCTGATCTCCTTCGAAGTATCAGACGTACAGTCTCCGACATTTCGTAAATGTAGACCGAGCGCCAACGCTCCACGAACTGCGCTTCCACATAACTTCCAAGATCTGTATAGAGAGCGTTTTGGTCAGTACAAGTCAAGTCACTGTCCGTATTTCCATCCGCCCCCAGAAGAAGAACGTGTTGTACCTGTTCAAATGCCCACATGCTAACAAATAGAACGAAGTTAATCCCTCCACTTGCAACTGCTGCAGATCAGGATGATGAAACACTTGATCATCCATGCTTAGAGCTCTGGCCCGTGAGAAGTATATGACATGATCGTCGTCGCCTTCTTTCCAGTCTGCGTTTATAAATTCGCCAAATTTAGCACCGATGGCGAATATTAAGTTTAGGATTGCCAGCCACTTGCTGCCTGGCTTAAGGGACGGCTGATTGAAGAAAACCTGGAACTGAGAAACAAACGTAGATATTCCAATGATAGGAAACGAGGGATGGACCGAGGTAATAAAGGCGTTGAAAAGCTTGCTCGCAGTTTCGCGCGATGGGAGCTCATTCGTATCGAGTGCGGCGCTTCTGGGTATGTCCAAATCATCCAGATAGTAATTCGACGACGCGAGTACCATTGCTTCATTCTGAATCTCAGCTTTGGGGGTAAGAGACGGGGATGGTAGCCCGAGTATAGAGGCATCGGCTGGCCAGCCGTCGAATTCTCCATTGAGTTCTTTGCACAACTGTTGCAGCCAGGCAATCTCGGAGCTTTTCCCAATGTATCCTGTTGCGCGAGCAAGATCGTCTCTGTTGAAGTCCTCTTCTGTGTGGTCAACAACATCAAATGAACCGGTTGAAGACGATCGTGAGAGATTGGATTCGGCAACGGCATTCCACGAAACTGCCTGATCCCCAGACCCAGATATGCATTCTTCGGGCTGTAAGGTGAGGTCTTGGTGTCCTTCCTATCATTTGTTAAAACATGATCTAAGCAGGCAAGAAATACTACTCCATACCACGGTTAGGGCTATGTTCATCAATTGCTCGTCGGACATGCCAAAGCGATTGCTCAACTTCCTAACGACATCTTCATAGGCTTGCACCTTAGCTGATAAGCTCGCCAATTGCCTTAAATCTTCAGTTAGCTCTTGTGGTACTGGCTGCGCTTGGATTTTTTTCTTACCTCTTAGACTTTTCCCTCTTTCCATCTGTATAACAGCAGATAATTCCGGCTTCCCGGCAATTCCGGCATCCAGACTTATCTCCAGTGCATTTGGTTTTGCGTTGCCTGCAGGACTCACATGCTCGACGGACGTGCCGACGATGGAATCTTCCAGGGGCCGAGAAAGCAGCTTCTGCTCCTTCTGCGAGCCTGGGAATGGCCATCTTCTTAGGACTGAGCCGTTCCGCATCATTTCCTGACAGATGGAGCATCGTGCCGTTGTCCTGGTTAAGGAACGGGCTGTGTTAATTTGTGGAAATATTTTAGGAAAGGAATTTGTCTCACCATATTAGATACTTGGCTACAAGCATCGGCATCAGAGTAAGGTAGCTTGGAACAAGAGGACTGGTCGATCCAAGGCTGGAGCTGCAGGCTGCCCATGCTTGATAGACAATAGATCAGGAAAGCCTTCTTATAGCACGCTTTATAATGTCAGTGCTTTATCTCTTAATCACATTCCTTGGATTACTGACCGTAATGTTCGAGCTAGTCGGAGCACGCCTCCTTGAGCTGAAAGTGTGATGTTAGAAAGAGATATGCCACGCGATATAAGACGCCTCACAAGCTATAATTTCAAAGGTGTCAGATCACTTCTCCAACACACCAAACACAATGCTCTGGACTCGTACGGCGGAACAGCAATGGGGGAGAAAAGTGTCTTGTCAGCCGAGGTGGATGGCAATGGCAATAAGTATAGTATTGTTTGTTCTTTGCCTCTGGATAAATCATCGAATCAGGTTGTTTAGAGAAAACGACTCAAGTCGGAACATAGATGCGAGACCGATGATATCAGACCTTTGGGGGTGGCAGAAGCAACTGCACCCACGAGAAGAGCTTGTGCTTGCTTAAGCTATCTTATATGGGAGCGAATATCAGCCTCGGAACTGATATTGCATCAGAGGACCATTCTTAGACATCTGTGAGCTAATGACAAGGGTCTTTTCCACCGGCATTGATTGGCTCGATCTGTGGCAACCGTCAGGAGAGATGCAAGATGATGCGTTGAAGTTGCCTCACACGCAGGAACGGCTGGAATGGATTCGAGCGCTTATCTCCGAAAGAAAAAGAACTAGACCTGCAATAGATCATCTTATTAACCGAGCGTCCAGTAATCATTGGTTACCGAGTGTCTTTACCTATTTACCTGCACCGTTTAAGCAGCCATGTATATCCTTGGTGAGTTGTTCCCAGGCCCTGCCACGATGGGGAGGGGGCACTCGCCAAACCACTGGAAACATCTCCCTCCGTTGGGTATCTTTGAATGCCAGTATGTATTGTTGAGAGTTGCTTGTTCACCACTGGAGAGCATGTTAGCAGGCTTGTGAATTTATCTTACTGTATTTCTGTCCATCGCCAGTTTATATGTATCTTCCTGGCCATGTCTCATCTGGTTTGAAACAGGTTTGACTATACAGCCACTCCAATATCATATACTTCTCCTCCCTGGGGCTATCCCCCATATATCACGATGAAGACCCAAGGCCTGTTTGTTTATCTTCAGGGGACCATCCGGATTCTAGAGGAGCGGAGTCTGTCAGAAGATCAGCGGCATTCCATAGTTCTCCCCCCCTGGCTTCCTGGAAGAAGAGCTTGTAGTATTTGTCACTTCTCTTAAAAAGGAAATCGAGTGCCAGGGGAAAGTCAAAGACCGCGATTGTTTATCCAATCCCCGGGCATTTCTTTTTCGCTCCCCCAAGGGACTGTCTGCTGACACTCCACGGACACTCGAGCTGCGGAAAAAGGACAGGCAACATGGTAACACTGACGTCGTAAATTACGTCCGAATGAGCGTTTCTTCGAGGCCTGGGGCTGCGCCGTTGACTGCTTGTGAGTTGCCTCGTTAGGAAAATGCAGGCACTAGACCCCCTCGCAATCTCGCCGAGATTTCTCCACGGGGATCGGCTGATATCTGTAGCTCCATAACAGGTTTGGAGGAGAATTGGTGGGAAAGAACCGGTGAACCGTGTGGTGGAAGAAGTTGCCTGTGGAACCCAAAGCAGAAGAAGGTGGGAGGAGGGAAATAGATAGTTAGTAGCCGAAGTCGAACAGCCAAATCTCGACAACCACACTTAGATTTATATCTGCTCTTGTTTTGAAGCCCTATATATGAGTTGTACTAGACATTACTGAGGTTTTGTGAGTCATTTGGCTGTGAGTCGACATTGCTGATAGGGTTTGTCCAGCCATTGTTCAGAGATATACGGCCCGAGGAAATTGAGTTGCAGCTCGTATAACGGCCGAGGGGGTTACATTGATGAGCTCCAAAGGTTAAGTAGAATTGTCATTTCAGGTCTGACTGCGTGCACACTCCGCCTTTTTTTATAATGGGAGGACAGCTCGGCTCTCGGAGGATACAATCTAAAACGAGAGGGTTAAAGGTATATTAGGAGACAACGAGGGGCAGGGACCGTAGAAAGGCAGTTCCGAACATCATTAGCTAAGAAATACTCTATACACCCAGAGGAAAAAAAAGTAAATCACTCAATGACATATCCCTCAGCGACGCTCTTGATGTCCTTGGAAAAGCCAGTGCTCTCGCCTTCCATTTCCAGCAGAGAGACGTTCGTGACATCGACATCGACGAAGGGGGTGGTCTTGGTGAAACGCACGTTCATGGGGAAGAACTCGTTTTCATCATCTCCGGTAGACTCGAACTCGAAGCTACCGGACGCGTTGTTTTCGTCCACAAGACCAAGGTTCCAGTCCAAGCTGTCACCAGAAACTTCGTAGACAGCATCGAAGCTGGAAACAGCTGGCTCAGCGGAGCTGTATGGTATCGTGACGACCACGTCGTGGAGGCTGTCGGAGCCAACAAGTTCGTACTCGACAGTGATCGTGGTTGAATCCGATCCCTTGTTCACCCACACCGTAAAAGTGATGGGTAAGATGTCCGCACTGTCGGACCCGGAGCTGGCGACGCGCCAGCGCAGCACGCCAATAGAGTTGTTGGCAGGGAAGCGCTTGGTTGCATCTTTCAGTTGAATGGCAGAAGAGTTGGTAAACAAGGCTTTGTCAACATTCGGGTGAGTGCGGAACTGCGCGCCGTGAGTCGGGTTGGCGACCAGGTCGAGACGGAGCTTCGTAAACGATGGGTCGGTGATGCGCAGCTGAAGGTCACCCTTGACCTCGAAGGATTTGAGGGCACCCTCCCGCGTGAGCTTGGCGGAAATCGTCTCGGCGACAGTGACGTGAATGGGTTCGCGATCGGCTGACAGGGAGGCGCGAGCGGAGGCGACGTGCTCGGCAACAGGGGTCGAAACTGTGGGGGTCACCAAGGGTGTGGACTCTTCTGCTTCAGGCCCCAGGTCACCGCGGACTTTCTCATAGATGTCGGTTGTCTTGGACTTCTTGCCGAGTTGCATTCCTTTCCCACGAAGGGGCATGGGCCTAAAGATTCCGGTGCGTCAGCAAAGGGACAAGAGAGTAAACCACGCTAGACACTGCGTACTTGGCAAACGTCTTCTTCTTCTCGGCCTCGTAGGTATCATATGTGTCCGGCACAGATGGACGCGAAGGCGGGGTGTAGACAGGGTAGTTCGGGGCTCTTGGAGCCGCTGCACGACCGCTACGAGCGGCTTCCTTGCGCTGCATCTCCAGTTGCTTGGCCTTCCGCTTCCGTTCTTCGCTAGCCTCGAGCTCTTTGTTCTACCCAGCTCCCGTCAGTTTTGGACAAGAAGAAAAAGAAAGAAAAAGGCAGCAGAGAGTATGTCAGGACTCACTCTTTCGATGATCTCCTGGATCCGTTCCTCGTGACTCTCCATCTCTAAGAAGGTCTTGATCTGCGACAGGGACAGGTTCTCTCTGTACCCCTGCGTGACGAGTTCGTCGAAGGCGCTGAGCAGCTCAAACGCATTGCGTAGAATCTCCCTCTCATCCAAGCTCTTACAGATGCTGGTTGTCACTTGGGCGAAAAGGTGAAGGCTGTCGATGTCTTGCAGAATGTTCGATTGACGGTTGGTGATGAGCACAATGTACAGCTCGTCCAGGGGTTGGTACACAAAGCGCACATTGTCCTGCTCAACCGTCGTGTGTTGCGTTCCGGAGTCGGCGAGCTTGGGGAATGATGCGAGAAGAGCCTCAACTCTTGACCGTGCGATATCTCGGAACTGGCGCGAGAGCACTGCTTTGCCCCCGCGGGTGCATATAGAGGCTGCGAGGACGACCTGCCCAGCACACGACAATCAGTAACGTAACACACGGCGAAAAGCTATCCCAGCATACCATTGCGAATTGTAACAGTGGCTCAAGATCTTCAAACAGCAGATGGCGACAGCTAGCCCCTAGTGTTCCCAAAGGATGGCGTTGTTTGGTGATGCCTCGCCCGTCCAAGCCAGATGATACCCGCGGAGTCGCTTGCTGTTCACTTCGCTGCCCGTTGGCCCGTGCGTCGCGCCAACTCTCGCTTACTGCACCAGGCCAAGCCCCTGCGTGAGGCCTTTGAAGCTCAACTCTCGCCGGTGTCACTACTGGATACAAATGATCTGAGGCGAAGAACAATTTCTATGGACATGTATTGTTGAGTCTGTGTGCAGAGTCTGATGTCTCTTGGGGTTTTCCACTCCTAGTCGACGTACCAGCGGTGTTGCCACTGCCAAATCTTTTTCCTGTTGCATACCGGCCCCTTTGACCTTTTTTGACCATGACGACTGCTTCCTCGCTGGGCTTTTCCGCGATGGAAGCTCCATCTATTGACGACTCGATGGACATGGCCTCCCCTTATCAAGGCCACGCGGATGATTTCGATATCGATCTGGATGTGATGGAGGCTCAGGTCTCACATGTGGATGATGATCTAATGGTAGCAGACGCGTCCCCGGAACCTGGTCATCCCACAGGCTACGATCAAGAGGTATCGAATGATGCGGATATGACCGATGATGTTGCCGAACAAGCGATGGTCGACGCCGATGACGAGCAGCAAGAGACGTCTGCCATCGATATAGGGTTTCAAATAGAGGAGACCTACGAAGCCGAGATGCTAGAGGACGATTACGATGAAGATATCGATGCTCCTGTACAAGTTTCCGAAGGGGGCCCCCTTGGAGTTGATGAAACGACAGAAACTTCTCACGGGGAGGTAGAGCCCGATGTGACGGAGGAGAAGAGCCTTCTTGGTGATGAGAATGAACAACACGCCGCGGTCCCTCCCTCCGAACCCGCTAAAAACGACGATCATCACCAGAATCATCATGAGGAAGTTGCAGATGACGGTACTCAAACGGAAAGAATTGTGGGAGATGAAGAAGATAAAGATGCGCATGAGGAGGAGGAAGAGCATCCCCACCCTCAACCCCAAGTACAACAACACGATGAAGAAAAAGAAAAAGAAGAACAGCAAGAACAAAATCCTGATCACACTAACAAAACAGATTCGGGGGATATTCAGCCAGAACGTAGTACCGAAGAACACGCTGAAGCAGAAGAACATGACGATGCAACTCGACAGTCTCCTCAAACGCACACCGACAATACCTCCCACGAAGAAGCCAAATTCACTGAAGCGCAACAGGCCCCTGAAATGGCCGAACAATATGGAGCATCTTCGAACAGGGCTCCTCTTCATCCGGTCAAGATTCTCTATCAGGACAACGTCATCTCGCTCTTTCCCCCCTTGGAAGGGGATTCCTCCGAGACCTTTTTCCTTGAGGATGAGGACCTGGCCTATGAAGGCTTTGGCAAGATATTCGAGTCTTTTCGTGAAGTACTGCAAGATCATATTGATAACGATGAGATCCTGGTGGTGGATATTGACCCCTTGGGTCTTACATTGACAGAGGTTAGTTTTTTTTTCTTCTATTTTTGACATGCTTTTTTGAGTTTCCGATACTAATTTTATCCCTTAGGACTCCTCATATCTATCCCAGATCACACTGCACCAAGTTGTCGATCTGTACACTCATCTCTGTCACAACGACGGCGCTAATGAGCCAGAGGCTCTGTATCTTACCCTCAGCACTAAACTGAGTGTCGCCGCTGAGCTTGCGACCTTGGTTGCTCTTGCAAACAAGGGGAAAGGCCTGTCACAGCTCCACCTTGATGAGGAATATGATGAAGAGTATCAGTTCTCTGCAGAGACTGATCCTGGCCATCCCGAATCTGTCGCAGAGCACGAGTCTCCTGAGCACGCCGGACCGAGTGAGGAGAATCTCGATGATAATGTTCCTGAGATTCCCAGGACAGAAGATGCCCATGAGACGACAAAGGTTGAACCTCCTTTGCAAGAGACTCCGCAGGACCCAGAGGTCAAGCCGCACAGCAGCCATGAGAATGGCGACCTTGGTGATCCTGCAGAAGATGTTGTTCAAAGTGAAAATGTCCCTGGAGAAGAGGTGGTTGAGACTCACCATGATGATGACTTTTATCATGAAGAAGAGGAAGGGAAAGAAGTTGATGAAGAAGTCGATGAAGAAGTCGATGAAGACTCCAAATCCCATGCTGACGACATCTCCCATGACGTCTCGGCCGATGCAGAACTACAAGAGATAGACGAGGCCCAGCAGAGCGAGTCTTCAGTCACTCTAGGTCACTCTGTGGCCATCTCGGAGCATGAACAGTATCAAGACAAACCGTTGGAAAACGTTGAAGAGGCAGTTGAGCAGTATGGCGTTGCTGATCAAGACGGCCCGCTTGACTTCCAAGACAATCATGACGCTGACCATACCGCCGTCCCTCCATATGACACTAGTCTCGATGCTGAAGGCCGCGAAGAGATTGGCCCTGAAGAGCATGCGTCAGCTGACGGCGAGGATGACGAGGCTTACGAGCCACAAGAAGAAACCGTCGAAGTTTATGATGACCATCGCGAAGAATATTCGACCGAGAATGTACCGGAAGGCGATGAGGGGCATACACCCGAGCCGGCTGAAGATTTCCTTGGCATCGCCGATGATCTATTTCAGAGTCCGGTGAAAAAGGCCGTCAATTCCGCCGAGACACAAGTGGAGGAACAGAAACAGCATGAACCCGAGGAATCCCACGAGGCGGACGAAGACGCGTTTCCGGCAGACGATGACTTGCACGAGGCGTCTGAAGGTTTCGATTTTGACGAAGAAGACGAGTATGTCGATCTGGGTCTACCGCCGGAAGGGGAGCTTGAGGGCACGAGTCCCGAACCGATCAGCAGCTCAACCAAGCGAGTCCGTGAAGACGAGGATGACTTTGAGGTCACCGAGCTGGATACCCCCGTTATCAAACGAACTCGGTCCTCGTAATCACCTTTTCGGTTCCCTCCCCCTCCCTCCCTTCTTCCCTTTTCCCCCAACTGCTGCGGTCCCCTTCCGGATCACCACGACCACCACGGCCACCACCACGACAACTACTGGTGCTATACGTTCTCATCGGATCCCTTTTCTCTGAATGTCTGTTGATGGCCTGGCCATGATTGACTCGAGTACTAATTAGCCACACTAACCCCACAGCGTTCCCTAGATGCCAACACGACGGTTTCTGCAAGATGGGACTTGCGTTTTGATTTACGCCAGGTATGTGAACAGCCTCGTACCCTTTTTTTTTTTTTTTTTTTCTTCTTCTCCCAATCATACAATGCCTCCTACGAGGAGCCATTCCTACCATTCCTACCATTCCTCCTGGGAGATATTCTTCTTCATAGTGTACACTTGAGGTAGCATTTCAGCATGGCGCGACATCGGGTTTCTTTTCTCCCTTTTTATTTCCTGTCCTGTTCTCGTTGCGTGGGGAAAACTGGCACGGTTCTTTTTTAAATGTGGTTAAACACTGGAAAATATGGGCGAGGTGAAAGCAAGAGGATAGATACTCAACCGCCATGCTGTAGCGGGATAATGAAGCATTCTATCATCCATAGTCAATAATTAGGCATCCCATCATAAGATACTGCAAGGATCTGTACTTCGTACCAGGTATATCCGTAAAGCCGGTCTGGACGCGGTGTATTTATAGTATCCGACTCCCCACTGTTCACGTGCACCCGCAACGAGCGTACGCCGTACGGAATAGTACGTATTGTTCGACGGTGACATGAACCAGGTTGAATGTTACCCGGGTTATATCACAGCATACCTTAGGTGAGGCCTTGGATAGAAGACAAGTATTTAATTATTCTAGTGAGCATTCCTCCTCATGGCTGATTTACCTAGTACCTACTCCGTAACTATGTCGATAGACTCGATACAGTCTAAGCGCAGCGATGCTTATTTTCAATAGCCAATGTCTGGGCGTTGCAAGTGCGAGAGCTGAAACACCGGATGGGTCTGTTAGTAGGTAACTTACTTACTACTTGTACTCCGTAGTACTGGCCATGGCAAGTCAGTTGTGGCCATTTGGCCCGATGAGATTCTCAGGCATACCGAATAGATCTCGGAAGAAGAGTGCTGCACAGATATTTTCCCAGTCCTCAGTTGACTTTGAAGTATACTACTACATACTACATACAATTCTGTAGTCTCCTAATTACTACTATGTGTTAATAACCATGTGTTAATCTCTCTAATCTCCTCGACTCCACTGCACGGGCGCTTTCATCACCACCCGCAGCTTAGTTGGTTGGTAACCTACGTACTTAACAGAGGAACCAAAACCTGAAGCAACCACTGGACTGCCTCTCTCATTAGAAAAAAAAAAAAAACAGCCTCCTTCTTCAAACAACTTTCAACAACCCTCTCTCGCATAGAAAAAAATTACAATCTCCCTTATATAATTTCCCTCTTCCTTTTTCTTTCTTGTCTCTCTCCACCACGCTCGTTCAAATCGCCGCAAGAGAGGCCCTGGCTGGCTTGGTTGCAGACCTCCCCTCGTTTCGCTCCCTTGTTGTGTTTGTCGGTCGCCTTGCAGGAAACCTTCCCTAGCTTCTACCCAAGTTAACCTACTCTCTCTCCTTGGGGATCCGACGACACCGTCCACCGTCCACCACCACCACCACCACCAACCGCTACCGCCACCGCCATCGCTGCGACAGGCTATACTGAGGTTTGAAAGATTGGGGTGTTTTGTTGTCGGGGGAGGTCCTTTTTTTTTTCTCCTCTCGACTAGGTGCAGGGCATTGGAGGGCGTTTGGTGACAGGAGCACCTCGGCTCCTTGGACGATCCAGGATGATTTCAGACAAGTACGGCTGCTACTGGATTTATTATTGTTGTTCCTGTTGCCGCCGTTGTTATTCTATTTCTTTATGACTGATGCGATTCTTCAAATAGATATGTCGGCCTGCTGTTGGCCATCTGCTCGACAATGGCTATAGGTATGTCCCTCCCCGCCGGCTCGTTGCGCCCGCACGTGTGTCTGTCGATGTATGTGTGTGTTGACTGACCCTCGCGAATATAGGTACGAGTTTCGTCATTACCAAGAAGGTCGGTTTACGCGTTCCTCTCCTCTCCTCTGCGCCGTGCGATCGGAGGCTTTGTTTGCCTCAATACAAATAACGAAAAGTGTCCTGACACATCGCTTAGGGCTTGATGCAAGCGTCGGAACGCCATGGTTTTGAGGGAGAAGGCTTCTCGTATCTGAAGAGCCCCATTTGGTGGAGCGGAGTCGTGACATGTATGTCCTCTGTCGTGGACTTCTTGTTTTCTTCTATCGGGCGACAACAGAGCTGATCAAGCGTACAGTGGGCATTGGTGAAGTCGCAAATTTCGCAGCGTACGCGTTTGCCCCGGCGATTCTGGTCACGCCACTGGGCGCGTTGAGCGTTTTGATCGGGTAAGACATATAGCTGTCAATGTCTATCTAGCTTCATTGTCGCTGACCTTATCTCCAGAGCCGTTCTAGGTTCCTACTTTTTACACGAGAGGCTGGGAAGGCTGGGGAAACTCGGCTGCGCCATGTGTCTCCTTGGTTCGGTGGTCATCGTGCTCCATGCACCTCCCGACAAACCGGTCGAGAGAATTGATGAGATTTTGGGATATGCGCTCCAGCCAGGTATTCCATGAAAATCAGTGGGCATGTGGCATGGACCTATCTGGCTAAACCATACTCTCTCAGGTTTCCTTTCATACTGCCTGGCCGTCGCCATCTTCTCGGTCGTTATGATATACCGTATCGCGCCCGTGTACGGCAAGAGGAACCCGCTCATCTTCATCTCCATCTGCTCGACTGTTGGCTCGGTCTCGGTCATGTCGGTCAAGGCGTTTGGGATCGCCCTGAAGCTCACTTTCCAAGGCAACAACCAGTTCACCCACGCCTCCACCTATGTTTTTGCCATTGTCACCGGCTTCTGTATCCTAACCCAGATGAACTATTTCAACAAAGCTCTCAATGAGTTTTCGACTTCTATGTGAGCGAAAACCATATTTTTTTTTTTTTTGGAATTGAGGTCAAAACAACTCACTGACTGGCAGTGTCAACCCGTTGTATTATGTCACGTTCACCACGGCGACGCTGTGTGCGTCCTTCATCCTGTTCAAAGGCTTCAACACAACCGATGCGGTCAACACAATCTCTCTGCTCTGCGGCTTCCTGATCATCTTCACGGGTGTCTACCTGTTGAACCTGTCCCGCAACGACCCGGACGGTCGGCAGTTGGCCAACAAGATCGATGACGAAGGGATCCCGACCGATGGGATTACCAGCTTCCAGACCCGGCGGTCCATGCAATCCCGACGCAGCACCGATCCCCATCGCCGTAGCTCCTCAAGCATCAACTTCGTCAACGGCACCGGCGACCGCGAAGGCTTGATCCGCGCCTATGACGTCGAGCAGGGGGCCTTTGGTCTCTCGGAGCTGACTGAGGATAGCGATGGAGAGGGCGAACCGGGGCCCACGTACAAGCGAAGCGAGGTCCTCGAACAGACCTCTCTACACGCGAAACACGATGGCCGATAGTATACGACTTTTCTTTACCTTACCCCCTTTATTTATTTTCTGTTTGCTCTTGCCGTTTCTTTCGAATGTGATCTCTCTCCTTACATTTGAGACTTATGTGTATGCCTTGGATTTTTTATACCAGTCTTTCCACCTCCCATTTCCTCTTCCCTCTCTCCCTCCCTCTCTTCCTCTCTCTCTCTCTCTCTCTCTATTCCTCTACCTCCGTTTGTCGCCATGATACGAGCGACTTGTATTTTTACTTTTCTACTTTTGCTTTTACTTACTTCCTACTTGGAGATGGCTCAGTGATAGGCAACTGAGCGGGTTTCAAACGACCACCAAAGATACCCGTTGAAACGAATTGGATATGGCATGAAAGTGAGAGTTTTGCATCGAGACAGTGGTGGTCGGTCAGCCAGCTCGCCTGGCTCGACGTTGCTTTTTCAGTTTGTACATAGACGCAATGATAGACTTTGTCTAGACTACCGAAGCAGTCTAAATTGTAGTTGCTGCAGTATTTATTTATACTGTAGCAGATACCCGGTATAAAATCACTCGCCTATTCTTAGATCCTCCCGATCGGCCCGTGTGTTCGATCTTGAGGTGGACACTGGACCGTCATCCCAACAACAAACCTGCAGTCGGGCGTGGGATGTACATCAGCCATGAATAAATCCCTTCCTCCCTACGGCTCTCCCTTTTCATAATCCTACACTCGTCATTCTTTCAGAGTCAGTTCTTAATAACCGTCTAGCTGTCTAGCTGTATAGATAGGTACGTACCGCACGTACTTCGCGAAGTAGTACCTACTACCTACCTACCTACCTACCTACCCCACCATGCCCGTGGTGCGCAAACTGGTCATCTTCGCAGCGGTAGACGGCCTGATACTCCAACCACACTCTGGCCGACAGGCAGGATATCACGAATCCTCTGCGTTGCAGATCGACTACAGGACTCGCAATGTGTCGGTTGCGGGGGAGAAGCGGCTTGCCGAGGATTCCGATGGATTAGAATCCTACGGGCTGATTGGTAAATCCTTCTTATTTCTTTCTCTATTTACTTCTTCAGGAAAGAGAAAGTACTCATATAATGGGAATTTGCAGGCCTTCTTCCTGTCGCCTCTTATTCGTTCCTCATTTCCATCTCGCAACGGACGCAAGTCGCCCAGATCCACGGCAAACCAGTCTACGCCGTTACAGATGTAGCGTTGATTCCGCTCTCGAGTCGCGCGGAAGCGACGCATGCAATTGCTCAGGCGAGGGAACATCTCGAGGATACAGATTACTCAGAGGAGGAAGACGAGGAGGCGAACGTGGGTAGTCTGCCTGGTTCGCCGACGAGGGAGGTCGCGGTGCAGAGTCCGCTGCATACGCGCAGTCAGAGTACCAGTGGTGGGATCGCGGAGGATGTGATCGGGAAGAAGGTTCCTTTCGGTCGGTTTGCGGCCTCATGGCTGTCGCGCAAGGCGTTGGGATTGTCGGCTTCGGGGTTGAGTGTTGACGGGTCGGAAGATTCAGACAATGACCGGCTAGAGAGGAGGAATGAAAGGAAAGAAGATAAGGAGAAGGAGATTCTAGAAGAAGAGACGGACATTCCGGCTGAAGGGGGACTACCGTCGGTTGAACTCCTGCCAAAGCTTCTCCGCTACACCAGGCTACTCTTCGCGTCGAATAACTTCTTCTTTGCGCACGAGTACGATCTCACGCGCCAGATCGGGGTCTTTGACTCGTCCAGATCGCCTTTACCGCTTCACAAGGCTGTCGATCCAGTGGTAAGTGACTCAACACTAGCAAAATACTGCTATCAGAACAATGCTGACCAAAAAGTACTTTTGGAACCGCCACCTGATGAGCCCATTCATAGATGCTGGCGCACACGGGTTCGTGTTGCCGTTGATCCAGGGCTTTGTGGGCCAGCGAGAGTTCACTGTTGCTGCGAAGCCAAAGGAAGAAGGCAAGCCGGTTGAAGGCGAAATCCTAGGCGAGAATGAGGCACAGCCTGCCGCTGATGCTCTCAAACGGAACTTCCTGCTCACGTTGATCTCAAGACGGTCTGTCAAGCGGCCAGGCCTCCGGTATCTGCGGCGCGGCGTGGACGATGACGGGAACACGGCGAATTTCGTGGAGACGGAGCAGATCCTCTCCGACCCGGGCTGGGACACTTGTCGAGACATCTACTCTTTCCTGCAGATCCGGGGCTCGATCCCGCTGTACTTTTCGCAGTCGCCGTACGCGTTCAAGCCCGTTCCGACCCTGTATCACCCGGCCGAGACGAACCAGATTGCGTTTGATCGCCATTTCCGCACGCTGGGCCGCCGGTATGGCAGGATCCAGGCCGTCTCGCTCGTCGACAAGAGCGGCGGGGAGCTGAAGATCGGCGAGCAGTACGAAAAGTACGCGGAGGCGCTCAACGCGTCGGGTGGGATCGAGGGTTCGCCGCTCGGGCTGGTCTGGTTTGACTTCCACCACGAGTGTCGCGGGATGAAGTTTGAGAACGTGCGGCGGCTGGTGGACGGGCTGGGCGACACACTGGACCAATTCGGCTACACGGTCATCTCGGACAATGCCATCTCGCAGAGCCAGACGGGGATCGTGCGGACCAACTGCATGGACTGCTTGGATAGGACCGGGGTGGCGCAGTGCGCGTTTGGCGGATGGGCGCTGGAACAGGCGCTGGGGCGGGCCGGCCTGGCGATCGACCTGCACAACGACCCGTCGACGCAGTGGTTCAACACGATCTGGGCGGACAACGGAGACGCGATCTCGAAGCAGTACTCGTCGACGGCGGCGCTCAAGGGCGACTACACGCGGACGCGCAAGCGCAACTACCGGGGGGCGCTGAACGACTTCGCGCTGACGCTGTCGCGGTACTACAACAACCTTGTCAACGACTACTTCTCGCAGGCGTGCATCGACTACCTGCTGGGCAACGTGTCGACGCGGGTGTTTGGCGAGTTCGCGGCGGAGATGCAGAGCGCGGACCCGGGCATCTCGGTGCAGAAGCTGCGACAGAACGCGATCGAGACGAGCTGCAAGATCGTCATCGACGACCAGGCCGAGGACTTTCTCGGCGGATGGACGATGCTGACCCCGCGCGAGCCCAGCACGCTGCGCTCGCTGCCCTTTGAAGAGGCCGTGCTCCTGCTGACCGACGCGGCCGTGTACAGCTGCCGCTTCGATTGGAACACAGACAAAGTTCTCTCCTTTGAACGCATCGACCTGCGCCACATCGCCCACATCACCTATGGCACCTACATCACCTCCATCCTGACCGACCGGCAGACCGACGAGGCCGACAACGTCGGCCTCCTCCTGCTCTACCGCGAGGGCGACGCCCACGCCCTGCGCGTCAACACTCGCTCGCTGCAAAGTTCCGCCAGCCTCCCTCCACCACCTTCTACTACTGCCAACTTTGACTGGGATATTTCCTCTTGGTTAAAGAATGGAGGCAATAAAAACCAGCGTTTCCTTGCCTTCAAGGCGCTTCCGCTTGCGACCTCGGTGCTGCCCGGGGCGGCGAGCAGCCGCCACCCGCGGCGGCCGACGGTCCGCCAGCGCGACTTTGTACGGTCCATCTGCGAGGAGATTGAGCGAGCGATGCGAGCGTGTCAGGAACCACCTCACGCCGAGGGTCCCTCGGTGATTGACGAGGCGGACATCATCTCCCTGGCGGAGGCAAAGAAGCGAACGGGGTATTTTGAACATTTGGTTTACGACATCAAGAAGATGGTGTGGGCGTGACACTAGATACAGACCATACTGTCTATACTGTCTATACTGTCTATGTCTATATACTGTCCATACTGTCTATACTGTCTATACACTGTCTATGTCTATGTCTACTGTCTATACTGTCTATGTCTATGTCTATGTCTATGTCTATGTCTATCTTAGAGACCTGCCTGTTGATCTGTTGACACACTCGTTCATATAAATAATATGATTAAATTCTCTTTTTATAGAAATCATACAATACTACTCCGTACATACTACCCATCTCCCTATGTACTCGGTAGTTGCTATCCCCTGTCCTTGATAATTGCTTCACCTCATACCGACCCGCCATGGGTCCATCAAGACTCAACAGTAAAGCGAACAAATCATCGGAAAGACAAAGAAACGAAAATATTGATTCCCCTCGAATCATTTCCCAAATACTTTAGTATTTTCGCTCTACCATCCCCATTATCTAATATCCAGTCTCGACCAGTTATACTCCTGGACGGTGCACGGGCGGTAGACCTTTTTTTTTTTTTTTTGTTCGGACGGCACTTCCATCCCTCCCTCTTCTTGACCAACGGACAGGAAACCCCCTCTCCCTCCCTCCCTCCCTCCCTCCCCCCCACCGTCCTCGACCACCCGGACTCACTCACGCAGACTCGCTCACACACAGAGAGAGAGAAAGAGAGAAAGAGAGAAAGAGAGAAAGAGAGATTATTCCCTACGGAGAGCGTCAGTCAGAGTCAGTCTCTCCCACTTCCATCGACTCGGAGTCCTCCTTTCTGCTCGAGGTTGACCCCTGCGAAAAAGCGATTGGCGTGGGTATCCCACAGTTCACCGCGGGGGAATTTCTGTGCGACTGAACCCGACGACCACTTTTTTTTATCTTCTTTTTTTCCTTTTGATCTTATTTCATCTTCTTTATCTTCTTTTGTCTTTTTTTTTTTTTTCATTTTCCTTTCATTTCCATCGGTTCAATTATTATTCTTCTTTTTCGATTCGGTTGCAATGGAGTGGCAGCCGCAAGATGAACCGTTGAGACAGCTGGCTTGCTGTCTCCGGGATTCGTTGAATGGGTATAACCGTGAGCTGCAGAAGCAGGCGGAGGAGGTAAGTCGTTAGCGACTAGAGGTGGAAGGGCGAAATGCTGATTCGGATGTGATAGATGCTCGTGAATGCGACTTCCTCGCCCGACTATGTCAACTACATTACCTGCCTCTTCTCCACGCCGCAAGCTCCGGCCTCGCTGGCCATGGACCAAGATACGTATAACGTGGTGCGGTTTGCGGCGGCGATGAACCTCAAGACCAAGCTGCGGGTCGCATACACCACGGTGCCGCAGCCCAGCTTGGCGTACATCCGGTCGGCGTGCCTGCAGGGGCTCAAGGACGAGAATGTGCAGATCCGCAACTCGGCGGGCAGTATCATCACCGAGCTGGTGCAGCAGGCCGGGCTGCTGGCGTGGCCCGAGGTGCTGCACGAGCTGCTCTCGCTCGTCGGCAACGCCGCCGGCGACATTCCCGTGCGCGCCCAGGAGGCCGCCATGTCCGCCCTGGCCAAGGTCTGCGAGGACAACCGCAAGATCCTCGACCGCGACTACGAGGGCCAGCGCCCGCTCGACGTCATCATCCCCAAACTCATGGACTTCACCTCGAGCGAGAGCTCCCAGGTGCGCTCCGTCGCCCTCGCCACCATCCACGTTTTCTTGCCCCATCGGCCCCAGGCCCTCATGGCCTCCGTCGACCTCTTCCTCGCCCATCTGTTCCGCCTCGCCAACGACAACAACACCGACGTCCGCCGCACCGTCTGCCAGTCCTTTGCCCAGCTCGTCGACGTCGCCCCGGAGAAGCTCATCCCCCACCTCGACGGCCTCGTCAACTACGTCATTCTGCAGCAGCATAACCCCGAGGACCCGGAGCTCGCCCTCGACGCCGCGGAGTTCTGGCTCGTCGCCGGCGAGCAGCAGAAGCTGCAACAACCCCTCGCCCCCCATATGCCCAAGATCGTCCCCGTCCTGCTTCGCAGTATGGTCTATGATGAGGACGAGGCCCTCCGGCTCGCCATGGAAGCCGAGGATGCCGAGGTCGAGGACCGCGCCGAGGATTTGAAACCCCAGTTCGCAAAATCCAAGGGCGCCCGGCTGGACGGCGGAAAACCGGACGGCAGCGGCGGCGGCGGCGCTCCCGATCAGTCAGCCAACGGCGGTGATAATAACAAGAGCAACAACAACAACAACAACAACAACAACAACAACAACAACAATACCAGCAGCAATAATAGTAATAATAACAATAACAGCAGCAGCAGCAACAACAACAAGAACATCACAGGGATAGATGACAGGGACGAAGATGAGGATGAGCTGAGCGAAGGCGAGATCGAAGATTCCGAGTTTGGCGACGACCCGGAGGACGAGTGGACGCTACGAAAATGCTCGGCCGCGGCGCTCGACGTCTTTGCCAACGTCTACCACCAGCCCATCTTCGAGGTCATCCTGCCCTATCTCAAGGAGACGCTGCGTCACGAGCAATGGCCGCATCGTGAGGCCGCCGTGCTGACCCTCGGCGCCGTAGCCGACGGCTGCATGGATGCCGTCACCCCGCATCTCCCCGAACTCGTCCCCTACCTGATCTCCCTGCTGAACGACCCGATCCATGTGGTGCGGCAGATCACCTGCTGGTGCCTGGGCCGGTACTCGGAGTGGGCCTCGCACCTGCAGGACCCTGCGGAGCGGGCGCGCTACTTTGAGCCGATGATGGAGGGCATCCTGCGCCGCATGCTGGACAACAACAAGAAGGTGCAGGAGGCGGCGGCCTCGGCGTTTGCCAGCCTGGAGGAGAAGTCGGACGCCAACCTGGTCCCCTACTGCGAGCCGATCCTGCGCCAGTTTGTGCAATGTTTCGGCAAGTACAAGGACCGCAACATGTACATCCTGTACGACTGCGTGCAGACGTTGGCCGAGTCGGTCATGGGCGAGCTGGCCACGCCGCACCTGGTCGACATCCTCATGCCCGCGCTCATCGACCGCTACAACAAGGTCTCGGACCAGTCGCGCGAGCTCTTTCCCCTCCTCGAGTGTCTCGGCTACCTGGCCGCCGCGTACGGCGACGCGTTCTCCCCCTTTGCCGCCCCGCTCTTCCAGCGCTGCATCAAGATCATCTACGAGAATCTGCAGGAGTACCTGGCCTCGGTGAACAACCAGGCGCTGGACGAGCCGGACAAGGATTTCCTGGTGACCAGTCTCGACCTGCTGAGCGCCATCATCCAGGCGATCGACCCGCGCAAGAGCGGCGACCTGGTGGCCAGCTCGCAGCCGCGCTTCTTCGACCTGCTGTGCTACTGCATGGAGGACCCCAACTACGAGGTGCGGCAGTCGTCGTACGCCCTGCTGGGCGACTGTGCGATCAACATCTTCCCGCAGCTGGAACCCTTCATCCCCAACATCCTACCGACACTGATCAAGCAGCTGGACCTGGACCAGATCCGGGACGACGACCGCCACACGGGGTTCAGCGTGCTCAACAACGCGTGCTGGTCGTGCGGCGAGATCGCGGTCAACGAAAAGGCGACGCTGGGGCCGTACGTCGACAAGATCTACCAGGGGCTTTGCGTCATCATCAACAACGAGGAGGTGGTCGACTCGGTCAACGAGAACGCGGCGCTGGCCCTGGGTCGGCTGGGGATCAGCTGCTCGGACCAGCTGGCGCCGCGGCTGGCCGAGTACGCCGAGGTCTTCCTCAAGGCGATGGCCAGCATCGACTTTACGCGCGAAAAGGCGTCGGCCTTTCTGGGCTTCAACCACGTCGTCATGAAGAACCCGCAGGCCATGGAGTCGTGTCTGGCCGACTACTTCCAGGCCATTGCCGCCTTCCCCACCAAGACCCTCAGCCAGGAGGAGTATCACGACATCCAGAGTTCATTTCAGCAGGTATGGTTAGCCTTGTGCAAGACTGCAAGACTGCAAGACTGCAAGACTTATGTGTATAATGTAAAACTAACTTGGACAGGTCCTGCAAGGTTATAAAAACATGATACCCAATTTCGACTCGTTCCTCTCGCAACTGCCGCCGCCGGTGACCCAGAAGCTTCGTTCTGTGTATCAGATCTAGCTTTGGATCTCCTCTTTGACTTTTTGCATTTTCTTTCTTTTTATGATCTAGGCGAACGGCAATCGAGGATTGCATTCGTCGTTCCTGTATATGTGCATGACGTGGAGTTGTGGCCTGGCCACACACTGTTCAGAATGGAGCTATGATAAAATAGATGCATAGATAATAAATGACTGTCCCTAACTGACTATAAGCGTATGGAGTACCTAGGCATCTTTACCTTGAAAAGCGGTGTATTAGTAATAATGTTCTCTGCACTTGCCAAGAGTACATAGTAGGACCTAATAACCTAGGTAGGGACTAGATACTAACCATGTAACGTACGACTAGTACGCGTATGGTACTGTACAGTATGGACAGGGAATTAAGTGGTAAGACTCAAAGTACAAATGCAGCAGATGGTCCCCGCAGCATGATTGGAGGTCTCGATTAACTTATCCTAATCGGGGTGTTCTTCGGGGTGGGCGAGCGCATTCCTTCCCCGATGCGGTTAGCGGGGGGGAAACCCCCTCAGCCTGATCAGGCAGTCGTTACTTGATTAGTTACTGGTAATTTAGTATATTTTTGCAGTACTTGTATATGGAGGTACTAGAATTCTTACTACAGGATTACTTACCTAGTTACTAACTGGTACCCTGTTTTAGCCTCTTGGCGGGGTCTTGGCTTGGAACATGACCATATGGCATGGCGGCATGGCATGGCAGCATGGCTGACAGGGTAGAAACGGTTGTTGCAACGTGGACTGCGAGATGCACCTCATCACCTGTACTCTGTAGTATACTACAAAATCTACCTACGTATCTACGTATCTAGTATCTAAGTATAGAATAGAATAATACTCTGGAGTACTCCGTACTCAGAGTTAACTATATAGTACTACTTACATATGTAGACTCGCCAGTTTCTACTTCAAGTGGTTTAGACAGCTCGCTGACTCCTTCGGCCTGACTTGAAACACTGAATAACTACCTAGGTACTAGATACTCCAGTATGCAGGGATACTTGGTGGGTGACTAGTATCTAGTTACTGGCTGTGATAAGGCTCACCGACATGCCTTCAGAAAGGGTTAGCACTGGTCCAGGTAGTACATAGTACCACGATACTAGTCTGTACAGGACATACGGCTAGTCCACTTGAGGCTGAAAATGAAATAAGCGGATACAACGGAGCCACAGTGAGTCAACAGTACTAAATACTAGTTACATAGTACTCTGTAGAGTACTGTAGAGTATTCTACTCTGGATATACTAGTATGGCTGGATAATAGTCAGGTTAAGACTTAGGACTTACCTCTTACAGATACTCCATATACTCCGTATACTCCGTATTCTCCGTACTACGTATACTCCGTACTACAGATACTGCCAGTCTCGGCCGGACACCTGACCTGACCACCCGAGCAGGCTAGTCTACTCCCATCCTAGCGTGGCTGCACTGACCAGTCCCAGATCGCGGAACCGGCCGGGGCCCAATCCGGCCATCTATCAGATCTAATAGTTATTAGTTAGGAGTAGTCAAGTAAGTACCTTAGGTAGTTAGTTACCAGGTAACTAGTGACCAGGTAGTTAACTAGTACCTAGTTATCTACAGGTTGATAGTTCTAGATACTGGTCAATACTAGTACTTACATTACCATACGTATGCATGTCCTCCTGTCGATCTGACGGCTCCCACTAGGCCTAAAGGAGCTGCTTCTCGCGATATTCTGAGAGTTGAATAGTAGTACCTTGTTGTTCTTCTCTACTTGGTACTACTACAGTATGTAGTGTGTCAAGTGGTGATACTGCAAATAGTATAGTAAATATAAATAAATAGTAAATATGAATAAATAGTAAATATAAATAAATAGTAAATATACATAAATAGTAAATATACATAAATAGTAAATATACATAAATAGTAAAATAATGATAATAATCATCCTCAGCCGCAAATGCCAGGAAACCAACGATCGGCCACTCGCCAGGGCTCTTCCATATACTCCGTACGCCCCCATTTCCCCCCAATCCATCCCCTCGGGCGGCACTGGCAGGGTCTGGCTTGACGACCCAATAACAACGCCAAAAACAAAATGAACCAGACTAAAAATGACAATAATCATCCCAGCCAGATCGTGGACAAGGTTCGCTGTGGGCAACTCTGGGCGCGGGCGTCGCCCCTCCCTTTCCCTTCTTCCCTTCCTTTCCTCCACCGTATCTGACGCTGGGCTGGCCGTGGCGCTGGGACGTTTCTGATTCTTCCAGGCACTGCTTGCTTTGAAGCTTTAAGGCAGCCAGCCCTCTCCCTCTCTCTCTCTCTCTCTCTCTCTGTATTTTCCTCCATCACTTCTCTCCAGTTTCTCGCCGTTATCTCGTATTCCCACGTGTCGGCAGTCAGATTCCCTTTGCAGGGATATTTTTGGAGTCTTCATTTGCGGGTGTCATGCCGGGCAGAAAGTGACAGGGAGGAAAAGTAAAAAAGTGGGAAAAAGAAAACAAGAAGCAGAAGGAGAGGAAGGATTAAAAAAAAAAAAAGCAACCCTTTTCCCCCCATCTCTGCACCCCATCTCTGCATCCCCCATCTCTCCATCTTTCCATCTCTCCATCTCTCCATCTCTTCTGCAAGCCATCTACTATCAACCTCTCCCTCCTACTCGTTCAAAATCTCTTTGCTCTTCTATCCACAATGGCTGGTCCTGGTGGTGGGCCGCCGCGGAAGAGCCATACCAAGTCCCGTAACGGCTGCAAGACGTGCAAGAGGAGGCATATCCGTTGTGACGAGAACTTTCCCCAATGGTATGTTAGAGAGAGACACACACACACTGACAAAGATCTGATGAAACAGTCGGAACTGTACAAAACACAACTGCCGCTGCGATTATATGGACGTCGCCGCCGCCCAGGAGGAGGCCTCCTCCTCCTCCTCCTCCTCTTCTACAGCGGCTGCCGCAGTGGCCAAACCCCCCCGGGCTCCCGATTTGTTGATGTCGCCAGAGATCGAGACCGAGATCGAGACCTGGCATATCACGGGCGTGCCTCCGTTTCCAGAGCTACTGCAGTGTCCACGCAACGGCTGGTTCGGTCTCGCTCGCTCTGACCTCCGTCTGATCCATCACATCATCGGCCTGTCCATCGACCTCCATCGCCGTGGGTTCAGTACCTGCACCGTCTGGGCGCAGAAGATGCCCAAGTGAGTTCACTCTCTCTCTCTCTCTCTCTCTCTCTGTCTCTCGACTAATTGATAGCTTCCTCGCTATCGCGTTGTCCAATGACTATGTGATGAGCTCCATCTTAGCCCTCTCGGCCTCACATCTCGCCTGGATCACTCATAACCAAGAGACCACCCAGCTCGCCTATCATCACCGCGCAACAGCCTTCAGAGGCTTGAAACGCGCCATCGGCGCCTTCTCCAAGGATAATTCGGACGCCCTCCTCGCAGCGTCCATTTTGCTCTCCTGGCAGGCCACGGAATGGTCAGTTTTGAAGTCTAGAAGATGTACCTAGGTAACTGACTCTAACTGAATAGGAATGACTGGGCTTTGTTGCAGAAAGGTCTTTCCACGGTGAGTTTTTCTTCTTCTTCTTCTTCTTCTTCTTCTTCTTCATTTCTAATAGGCTAGATCCTCGACGCCATGCTTCCCATCTGGAAGCAAGAATCAGATCTGGCAAGATTTCTAGAATCCCAAAGGGCTCTGGCAATCCCTGCAGTCACGGCGGGGTATCCATCTCCACAGGAAGACCCCGCACACCTGGATCAGACCATTGCAGCCCTGCAAAACGTGCAGAAGCAGGTTGGGCATAACCAGGAACATTACCGTCGGTTGGAGGACCTGCTCGACTTTGTTCGGCGCTTTCGGCGCGACCTCCCAATGCAGACCCCCGAAACGGCCTTTGAGCGGATGCAGACCCTCCGCCAGTGGCTGTTCTGGCTGCCCCCCGCCATGCTCCGCGGCGGCGACAGCGACATGGCCGCCCTGCCCGTGTTGGCGCAGTTCTTCGGCATCGGGGTCGCCCTGGATCGCGTCGTGCCGGAGCTGGGAGGCGCCTACCTGGCCCCTCTATCCATCGGCCCCGCCGATGACATGTATCGGATCGTCGTGTCTCGAAGCTCATCCGACCCCTTCAACCCCGAAATCCAACATTCTCTCGCCCTCATGGATCTCCCGCGACATATCGTTGCCCAGCACAAGAACCGCCTTCACTGGTCGCCCCGCCCCTCCATCGACCCTTACTCGCCCGCCTCCTCGAGCCCCTACCCGGCTCTGCACGACTACGGCGTCGCGCCCCCCTCCACCTCCTCCCCTTCGTCCACCTCGCCCACCTACGCCACATATGCCTCCCCCGGCCAGTCGCCTCCTCCCGTTGCGGTCCCCAGCTCGCCGTTCCCCGTTGTGGGGAACTATGTGACCACCACCACCGCCGCCGCCCCGGCAGCAGCCCCCTCACAAGCGTACTATCCGCCGCCCTCGCCGCAGTTGCTGACCCAGCTCCGCACCACACGCGCCGATCTCTCTGGCTACCACCACCATCATGGCCAGGCAGGCACACTTCCCCGTTCCCCGGTATACTCGCCAACATATGTCGATGACATGTTCTGTGGCGGTGTCCCTCGTGTTGACGGCACTCCTCTGGGCTCAAATATGGGACTGTACCATACCCACAGCCCAGAGTCTCACGCCATTCCCAGTGGGGGTTTAATGACACCTGAACTCTGGACATGAAAGATTTATCCAATGGTCTCCAGATTAAATGGGACATGCGAAAAAAAAAACTTTTTTCTTCAAGTGCATTGTCTGAGGCTAGGACTACAACTCTGGCAGAGTTCATTATCTTTGTCTGGCGTTTTTTTTTTTAAAAAAAAAAAAAAAACCGCCACCCCCCAAGCCACTGCAGAGCTCTGCGGACCCTGAAACAGCGTCTACAGACAGCCAACGAGTGCAACGAGTGCAACACACGGTCTGAACTAGACATCCGCGTCGAGTTTTTCTTATCAGAGAGCCACCTGCATCGCACCGATGCTTCCACTCCCTGCCCCGAGAATTCGGTCGTAATTTCTACACGATCAGAGGAGGATTGGTCGGGCGTTTCTCTTTCCTCTGGGCATAATTAGTAGTAACTATACCATTCCTTAGAGTAGACAATAATCTAGCAATACACGAGTATAGCAGTATAGCAGTATTATAGCAGCAATCAACTAAACAGTATGAAGGACGTGTATTTAAGGTATATTAGAGCCCGCGGCAGGGATGGGCCTCGTATTCGGCGTCGTGTTCCTGTCACTAGTGAATCTCAATACGAAGATCGGGATACGGATATACGGAGTCATGGAGATCAACTGCTTATGTAAGGCCATTAGTCATAACGGGTTAGTCTATGTCGTCAATAGCAGTGACCTCCACCTAGGTAACTACCTGGGTAGTTAGTTTATCTCCTACTACTACGGAGTACGACTACCATGGACGGAGGCTGGAGCACCATTGAATCAGACGAGGTATGCATATCCCTTCAATCTTCTTCATGAAACATGCTAACTAGCAGGGCGTGTTTACCTCGCTGATCGAAACGCTGGGCGTCAAAGACGTGCAGTTTGAAGAGATCATTTCACTGGACGCAGATTCAATACGATCATTATCGTACGACGATAACCCCCCTCTATCTCTCTGTTTTCTTCGTTTTCTAATAAGATAGTCCCTACGGCGTCATCTTTCTCTTCAAATGGACCAACGACCGCTCGAGTTCACCCAGCCACCCCCCCGACGGAAGCTACGACACCACCGCCGTGGACTCGGGACTCTTCTTCGCCGCCCAGACGATCCAGAACGCATGCGGCACCCAGGCCATCCTCTCTGTGATTCTGAACCAGGAGAGCATCGATCTCGGCGCCGAGCTCTCCTCCTTCAAAGACTTCACGACGGGGTTCCCCCCCTCGTTACGCGGCGATGCCTTGTCGAATTCGGAACCGATCCGCGTCGCGCATAATGCTTTCGCCCGCGCGAGTCCCTTTGCAGATGAAACGGCCCGTCCGCCGCGCCCGGACGAAGAATCCGCAGACGTATACCATTTCATCGCTTATACGCCCGTCAACGGAACCCTGTACGAGCTGGACGGCCTGCAGCCGCACCCGATCAGTCATGGCGAATGCGATCTGGAGTCCTTTCCCGACCGCGTCATCGAGGTGCTGGCCAGACGTATCGCGCGATACCCCGAGGGTGAGATCCGCTTCAACCTCATGGCTGTGGTGAGGGATTTGAGGATCCGGGCCCGCGAGTTCGGCGATGCAGAGCTGCTGCAGCGCGAGGAGCGGAAACGTCGCGGGTGGGCCTGGGAGAATACCTTGCGCCGATGGAACTTTGTTGGCTTCATCGGTGAGATGATGAGGGGGGTCGTTGCTCTCAAGGAGGGGGAGGGTCCCTCGGCTTACGCGGATTGGGTGGAGGGTGCGAAGAGCGAGACTCTGAAGCGGAAAGGATACAGCCAATGAACACTCAATGAACACATTCAATACAGTAAACTATGATATAGATATGTTCCATTCAATGCAGTACTAATAATCCATCATCCGAGCTTTGATCGCCCCAAGCATCTCGGCTGGCAACTCGCTCTCCTTGATGAGTTTCAAAGCCAACAGGTCTGCCCAGAAGAGCATCGCCCGGTCCTGCGCGTAGGCAAGGTAATCGAATTCCTCTGCTTCGCTAGCCCCATTGCTAGAAGAAGCATCATTGCTAGAAGATGCACCATTGCTAGAAGATGCACCATTGCTAGGAGTATCAGGATCATCCAATCCAGGCACCTTGGCCTGCACAATCCCCCAAGTAACCCACTGCGCCGAGACGAGCACCCGCCAAAGTCTCGTCTGACGGAGGAGATAGCCCAGCTCGGCCTCGAGGACCTCGTCGCGCGCCTTGTCCGCCTCCGTCAGCGGGGGGATCGCCCCGTCCAGATCCAAGGGGGCCAAGTAAGGCGTGCTCCCTGTTACGGCGCGCATCGAGGGCGTCGTGCTGGGCGAGAGGGGGAGTCGGCCTCCCCCGGCCCTGCTGTTGGTGTGGCTGGGTCGGTGGCGGAGGTACGCCGATATAAAGCGCCGCTGTTCCTCGGCGGTAGGGTACCCTCGTGCATGACAGGCCCAGGGGCGCTCTGCGTCGTGGTAATTGTAGCACCATTCAGACTAGAAAATTAGCCTTTTCTCCTCGACTTTCATGTGGTTTTGGCAACTTACAAAATGGTTGGCGAATTCAAAGCCTGGAGTGTTGGCTGACGCGTATTCGAAATCAATGACCACCAGCTGTTTGTGATAGTTTGCCGGTAGGAGGAGCGGAGACTCGCCGCTGGGTTCCAAACGGAGGAGATTGCCATATTGTGTCTGCATTACCTTGGTTAGAAAAAGAGGAAGGAAGAGAGAGAGAGAGAGAGAGAGAGAGAGAGAGGTACATCGTTGTGGGCAAAAACGAGCTGGCGCTTGATCTCGTCAGACCCGCCAAGGGTGGCAATGAGCCATTTGCGATAGTTGTCAACAGCCTTGCGGAATAAGGGCCAGGGCACGCAGCAGACGAAGCCCCGACGCCGCCAGGGCTCGGAATGGGCCTTTGCTTCATTGTGCTCCGAGAGCAGCTCCTTGTCCAGCCAGCTGGTCACCTGGCCGCAGCGGTCGACCCATTTCTCCCAGTTCTTGAACATGACGGGCCCGCCTTCGCGCTCCTCCTCGAGCAGCTCGATGCCGTCGTGCAGCTCGCGCATCCGTTTGGCGATCTGCTTTGACGTCACGGGGTCGCGCAGGTCCTTGGCCGTCAGGGGCCGCGCCTCGAAGAACTCCTCAAACCGGCCGTTGTTGAACGTCCCAAGCACCCGGGGGCCGATGTTCTTGCGGCCGAGACGCCCGAGGATTTGGAGTTCGATCTCTCGGTCGATCAGATGGTCCACCTGCGGGCCGTAGATCCGCAGCAGAAGTTTCCTGTTCCGTTTTAGAATCAAGGTAAACCTGAGATAGCGCGTGGGGTGTGGAAACTCACGGGGGAGGCCGTCGTGGCACAGGCTTCGAACCGTCGTCTGCCTTGAGCGGCGGCGGCGGCAGGGTTTTCGGCGACGCGACAACGTAGACGGCATTGGTCAAGGCACCGCTCAGACGAGTCACGTCGATCTCGCCTGCTAGTTCTATGGGAACCCGGCGCCAGCCCTTGAGACGCAGAGTATGCACGATACGGATGATCTCCGTCTTGAACGTCAGCCAGTACTCACTGGCGCGTTTCCCGCTGGCCGTGTTCTCGTCGACCTCGTCCTCCACCGCGCCACCGGAATAGGCGAGCGTCTTGGAGTTGTCGAGGAAGGCATCCACGCTCGGAACCGAGGTCTCCAAGTCGTAGTGCTCCGACTCAGACACAGATGCACTCCGCAGTCCCTTGACCCGTCGTCGGCCAGACCGTCTGGGTCCCCCGCCCTCTGGCCGTGCAGACACCGCCGCAACAGCAGCAGCCGTGTACGAATCGAGGATCTTCTCCAGCTTATCCAGGGCAAACGCGCCGTGCGAAGTCGCCGAGGGCGTCCGCTCCAGCACGGCGAGCGAGCTTGCGGTCGCGGTCGCGTTCTCCTCCTCCTCCTCCTCCTCCTCCTCCTCCTCCTCCTCCCCCCCGTCTCCAGCCCCGTCGCCCACGTGGGACCCGCCAGACGCGCCCTTGGAGCGACGGACCTTCTGGCGCGCTCGCTCGTGCTGCAGCCATTCGTAGACCTGCGCGAGAAGGCTGCCCTGCGCAGCTCCCTCTTCCCCTGCCGCCGCGGGCGCGGGCACGGACACGGGCGCGTCGTCAATAACGGCCGAGGAATCGGCCTTCCGGCTCGCTGTTGGACTGTTTAGCAGCGGCATCGGCGCCGAGTCCAGCATTGCAAGCCTCGAGAGCAAACGGTCTTACTTTGCACCTGGTGCCAAAGAATCAGAGAAACTGGGGACACCAGCGCGCTCTCTTTCAACCGAGTCAGTCTGTGTCTAGTTGAGATAAAATAATGAATAAATAAATAAATAAAAGAGTCTCACTTCTACACGTCTAAATGTTTCTAGCCCAGAGGAATCCGGGGTCTCTCTCTCTCACCCTCTCTCTGCGTGCAAGTGTTGGGTTTCAGGTGAGGAAATAATGGACCGCCGACGAAGAGCGGATCCAAGTGGGGTTTCCAGTAAATGAAGGCAGTTGGGTTGACCTGCAAACGAAGATAGAATAGATAATTAGAAATGGATACCAGCTCAATTGCCGTCCTGTCGCGGGTGTTGGGATCTTGGCGAGGAGGAAAAGCAGCAGGTTTATCAGTTTATCGCCAGTTTATCATGGAAAAGTGGCAAAATCTGCCGCGCGCTGATTTCATGTCGCGTGATTCACGTTTCTGTGGGTTTTTTTTGCTTTTTTGAAGGAATTCATCTGTACAATCGGGTCCTTGATTATTTTAGCAATGGCCATGACTAAGAGTGACTCTATAGAAACTGTATATGGGTTGTTTTGGTCTGGAGTGGCATGTTATCCTGGGTCTGGGAGTCGCAGAAGAAGGAAAATCTCGAGGCTGGCCAATAAACAAGCTGCTTATTCCAGCACTAAAAATATACTAGGCCGATATTAATTTATAGTTATATCTAGCGTAATGAATATTGAATATATTATATAATATTCTATGATATAGGAGTATGTGATGGGCGACGGCGAGGTCATCGCGGTGGGTGATGATGCCTCAGGCAGGCAGTAGTGATGGATATCTAACGAACTATTGATTGGCCCTGGACACTTCTGATCAGGCCATAAATAATAGGAAATGTGGACTACTGTTCTATACGTCAGTAAGAGCGCAAACCTGTTCCTGGTTGGATCAGTTGAGCTTATGTGCAGCTATATAAAGTACCTGAGGCAGCTGTATGATCCTTGCTAGGCCCAACACCTGGCAACCTAAACAAGAGCTTAAGAAGAGGACAGTTGCTTTGAGGGACAGCAGCATCACTTGACAGGTAGAAATATATAGTGGACTTGATACTTTCAGTCAGCTAGTTACAGATAGATATATTGAGATATTATTGAATACGTTCAAGTTGAAACCCACAATCTCATCTAGTACTTACTACCTTGGTAGTTGTCTGCATTCTCAGAGTTGCTTCAGTAAATATTGTAGAGATTGAATACCCCCTGAAATTAACCCCCAGCTGACTCAGCTGGGTGCCAGCTGGGTGCTCGCCAGCAAACCGAGGGAAAGAACCAGGCAACACCAGCGAAGACTCAATGTTGGCATGCAGCACCTGCCTTCTATTCTTCATCTCCTCAACTATCGATTCAAGCATCGCGTTTTAGCCCTTTCTACTATTGTTCTAGCTTAAACATAGCCACCATGGCTTCGCCTTTCGCCGCCACCACTCCTTCTGCGCTCAGCGACTCAGTCAGCGATATCACCTTATTCATAGAGATGCCGGCAGACTCACGAGCTCGTCTGGACAGTTACCGGCCCCGGGTCTCAAACGACGATACCGCTGACCTTCTTCGGCAGACATTCAAGTACCTGCCTCCCGACGGTAGGGCCAATCTCGTGGAGGATATACTCCAATGCACGTTGGACAGCCAGCTTCACCAGCTTGGCCAGAATATTGTGACCGGTCTTCTCAACCCCTTGAAAGTAGCTGGGGGTAAAACGGCTACCATAACTCCCTCCCCCAGGCTCGGGGTCGAGGATTCGATCGAGAACCTCGAGGCAATGATCGATGACCCGATGAAGCGAGCCCAGAAGGAGCTTCGCAAGAAATGCCTTCGTCGTGATGGGCAGATGTGTGTGGTGAGCAGCCTCTATAATACTGAGGAGGAGGAGATGGCCCCTGCCGGCAAGATGGCAGCCGACTTGGAGGCAGCGCACGTCATACCTTTTGACCTCGCCAATTTCAAGGATGACGCTGAGCGGCACTTCATCGCCTCAGTCTGGACCACGATGTACCGGTACTTTCCAAGTGTGCGATCCAGGCTGAATTTTCACTATGAGGACATCAACAACACGGCCAATGTGATGATGCTAGAGAGGGGAATTCATCACAACTTCGGCAAGTTCCGGCTTGCTCTAGAGCCAACTGGTCACCCCAACCAGTACAAAATTCTCACCTTTCCACACCTTGCCTATCCTGCCCGCATGCTTCTACCCCCCAGTGGACTCGTCACGCTGGTCGCCCACGACGGGCGCGACGAACTCCCGTCGCCAATCCTGCTGGGTCTCCACGCCGCAATCGCCAAAATACTGCATGCAACCGGCCGGGGCGAGACTATTGAGCGTCTCCTACAGGACTATGACGACATCGCCGTCCTCGCCCGCAATGGAAGCACCAATCTGAACGACTTGCTGTCTGTCAGCAAGCTTCCAGCCATCGTGCAGCGCCCGTTTAACGTCCCCCAGCCAGGTACTCTATCCAAGACCGACGAGGGGCAAAAGGTCCGGCAGCAATCCCCCGCCCAGGTGGAGTGGCAGAAGCGCAACCGTCTCGCCGGTAAAGAGAACTAGGGGAGGCATTCATGTAACAAGTACACCTGAATATATCGCGGGCTCTCGGTGGTTGGTCTAGCAGCATGACCTGAATGATTTATGAATGATCAGTGATTTAATGAATTATGAATAATACAATAAGTTATGAATGATGAAATCTCTTTTCTATATTTGCAGTATTTAGTAGGAGTTATATATTATAGTAAGGAAGGTAAAGCAATAGTAAAGAATAATGGTACAATTCAAGTATAGCCCAAGCCAGGATTGTTAGTTATCTAATTAGCTTCTTGATCCCACTTCTACAAGTCTGTGAGAGCGCAAATCTGTTCCTGTTGGATCAGTCAAGCTTATGTGCAGCTGTACAATCCTTGCTAGGCCAAATCCTCGGCCCCAGATAGCGTCGCTAGGTTGCCAGCAGCGTAGAGCTTAATTGCAACTCACAGGTTTCATCAGCAGTACAAAGGACCTGACGGGTTGTGTATCACAAGGAATAATGCCATTGATTGAGGTATAATATGAACGTCGTTCAGTCATCGCCAGCGGCTTGCGCGCTTCCAGCGCAACAGTCCAACCCCCCCCACTCCCCACTCCCCACCCAGTCCGTTAGTCATGATAAGTGACACTCCAGATTTTGTAGCCAGTCTGTGGTTGCCCATTATTGGTATTCAGGGCCAGATCGCCCCACGCCCCAATCTCAAGCCACCCGTGCGTCGAATTGGCATACTGCATCGAATATCCCTTACCGTTGCCCAGGAATGTAAATTTCACTTCAGCAGCCTGCATGGCAGCGCTGGCGGGCAGCAGGGCACCATTGGGCCCCAGCCATTTCCCGTCGATCGCGCTGGAGACCTTGAATAGCCCGCTTTCCTCGCCACTCGAATAGTGAATCACCCATCTCTGCTGAATGGCGCCATGGTTTGAGCTTGCCGGGCTGGCCGTCACTCGCGATGCGTTGCCGGTGTTGGTGAGAGCGTAGCCGGACATCTCAAAGACCAAGTGGCGACCTTCCGTCAGGTAGCCGACACACTCCTTAAAACCGTCTTCAAACCAAAGTGCTTCCGACACATTGCTCTGCTCGCCATAGGGTACAGGTGGGCGAGGGTTGGCGTATGTGGCCTCGCAGCGCGCGGTTCCCACCCAGGCTCCAGAAGAATCGGTGGCAGGCGTCTCGGCTTCAGGGATGTAGGGGATACTGTAGTCAGGCTGTTTGGTTGGGTCAATTACTTAGTCCAGCAAAGAGGATAATCAGGCCACACAACGTACATGGTCCAGATCAAGGGCATTGACAAGGTTAGACATGTGTTCACGGCGCCAAGCGACCATCTGATCGGTCTTGATATTCTGATAGCCTCTGGCAGTCAGCCATTCTTCGAGGAAGAGAATCTGCGAGTTGTGGTCCGCTCTCTCGGTGAAGACGCGGTTCCCGCGAGTCCAGGGCGAAATCATGTAGAATGGCAATCGAAAGCCAGGGCCGACAAAAATGTCGCCAAAGAGGCCATATGGATCCTCCATCCAGTCACCTGGAGTGTTCCTGGGGGAGTGGAAAGGAGTGACATGGTCTCCAAAACCGCCAGACTCTTTAAGCTAGGTTAGTATTTACACCAGTTATCTTCACACATCTTGATCGTCAGTCATAAACGCACCATCGTAGCTAATCATCAATAGAGTTGAAGAGTAGTCCGGGCTGTTGACAACAGCATCGACAACCTTCTTTTGCAGCCAGGCCCCGTCCTTGGGCATGTACGGTGGGTGTTCCGACAACTCAGCAGGCCCGACAATGAAGCTGATTTCAGGCAGGGTACCGTTCGCGGCAGCCCCATAGAAGGCCTCGAGTCCCGGGTAGGTCATGCCTTTGCGATGGAGAGGCGACGTCGAGGAGGCATTCTGGTATTGTTCAAACCATGCAAGGGGATTGTCATCAAAGTTATCCGTGTCCTGATACACCTGCCAGGAGACCCCGGCTTCTTCATAGAACTCGAAGATTGTCTTCCACTTGAGGGGATAGCAGCTGACGTGAGGCATCTCGCAGCCTGTCAAAATAGTTAACTTCATTTCTTCAAAGTTTCTTTTTTTCAGGAAGGCTAACCTGGGGTCTCATTGTTGTCGATATAGACGCCGCCTTGGTCCGGGGACTGGGGGCTACCAGGAACATTGACTGAACCGCTCACCAAAGTGACGCGGTTCGGGTTTGTCGAGGTGATTTGTCCTTCCTAAAAGGTATTAAAACACCGAGTGGACTTCCCAAGTGGATTTTACAGACCTGATACATATCACCACTTGTCCAGCCTTCTGCGATGGCAAACTGGACAGGAATGTCGTTACGTTTAAGGTACCCCCAACTCCAGGGAGTGTTATTCCGGGCCCAGTGGTTGTTCAGACCATGATTGAGAGCAGCCTGGTTGTCGGTATAGCCGTTGTCTCCTGCCACCATACATTGAATCGCGTCGGTGGTGTTCCCTCCCTTGTACCCCAGATACCACGGAAGCAGAGAGTTGGTCTTGTTGGACAGCGCCGAGTCGACCTCTCTTCATGACACATCCAGATTAGACTCCACGACGGTTTGATCAGAGTGGCTAATACTCACTGATACCAAACCGCCTGTCCGTCTTCATTCACCTGCACATTCGGGTCATTGAAGCCTCGAACACCAGCCATGGTTCCAAAATACTAATAACTCAGTAAGTTGTATAACTACTTCGTCTTAACAAAAGCACATACGCTATTCCACGACCGGTTCTCCTGCATAAAAAGAACCACATGCTTGATATCCCTCAACGAGCCTGCAGCAGCTGGCTTACTGACCAGGAGCAGCCCCAGGGCGATTCCAGAGAACACCGCCATGGCGAGAAACTAGAGAGAACGAGGTGACAAGCAAAAGGCAATCCGTTTTTTGTCAATCAAATAAAGAGATCAGCCCCCTTGCAGCAGGTGCCATTTATAAACCCGTCCGTCCCAACCACGTCTTTCCTCTCAGAATCCACGTGTTGCACTTCGCAGATCAGACTCGACACATTCCAAGGAATAAACATAAACGGCAGGTACTCCGGCCGGAAGGCGACCACCTGAACCAAATTCCGTCCACAGAGACATTTTTACCTATCTTCTGTCTGTCTGTTTGGATATTATCTTCGTAGTCGTAGTCGTATTTTAGTACCGAGAGGGGGACGTGGAAGGAGTAAAGGAATTCAGAAGGAAGAAGGATCGCAGAGGTCGAGGCACGTGGAGGGACGCGTGCTGCTCGCTGGACGAACACCACCACCAGAACAGCAACCAGACTGAAGATCTTCACCGCCCCTTCGTCGATAACGAGACAAGTTTTTGGGATTACACATGCTCCGCTCCTTTTGCTCACTGGTGGGTTGCAGGGTTTGGCTGACTTATGGTTTAATCTAGGGATGCTTAGTTACTGCTAGGTAGCAACGGCTCACGGCACCTCATGTTACCTTCCAGGGTCCGATAGAAAGGTCTCCAATAGAAGCTGGATCCTTGGGAAATGACGCGTACGCGCACGCTGGGTGACGGCGCAACGGGAATAACTAACGGTTATGGAGAGACAGGCGAGTCGCCAGAGAAGACCACCTCGAGAGCAAGTCTCATCAGTCTTGACCATGCCCGAGCCGGCGTCTCGTGAACAGAGCCGTCCATGGCGTATCTTATTCCTATCGCTTGCTACTTGTGTCCTGGTTGTGCTTTTGTACTTGGGACAGCATGCTGGGGTTAGGAATCTGTCATTGGGGATTCATGGTGGAAACCGACCTGTCATGGAGTTTCGGGGGCCAGACATCTCACGGCCGAGGATAGAGCTGCATCCCGAAGACCATATTTACAGAGAGCCTATCACGCAGTATTTGAACTGGAACATCTCGTCGAGTTTCAGGCGCCCGGATGGAGTGCTCAAACGCGTATTCACGATCAATGGTGTGTAAACCTCTAAGATATCTGATGTCCATTCTATACTGACTGGGAGAAAGACCTTTTTCCGGGTCCTACTATTGAAGCCCGGGCAGGGGATACTTTGATAATTGCCGTTAACAACACCATAAAAGACGAGTCCTTTTCTATTCATTGGCATGGGCTACATGTACACCGTAAGATTGCCAACCCGATAGCTTGGATGTCAATTTGTTTTAACTCAACGGATAGAATCAATGGATGGAGCGGTTGGGGTTACGCAGAATCCTATTGAACCCGGAACCACGTTCGTCTACAACCTGACAATTCCACCAGATCAAAGTGGGACCTTTTGGTATCACGCCCACTCTGGGGTAGCCAGAGCTGACGGCTTGTACGGCGGCTTTGTTATCCACAGACCTAGCCCCAAGTCGACAGTACGAGGACTCCTAGGCCAGGAGACATCCGTCGATTCTGATAGATTTCATTACAACAAGGAGTTGTTGCTATTGATCGGAGATTGGTACCACCGCTCTGCGCCAGACGTTCTGTCCTGGTACATGCGTGCAGGATCATTTGGCAATGAGGTATGTATAGGTGTCACAACAGCCCAGTTATATGCTGACCCTCCACAGCCTGTCCCTGATTCCCTTGTTATCAATGGGGCTGGGCACTTTGACTGCTCAATGGCTGTACCAGCACGGCCCTTGGACTGTCTGGTATCTTCTATCGACCCTCCTCTCTTCAATATGGAAAGAAATCTGGCGTACAGAATTCGCGTGGTCAACACCGGGTAGGTCTAAGTACATTTGGACTAGAGTGAGAGAGCAAATATCTGACTTGCAGCCGTGAAGGTCCCTGGCAGGATTTAGTCTAGCATTTTCTCACCAAAATCTCGAGCTGATTCAGCTCGATAGTGTTGACGTTGAGCCACAGCAGAAGTCGGCGACTTCATTGGGGAACCTATTTCCAGGACAGCGCATGGATTTCGTTATCCGCACACTAGAGGAAGCAGATGATGGGCAAGGACCGATGTATATGACTGTGGAGCTAGACAGAGGGTAAGCAGTTAGTTTATGGACGTCTTATGCATGCCTGCTGAAAATTGCTACAGATGCTTCAGATATCCCAATCCCGCCTTGACGCCGGAGCAAACATTTGAGATCAGTACCATGGATAGCATACAATCTCAAAAAGAGAACATTCGTCCCAAACATCATTTGGATATTGAACAGGTACCATCCGCACGGTCTGTTCTGGCCGATCTCCCACCAACCGCTCAACAAACGCATGTCGTGTACACGAAGATCGAGAAGCTCTCGATTAGGCACAACATTCCATATGGATTCTTCAACCGTACATCCTGGAAGCCACAGAGTAATCCCCCACAGCCGCTAAACAGTCTTTCCAAGGGCCAATGGGATGAAAATCAGTTTTCTCTCTCAACAGGTCCAGAGCCAGTCTGGGTTGATCTAGTGGTGAACAACCTGGACGAGGGGGATCATCCGTTTCATTTGGTAAGCCACCTGACTCGAAATAGCTTCTTTCTTCGGATATCTGATATAAACAGCACGGCCACCACTTCTATGTCTTGGCCATCTATCGCTCCTCGACAGGCTGGGGATCTTACAACCCCTTCAGCGACGCCCGTCCACCCGGTCTGTCACTCCCAGAGGAGTCAGATGCTCAATCTCCTTATGATCTCAGCCGCGCCATCTTGAGGGATACAGTGCAGATTCCCCGGCGCGGGTACGCCGTGCTTCGCTTCAGGGCAGACAACCCGGGAGTCTGGCTGTTTCACTGCCATATCCTGTGGCATCTGGCTAGTGGGATGGCAATGATCGTAGAGGTGGGTTAGCGAGTATATACAAACCAAATACAAGCTAGATAAAATTTTTAATTTGATTACTGGGTACATGATGAATAGAGGAAAAATATCCGTATTGACCATGTCGATCATGTATCATGGTCTTTCTAATCCTAACAGCATACATACATACCGACCTGCATCAAGCAGTACTCATAACAAAAAAAAAAAAAAATAGAGTCGATAAGGATAGAAGTAAACGTATACAAGAGGCAGATATAGATAAAGAGACGCCGGGCCACCTTGATACACCTCTAATAAGGACGTAGGATGGGAATAGGGATAGGGAGGGTGACGAAAATAGGTAAAGGGCGAAAAGAAAACTACGCGGACCATTCCACTACTTCCAGAGCGCACATGACGAGAACGAGGGTGGAAGGGAGGATCCTAGAATTGCGTTAGAAGATGCCTTGGAATTTTGAAGAAGATAGAGAGAATACAGAGACATACCACACGACATAGCTTTGGAAGAGGAGCGAGGACATGGCGCCTACATAGACGTTATTGATCTGGCAGATCTGGGCGAGTTGCAGGGCCGACGGGGCGCCAGTGAGGAGGAAGCAGACGACGATGAAGATGGGGTCGCCGAGGATGCTGATGGGGACGAACTTGGCGAGGAGGGCGAGGATGGGAGCCATGAAGAGGGTTGGCAGCAGCATGCGGGCGACCAGAGAGGCGATGATCAGCTTGCGTTCCTCCTTGGGGTGTTCCAGGTCGGCGAGGGCCTCTTCGGGGATCGTGTTGCGCGCCAGGTTGGCGCCCAGGACGACGAGAATCAGCGGCACGGCGACCTGTCCGTTCTGTTGGACGGCGCGGGTCACCGAGTTGCGGACAAAGGTGCCGTCGTCGAAGAAAAGTCGCTGCAGCGCGGGGACCGAGGCGACTACGATCGCCACCAGCATCGCCCACAGCGGCGGGTTCATAAATGCCCAGACACCCCTGGCCGTCCGGCGCAGCCAGCGGCCAGTTGTAGTCAGGGCCTTCTGCACACCCGGCGGCAGTTGTTGGAAAAGGGCCGATGAGCGCTCATGCCAGCAACGAACAATGCGGGTGCGAACCCGGCGGATGGTTTTCTTGCATCGTTTCCCCCACCCACTGGCCCCGGTCGGCTCTCGGGAACTCTGGCGTCGAGTGACTTCGACGTTAGGAAAGGTCATTATATCGCCATGGGTCACCTGGCGCGGTAGGAAGGGACCCTCTGGCGGTGGACCGAGGACAGAATCGTGCGAGTCATCTTCGCTAGAGTCGCTGTTATCATCACCGCCGCCATGAATGTGTCCAGGCTCCACGGCCGAGGCGTCAAGCGAAGACAGTTTGGCGTGTGAGTAGGTGCGAGTAGTGACGGGTGTCTGGTCCCCGGAACCGAATTTGCTAGGCACATGCACGGTATCGGCGTCGAGGTCGTCGAAATCGTCCTCGCTCCGGGTGCGGATCAAGGGCTCGTCGGGGTCTGTCTGGTTTGGGTTGTCACTGTAGCGAGCCTGGCCACGTTGGATGCGGGGGACGCCCCTTTCCTGTTCCTGTTCTTCGAGATAGCGTTCCTTGGGGGCGAGCAGGACATGGTAGCCCCAGCTCCAGCGCACAAGCTGACCCAGTTGTTGGAAGATGAGCAGGTACAGAATACCGCGTGCGGCCACTTCGTCGTCATTGTCATTCGGAACACGACTCCAGTGCAAGCCTTTAAGGGTCTGGGAGAGCGACATGACGAGGGAGATAGGGAGGGAGTTGGAGTTGCCGAATACCTAACGCTAATTAGATATCTGCGGTGGGTATCAAGCAAGAGAGACATCGGCTATTGCATACCGCCATGGCAGCCACAAAGTTGGACTGGCGCTTCTTGAAGCGACATATCCGAGCCACAACAAAGGCACAGCCGTACGAGACACAGGTCTGGATAACAAAAATCACCGGGATGATGGCGAGATCGGTCAGCTTCTCAGCCGTGAGCTGAGATCCGAGTTTCGTGAAGACTGTTTATTTATTGCCAACGGGATCAATCGGTGATCAGAACATCCTTGGGTGCTTGGAAAGGAAAACAATCCAACGGGGTGTCGAAACTTACTCAGACACGGAGTGAACAGCATCACATTCAGGTTGGCGACGAGTTTCTGGGCATCGGCATCGAACATGCCCTGCCTGGCGGCGATATATCCCGGAAGACTGACACAGACGACTTCTAGGACGGCCTCGAAGACGAGCAGCACCAGATGGAGGAAGGACGGGTGGTTGGCGTGGGCGACCGGCTCGAGCTGGTAGACGCCCGTCATCGTCGCGTTGACGGCCATGGGGGTCATAAGCTGCCGTGGGACGAAGCCACTGCGGCCATGTTGCAACGATCGCGGGGAGGTAAATATGGACATCGAAGGAGGCCGCTGGATCAGCTTTGATTGCGAGGCAGAAGTATAGGGATAGATTGGATGGAGCCTGGCGAAGTTTGGTCCAGGTTGGTTTGAGGGCGGGATCGGTCTGCACGCCTAGGCGCTAGCCAAGACAGGGGGGTATAGTCGCAAGCAAACGAGGGCACAGCCATGCGATGGTATCCAGACGGATGTATCTAGTATCTCCAGGCCGCGAGGGGGAACGAGGAGGGGTTGGGATTGTCCTGGAGATGGCAAATTCGGGGGGGTCAATGAGGTCAACGATAGGCGGATGCCAAGGACAGGCCAAAGTGACAAAAGCTGGTTCCGTTGGACAGTCGCGGGTGTGTCACTGTGTACTCCGTATGGTACGACAGGTGGAGTTTCAAGAGAATGGCAGGATCTCACTGGGAGGTGGATATCGTAGTTATTGAACAATGATTGAATAAGAATGAGAGTAGCACTCTGACGGACTGGACACTAGTTCAACTGGCGTTCTTGATAAGATGAAGCCTGGAAGATAACGATTATTGGCGATGCCAATCACGACGACAGGAGCAGTCACGTGTTGTAGCCTGAGGCAGAAAGGCAGTAAGGCAGAAATGGCATTTGCCTGCCTATGAATATCAAGGAATTTAGAATCTTTGCTACTACTACTCTGTACACTGTACAGCAGCACTCTCAGCATTCACAAGAAGGTGATATCCCTAGACAAGGGCCATACGAACTTCTGCTGTCATACGGAGTGTTCCCAACTACTAGTTATTGAATTCCCAGGGTACGTCATGATCAGCACCGGTTCGACGCAGGTACTCAGTACTTGTTCTCGATGCAAGATAAGTCCTACACCAGGGATAGCATCCCTTTGACAGATTCTTGAGCTAGATGAATCAATACTGATGTTGGGAGTTTACGACTTCATATCAACGCCCTCTGGTACTCCGTCCTGACTCCACGATGAACGATCGGTCTCCACACCATGGTCGAAATCTTGGCTCGTCTGGATGCACAAACATTCCTTCCTTCTCATACGTGGGAAGGGCTGTCCGGCAGGCAGCACAATTTGATCTTGGATCCTGCTTGGGACAGTGCGAGCTTAGCTGAATCACGTCGTCACACATGATGGCACCTGCTAGCTTGGGGAGGGACGAGACGGAGAGACCATCACAGGTAAATAAATACCTATCTGGTACTCTAAGTAAGAGGCGGTTACCTACATACGTAGAGAATACTCCGTTGCGGAGTGCCTTTTACTCTGTAACTACTTGTAGAGACTCGTAATCCGTGTACGGGGTACCTGTATCCTGCCCACCTGCGTATGATAGGCTCGCCTGCAGAGGCAGATCGACTGTTGCCCATGTTTCATCCTCTTGCTGTGGCCACACGGCTCTCTTCCGACAGAGGTCTACAATCATCTGTGGCATCATCGTGCATTGTCTGTAGGGAAATATTCGGGGTTTGGCTGTTATCGACCCAACAGTCTGTAGTCAACGGCTGCCACAGGACAACTGACTTCCTGCGATCGGCACTGGGCGACGCAATCGACTGGGAGACTCGCTACCGCGTGTACAAAAGTATACAATAGATCCTCTCTGTTCTCCAGATGAATTTCCCTAGCGGATACTCTCCAGAGCCTTTTGCACCTGGTGACATTGTCGGCATACTGAGAAACCTCCCTACAATTAATTACCACCTCACCACGACAGGGGCGACAGGGGAAAACGGATATTTTGACTCACGATAACCTCTCCAGACCGTTTCTCTCGATTCTCCTGCTGCTATTCTTCTATCTGCTCACCGATACTCGCTGGCTTCTCTCTCGGGTTCCCCAAATATCTCAACCACGGGCCAGGCGGCGCTGGAATTGGCTGGCTCCCTTTCCCGCCGCCTCGGACCAGAATTCACCTTTGCTCTCTCCGTATGTCTGCCTGTCGACTGTCTACCGACAGCATCCACAGTATCTGCCGACTCTATCGTCCGAGAAATCCTTTCTCTAACCTCTCCGAAGACAGGAAGGAAATCATAGAGGAGGAATTGAACCGGTCTCTCCCTTCCACCCCCCTTTGGCCGCATTCTGCCCCGCACCCACCGACGTCGTTTCTCCCTCTCCCTGCCTGGTTTCCGATCGAACACCCACCGAAACCCGAACTGCCCTTTTGCCGGCCTGAATTCGCTGTGTCTCGCCGTCGCTTCGACTGAACTCCAATCCCCCTTTCGTTCGTTATTTGATGAGTTCGATTGCTGCGAGAAAATAAACTTGTGAAAGAGCAACCTGGTGGCTGCGGCGTTCGCCGGGATCGTGTACGTCCACGCCCTGTGGACTGGACCCTCCCCCTCCCCTCTCCCCCCCTGTCCGACTCGTTTACCGTCGTTGTGGTGGTGTGAATAGCTATGGAGACTCAACGAGAGCCTTTGGCGAATTTTCCGCCGAGCCCTGATGAGATCTCCGACGCTACGGACGATGACCTGTCCCCCTCGCTCACCGCGGGTCCTCAGCATGCCCCAGTCCCGTCGCTACGACCTGGCCGCGACATGATGGCGGGGATGACCGCCTCATCGACTCCTCTGGGACAGCTCAATATCGCTCGGAATGGTCCTGTCATCTCGCCGCGGCCTGTGGCCTCCATGAGTGCCCAGGGAGGTGGCGGGTTGAACCAGGACATCATGGCCAAAATGAAGGCCTTTTCGCTCTCCCGACAAGGCATGCCTCCGAACTTAGGCCATTCCATCTCTACGGGAACCATTCCCACTACGTCAAAGGGCCCGTTGGCTGCCACGGCGAGTCCGCTGGCCAACTCGAGCCATCCGAACACGATATCGGCCGCCGCCGGCGGTGCCCTGGCGGGAGGAGCTTTGGTCGGGCGCCTGCCTCCGGGCGCGCGCCCCAACAACAAGAACTGGGTCTCTGCGCCGAGCATACCGGGGTCCAGTCCGGCCACTGCCCGCGGCTCGCCTGCTCCGGGAGGCGGATTGGCCGCCAAACGGAAACTGGGCTTGCGGCTGTCGGATGTGTCGGGGCCCTCGGCTGCCTCGCCGGGGGGCTCAGGGTCGACGGATGGGTCGGCAGCCCCCAAGGAGACGGCGTTCACCAAGTACGCCGAGTTCATCGACACCCAGACCGGCACGCTGAACTTCAAGAACAAGGCAATCCTGCACTCGACTGGCGTTGAGTTTTCCTCCGGCCATAGCTTCAAGATCTCCCTGGACGAGGTTGACCGGTTGGATGAGCTAGGCAAGGGCAACTACGGCACGGTCTACAAGGTCCGACATAGCCGTCCACATCTGCGCAAGCCTGGTCTTGGCCTGAGTGGAATAGTCAGCCGCCCAGCAGATGATCTAAATGGAACCCAGTCATCGCCTAGGCTACGACCGCAGGACAACGGCAACCTGTCCGGGGTGATCATGGCCATGAAGGAGATCCGTCTGGAGCTCGACGAGAACAAGTTCGCACAAATCATCATGGAGCTCGAGGTCCTGCACCGGTGCCTGTCGCCATTTATCATCGACTTCTACGGCGCCTTCTTCCAGGAGGGTGCGGTATACATGTGCGTCGAGTACATGGACGGTGGCTCCATTGACAAGCTCTATGAAGACGGTATCCCCGAGCCCATCCTGCGCAAGATCGCCCTATCAACGGTGATGGGCCTCAAGACCCTCAAGGACGATCACAACATCATCCACCGCGATGTGAAACCGACCAACATCCTCGCCAATACCCGTGGTCAGATCAAGATCTGTGACTTTGGTGTCAGTGGCAACCTCGTCGCTAGCATCGCCAAGACAAATATCGGCTGCCAGAGCTACATGGCCCCCGAGCGCATCTCCGCCGGCGGCGTCCAGGCAGCCGGTGCGGGTGGTGGCGGCGGCACGTATAGCGTCCAGAGCGACGTCTGGAGTTTGGGCTTAACCATCATCGAATGTGCCATGGGGCGGTACCCCTACCCTCCGGAGACATACAACAACATCTTCAGCCAGCTACATGTAGGTTTAATCGTCCTCAAATTTGTTTGTTCTTTTTTTGGTTCAACTAATGTTGATTTCCAGGAAATTGTGCACGGCGACCCCCCCACACTCCCCGAGACCGGGTATTCTGAGGATGCCCATGCCTTCGTCCGCGCGTGTTTAGACAAGAACCCCAAGAATCGCCCCTCGTACGCGATGCTCCTGCGCCACCCCTGGCTGTCTCCGCTGCTGCAGCCTCCCCAGGCGCCCACCCCCGACGACGCACCCTCCTCTACGGAGACGGAGGACAAAGAGGTGGCGACCTGGGTGAAGGACAGGCTGGCCAAGCGCCAGGGCGGTCTCCAGCCCGATGTCGAGAAACCGGCTCTGCATAAAGTAGCACTAGATGCCGTCCCGAAAAGTCCATTGCTTGATGATCCGTCTACTTCGGCATCATGAACACCCAACCTGAATCCTCGCAATATACAAGTCGAAAACCCCCCACCCTGACACAAACCGGGATACACAAAACCTATCTCTTTTCTTTCCTACCGCACACGACGAGACTCACACATTTCCACTCCCCCAACATTTCTCTTCCCTTTCAGATGAATCATGACAGCCACGGACACGGCGCCGGCGCCGATCTGATGAACACAGCAGAGACCTTATCGACCCGTCGCCCTCTCCCTGTTGTTTCCGCAGCCTGTATCTGTACTCCACCTCTCTTGGTTTCAGTTGTCATCTACCCTCCGATCTTTCTACTTGGGTAGGCATCTCATGTTTGTACATCTATCATGCCTATGTATGGCAATTGTTGATGGCATGCTGTGTATAGCGTTAGATACATAAACCTATTAGTATTTATCTAAATATTTAAACTTATACATAGTAGAGGAAAGGGGGTGTATTTAACCCCAAAACCCTAAACCCTAAACCATACCCAAAATATGTCTATCGTATCACGTGATGTTATCGACATCAGTTTGTATTGTTTGTCTCGATCGCGCCTTCTCTCTCCGCGGCTTCAAATGACGTCCTGTTGTTTTCCTCCTCGTTGGAAATTGCTCATGTCCTGTTGATCGAGGGCCTCCAGGGCTGGCCGACTTCCTTGCCTGATGCTGACGCGTCGCAGCCACAGGAAGTCCCGGAATGGGTGCATTTCCTGCAAAAAGAGACATGTCAAGGTACGTAGTTCCAACTTGAGTGAAAGACTAGGCAGTAGTTAGTACTACTAGTTAGTTACTATACCATGAGCCAGTGATAACATGCATCCTATGGACAGTGCGACGAACAGCAGCCTGTCTGTTCGCTCTGCCAGAGACAGGAGATTTCATGTGTCTATCCACGGAGGGCCGCGAGTCAACGGGACTCGGCGTCTCCGGGTTCGCCAAGCTCACTGACTGGCAAGAAGGAGCCTGCGGCCATCGCTTCCAGGATGTTGGAGATGAAACTACTGCATCATTTCATTGTCAAAACGTGTCCGACAATGGTCAGTGGCGCTATTAGTCTGGAACACTGGCAGAATGTCATCCCCCGCATCGCCACGTCCCATGAGTACGTGATGGATGGCCTGTTGGCATTTGCCGCTCTCCACATGGCGTTGACGGATGCCCCAAACCGCCAAGAGTATATACACGCCGCTCTACAGTACCAGGCCCGCGCTGTGTCGGGGCTCAGTGCGGCGCTGTCGCAGACGATGGACCTCGAGGAGCCCGATGCGGCTTTTGTTTGCTCTCTTCTTATCCTGGTCTTCGCCACCGCATACCCCGAGGTCTCGCTGGATAGGGATTACCCCGTTGATCCGTTGGCCGAGGTCCTCGAGACCCGCAGGCTCATGACCGGCTGTGCCTTCTTTTTTATTCAAATGAACGGGACCACGGAGGCGGCGGAATTGAAACGCTGGTTGAATATATGTCTGAGCCGGGACAACGTCATTGTCACCCTATCCGAGCCGTCTCGCGTTCTAATGTAGGGTTGTCTGTATCCCTTGACCGAAATGGAAACCCAGTCTAATTTCTATCAGGTCTACGGCAAGCTTGGACGATACCCCGGAGCTCAACAAGCTGCATCGGTAGGTGACAGATTGTTCCCCTTGAGCGCTGCCGAAGAAAAAAAAAAAACCCCCTTCTAAGATTAATGTGCCGTTGATTTTTTTAGTGGGATGAAGCCGAAAATTGCCCTTTTCCAGACCATACTTGATAAGAGGCTTCGCCCGCACCAAGAGGTCTGCCGGGATGCTTTTCAAAACCTGCGACGAGGCATCGAGCCCTGGCCGATGCAAGACACCCACGGCGGTGTCATATCATGGCCTGCGCAACTGACCGAGGAGTTTGTGTCGTTAGCCAAAAATGGGGATAGTTTAGCACGCATGGTCTTGCTCTTCTATGGCCTGTCAATGCATCTATTTTCCAACCGGTGGTTCGCGCAGGGCACCGGCAGTCGCCTAATTTTAGGCCTCTGCCCCATGTTCAACAGTGATGATGAGTATCCGGAGCTCGCCGACATCGCCGCCTGGGCAAGAAAGATGATCGATGATCATTAGGCAACCAGACAGGTAGCGAACAACTTTCACATATCTCGCCACACTTGACCTGTTACTGGGCTTTACCAGGCTGTGTTACCTTGATGGCTCGACTGGGAGTCCTATCTCCAATACACTACCGGTCCCAGGCAAATGGCATTCGCTCCATAATGGGTTGATGTCAATTGACGATCCGTATCAGCTATTGGATCTCTATCGAGTCCCAGAGCATTGGAATTACCCCCAAGACTGCTCTGTTGCTTATCAATCTACCTTGGCCAAGTGATAAAAATCTACAAAGCAAGCCATGCCTTGAGTCGGAAGTCTGGCAATCTGAGGCCATGGTTTGAAAATCAGTGGATGGAAGGACGAAGATAACAGGGCCGTAGGGTCTTAGAGAAAATATAATAGACGGCTTACATAGAAGAATTGCGCCGATTGTATATATCATCTTTCCATGAATTATTTACTCTATTAAAACGAACTCGGTTTAATTCAATGGTATGGAATATTTATGCCTAAGGCCTCAGTAATCATGTGACAGACATCATGTGACTACTGGAAAATGCATTGGCAACTTTCAAAGTCGTCATTTGCGAACGGCCGAGAAGCTGCAGAAAGCAGAAGGACAGCGTTGATGACAGAAGCTGAGCAGCCTGAAAAGAGAATTAATAATACCATCAGGCATCATTAAATCTAGACCTGACGCGATAGACCAAATACTAAATCAACAGGACTGGATTTGTCATCTCCAGCTCGTAATTCACTGACCAAGTAAGAAAATCGGACTAAACTGGCTTTTCCCATCTTCCTCCCCCGCTCCGTTGCGACCCCCGCGCCCATTATCAGAAGGAAAAAGAAGGGCCTGTTACTCGCCTCTCCTCTTCCCCCTGCCTCCCATGCTCTCGCGCTCTCCCGCTTCTCTCCCTCTGCAACGACTGCTCCGGAAGACCCGCTGCCTGCCGTGCGTTAGCTCTGTCCGTTCCTCCATTCACACCCCTCGTACCCTCGTCACGACCACCACCACCAGCGCCCTGGAACCCCCCACCACTGCCGGTGCGATCACTCGTCTTGGATCTGTCTCGCGGCATTTCTCTTCTTCAACAACCCGACTCACTGCATCGAGCAATATGGCGCCCATCGAAACCAAGCAGTACGACTACATCGTGCTGGGAGGAGGGAGTGGAGGGAGCGGCAGTGGCCGTCGTGCGGCCGGATGGTACGGTGCAAAGACCTTGATTGTTGAGAGTGGCCGGTCTGGAGGCACCTGTGTCAATGTTGGGTAGGTTTTTTCTCCCCTTCTGATTGCGGAGGTTTGGTTTTATTATTTATTTTATTTTATTTTATTTTTTTTAACTAAATGAATAGGTGCGTCCCGAAGAAGATGACGTGGAACTTTGCAACGATCAACGAGACGCTGCACGTGGGCAAGTCGTACGGGTACGCGATCCCCGAGGACATCAAGTTCGACTATGCGGAGTTCAAGCACAAGCGCGACGCGGTGATCAAGCGGCTGAACGGGGCGTACGAGCGCAACTGGGGCCGTGAGGGGATCGACCTGGTGCACGGGCGGGCGCGGTTTGTCGAGCCTAAGACGATCGAGGTGAGCTTGGAGGACGGGACCAAGGCGCGGTACACGGCGCCGCATATCCTGATTGCCACGGGCGGGCGGCCGACTGTTCCCGGCGTGCCTGGCGCCGAGCACGGGATCACCAGCGACGGCTTCTTCGAGATCGAGGACCTGCCGCCCAAGCTGGCTGTCGTGGGGGCGGGCTACATTGCCGTCGAACTGGCGGGCGTGATGGCCGCCATCGGCGTGGAGACGCACATGTTCATCCGCGGCGAGACCTTCCTCCGCAAGTTCGACCCTATGATCCAGAAGACCATGACGGACCGCTACGAGGCGTCTGGCGTGCATATCCACAAGAGCCACGCTGGCTTCAAGGAGATTCAGCTCCTGCGCGATGGCAAGGGCAAGGACAAGCTCCTCAAGCTGATCGCCCATGACGGCTCCGAGATCGAGGTCAACGAGCTGCTCTGGGCCGTCGGTCGCCAGCCAGAGATCGAGGATCTCAACCTCGACATCCCGGGCATTGACCGCAAGCCCTCGGGCCATATCGTCGTCGATGAATACCAGAACACCTCCGTTCCGGGCGTATACGCTCTTGGTGACGTGACTGGTCATGCCGAATTGACGCCAGGTATTTTCTCTCTCTCTCTCTCTCTCTCTCTCTCTCTCTTTTCCTTTTCAGTTTCAAAAACGACTTATTGAATGATGGCTAATTTTCAAGTTGCCATTGCCGCCGGCCGTCAACTGGGCAGCCGCCTGTTTGGCCCGCCAGAACTCAAATCTGCCAAGCTCAACTACGAGAACATCCCGACGGTGGTCTTCTCGCACCCAGAGGTTGGCACCGTGGGGCTGACGGAACCGGAGGCGCGCGAGCGCTTCGGCGACGACAAGGTCAAGATCTACCACACGCGCTTCACGGCCATGTACTACGACGTGATGCCGGCGGAGGAGAAGGCCAAGAACCCGACGGAGATGAAGCTGGTCTGCGTCGGGCCCGAGGAGAAGGTCGTCGGCCTGCATATCCTTGGTCTCGGGGTTGGCGAGATGCTGCAGGGCTTCGGCGTCGCGGTCAAGATGGGCGCCACCAAGCAGGATTTCGATAGCTGTGTGGCCATCCACCCGACCAGCGCCGAGGAGTTGGTTACCATGCGGTAGATTTTTGCATAGACTAGTAGTAGACCTAGCTGAATATAGACTTAAGTATTTTTTACTGAAGTTCTACAGTATATTTACTACTATCGTGGTATAAATAAATTGATTATGCTGTACACAGATACCTGATCCATGGAATGATAGATAAAAAAAAAAGGAAATAAATGATCGAGTCAAATGTGGTGACATTGTTATCAAAACAATGTTGGGGTATAACTTATAAATCCAGCATTTACTCCGTAGATAAACGCCGAGGGTTCTTCCAAAGATCTACTGTTGAAAGTAGTCTGTATATACTACTAGTATGCGTATAACCATGTCCGATCGTGGACTCGGCTATTGTTGAATGGTTCCATCTCGCCCTGCTCTACAGCAAGTAGATAAGGATATATAGCGGTATTAATTTATTCGTCCATCAGAGGAGAGAATGGAGAGCGAGGAAAAAGCGCTGGTCCAGAAGTGAGTTGTGAGGTGGACGGAGGTGGTGTCTGGTAAGACGCGAGAGGAGAGCAGTGCCTGGGCGGTATTCTATCTCGGAGCGGCATGGTTGATGGGATGTCTCGAAGCGAGAGGCCGAGTTCAACGAGCTGATTGTTCTTGAAATAGAGAGGCATCGTTGCGATCGGGCTCTGGGACGGACTAGACTCTCTATCGTCGAGAGTTTTGTTGTTGTTGTTGTTGTTGTTGTTGTTATCAATGTTACTCGTCAGAGAGGGGGGCGCTCAGTAGACATAGACCATGACGGCGAAGGAGATAAGGCAGAAACAGAGAGGTATGTACACCACACGATCCATCTCAGAGGTTGGCATTATAACCAGTATATAGGCAGTTGATTACTCCAGTGTCTATCAGAGTAAAGAGGATGGGAGTTGTAGAAGTGATCGAGGGAAAGAGAGGGAGGAGGGAGGGGTAACTACCTATTAACTAATTAACAGTCTGATGATCAACGTGGCTGACCAGTGACCGCTCAACCGTCAACGCAACAATCCGCGTCCCCCAACGAATCCCGGGGCGGGGAACACATGCTGATTGGACAGCGAGTGAGAGCCTAGAGGTCACCGGGACGATCATGTGATAACCCGCTTTGGGATGTTAGGGCTTGCTGTAAATGGAAGGTAGGGCTACTGTCAGGTGACTGAAGTTGGTATCATTATCACATGTGAATTGACTGAATTCAGAGGATGCAACATTCTAGCATCTACTACCTAGTGATGGGATGTCTTCTCCCTGCCTAGGCACCACACACGACCTCTGCAACACACCGGTATCAGGGTCCTCCCGCAGGCCCATTGCGAGCGTCGTCTGAAGCCAACCGACAACTGGGGATCTCCCTTTCCCTGCGGATACACTCGAGAGCCTGTTCTAATTCCTCCACAGTTTTTGGCACGAACAACGCCACCGGGGGTCTCTCATATCTAGAGATCATCACTCGGTCACTAATGAGATATGATCGAGTGATTCCAGAGTTTCTTACCGTGTCTTGATCGCCAAGTACCAGATATGCACGAGTATGCAAATAAAGGCAAAAAACACCACGGCGTAAATGACCACAAAGGCAATAGACCATTTCGTCTGTGGCGTCAGGCTATTATTTGAAATTGGCGTCTCGGTGGGCATCACTCCGGAATGAGATTCGGCCATGACGTTTCTCAAGGAATATGTTCTTGTTGGATTCAAGAGAGGACAACAGGAATGAGGATACCAAGAAAGCCTCTGTTTCAGTCATGGGAAATTGGGAGACCTAAAAAGTGCAACACACTGTCCATGGTACTAACTTAATGGGATTCTTGTCGGTCCCAGGATACAGAAAGTGCTGCCTATCGTGCCTTCCACGGTAACGCTAATGATTCCTCATATCTGCCCCAACACATTCACGTCTCTGCAAGCAAGAACAGAATCACTTTGTCCTGAATAATCTAAATTCTAATAAATCAGTCGATCAGTTCACCCGTCATCATGTCAGCCTTTGAGAATATGCCTCTCCTCTATATACCAAAAAAGCGATCCCGGGCCGACATTCCAGAGATGCAGGACAGGAAGGATCGCCTAGACTGGGAGTCGCAGCGAGCGAGAAAGAAGTTGAGGGCGCACGGTTCTTTCAATGCTGCCTTCTGGACAGCAGCAGCTGAGGTGGAGACGATTATCCTTTCCAGAACACGAGTCATGTCCGAGATTTCGTTGGCCGAGTTCGATGGCCAGCCCTCAGCATGGCAGCAGACGGAAGGGGCAAGGAATCTATTCAAGCGGATCCGGGCCCAGCAGCACCGTGTGGTATCTTTCCAGAAGCAAGCGTCAAAGCTAACAAGGCCGGGGCGGAGAAGCCTTCGTGAATTTTTCATGAATTTATTCATGAGTAGCCACATGGGTCTTGGAATAAAAACGGACATGGGACCTAGGGACTCGAGCGAGCAGAGCAATTTTAGGGATCGGCTGCTCCAAGACTACAACAGCCTTCGCGATGACAAGCTCATTTGGTGCCCCATCCTCCATACCTGGATCGATCCGGAGAACGCCACTGCGGCGCATTTATTCTCCTATAAACACGGACAAGCCAGTATGGATGCGATCTTTGGACACACTCGCCCCGCCGAACTTTTCTCGTCCAGAAATGGACTGATCATCGCTTCACAGATAGAGAAATTTTTCGACGCGGGCGTGCTGGTGATCGTTCCCGACATTCCAGAGAGACCGACGAGGAGCATGCTATCAGCCTGGCTCTACCAGAAGACTCCTCGTGAGTACAAGCTGCGGATCATAGATAGCTCCTGGGAGAAGTTGGGGCGGCCAGTTTTGTCCATGGATCATGGAACGACCTGGAAGGACCTCGACGGTCGCAAACTCCGATTTCGAAGCAATTTCCGGCCGGCGGCGAGGTATCTGTACTTTCACTATTGTCTTCAGGTCCTCAGGCGAGCCTGGAAGGTCGGACCTGGTCAGAGAGCCGCATTCCACCTTCAAGATGAACTCGGCAAGCCCTTTTGGGGGACCCCCGGCCGCTACATGGCCCGAAACATGTTGCGGGCGCTCGTCGAGGAGCTCGGTCATGAGTACGAATCATTGATGGATGGGGCGACTTTGTTGGCGCGAGGAGATTCGGGACTTCTTATCGATACTGCGGCAGCGCAGATCACCTCCGAGGCAGAGGAAGAGAACGAAACCGAGTCTGAGGACTTTGACGAGGAAGAGTTTCCCTAGACTTTCTTTATTGCTATTGCTATTGTTATTGTTATTGTTATTGCTGGTCAATACGTCCGAAGCGAGCGCAGTTTACTCCATGGAACCGATGATTCAGAGATCGGACACCGTTTCAAAGTGAGAGAGGAGTCACCGACAATTGCTAGTATTAGTTAGCTAGGTAGGCAAAATGGTATCTATACAATTGCCCTGACGGTTTATAGCCAGCAAACACTGCTGGCTAATCTGCTGATCAGCGTCAGGGACACGCCCCCTCCAACAGAAATAGAGAGAGTTCGATAAAGGCTGGCAGACCGGTACCTAATACTACCCGGGTAGTTGACTATAGTATCTGCGAAGACATCTGGATAGACTACCCATTAGCCTATGATAGACAAGACTAATATATTAGCTATACAACGGTAGGGATGTGCCGTTGTGGAGTGAAAACGAATTGACATTCAGCCGAGAAAGCTTAAGCCTAGAAGTACCGAGTACGACTACGAACTACGGAGTCAATCAGGTATTAGGTATTAGTTAGGTAGTTAGTCTGAAAGAAGGAAAAGGAAAAATTCTCCGCTTAGGCTGGACGGTGGGTATATGGAAAGGTTCTAAAATGCCCCAAAAAGGTACACGATCAGACATGGCTCATATTCGAGATGACGTGGCTAATATAACAAGGACTGAAACTAGCGCTGCAATTGAACAAGACTCCAGTTTCCAGGAAACACTAAAACCCATGGTCTGCAATTTTGTCCGTCGATGCTCCGTGATGTGCCCCTTTGCCCCTGAAAAGAAAAAGAGAGAGAAAACAGACAGAGCGAGATCATTTCCCATCATGGTTGGCTCAAGAATGAAAAGCGGCTTATGTTCAGATTAATACACCCGCAGAGCGGGAATCCAGTTTTATAGTATATATAACAGGCGGAGCAAAAGGAGCGTGAAGAAAAGGAGACAAGGACAAAAAGTGCGGGAGAAAAAAAAAGGAATGCAAGGTAGAAGTGACAACTTTATATGCAGTATATTTCACAGGTGCCTGATCTACAGCTGCATCAGGCCAGCAACCAGGGCAAGGACCAGAGCAGGAGTAAGGTACACGCTGCTCATGGAGGCCGCACTGACGGCAACGCTGCTGGTGGAGCTGGAGTTGGAAGAGGTGGAGGTGGTGCTGGAAGAGCTGGTGCTGCTGGAGGAGCTGGAGTTGGAGGAGCTGGAGGAAGAGACAGTCGAGTTGGTAGTGCTGTTGGAGAGGACAATGCTCTCGTAGGAACCAGTGTGGCCAGTGTAGGTGTAGGTCTCGGCGGGGTTGTAGTTGATGATCTTGACGGACTCGACGTACATGGTGAAGGGAACGTCGTCATAGTCAACCTCACCACCGGCCCATTCGATGGTACCCTCGCTCTCGGACGGGTCACCGCCGGCCCAGATACCAAGCTTGACGCGCATCGGGGTCTGAGGGTAGTTCCTGCCATCCACGGCAGAGTCGTACTCCAGGGTGCGGACAAGCGTGCCGTCGATCAACCACTCGAGCTTCTCCTCAGTCCAGATGATGGTGTAGGTGTGGAATTCCTCTGCAGGGGTGGTGACACTCGGGTACGTAGCACGGTCATAGGAAGTGGTGTTGTCCTTGCCGAAGTAGTTGGTCTCAATCTCATCATCGTAGGCGCCCAGCGCTTCCTGAAATGTCGTTAGCACAAGCCTCCTAAATCCCTGGAAAGAAACTACGAACCCAATCGATTTCATCGAGATCATCCGAGAGGAAGACGATGCTGCTGACAATACCAGTACCGTTAGCAGACTTCATCTTGACCTCAACCTCGCCGAAGAAGAAGTAGAAGTCAGTCTCGATGGTGGGTGCATCGTATCTCTCAGCGATGATGAACTCGGCGCCATCAGAACCGAACTCGATAGTGCCATCTGTGATGGTCCAGTTCGCCAGAGAAGAGTTGCCGGTAGTGAAATCAGTCGAGAAGGTGTACGTCGCCAGACCGGTATCAGCGGAGCACGTGTCTGTGTGTCAAGACTTGTTAGAGGGATCGGGAGAGTCAAAGAGAAAAAAAAAAAAGACAGAAGGTCCATAGATACTCACTGTTCAACGGGTTACAGCTTGTGTAAGTCTGCGCAGAGCAGAAAGGAAGCGCCACAGCCAGGGCGGCAGCGGCATACTTGGTGTAGGAAGGCATGGTGTGAGAAGATTTTATATAGTAGTAGCGAGGGTTTGATGAATTTCCAGCAAGTGGAAAATCAGGAACGAAGGTGTGGTTGATGTTATAGTAGAGAGGTCCAAGGGACAAAAACAAAGAGTCGTCTACAAGAAAGAAACGAGAGAAACAGACCAAAAGATGGCTGGGCTTAAGGCAAAAAGACGAACAATCAATCAGACAGCTCTTTTTTCCCTTGTTGCTGGGGAACGCAGGCAGTAATAACTAATATCCTGCCACCAACATTATCCCTCTAGGCTAACCCAGCGACTAGAAGGCCCTAAGGAAGATCCATCTTTGCCGTAAACCCGAATTATAATTGGCAACATCGCCCTTAGGCTCAGTCCGCGAGTAATAGCGGCGCACCGGCGACAGGCTGCGTCATGGGCTGAGGTGGCGACACATTATGATTGCCTGAGTTCCTGGACACAGATACATACTTAGTACAGAGCGCTATCCACTCGAGTGCTGTACAGTGGAGCTGACTGGAGAACCCAGCTCACTTGAGCACAATGATAGGCGTCAGCGTGCACAAGCGAAACGACAGATCTTTGTTCCGCCACGCCTCTCCAGCGGCACTAAAAAGCTTGTGTCTGGGGGGCGATTGCGCGTAATTGGCCTCGTTTCCTCGGTGCCGCGTCACACCTCGTCGACATGCGCCTAGCAACGATGAACGTACGTACTCCGTCGGCATTTCGTTGGTCCAGAGCGCAGAGTCTCACGTTGTGCCTCTCAATCCTGACAATAATAAATACGCCACCAGGTGGGAGCAGACAACTGTGCGAAGGTCGATCCACCGCTTAGTCACCAACCGACTTCTGTAGAAAAATCGAGGCAATAGTGCCTACGAGTCAGCGATTGGCTCATGGATGCTGCCTGCTTGCCGTACCTGAAACAGTCTCTGTTTCTTGAAGCTGATCAACCAGAAAGAAATCTACCCCCCCACTTCCCAGGAGCTCGCGCTGGGATTCCTTATTATTCTGACAGGCTGAGGGAAGCTGATTGTCCCAGGAAACTTGAAAGAAATGTTGGCATCTCCACCAGTCCATCAGGGGAACCTTGGGAAAGGTGTTGGTGGGGGGGCAAAAGGGCAGGTCTTTCATAGGCGGGTATTATTGGCATTATTGATAACACAATAATAGGGCATAATTGCTGCGCCACAAGAATTGCGCTGCTAGAACACTAGACAGTGAGACATTATGATTATTATTGAATTTGATCAACATCTCGACCTCGGAACGCGCTTCTTCTCGAATTCGGAGCGGTTTTTGTTGACGATGAGCCAAAAAAAGGTTGTTCCTGGCCCGAGGACCATGTGATCTGCGGATAATCTTAAATCCATCCTTGTCAGCACGTGGTCGTGTATCAAAAGTAATAGTGAAGCACTATCTCATCTCATCTCTTGCTGGCTCAATTAAAGGAGGCTCTTGTGGGTATCTCCTAGCATGTCCAGGGAATCTTTTGGTTTCCTCAGAGCTCGAAATATCCCTCAGGGGGGAAACAGCCAAGACAGCCAAGAGAGCCAAGGTGTCTAATGCCTTTTAACAGGTTGAGTATTGCAGCAGTCGTGAAGCTGTCAATTGAGTGATGACGGATGCAGGAACTGTACGGCCACTGCGAGAGCCGTTGGAATCGGCAATGAGGACTCAGGAGAAGGCCGATGTCTCAGCTTGTAGTCTCATAGATACGAGAGGATCATCTCGATGATCATCTCTCTCGCAACTCGGTGGACACTCTTAGCGAACTATGAACGACGATGATAAAGTCGTTCTAGCGGCTGGTTAACCTCTGAAAAGCAACTAGTTGCTCTGAGAGCTGTTCCATTATGGCTGCAACCAGGCGGTAATCGCCAACCGCATCATGCAAAAGCTCCGATCCTGATTGATGGGAGCGAAGGACGACATCAGATGTGGCTCGGAAGGATGACTCGAAGGCCTTGGGCGGCCCGGAAAACAGGGAACGAAAGATGCCTCGGACGCTACGGCGGTGGAGTGACTGATGAGATGCGGTGGCCTGTCTCTCCTCTCGGTCTACGATCCGTTCGATGGATTCTAGGTAATCGTCGACCGTTGCAAGGGTGCTGGTCAAAGAGCCAGCCTTGGATCGTATGTTTGATGTGAGTTGATCGAGGTACTGCCTGCGATGCAGCGTTTGTGTTGCCTGTCTCATTTCTTTGGCCACATCGGACTTTGGTTTCCAGCCGAAAATGGATGTTTCAAGGTCTTGCTCGGCAACGGTATCTGTTGCAACCAGGCTATCAAATGCAGACCGAATATCAAGTCTCAGGGAGTCAAGATCTTTTGAAGCTGTTTTCACGGCCTCCAGGCAGCCTTGGAACTCAAGCTCGAGCTCGTGTCTTGCGCCTGGGTAAACCGTCTTCAGTTCACTGTAAAGGTCACGTAACCGGGACTCGCTGTTTTTCAAAGGGAGCCCAAGCGGTTCCGTATCCGTCAAAGTGGTGTTGAGGATCGATTTCAGCCGTGTCTGCATGCTGGGCATGGGAGTCGGCCCCGCGGATGGGTTGTAACTGGCCAAGGGTAAAGTTTGTCGCGGTGCACAACTGGATGGATATAATCTTATAACCGCAGGTACTGAGCAAAAGCTCTGGTATTGGTAGAATAATTCGGGTAGTACAAGTAGATGCAGGATTCCCGCAGTTAGAAGTAGATTGACCAGAAGCCGTAGGATGTTCTCGCAGCGCCAGGGCCTAGGTCTTGGTGGTGGCCGTTTCAAACTATGGTTGTCTTTCTTGCTTGTGACGCTCGAATCAAGAGCTCGAGTCTTCATTTGCACTCTTTCCCCTTGGGCTGATGAGCCTTTCCGCGATTCCAGAGATCTGTTTGCGTCTCTTCTTCCCAGACCTCTCGACCGGACGTTAGGCGCCACCCATGAACCATCAGATATAGAAGTTTCACAGATAGATGGCATAATAAGCTCAGGCCCCGAGAAGGACGACGAAGACGCCATCATCATGTCCGACCGCTGACTCTGCTCTATATCGTTCCATGTCCGCTTACTTTGTTTGGAAGCTGGTTCAATGTTATTGCGTTGCGGTCCCTTCTTGGAACGAGGAGACTCGACGACCCAAGAATCTCCGAGGACAGAATCATCAAGATCTCGAGTATTTTTCAAAGCCATGGTGTAAATCGATCAGCTCTCAACGGTTGGGGTCATAACAGTAAGGCTGGCAGCGAACAACCTCTAACAGAGTCGTGAGACCCTTGAAAACCCTTCCTATTTCATAGAATATAAGCACTGACGACAACACCCCCTTAATTACACCTTAAATAAAAGCTGGAAGTGTGGACACGAAGACATCAGAGTGTTTTGACGCGGGGAGGGATGGAAGGAGGATTGTTCTGATGAGGGCGGGCCGATTAGGTAGAAAACGAAGCAACGCGGAGAACGCGTTTTTCCCCTCTCGTCATCCACAGCTGGCACGATGAGACCGCTGACCACGTCACGAATACCCTCGTTATCAGGGCGCTCCATCCTTTATACTTCTTCTCGATGGCGACAAGGACGATTGCAGTGCTTTTCGTCCAGTGCACGCCGGCCCTGTTCGTGCTCAGCGCCGTCTGCGAACCCTGTCACAGCCTCGAAAACGTTACGGCGGCCACCATCTGCCGACAATGAAACGGACTACCGGGCTCTAGGGACGTTCCAAGACCTGTTCACCTCGTCGCTGTACAGTCCTGGGTCACCTCTGTTTCTCCCGAACGGCACACATGTGATCAACAAGCTCATCGGGTTCCTCCGCACGCAATACCTCCAGTACGGGTTCCGCGAGGTACTGACGCCGACCATCTACAAACGCTCGCTGTGGGAGATCTCGGGCCATTGGGTGAACTACAAGGATGATATGTACGAGGTGCGCGGACGAGGGGCGACGGGCGAGGCCGAGGGAGAGGTCGGCGAGGATGAGTCGTACGGTCTGAAGCCGATGAATTGCCCCGGCCACTGCCTGCTGTTCAAGTCGCAGAAACACTCCTTCCGAGAACTACCGGTGCGATATGCAGATTTCAGCCCTTTGCATCGGAATGAAGTGTCCGGGTCGTTGTCGGGGTTGACTCGCGTGCGGCGATTCCATCAGGACGATGGCCATATCTTCTGTCGGCCGCAGCAGATCAAGGGGGAGATTGCATCGGCCTTGGGCTTCGTCGAAATGGTCATGAACACTTTTGGGTTGCAGTCTTATCGGCTGGTACTGTCTACACGACCGGAGAAGGATTTCATCGGGAGCTTGGAGCTGTGGAACAGCGCCGAAGCCCAGCTGCGAGAGGCCCTGGACAATACCGGTCGGCCCTGGACACTGAACAAGGGCGACGGAGCATTTTACGGTCCCAAGATCGACATTCAGATCCAGGACAAGGCCGGCAAATACCACCAGCTGTCGACAATCCAGCTCGACATGAATCTTCCGCAGCGGTTTGGTCTAGAGTACCAGGTCTCGGAGAGGGAGCCGGAGTATAATCCGGAAACACCCGGGAAAGCGACGCCAGTGCTGATTCACCGGGCTATCTTCGGCTCGCTAGAGCGCTTTCTCGCCATCTTGATCGAGCAGTATGCCGGTCGCTGGCCGTTCTGGATGTCTCCCCGCCAGGCGATCATCCTAACGGTCAACCGGACGGAGGAAGTTGTACGCTACGCTGAAATGACAGCTGCCAAAATTGCTGGCTTCCGTGCGCTCCAGCAGACGGACGGTGCGACAGTCCCCAAGCCCCTGTCTTCGGTAGACTCCACCTTTGTCGTCGATCTCGACACTAGCAGCCAGACGCTGAGTAAGAAGTACCAACGTGCGAAGCAGATGAAGTACAATCTTATTTTCGTTGTGGGCCACAAGGACGTCCAAGGCCAGCAAGTCACAGTCGACGTCACCGGGCAGCTTCCCAGCATGTCAGACCAGCAGGTCCTGGACCTGGAAGAGCTGCTTGAGACACGGTTCAGGGACCAGGCGCTCCGCAAGCCAGAAGCTTTCACAGCGCCCGTGGATGAAGTCCACGATTTCCTCGTCCAGCTGGAGAAGCGTTTCATGTGAACCTCTCTCTCTCTCTGTGTGTGTGTGTGTGTGTGTGTGTGTCTCCTTTTCTGTGTGTGTCTTCTTTAGCCGTACCATAAAATCTCTGTACCATAGCCATCAAAATACTCCAAATACTCCAAATACAATATTTTAGACGCCGAGATCGGGGTCTGCCACATCCAAATCCCTAAACAATAATATATTATTTCTACCAAATCGCCGTGCTTGATGCGCCCGACCCAAAACGGATATTGCGCCGTTGGGCGTCTTACGCTGCCGACCGATTGGGCTTTCGTTCCCAACACAAGCCAACGGCGGTTTCACCTTCACTAAGCTTAATTCCCTCGATGATTCCGTCCATACGGAGTATTTCTACCGTCAATAAGCCATGAACAAAAAAAGATGAAGTCATGAAATCACCAACGATGAGGAATTAAACGCGTGGGCGCCCTGGTGTGTGGCCTTGGCAAAGACGCCCGGTCGACCCGGTCAGCTCCAGGAGGCATCGCTTTTTTTCCCGCCTTGGAGAGAACATCGCCACCGTTGAGCCTGAACCTGAACCCACCGCCATGCCGAATACGCAGCCAAGATTTTTCCTTTGGACGCCAGACGGAACCATCGCTCGATCGGCCCATCGGAACTGTGGAACCAAACTCCATCATGGCGCACTCAGCGGAAACATACGCAGCAGACTGGCCGTGAGCGCAGGGAAGTCCCAGGCAGGCCCACAGCGCACCCTATTATGCTTTTCGTGATCGTGAAGAAAACACCAAAAAAGAGGTCGACCCTACTGGCAGCGGGTCCAACGCTGCGATGGGGGATTGGCCCAGCGAGCCTTCGGCCGGGTCTTCCTCGACTCTCCTTGGGTTGAGTTGTCGGCAGAGAAGGAGGCAAAGCCCTTAGTTAGGGGACCCCCCGCGGCCCTCCTGCAATTGAAGACACGCTACAGGGAAAGTAAGTAAACTATTCACTGGACAGACAGCGTCACTGGTACCCCACGATAAGGTTGGCCCCACGAGTCGCTGCCTCGTGTGAGAATTTTAGATCTCGTCGGTCACTCACATGGAGGGGTGATCTCTGGTGGTTGTCCCTGGGGTCACCTCTGCCCTTGTACCCTTCGCCGGTCGTTGTTGTACATGTGCAAAAACCTCGCCATGGCGGACGTCCCCGTCAAGACGAGCCTTCCGAGGAAGAGCGCCTTCTCCTGCGAGGCGTGTCGCAAACGCAAGGTACCGATTGCTTGTCCAACCAACCTTCCCCCCCCCCCTCCCAGTGTGCCGTATTCCCCTCGAGCCCCATCCTCGGGAGCTCGCCGAGGGGTGGTGCCTACGATTCAGCGACGAAAAGCTTCGATGACTGACGCATCTTTCTCGCGGTGTAGGTCAAATGCAATGGTGCCAGTCCGTCATGTTCACGATGTGCGGCTCGTGGCGATACGTGCGTGTATAGCCTGTGAGTCTTGCTTACATGTACCCATTCCCGATCAATCCGCGCCTTCCGTCCGTCCTCTTCGTTCTCTCTCATCCTGCGGGCATTTGCTAACATAGGGGGGCCTTTTTTCTCTCTTTCTCTCTCTCTAGAGCTCCCACACTCTCCTACACAAAGCAACTGGAGAGTCGAGTTGCTCAGCTGGAGGATGCGCTAGCAAAACTCCGAGACAAACAGAGCCCAGGCAGGAAGGAAACATCGCCTGCTTCGACAAGCGATTCCAGTGCGAGTCCCAAGCTTCAATACAAGCTCAAGCAGGAACAAGAGGGCGGCCATGAATTACCCAGAGATTTCGAAGGCCTGCAGGTGGGAGATGATGGTCGAATATCTTTTCACGGCCCGACCAGTTTATTTCAGTTGCCGAGCGGTCTGGGCAGCGGAACCTCAACGTCTACTCATCTTGTCCAGGAGCTAGAAGCCCGGAAAGAGCGACTCATCAATAATGCATGGCGCGAAAGGGCTCTTGAGCAGATGGCTACTATACCGGTTAGTTATCTCGAACCTTTGACGAGGATCTTTTCTCTTCCCCCGAACCAGAGTGAACGGGGTTGCTCACGACTTGTCTTTCTTTTGGCAAAAATTAGGAACCATTTCAGTATCTTCTCGACTCCCACTGGTGCTGGATCCAACCTCTCTTCAACTTTGTCTATCGGCCTGCATTTACTCGTCAGTCCCATCTTTCTCGTGTCGTGGGTTTTATTTCAAAATTACTAACAACCGAGGGGGGGTCAGGCGACATGAAAATCAACGGGCCTTATTATTCTGATAATCTCCTGGACGCAATCCTGTGTCACTCTGTACGCTGGTGCAAGGCAGAGCCGAACGTCGGGCCCCTTTTGGAACAATATGACAACGGTGCTCTATTCCATCGGCGCGCTGTATCCCGTCTCTGCGAGAGCCTACAGTCTGGTTTTATTTCAATTCCCACGGTACAAACATTGCTCCTGCTCAGTGCACAAGAATGCGGACGAGGAAATCGAATCCAGGCTTGGCTGTACAGTGGGATGGCATTTCGTATGCTTGACGACTTAGGAATCACCATCGACAGCCGCAAATATTCGAATTCTGCACAATTAACAGATGAGGACATTGAAATTCGAAATCGCCTTTTTTGGAGCTGCTATTTCTGGGATAAGCTCATCTCCTTGTATTTTGGCAGAGCTCCAATCATGCAGCACTCATCGGTCAGCCCGCCACGGATGATACGTAAGTTAAAACCGGGTCCAAGACAGACCTACAGATTGACCGGGAAGTCTTTTTTTTTCTCTCTCCTCATTAACTAACCTTTGAGAATAGTGGACGATACTGCGGAGATGGAATCCTGGGTGCCTCATGGCGTGATCTTCCCAGACGGCACCCATTACCCCCCTGCTCAAGCCCATTCCACCTCGTGCTTCATGAAAATGTGTGGGCTAGCGGAAATTCTCAATCAGATCATGATTCACATATATGACCCCATGAGGAAGAGCTCAGAGGCCGAGTTTCTCAATTGCATACAGGAGCAAGGACAGAACCTTGCAGAGTGGTGGGAGGAGCTCCCGGACTACCTGAAGCTGGTGGCTACAGACCTTCCTCCCTACTGTCCACCGAGCCATATTGTCCTTCTCAAGTGTGTATTCCTCTATATATCAATTTTTTTTGAAAGCTTCCATTACTGATGCATGGAACTGCAGCTGCCTATATCATACGATCAACATCCTCCTTCACCGCCCAATCCTCTGCTCCCACAAGTTATATCAATCCCGAAAGAACGATTGGGACAAGACGCATCTAGTCCAGTGTATGGCCTCAGCAACTACCATACTGTCCCTTTACGATTTATACTGCCGCACGTTTGGCGACAGTCATGTCGTCCTTTCCCTTGCATACAGCGTCTACACCGCCGCATCCATCTTTCTGCTAGAAATTCACGCGTTGAAGTTCGCTGCGACTGGCACACTTGATAAACTCAAGTTCTGCATCATCGCCTTGGAAAGAGTCAAACCGGCGAATCCCGGTAAGTCATCTGCTGGTTGTTTGGCTCCCATGTTCCATCGACGATGAATGCTAACAGTTGTGGCACGATCTTCCAGTTATCTCAACAGCACTCGGTTTGATCTATCAGGATGTGCAGAAGTTACAGATTGATCTGCACATCCCGATTCCTATTCCACACCAGGACTCACACACTCCTCCTCCATCCCATTCTTCGCATTCGGGAAATCCAGGCAACGGGTCTCGTCGTGTCTCCCCGGGACTGCAACGGACAGCCAATAATACCCCTCTGGGAACAACAAGCACGCCAGCTATGGGTACCGCCAGAGATTCTCATCCGGGATCCATCCTGCAAGGCGGATTTCCCCTGCAACAACAGCCGGCAATGGGCTTTGGGCTCTCCCAGCCGAACATCCCGCAAATGCCACCGACGCACCATCTAGGCGGAATGCCTAACGCCGTGATGACGATGGACGGGCGCGGCGCGTATGAGATCACCCCGGAGGTTTTTGAAGCGTTTTCATATGCCGAGCCGATCTCGACCAACATGACTCCTACGTTTGATACGTGGCATGCCTAGATTTGGAAAAGGAAACCAAGAAATAACCCATATATCTATAATTAATACACTACATTTCTGCTAGTAATCAATCTGTATATTATATACATGGTACCTTCCTAAAGCAAGGTATAGAAAGGCTCGATTCTCTTTATATATATATATATATATGCCTTCTTCGTCTATCTCACTTTCTTTTACGACCTTGAAAGTAGTTGTACATTGAAAAAGAAGAATAACATCAGTTCGCGGAATAAAGTTTAGTCCCTGACGGTCTAATTAACCTTTTAATTAACTATATTTTAGTGTATCTAGGTACCTTGGTATAGGTACCTACTATATATAGTTCCTTCAAGCCTATCAGGCTCGCTCTGGATACTAAATCCAGAAGCTGTCTAGCCAGTAGAAAGCAAAAGACTAAAATGATGTCCGAGCGAGTGGGGTATATATAAAATGATTAGTTCTGTATATGGGTATATGTATATCCGAATGAAGTCTGACAGAAAGGGGGATAATTTATAGCTTCATGTTGGGTAGAGGGTCGTCTTGATTCCCGAGAAGAGGCTGTTGACGGACCTTTGCACGCCAGCGGAGGTACCACGGCCCATCGAAGAGGTGGCCCATGGATTCGATGGGGACGCCCTTTGTCTCGGGCATGCAGATGGCGAGGCCGACGAGGCCGACGAAGCAGACGGCGGCCCAGAAGAGGAAGGCGCCCCAGATGTTGAGGCCAAGCAACATGTTGGGGGTGACGCGGACGACGGCGAACTGGAAGGCCCAGTGCAGGGACATGCTGATGGCGTAGCTGACATTGCGGATACGGGTGGGGAAGACCTCGGTGCCGTAGAGGTAAGGGATGGTGCACAGGCCGACGGACCAGCCGACGGCGTAGACGAAGATGGAGGCGACCGCGGCGTCTGACGCGGCGCGGTTGAAGGCATTATCGCTCCGGTTTGCGCCAAGCCCCATGTAGACGGCCATGTAGACGTGTGCGGCTAGTTGCAGGGCGAGCCCCGTCAGCGCACATGCCCGTCGGCCCAGCAGGTCGATGAGCCCCCAGGTGAAGGCCATGGTGACGACAAGCTTGACGATCCCGTACACACCGGACGAGATAAGCGACTGCGAGTTGTTGCTGAGACCGGCGTACTTGAAGATAGTGGAGATGTAGTACGTGATCCCGTTGCCCCCCGTCCACTGGGCGATGGTCTGCAAGGCCATGACAAGCCAGAAGCGCTGGCGGTAATTGGGATTGGTCTGGGTCTCCTTGAACGCCTGCCAGTACGAGACCGATGCCGAGTCGGCCAGCTGCTTGCGTGCTTGCGCGTCGATTTCCGCAAACTCGGCCTCGACGCTGGGATCCAGGGGGTCTTGCCCGCGGAGGCGGGCGAGCACCGCTCGCCCTTCGTCGTGTCGGTTCTGGGAGACGAGATAGCGAGGCGTTTCTGGAAGCAGGAAAGAGAACAGAAAACAAACGCAGACGGGGATCAAGGGAAAGGCTTGCACCAGGCGGTACTGGGCGCGGGTGGCTGACATGTGGAGACTGACTCCATAGTTGATGAAGAAACCCAAGGCCAGTATCCCGAGCAAGATCACCATGTACACCCCGACCACCAACCCTCGTGTCCTCGCCGGGGCCACTTCAGACAGGTACAAGGGGGCCACCACAGTGAGCATACCGGCCCCCAGACCACCCCACACCCTGGCGAACAAGAGTAGACCATAGATGCCCGAGGAAAAGACCTGGACGAAGGTTCCCGTCGCCCAGATGATGGCCGCCAGCCGCCAAGTCTTGAGACGGCCCAGGCGATCATTCAAGGCGAGGGCCATCAAGGCACCAAAGACTGCACCCAACACATTGAAGGAGGTGATGTTGGCCAAGCGATTTGCCAGTCCCGTGGCATCATGCACCCATTGTGATGCGTTGAGATCGAAGTCGTTCTTGAATGAAGCCAGCGTAACACTTGCGCTGTATCCACCTTCATCGTAACCTGATGCAGTATTAAAATAAAATAAAATTAATAGGGAGAAAAAATGAATAAAACCACCGACTGACCTTTGGGAATCCCACCACAGGCTACAACGATGACTACAAACGCATAATATGGAGTGGTGGTCCATCGCGACCAGTCTATCGTCCAAGTCATCGCCGGCAGACAGCCAGCTGACGATTAGCGATGGACTGTTGGAGAGTAGATAGACTATCGACGCATGTATTGCGTGGAGGGAGAAACAGTAGAGAGAGAGGAGAGAGAGAGAGGCAGAGGGGAAGGAAAAGGTTCGACCTCCTTCGGACACTAAAAAGTTTCTCTCAAAAGCCTCGACCACCATCAGACCTGACCGTTTCCCACCACGACTCCCTCTCCGCTTCATCCAACTTGGATCTCTCTCTCTCTCCGTCATCTCTCTTCGAGGTGCCTCAAGCTCAAGCACTGTTTACAGCTTAGAAGAAAGACCCCCACGCCGACAGGGCCAAGCTTTGTGGTCAAGACTCCGCTTCTCCATCTCGGTCAACTTCCGTCCAGACGATAGAGAGTAAGTATCACTACCTACTGCCTACTGTTCTCGTTTATACTTCTTCTTACGATCTAGCAGTGGCTGACAATTATTCATTTTCAGTATGTTTCATGGGTATGAGTTCATAGTACAGCATTTCTCGTCTTCCTTCTATTCGTCCGTCAACTGTGCGTCCGAGGTACAGATATACTCTTGACCCTGAATCAATCAATTAGCAAGAACATCATCTACAGAGAAATAAGAGAGAAAAAGAAAAGAAAAAAAAAAGCTCTTACAATTGTGTAGCAGCATGTCGGCTTCAGATACCCCTTACACCCCTGCGGCTTGGTCAGAGGATCCCCTAGAATGAAGCAATTAGTATTCATCCATTAGATACAATTGTATGGGTCATTCTCACCACATCCACTCCCGATGAGAGTCTCCTTGCGGTGCTCGTGAGGCTGGTACGAGTCACAGCAGTAGGGCTTCTGTTCCATGCCTGTATTGTCGCTGGCAAAGGCGCAGTAGAGGACCTTTTCGGCGGAGACGAGGGAGAGGGCGGAGAGGACGACGAGAGCGAAGCGCATTTTGATAAATCGTACACTTTCAAAAATATAAGAAAATAGATACTCGTTTTCCATTGAATCAGATATATGCTTTGTCGTTACTTATACTTATACTAGACTTCTAAACAAGGTGGCTGGCATATTTGTTTCTTAGACATGTCTGACACGGTCAAAAAATGTCGTGGCGATCGTCATACTGATTAGAATGCTGAGGGCAGAGATATTATTTATTCGCCTCCTATGTAAATTGTCTCCCCTTGCATTCCAGGAGTACTAACATACATGTAGACACGACGCGTGGTCGCGTTAGACACTAGTTATTGCTTTTTACTACCAGAGAGCCTGCATAGTCGACAATGGTCGATGCTGTGGTTCAGTAAACAGGGTTAAACTCTCCGGGCCACTCAGATCCCATGCCGTGGTGACCGTGATGCTCTGGCTGGTTGCATTATACACACGTCCCTCGGACAGGTGCGAGCGAGGGGCAGAGACCTGGCCAAGGAGTGTCACTGCCTCGATCTTCACACCGGCGCGGTACGCGAACGAGCCGTCCATGGTTAACGTTCCATTATTAAAATTAAATCGAACTTCGAGCGTGGCTGCTTGCTCGACTGAATCGCCGTCGTCGATGTACAGGCTGCCCGTGGCGGTTCCGTCGAGCCCAGGGGCGATGAGCAGCGTGAACCCGCGTTGACGCACCGCGGCGGTGGTATTGGCGCTCTCGCTGCGCACAGGAACGATCGAGCCGCCACGGATGTGTAGAGGGATCTGCGTGAGACCGACGTTGGTGATGGTTTGGTTAGCGCCCCTGCCGCGCAGGGCAAGACCCGTGTACCAGTCATAGAAGATATCGTCTGGGAAATAGGCTTCGACAGAGGTGCTGTCTGCCTCAGTCACGGGGCTGACTAGGATTGCATCGCCGTAGAAGAATTGCAGCTCGTTGCTGAACGTGCCCGAGTCTGTGGGATAGAGGAAGAACAGCGGCTGCAGGAAGGGCTCGCCCGTCTGACTCTGCCGGTGGAAGGACGTGTACAGGTAGTCGAGCAGACGGTATCGGATATCGATGACTTTGCGCGCCGCTTCAGCCACTGTGGGCCAGCGGTAGAACTCCTGCGAAATCGTGTCCATGTTGTTGTGGTTCCGGTAAAAGGGATAGAACGCCCCGAGAGTCGCCCAGCGCGCGCAAAGCTCTTCGGTCGTGTTGCCTCCGAATCCACACACATCGGAGCCCACCATAGGGACCTGGAAGATGGATGCGAATCCCAGCATCTCGGCAATCGAGATCCGATACTTGTCCCATTGGCTGAGGTTATCACCGAACCTACACTTTTGTTAGCATGGTCGTCACGTCAAAAATTTTGCGGAAAGGGAGCTAGAAGTATCCTACCAGTGTCCGACATGAGCGCCTGCTCCAGCAAAGGTGCTGCGAGTAATCACTAACGGTCTGACCTCGGGACGACGTTGTAGCATAGCTTCTCGAGATGCAGAGCTCATCACTGATGATCGGTCAGATTGGACTTGCTATTATGGGTATAGAGGGAGTGGGGGATACTGACTGGTGCCGTAAAGATTGTGCGTATCATACTCTGCATAGCCTTCGCCCGCGTGGATCAGGTCAGTGTCGATGGTCAAGTTGCTAAGAGAACCCGCAGCGTTGGCAATGCGATAGGGCGGGTCGATAAGGTTGCGGTTGGGCAGCCCGATCTTGGTTCCCTTCGAGTTGCTGAGAGCTTCCTGGACGGAGCGCCGCTTCGATGATGCAGATGGTGATGGCTGGAAGTCTCCGGAAAAGCCAGGCAACGGTCGAGGGTTTGGCCGCACTGGAGGTGGAGCAGGAGGAAGATTGTCTTCCACAGCGAACGCCGCGGGATCGGAGCAAGGCCAGGGGCAGAAATTGGAAGCCTCGTTCATATCTATCCACAGGCCATCCACATTGACTCCGTCGTTGGGACTAAAGAAGATATCGAACTCGCCGTTCCAATAGGCTGCGGTGGCAGGGTTGAACCAGTCAGGGAAAGCCGTCACGCCAGGCCACACGGCTCCTAGATATATCTCATCAGTGATTATTCTGTTGCATTGTAAACGGCACCTCACCTTCATAGAGGGTGGCATTCTCGCGCATGAGGAAGACGCCCTTTTCTTTGCCTCTATCGAATGCACCATTGTCTATTTGCGAAAGTGTCAACCGAGAATAAAGATGTCCAATTGGGAGAGAGAAGACCACTCACCACTAACGCTCACAGCCGGATCTACCATGAGGATATAATGCTGGTCGTGATTGTGGAGGTAATCAACCAGTTCCCGCATCTTATGCAGGGGAAATCTCTCTGGGTCGAGGGTGAAGACTCTGCGGCCGTCCATGTAGTCAATATCCGTCCACATGGTTTCCAATGGAATGCCAGCCTGGCTATAATTGTAGACAACTTCTGCCACTTCGAAGACATCACGGTATCCGTATCGACATTGGTGGAACTGTATACGTAAAGTCAGCGAGGCGTAAACCATCTAGTCAACGAGTAATATAGCTTACACCAAAGGTCCAATAACTCATCATTGCAGGCAGCCCGACCACTTGCGCGTACTGCGCGCTGACTTGCTTGGGCGAGGGACCGGCCATGAAGTAAAAATCAAAGACGCCACCGAGCAAGTTATATTCCAGGTAGGGTCTGCCATTTTCTGTCTGGTTGATTTTGATATCCATCCCGTTGGAATTCAACAAGAAGACCCCATGGCATCCCTTGTCCCCGCGATGGTCCAGGTAGACCGGGTGGTTACCGTAGAGGTTAGTATGATCGGGAATACCGTACGCATCACGGCTCCAAAGAGTGCGAGTGTAATTGTTTGTTTGTAAGCGGAGGCTGTCACTGTGCTCTCCGAGTCCGTAAAGATTGGGCTCATCTGGGAGCCATGTGCGAAGGTTCAAATACTGGGACTGGAAGACGAGGCTAGATGCCGAACTGTCAAACAAGACCTCGTCTCCTCTCGAGACCTTGAAGCTGAACGGACTCTCCTCGTATCCAAACTGGAGAGCTGAAGCCTCGCGTGACTGGTTCCCCTTGCTGCCGGGACGAGGGACTACGGATTCGGGGACTTGATAGACCTGTTCATCGGCATCATAGATCATCACATGAAGACGGTCCTCTAGATAGATTAGCAGGATATTTCAATATATATGTATTCTCAAAATGGTGCGTGTCCTATACCACTCTCATACTCCACCAACAGCTTCAGGTTCTTCAAATCCGTTCCGTATGTGTTGCAGGGCTCTCCCGCTAGAACCAAATCAGCCGTCACAGAATTGATCGTCTCCGCGACATTGAATGCTTTGTACCCGGGACACTGCTGGCTCTCTGCCCCAGATACCAAAGCAGTGCCCATAAGGGCCAGGCCGACCCAGGCAAAGATCATGGCGTCTCTCAGATGTAGCGAGGTCTGTGTATATCTATCTCACTAGTAGATGTTCAGGAATCTTCGGCTTCTGCTTTAATGTTTAAATGTCTCAGCGTGAGCTCTCTGCTAGATTTGGAGAACTATCCATCGTATTGGATTTGGTCACGTCGTACAGCGAAGATCGGAGGGGGTTTTATCAACAATGCAGGTGCATACCTAGGTACCTAATAGCTAGCCAAGTAACTAACCCATTCACTTCGGAGAGTCAGCATCAAATGAGAGTAGTCATAATTATAGATGCAGCCTAATAATCAACTGAAGATCACTCGAGTCACTTACAAGTTATGATTCACCTATTATTTAGTTAATATCCTGGGAGACGGCGCCGCATGTTCAAGACAATCAATAGTCGTGCAGATCGCGATAGCGTGTTGAATGGAATGCAAGGAGGTTGAAGAATAAACTTGCTTTAATTGATATTTCTGCTAGTTGTCTATCTTATATATTAAGACATTGCATTGCAGGGTTCTTATCTTGATACTTTAGAAGAAGAGCGAGGAGAGTGAGGAAGACAGTCAACTGTGAATATCACATGCCTCTATCCTCTTTAAGTTAGATATACTTTGTGTAATATATTCTCCCTTATAGACTACATATAAAGTATAGATTAAATAAACAAGGAGTTTCCTTTACGAAGGACGAATAGATATATAATTATGGAAATAAAACCTCAATGCTAAAGATCATGCATCATATCTACTGGTCAAATCTATTAACCCACTCCTGCACCGTTAGAAATGATCAAAAAAAAAAAAAAAACTCATAAGCGTACATGCAATGGACTTTCATTATGGACACCCCGACTCCTTGATTCTTCGCATTTGTGCTGTTCGTTGATAACGGTTTATGCAGGGACACCCGACTCAGCGGCCTTGACGTCGGCCTCGGAGCTCATGATCTGGACCTTGATGGCGCCTGTTTTGGGGTTTGCGGCGGTTTCAAAGGCCTTGAGGGCGTCGTCGATGACGAAGCGATGGGTGACGAGCTTCTTCAGGTTGATGATGCCGTTCTTGACGAGACGGATGGCGCGCGGCCAGGTGTTGCAGTAGCGGTACTGGTACTGCAGATCGATCTCCTGTGTGCTGAGGCGCATGAAGGGGATCTTCATCTCGTTCTTCCCTACACCAATCACAAAGACTTTGCCGCCGAACTTGACACTCCAGATGGCCGAGGCCACGCTGCTCTCGACCCCGGTGCACTCAAGGGCGAGCCGGGGTCGCAGGGCGTCGGGCCCAGCGCCCTGCCCGTCGTTGAACGCGTTGATGATTCCCTCAGCCGACTCCTCGGGCGACTTGCCAATCTCCACCTTGTAGGTGCGGACCTCTGGAGCAAGCGACTTGGCAAAGGCCAGACGGCCCTCGTCAATGTCAGTGATCACGATCGGGGTGGCGCCCGCGGCGCGAGCGCTGAGCAGGGTGATCAGGCCGATGGGGCCGGCACCGGTGATGAGCAGGGGGTCACCGAGACGCAGGCCGCTGCGCTCGATTGCGGCGAGCGACACGCTCAGCGGCTCCAGCAGCGCACCGTCCTCATAGCTCATGTCCCCGATCTTGTGGCACCAGATGGCTGGGTGGTTGACGTAGCGGCGCAGCAGGCCGTCGACGGGCGGCGTCGACAGGAACAGCACGCGCTCACACCCGTTGTAGCGACCCGTCAGGCAGGGCTCGCATGCGTTGCAGATAACATTGGGCTCGATAGCCACCCGGTCGCCAACCTTGAGATGCGTCACGTCGGGAGCCACGGCCAGCACCTGTCCGGCCGATTCATGACCCAGAATATGGTCGCCTTCCACGATCATCGGGCCGATACACCCCGCATGCCAGAAGTGAACATCAGATCTAGAAGAGATGACGTTAGAGCTCAGGTTGAAGACTCCTCTGAGAGCGACAGAAAGAAAAACGTACCCGCAAATCCCCGTGCTGCGAACCTCCACCGTCACCTCGCCAGGCTTCAGCCCTTTACCACTCTGAACATCTTCGACGGAAGGAGTCGCATCAGCAACCCACAGATCGTGCTTGGGGTTGGTGAAGACACCGATGTTGGCTTTGGTGACGCCCGCCATGACTTAGGTACCTGATTACCTGGGTGTACTTGCTTGCTGAGACGTAGAATGTGAACCGTTGAAACGGCTTGTCGGAGAGAAAGAGAGAGGAAGAAGACGAGCAAGGAGCAATGCGAGAGACAGTGAGCGTTCAGGGTAGGGACAAGGACAAGGAGCGACTACCGGGGGCTTTTATTCCCAAAACCACCCGCCCATTTATTAATATTTTACCCCTCCGTACGGGAGGGGGGAGGGGGAAAGGAAGGATCGGAGAACAGCGCAGCCCGGGTGTGAGGTGGCACAGAGCAGGTGAGCATTGGCTCTTGGACCCGACAGTCGAAGGCCGACAGTCGAGGGCGTTTATTGAAGGTGGTGGCTATTATTGGGCGTCCATTTATCCGACGATGGAACCCCCTCCTCCTCCTCCTCGTCCCCCACGGCGGAGTAAATGGGCGGTTTTGACAGAGGAACAGGGGGGAAAATACGGTTCGGGGAGGAGGGGTAGAAAAAATACCGAGAAAGAGACAGGGGACATGCCGATCTCCCTGTTGAAGATTGAGGATGCAGAAGATTTGCAGAGCTGTTGAAGTATTGCGTTAGTTATCCTGTTATCTGAGGGTGACGGTTAAATGCGTAGTTCCAATTGCCCGACGGTTGCTGTGGACCAGAGAGGCTCATTGAAGAATATGAATAGAAAGCTAAGAGAATTATTGAAAGAAATACTATTATCTAAACAGGAACCTTCATAGGTGGAGAAATAATCGTTTTGATGCAGGTATTGTATAGAAGGCTAGTAGTACCTACAGAGTACTTCTTACCATCTCGTACTCCGGTATATGTACCCAGGTAGTATATTTTTTGCTGGATAATTCAACAATAGGCTGGGAGAAGAATTCATTCATAACCAGAGAACTCCATCATTCGTATTTAGATCTTAAAATGTTGAATATTGCGAGAGCTACAGAGGATACAGCTGCCCAGAAGGGAAATTCCCCGGCGGGGCATCCGAGGATATTCCGGTGCATGGTCCATGGGGATATGAGAAAGAGAATAGGTTCCTGGTAGCATTAAGGTTTCTTCTTTCAATTGACGCCAGGAGGATCATTAGACGCCCTGGGCTCAGCCAGTGTCTAGAAGAATCTATATGACATCCTGACTCATAGTCGAGGTGGTTGGTTCCTTGACAATCTAGCCACGAAGAGGATCACTGACTCAAGAAACAACCGGTGGAAAGTCCTCTGACTAGAAGCCAATCCTCTCTAGCCAGTGGCCTATTGAGACCAACAAGTCTCCCAAGGATATAATAAGAAGTCGAAGTCGATCAGAATATCAATATGCTGTGTGAGGTTACATCGGTCCAGAACAGGTTGGTAAGATTTCTACATGGTCAAGAGTAGCCAGTAGTTATCGATATGCAGTGTTCACATGGAAAACAGCCAGATGTCTCTTCTAGTCCTGTCCTAGGTTTCCATATGTTGATCAGCTCGTGGATGTATAGGCCTGTCTCTGTGGTCATCTCGGTGTCACACCTGACTCGGATTCAGACACCTAGCTTAACCATATAACTCATTTATCCTGACCAGATACCGCTGGTATTTCGTATCATCACGACTGTATCCCCAGACTCCCTGGTTAGTTTCGTATAGCCTCCTTGGTTGAGTGTTCTAGCATTAGTACCCGTCGAATAGTATCAATACTCGCTCTTCAAGTCGACTTCATCGACTTCATATCTCGGGCATGTACTCTTATGACACTGCTCCTGTAATAATGACAGTAGTACACGTCAAACTAGAGAGATTGAGGGTGAGGAGTGAGTGCTCAATTGCAGTGAATCAATAAGAGTTGATGTTGTTGTGTCAGGCACGGTCACGTGATCGGCCGACCGGCGCCGCCGCGGGTTTTCCTGAACCTCCCGACGGTCAAATCTCAGATTCTGGTTTCTCGTGGTTGATTGCGCGAGCATCTCAGCGTTTGGCCCTCGACTCCCCCGCCATTGGACTTTTGTGTCCGTGCCCAGAGACTTTGGTAGAAGTCCTCTTTCTTCCTTTTCGGTTGATCTCCTCCCCTCCTCCCCGGCCATCAGAATGCCCGTCGCCGCGACTCGTGCCGTCCTGCGGCAATCGCAGTTCCTGACCCGCAGAACCGCCGTCAGGCACGCCTCCTCCGCCTCTGAAGCGGCCTCCAAGGCGACCGAGACTGCCTCTTCGGCTGCGTCCAAGGCCTCCGAGGGTCTGTCCAAGGTCTCCGCCTCCGCGGGCCCGGCCATCTCCAACGCTGCTGAGACTGCCGGCGCTGCCCTGAGGAAGATTGGTGGAAGGACCGGAAAGGTCATCAAGTTTGTTGACTGTAAGCTCTCTCTTGCTCTCGTTCCATTGTACCCTCTCTTGCTTCACAGTTTCGGGGAGTCTCTGGATATAAAAGCATTATCCTAAAAAAAACGCTTCACTGTCTCCTTATTGACTTGGGCTCCTCTCTCTCCCTTTCTACTGAATTTGTGTGGGCTAACATGTCGATTCCCTTCTTTTTTTTCAATATAGCATTAATACCCCCTACCCTCTACTACAGCAAAGTCGGAATTGAGCTCAGCAAGCTGGTCTTCCGTGGTCAGAACATGACTCCTCCGTAAGCATCCCTCGAATTTGGTGGACGGATCTCCCATATCCCCGTTTCTGCACGAAGAAACTGGTCTAACAAATAAAACCCCTACAGGTCCCTGACCACCTTCCAGTCCTACTTCCAGCCTCTGATCAACGCCGTCCGCAACCCTGCTACCATCAAGAGCGCCAACTTCCCGTCTCCCCAGAACCTCATCTCCCGCGTCCGCAACGCTGATAAGAAGGAGCTTGCTTTCTATGGTGTCACCGCCGCCGAGGTCATCGGCTTCTTCACCGTCGGTGAGATGATTGGCAGAATGAACATCGTTGGCTACCGGGGGCACCCTGAGCACCACGGCCACTAAATCCGTCTTTTATTCTAAATCTGCCCCGTCTTTTTCTGTTTCCTATATTCTTTTTCTACCCGCGTATTGTACTATTGTATGATAGACGATGGAATATAAACTGTTGTCTTTTCAAGAACAAGCATTTTGGTTATAGGTATATGTTCTTGTGTTGTCGATCGACTGACCTCGACTCCCCCCCCCCCAAAACACTCGTCCTTCCTAGAGCAGCCATCTTGCCAAGTCGACCAGGCAGCATCTGCTCCTGGTGACATGATGGTCAAATCATTAGTATCGAATCGTATAGGATTAGTAGGAAACTGAAGTAAATACCTGGGGACGTTTGTAGATCTACATAGCTGCTGGAAAGATTTCACCGCGCCCCGAGACACACCATGAAGAATTGATTTTAATCGAATTCAGTATCATTTACTTAGACTATTCTTCTAAATCATATTTCGAATCACCTTTTCCTAGGCAGTGTTTACTGAAATGGTATCTCGAATGCTGAATATGTTGCCCGTCTCTGATTGGCTCGTGCGGGAAAGAATTTCTGCTCCAGCCAATTTTTTTCAGGACGAGATCTCGAAATCTCCATCAACAGCCGTCTCTTTCTCCCCGCCCCAACAGGGTGCTTGTGTTCTAGCTCTCGAGGTCTGGGAACTGGGCTCTTAGATATTAGCTAGTCTTTGTCTCTGTCATGGACGCATTCAAGTTGTTGACTCGCTCCACGAAGCTGAAGCCCGCGTCGTCGGCTCCGACATCAGCCCGTCTCCCGTCAACGGGCAAGGCGGAGAACCCGCAGCTTTTTCGCAACGCGGAGCTCGACAGGGCGCTCGCGGAAGCGAGGCAAGGGAAAAAGAGAAAGAGGGGCGATGCTGCTGCTGCGGCTGCGGCAGATGATGATGATGATGAGGCCGTCGCGGTGAACCTTGACTTTTTCAATCCTGGGAAACGGGTTTCTTCCACGGCGGCGGGGACTTCTCACGGCGCTGCTTCGAAAAAGAAGCGAGATCAAGCTTCAGATGATGAAGGTCATGATGATGACGAAGATCGCTCTTCAGGGGGAGAGGAAGAGGTAGATGAGGAGGATTCAATGGATGATGTGGAACGCCGCACAATCTTGAACTCGCATAAGATCAAGGTCACGGATCTACGGGATTGGGATGTCCTGCATCCTACTAAGCCAGCTGAGAAGCCGAAGAAGAAAAAGAAGAAGCAAGAAGCGGCGGCGGCGCCGCCAGTCCCGAGCAAGAAGGAGCAAAAAAAGGCACGCCGGTTGTATCCAGAGCCTCTAGTTTCCTTCCAGGAGCTACGGACAAAACACAAGATCTCCAAACGACTTGCGGAGAATGTCGCAGAGCAAGGATTCACTGTTCCGACTGAAGTGCAGCTGGGCACTCTACCTCTTCTTTTGGGCGGTTCCAAGGTGCTCGGCGCCTCGTCATCAGCGATTTCTGCCGATCCGGATCTACTTGTCGTTGCCCCGACAGGCAGTGGCAAGACCCTGTCGTTTTTGATTCCGGTCATCAACAAGATTCTTCGGCTACATCATGAGCAGCCGGATGAAAGGGGAATTTTTTCAGTTGTTGTCGCTCCCACCAAGGAACTTGCCGGTCAAATTGTCAACGAGGGCCGAAAGCTGGTTCTAGGCACGGGTGTCAAGATCGCTCTGATGAAAAAGGGCATGGAAGTCGTCGAACGTGGGGATGAAGACGACAGAGCCGTAAAGACCACTGATATTCTGGATGAGGACAGTGAAGAAGATTCCTCATCCGCTTCAGATGAAGACGAGGAGGAAAACACAGAGAAAAAGAAGACGAGAACTAAGGCCCCTGTGACCAAAAGCGATATCCTTGTTACCACACCGCTGCAACTCGTCAATGCGCTGTCTGCAAATCGTACGAAACCATTAGCCCAGCTTCCCCTGGTGAGAAGCTTGGTTCTGGATGAGGCAGACGTTCTCTTGGATCCCTTGTTCCGGGAACAGACGCTTGATATCTGGCGCTCGTGTTCTCATCCCGACATGAGGATCAGTCTCTGGTCAGCAACCATGGGTTCGAACATTGAAGATCTGGTCAAATCGACCATAAAGGAGCGCCAGGAGTTTCACGGTCTGGAGACGAATTCCTCCTCGCCTCTCGTCCGTCTGGTGGTTGGCTTGAAAGACTCGGCCATCCCCAATATCGACCACAAGCTCATCTACGCTGCAACAGAGCAGGGTAAACTTCTGGGCTTGAGACAACTTCTACGCCCTGCAACGGCTTCTTCCTCCGATGTCCGGCTCCGCCCACCGTTTCTGATCTTCACCCAAACCATTCCCCGAGCGGTTGCGTTGCATTCGGAACTACTATACGATATCCCCGTCGAGGCGGGAGGTTCGTCTCGTATCGCCGTGCTTCACTCGGACCTGTCTGACATCCAGCGGTCCGAGATCATGAAAGGGTTCCGCAAAGGAGAGATTTGGATTCTCGTCACCACAGATCTGTTGGCCCGCGGTGTTGATTTCCGCGGCATCAACGGCGTGGTCAACTACGATATCCCCAACTCGGCTGCGGTCTACGTACACCGCGTGGGACGAACGGGAAGAGCTGGCCGTGAGGGCGGCATCGCCGTGACTTTCTACACCAAGGAAGACATCCCCTACGTCAAGAGCATCGCGAACATCATTGACGTGAGCGAGAAGCTGCGCGGCAAGACCGGCGAAAAGTCCATCCAAAAGTGGCTGCTTGATGCCCTGCCGGACCTAAGCAAAAACGCCAAGAAGGAACTGAAGAAACACGGCGTCCGGGCCCGCCAGTCCCATAATAAACAGACAAAGGAGGAAGAGAATGGGAAGCACCGTCCTGGTCAGACCAGGATCAGTACCAAGAGCGGCTACGAACGGCGGATGGAGAATAAGAAGAAGGGCGCCATTGCTGCCAGCCGCAAGAGGAAGGACACCGCAGTACCATCTGGAGATCCCGGTAGCGACGAGGACTGGAACGGGCTTGACGATTAGGTCTTATTCCTGTCCTTGTATACTTGTATATGTATTGGATAGCGCTATACTTTCTCTCCGAGATTGACATAACCTGAGACTATCTTGGAATTGCCTTATTGTAATGACTCGCTCTCCGGGACCATAGTCCGCTTTAATAAAATCGGGGCAAACGCACAGTCCAGCATCCCATCTTCCTCGAAGATGCCCTCCAGCTCATCCCCGTCCAGATCGAAATACACCGCCCACTGGCCGTCTTCTTCCTCCACGGCGTAGAACGCACTCCGCCCTTCCAGCGTGATATACTTCTCGTCGTCGGACCAATCGTACGGCCCGACCAGATGGTGCATGCTCGTCGACCGGTTCCCGTATTTCAGCTCGTACGTGTCGACGTCCACGTAGATCCAATTCAGGAGGGGCGGGTTATCGCGGACCGTGCTGGGCAGGCCGCGCCCGCGCTTGAGATGTTTCGTCTCCTCCGGTTCTGGGTATTCGATGTAGAAGGCTTTCGAGGTGTGGGAGGAGACATCCCGTTTCGAGGGATCGGGATCGTCTATATACACCTGCGTTTTGTTAGCTGAGGCTCAAACGACAATAAACATTGCTAGTAGTCTGAAGAAGGCAGGCCATACCTTTTCATCTCTTAGAACAATCCTCTTCCCATTGAGGACATCTGCTTCTTGCGTTTCACCCGGACATTCGACGTCGATGTTGAAATTCGCCATCCGCCGAGCATCTTCTCTCCGCTCGTTTGCCTTTTTCTGTTCGTTGACTCCGAGCGCGACGCCCGTCACTGTCGGGATCGCGGCGAGTGTGAGGAGACCGATGACCATCTTGGATTATTCGACTCTTTCAAGGCGGGCCAGAAAGGGAAAACGACCGTATGCTTGGATTATTAGACAATGCCAGACTCATAGTGCCTGAGACAGCTTCTTTGGCTCTCGTTGTTTTTTATTTCTCCTCCACTGGAAACTGGGGGGTTAAACGGACCCCGTGACGTCATCGGCCATGCGTGGACACTGGACAGGCCTGCGACACGTGATGCTCCCTTGCACTCCCCAACAACATTCAGCTTGTGCTTTGCTGGCGATGACTGGGAGTTCATCCTTTATGCAGCTTACTCTGTGGATTTAAGACTGGTATTCATTGCGTCCGCCTTTGCTGGACCTTGGGGATTCTTGAACAATACGGGTCATCGATAAAGATCAAATGGAAGAGGCTCTTCAACGAGATCGCTATGAATCTAGTCTAGCATCTATACTATCGTTTATCGTCTATGATCATGACTTCGTGGAAGGAAACTGTCAATGGCGAGATCGAGGCCAGGTTAGAGCTTCTCGCTCCATCCCCAGACGGCCCACCAGCATCGCACCTCGAGAGCGCCGCCGTCGGCGCTCTCCCAATCGTCGTATCCGATCTCTTCTCCCTCTTCGACGACGGCCAGGCCGATATCTTCCATGCGCTGTCGGAATTCTTGCCTCTGTGGCAGATACGCATCGCGGAGAGGCATCTCGGTGATCACCCGTGCATTTAGACCACGGCTCAGCCACTGTGCGACGGTGTCGACCAGCCATTTGGGATGCTTGGGAGAATAGAGCGGGTCGGCAGCAAGGATCAGATCGTACCGTTCCTCTTGTGATGGGAGGGGCTCTGGCGGAACCGACCAGTCTAGAACGCCAGTGGTGATATTTGCACTTGTTTTACCGAGCAACTCTGCGTTCAAGACGACATTATGTGCGAGGTTCGGTACGATCTCTGGCAGATCGGTGAGATGAATGGTTGCTGAACCGCCGCGGAGGGCGGCGAATGAAAGTCCCACGAGCCCCGTTCCAGCACCCAGCTCGAGTGCTCGAAGTATGCCGCTAGTGTTTGGCGCTGTCGCTGCAGCCGGCACAAGCTGCGGCGTGGAATCAACCAGCTCACTGAGACGGCGTGAGAGGAGGTAGGACGAAACCCATGTCTTCATACCAAGATTGTCGGCAGTCAGAGACGGCTCATGCAACGTCAGAGTGAACTCCTCCCCTGATGGCGTGGGAATCGCGAAGAGCCGAGACATGGATGGCATGGCTTAATTTCCCGATACTGAGTCAGCGGTTTCTCACCAATTTTGTTACTGGACATGGCTTTCCATACCCGTTCGGCCAGACCGCTCACTCAGTCGAGCAGCGGTCGTATCCCAAACCACCTCTCGGAGTTCGTCAGAGTCCAGCCAAGCAAGAGAACTCGAGATGATCGATGTCAGATACTGAGTTACGCCAGCTGGCTGGACGGCTCTGGTCTTCACCGCTTCATGACCGCTGTGACTAAAACCCCGGGGTTTGATGGCGAGCAACTCGAGCGCCTTGAGAAGATCTGTTCCCGATGGCTTCGTATAGATCTGGGGTAGGTCGAGCACTGATTACCGCTTATCAGCCATTACTTACTTCTCTCAGGAAGTTCAGGACACGAAACCTACCATGAAGAGGCTCATCGTTATCGGCGCTAATCATGGTAGCGGGGTTCTGGAAACAGCAATAACCTGGACTCTCAAGTAATGCGTGAAATTCATAGAGGATGAAGAGACCGTAGACGTGTGTATACCCGATTTTCCAACGCCGTCTCCGTGGCGGTGGGGGGGAGGCGCTTTCGCGATATCTGAAAAAAAAAAAAGTCGCGATTACCTAAACAGGTAAGGCCGGTACGGTATTACCGCGGATCGGGATCCGCTTCGGCCTAGAATGAAAGACAGGAACACGTCTAGACCATTTAAAACTCAGAAAAGGAGAATTCACAATAGTAATTTTCTGATTTGGGATAAAAGCTATGCCCATAATAAAAACCCCTAAACTCCCCAACACCAGAGGCTAGCGTGACTTGCATCATCAAATCATAGGTAATCAGCTCAAAGTCGCTTTGAAGCCTTGATACGCGGACTCGATATCAAAAGCCAGTTCTCTGGCTTGTTCCTCGCTTAGTTCCTCTGTAGCGCGCATTTGATTCAGTGCGATCAACCACTGAATAATTTTGCCCCTGTTCTCAAAGTCACGGTCTGTCACTTTATTCACTGATTGGATGACTTCCGACAAGAGTGGGTGCAGGGCATCCTTCGAGACCATGTTCAACTTCAACGCATCGAGGAATGTGATGAAATTCTCCGTAGCGGTAAGAATCAGACTGCCCGATGCACCACCGGCTGGACCTGTAGCTGCCGCACCCATGTTCGTCGACGGTACGCTGTGGGAAGCTTGTTCGACCGTGGCGGGGAGACCAATTCGGAGACGTTCGGTGGCACGAGGACATTCCAGCTCCCTGAGTTAGCCAATATCCCAGCCAATCTAGTTTCCAAGGTTCTTGAAAAGAAACATACACCCCAGGTCCGTTTAAAAGTTTCCAGATCCACAAACTCGTTGGCGACGGCATCGTCCCCCAAGCTCGACTTGTATTGCTTCAGCAACCGCGTACACGTCTCCGTGTACTCTGCTTCTGTGACTACATCCTTGATGTATGCTTTCTCCAGCCCGTCAAGGGTAACGATGATGCTGTAGATCTCGGCCAGCGACTCGTACAGATCCCGCTCCGTAGAGCTCGATGCTAGTTTGACTTCCTGAACAGCGGTTAGACAGTCTTCTCCGCCATGACGCATCTTACAGATGACAAACAAACCTCATCTAGATTAATCGTAGCTGACAGCGTCGGGTTTGGTGTATAGCTATACGGCGTAGGCGCATAAGCCAGCGGACGCTGAGTATACATTGCGTCGTTGCGCTTCCCCTTGTCGCCTTGGATCTGGCAGGAGAAGGGCGGGGGACAGGCGGTCACCCGATTTGGCCGGCAGAATCTGTCCGCAAATTTTCCCCGGCAAAAAAAAAAAATTCGGTCCGAGCAGGAAGAGGTAGTACGTGCAACACCACGAACTGGGTATTCATTTGGAATTGGGTTCTGCGAGCAATATTCGCAGACTCGAGCAGGATTGGTATCGAAAATGGGTGTCAAAAAATCCACGAAGAAGTTTGAAAAGAAACACCTCAAAGATGTTCTCGAACGACGCAAGGCAAATGCGAAGATCAAACAGCGTAACCAGCTGAAGGAAAAGCGGAAGGCTCAGAGAGCAAACGAGCGGGCTGTGGATGGCGAAGAGGATGATGAAGATAAGAGCGAACAGACAGCGAAGGATAATTCCTTCGCTCAGATGAACGTCGATGATTTCTTCGCAGGCGGTTTCGATATTCCCGACGCAAGAACAGCAAAGGGAAAGAAGGCGCGCAAGACAGACGTCAGCCAGAAGATCGGAAAACGGAAACGTTCCCAAGACAAGGATGGCGAAGAGGAAGGGTCCTCTGGTGAAGAAGAAGATGCTGCCTCCGATAATGACGACGACGCTTCATCGCAGGCTAGCAGTGTCGGCGATTTCGAAGAGCACAAGGAGCAGCTCGAGGCACTCAAGGAAAAGGACCCCGAGTTCTACAAGTATCTCAAGGCCAACGACGCTGAATTACTCGAATTTGGTGACCATGGGGACCTCGCAGAAGTTGACGCCCTGAGCGAAGAGGAGGAAGAGGCCCCGGCCAAGAAGAAGAAGAAGGCTAAGAAGGCGGAGGAAGACGAAGAGGATGCCGGTGAGGCAGCCGATAATACGCTTACCACGGCCACTGTGAAGAAGTGGCAGAAATCAATGGAGGAGCAGCATTCGGTCAGGGCGATGCGCCAAGTGGTTCTTGCCTTCCGCTCCGCCGCATACATCAACGAAGCAGAGGGGGAGGATTCAAAGTATTCGATCTCGGATCCCAACGTGTATCACCAGGTCCTAGTTACAGCTCTCGGCATGGTTCCTAAGGTCCTGGGACATCACCTTCCCGTGAAGGAGACTGCTTCGGGCAAAGTTAAGGTCTCTCTGGACTCGAAAAAATTCAAGACCCTCACGCCTCTCATCAAATCCTTCACCTCCTCTGTCCACCAACTGCTCGTGAATTTGTCCGATGATCGGACTCTCAAGTTGACCCTGTCATGTCTCGAACCTATGCTTCCGTATCTTCTGCAGTTCCGAAAGCTGCTCAAGGTCCTCATCAAGACTGTCGTTGGTATCTGGGCCGATGTTTCAACATCGGAAGCCACACGGATCACAGGCTTCCTGCTCCTGCGCCGCTTGATGGTCGCCGGTGATGCGGGTATCAAAGAGGCCGTTTTGAAGGCTACTTACGAAGGTGTTGTCAAAGGCAGTCGCAACACGACCGTGCACACTATTGCCGGTGTGAATCTGATGAAGAACTCCGCTGCCGAGATCTGGGGCATCGACCAGAACGTTTCTTATACCACTGGGTTCAGCTTCATCCGTCAATTAGCCGTCCATCTACGCAGCAGCATCACGAACACCTCCAAGGAGTCATACAAGACCATTTACAACTGGCAATACGTCCACTCGCTTGATTTCTGGTCCCGTGTGCTTTCGCAGCACTGTGATGGTCTCGTCGAAGCCAAGGCCGGCAAACAATCTGCCCTTCGCCCCCTCATCTACCCGGTCGTCCAGATCACCATCGGTGCCATGCGTCTGATCCCCACCGCGCAGTATTTCCCGCTGCGTTTCCAACTGACACGGGCTCTCCTCCGCGTCTCCCGCGCTACCGGAACATACATCCCTCTTGCGGCTTCACTTCTGGAGGTCCTCAACTCGGCTGAGATGCGCAAACCGCCGAAATCCAGCACCCTGAAGCAACTCGACTTCACGACTGCGATCCGCGCGCCGAAATCTTACCTCCGCACCCGCATCTACCAAGACGGCGTGGGCGAGCAGGTGGCCGAGCTTTTGTCCGAGTTCTTCGTGCTGTGGAGCAAGCATATCGCTTTCCCCGAGCTGTCTGTTCCCATCGTCGTCATGCTGAAACGGTGGTTGAAGCAGGTCGGAGCTCGCACCGGCGGAAACAAGAACACCAAGGTCAACCAGATGATCCTGCTTCTTGTGCAGAAGGTCGAGTCGAACGCCCGGTGGATCGAGGAGCGCAGAGTGAATGTCTCGTATGCGCCTACGAACCGCGCGGAGGTGGAGACCTTCCTGAAGGAAGTGGAATGGGAGTCCACGCCGCTCGGGGCGTTTGTCAAGACGCAACGCAAGCTGAGGGAAGAAAGGGCTGCAATCCTGGAGAAGGGACGGCTCGAGGAGGAGAGACGGAGAGCGATGGAAAAGGAGGCAGACGATGATGCTATAATGGAGGATGTTGTCAGTAGTGAGGGCAGTGACGAGGATGAGGACGAAGAGGAAGAGGAGGTCTCCGAAGAGGAGGAAGAGGAAGAGGATGATGAGTAGATAGATTAGCCAAAGCTATTTTTGATCTGTCTATTCCCGTCATGTTAGTTATATCAGTTATGTTACCCCCTCCCTGTACCTAGATCCAAAATCAAAAGAATCGCATTCCGGTATAGAATAGCTATTTTGAACATGCCTGACTGAACTTTTCCTTTGTAGAGTACATTCGAGCCTCATGGGTCTGAAGCGAATAACGTCGTCTAATAGATATCAAATTATCAACAGGTGTAATGGGGTATATACAGGATTAACTATTACAATATGTATGAAAGATCATTTTGCATATATCATCCTCACGTAGGGCCGAGAAAATAAATGGTCTATCAAGTCATGAAATCATAATGGGGGGGGGTTAAACCGAAGAATCAGGTGCGCGATCCAACCAGAGCATTCGAGAGCGCTCACGTCTCAGAGCGGCATCTTCTTCTTCCGCCCAGGCGAGCGATTCGCTAGGCAACATGACGGCCTTGTCGATAGCGACGGGCAGACCGCGGTGGCGGCCGCGCAGGGTGACGGCTGCGAGGATGAGTTTGCTGATGGGGTGCCAGGCGCCGCAGAAGGAGTAGTTCTTGCCCGGGTATCCTACGCTGATGCCGACGCAGCCGTAGGCGGAGACGACCTCGAAGATGATGTTGAAGGTGGAGAAGGCTACGGGCTGGCGCTCGTAGCCCGACGCCTCGGCGATGGAGATGAACAGCACGGCGAGGGCGATCCACCAGATATCGTGGCTGAGCTGGGAGCGGAGCTGCTGGCGCACGAAATAGCTGCGGGAAGATTCGTCTGCGGTGAGAGGATCTTTGCGGCCGAGGATGTGATGCCGAAACAGAACGAGGAGAAGATTGGGATCTTTGGATTCATCGTCTGTATTGCCGTTGGCATAAATGCCCAGGGAACGCTCTTCATAGACATTCGTGTTTCTGTGGGGGATCTTTGGTTATAACTAGTTCCTGCTGTTTTCCAAAGGAAAGGATTTCAACTAACCTCATGGTGAGTAGCACTGGGAATGCCGAGACATACTAAAAAAAAAGATGTTAGTTATATACTCGTAGAACCTGTGAACAGTTTGCATATGAATCAAGGTCGCACCATCATAAGGACTATTAGAAAGGAATTAGTGTCAACACAAATAGATCCAACTGACGTGGGAGGAGGGCTTACCATATAGGACAAGCAATCCTTGCTTGAGGTTGGAAATGGTAACAACATAGAAGCCACCAGATCGGACAGCTAAGAGGAGTATTAGTTTTTCTCTCAAATAAGAAAACTTGTTTTTCAAAAAGTATACGCACCACTGGCCTGGAACAGACCGTCCAGAATTCGATATTTGGTTGGTAGAGAGTCAACTTCTGTATTGCCAATCGAAAGCAGTTCGAACCCAGCCCAGTCGATTCCGTTGAGAACAATGATCGTCCCGAGTAGGTACCATGTATGGCGACTTGGGAAAAGGTTTGTATATACCTAGGGGAGGCTGTTAAGTGCTGTGATTGATGGAATATCCCAAAGGAACTGCATACCCTTCTAGGATGGTCCAAGATAAAGTTGAGAACGACTCTCCATTCCTGAAAGTACGGCCTGTTCGGCAAGACCAGACGCATTGTCCAGATAATAAATCTCAAAAAGCATGGGTATAATGTATTCCCGCCAAGAATCAAGATTGACATGGTTAGGAGGGGATAGGCGCTGTTCAGATAGTGAGTGTGCATTAGCATTAGTCTTTATCAGCCTGTCAGAAATAGAAATGAAACCATACTTTGTCTGAAAAGCAGTCATATTGGCATCCAGCAAGGCCATTCCACTGTTATTGAATGCGGAGCAAGCGAAGAAGGCTCCGGTCCAGAAGGGTGACAGGCCATTCTCTCGGGCGACTTCAGGGTGGTTGATGGCAACCCACGCCCCCATACCCATGATTCCTAGGAAGAGAAAGGAAAAAAAATAGGTCGGGACAATCACCGACAAGAATGAAACAGCCTTGTATTCGACCCCGCCTAATTGCTCACGTTCAGCCGGCGTCAGACCATAGAACTGAGAGTTACGTGAAATGTGACCCTTGAACGGGAGATACCAGGAAGCCCCGCTGGCGAACCCATTCGGACCACCAGACCGCTGATTTTCCTCGTACGACGGTAAGTTTGGCTGGACATCCTTGGGATGGTTGTTCAGACCCGGTCGAGCACCAACCCCGGCCATGGGGAAGATCCGGTGATTATTGTGGTAGTTTCGTGGCTTCAAGTTGTTGACGGTGACCTGGTCATCATCGACCCATTGAATTTGGTCGTCAAAGTCTAGCGAGGTTGTGACAGCTTCTATGTTGACAACCACCTGATCGCCGGCCGGGGGTTTGACTATTGCGAGACCCCCCTCACCAGAGTGAAGACGGTCTTTCAGGACAATGTGATCTGCTTGAGCCTGAGAACCTTGGTCGTCTGTTTCGACGAACTTTGACGTAGCAGGCCGACGATGCGCTTCCGAAATTCCTTTGATCTTGGATTCAAAGGCACGCTTTCGAACGTACAGAACAGTGCTGGAGATAAGAATTGCTGAACCCAGGATGAGCAGCAAAAATAGAATCACTTGTTGGAAAGTATTCAACGTTGAGAGATCAACCTTCGGGACCCCGTCAGTGATGAGTTTGAGCGTGGCGTGCAAAGACTTGAAATCATACCGTGTTCAACCCCGCGCCGGTCATGGCACTCACGCACAAGAACAATGCATCGACATAAGCAACACTGCGGAAGGGCGTCGACGAGCACCAAAAGATGATGCTGCAGAACAGCGGTGTTGCCAGAAAATAGATGTAATGCAGCGTGAGGAAGTTGAAGGGCGGTAGCACCGCCATGATGCGGCGACCAACTGGTCGAAGCTGCGCTCGAGCTATAGGGAAACAAAAGTCAAGGTTGATATCAGTATATCTGACTCTATTGGCCGATCTGGGGTCTCCTATTCTCCCTCGGCCGAGAAACGGTGTTCGACTTCGCGGTGATGGCAACACTTACATAACATCCCGTAGATATGCGAGATTCTCACTACCAGCGCAGGCCCGGTCCCCTGGATGTAAGGAGGGAATAGAAAGAGTCCTTTCCCTGCAGCCAAGGTGCAGATGGACCAGGTTTATTGATCAAATAAGAAAAAAATTCTCTTCTCTGCTGCCGCCAGTGCCCCTCCGACTGGCTGAGGAAGTGGAGAGGAAACCCACCCCGCTAACGCTGACGAAAGGCTGGCATGAAACAAGTGCTCAGAAAGGCCGAATCATCCATGTTCTTATTCTTTTGGGGTATATGCAACCAGTCGAATGGACGAGTCGATCGTGGGACAAATCGCAGGGTGTCTTGGTGCATGTGGTGGCTGCAGTGGACAGTGAGAGGGAGGGAGAAGAGACAAAATTCAGCTCAAGTAGCGGTGACGGAAGATCGACTTTTCTACGGACCTACTACATATTGATCTACGGGTCTTCAATTGCTTGACAGACCGTAAATACCTGATCTGCTGTGTAGGCCAGAGGCTAGTCCATCGCATAAACTGGCCAGAATTGGGATTCTAGCAGCAAATAACAAGAAAGTCGGGGGGGAAAAAGTCTTCGTCAAATTCCTCTGTTCGAGCAGGCAGTACGGAGTATATAGGATCATTGCAGCCTCAGGCATCCAAGGGTCCTCTCACGTGCGTCCTGGATTACATAAGCTGTTTGGTGATCTCAGCCTTTCGCCAGCAGTAACAACTTCCTGGAAGATACCGTCGTTGACAAGCTTGTCTGACAGTCTCGGTGCGACCTTCTGAGGCATTGGCTTGAGAAGTCAGTAGCCCGATGCTACCAGGCAAGTTGCAACTAGCCTCACTCACGGTATTCAACGTTCCTAACACACTCCTAGTTTATCATCAAGCATGAACTGCCATGTTGATACTACTGGGATATAATAATTGGTAAAGATAACTTATTGAGGCACTGATACTGCTAACTTTAGCTTCTTCTTCAAGCATCATACACTCCTCTCCTCCAGTGCCCACTTTTGCCTCCCTTCTTCTCCAGCAGCTGGACATCGCTGATCACCATCCCCTTGTCAACCGCCTTCAGCATGTCGTAGACAGTCAATGCCGCGCTCATGGTGGACGTCATGGCTTCCATCTCGACTCCCGTACGGCCTAGACAGCTCACTGTTGCGATGACGTGCATGCCTCCGTGCTGAGCAGTACTGCCACTGATACTGCCACTGCCACCTGTCCTGGGACTATCGTCAGATCTGACGGGATCTATCAGCTTCACGTCAACTTCCACGCCCGTAATGCCGATCCCCGGATGACACAGCGGGATGATATCCGGCGTCTTCTTGGCGGCCATGATGCCCGCAATGCGAGCCACGCTGAACACGTCGCCTTTCTTCGTGCCCTGCCCGCCCCTCAGCAGCTCCCATGGTTTCCCGTTGGAGAAGCACACGGTGCACGTTGCCGTCGCTTGGCGCGCGGTGACAGGTTTCTCGTGGATGAGCGTCATATGCACTTTTTGGTCCGCGGTTAAATGGGGTAGGTCGGTGTCTGAATCGGTGGGGAGAGATGTGACCCGTTCGTCTGAATCGGATGGGCTTCGTTTGTGATGATACGAGCGGACTTGTCCGTATCCGAGAGACGCGTTCCAAGGAAGCAGATATGTCGGTATGCATGTTGATGACCATATATTCTGTCCTAAGGCTGTCAAACTAGCTCTCTTGTCTGGGATCTCGTTAGTAAACACAATAGCAATCAAAAGATGCAGAATCCGTAGACAGCGGCGCACATTCAAGAGGTCCCCCCCCCCGGTAGATATAGATCTCAAGCGCATCAGGCAAGGCCTACCCACCGATAAGGATCATGGGCCGGTTCTTCATATTCTCCAGCTGTCCCATGCCGGCATGCTTGGCCTTCTTCCTCTTGACGGCCATACCGATGATATCGAGAAGCTCTTGTTCCCTGGCTCCCCGAGTGGTGGCAGCGTCCACTGATTCCAGCAATTTCAACCGTCGCATCGCCTCCTTGTCGATCGGCTGGCTGTTGTTCTCCCGCCGGATGATATCTCGCAGCGAGACCTCGGCATTTCCAAATAGGCAGACCTTCAGATTACCGTCTGACGTGATACGCAGCCGGTTGCAGGTGCCGCAGAAGTTGTGCGTCATGCTGGTGATAAATCCCACCCGCCCTTCAAACCCGGGGACGCGGTACGTCTTGCTGGTATCGTTCCTGTGATCTGCCACTTTCTCCAAGTTCGGGTATTTGCCTCGGATCACGTCCAACATCTCCCGGTAGGAGAACATCTTCCCCTGGCTCCACTTGTTGCCGTCAAAGGGCATGTACTCGATGAAGCGGACCTCAATGGGGTTCTCCCGTCCCAGTTCTACAAACGAGAGGATCTCGCGGTCGTTCAGCCCGCGCATGACCACGCAGTTGATCTTCAGCTTGATCCCGGCGCCCAGCCGGTTCATCTCCAGAATTCGATCGACACTCTTCATCACCGCCTCAAACCCCTTCCGCCGCGTCATAATCTGGAACTGGAACGGGTCCAGCGTGTCGAGGCTCAGGTTCACACCCGTGAGCCCGGCCTCGGCCATGGCGTCCAGCTTGCGGTGCAGCGAGATGCCGTTCGTCGTCAGACACAGCTCACGCAGCCCGCTCCGGCGTAGATCACCGATCGCCTGCATCAGCGGCACAATATCCGGGCGCACCGTCGGCTCGCCGCCCGTCAGTCGGATCTTGGTCACCCCCTGCGACACGAACAGCGACGACAGATACACGATCTCGGGCGTCGTCAGCAGATGTTCCGGCGGGGACAGCGGCACCCCTTCCTCCGGCATGCAGTATAAACATCGCAGGTTGCATCGCTCCGTCAGACTTATCCGGAGGTAATCATGCTGGCGGTTGAACGTGTCCGTCAGGAAGTCGGAGAACGGTCTCGTATCCTTCTCCTTCTTCTTCTTCTTCAGCTGGGAGACCCGGGACGCAGGTAGCGGTCGTACGGCAGGGGAGAGCGGTTCACGGCGCGGCTCGGAGGGAGGGATAGGCGAGGAATAGGTCGGCGAAGCAGTCGGTTTTGCAACAGTCGTCTCTCTTCGAATCAGTGATGGCATCCTGGCCTTGGTGACACTGTTGACCCGAGAGGTCACCCCCCGGAGGAGAGCCTCAGTCTTTGTCCTCCACAACATTTCTTCTCCTCAAGCACCCTGCAGAGATACCAAGCATCTCAAAGCAGATTAATCGGAAGGTAAACGGAAAGATAGAAATGAAGGAATTCTTATACCGCTCTTATCATGACTGACAGTGACGTTAGTCAACTGCTACGTGGGGGCTTAGTAATGCCAAACACGCGATTGGAATTGCTTCAGTTGCCTGGAGCATTATTTCTTACCATTAATTCTAGCTGCTATCTATTTAGCTTCTGTACCCTCTTCACGAGGCTCTGCTCGAACCGTTCTACGCCCTCGTGCTGCAGATTCAGCCGTCCGCCCTTCATCACGTACACCGACCGTCGTCGTTTGCCGTCTTCTTCCTCCGTCTCCTCCTCGTCGACGCCTTCGAACCCATCGTCCAGCTGGTGCTCAAGGTCGCGTTTGCCTTCTACCACCGACCGTACGAGGAACCGGTCGTGCGAGATCAGCAGGATTGCCCCGTTGAAGGCAGAAAGGGCTGCGGCAAGCGCAGTCACGGTGTGGAAGTCGAGATGGGTGGTGATTTCGTCGAGGATAAGCAGCTGGGGCGAGGTCCAGACGGTTCTTGCTAGAGCGAGACGGACCTGTCCATCAGCCGATGCGTCAAACTTTCAAAATATATAAAAGAGAGAAAAAATCATCATACCAGTTGGCCCCCTGACAAGCGAGCAATCGGGACATCAGAGGCGATTCGACCTGCAAGGCCGAATCCCGACAGAAGTCCTCGCAGATCCCCCTCATTGAGAGCCCCGTCCACTTCTTTCATCATAAGTCCGAGAGCTGTCAGTTCGAGCTCGTTGTGGCCCTGTTCCTGGAGTTCCTCGACTGCATGCTGCGAGTAGTAGCCGACTTTCAACCGTGCGTGTGTCGAGATCTTACCCTGGGTTGGTTGCAATCCCCCGACCAAAACACGCACAAGGGTCGATTTCCCGGACCCATTGAGGCCCATGATCCCCACGCGGTCACCCATATGGACTACTAGGTCGACACCGTTCAGGACCGGGTTGGGGTCGCGGGGACTGTACCGGAAGAGGATCCCCTCCAGGGAACAGAGAGGGCCCGGGAAGCGCAGCTCCGTCGCGTCGGGTAACAGCATCGAGGCCCCCTTCTCGTCCGTGGGGACTTCGATCTCGGCGCGGGCTTTCGGGTGGAAGCCTGGTAGATCGCGGTTGAGCTTGAAGCGAGTCCCCTTGGCACTCACCTGGATGCCCATGCGGTCGTTGACCTTCTTCTGCCGCGACTTGGCCATGCGCAGCTTGTTGTCGTCGTTGGTCTTCTTCCCGATCTTGACGTTCTCGCGGATCGTGGCCTCCATGTGTGCGATCTGGCGCTCCTGGGCTTCCTTCATGCGGCCCCAGTAAAGCTTCTGCGCTTCAAAATCCTTTTCATACGCGGCCAGGTTGCCCCGAAAATAGGACAGCTGCTGGTCGCGCAGGATGACGATCTCCTCGCAGATGGCATTGACGAACGCGCGATCGTGCGACACGACCAGCACGGTGGTCGCGGGGGCCGTCTCGCGCATCTGGTGCAGGTAAGTCTCCAGCCAAACCACACCTAGCAAGTCGAGGAAGTTGGTCGGCTCGTCGAGGATCATGACGTCGGGCTGTTGCAACAGGATGCTCGCCAGCAGAGCCCTCATGCGCCAGCCACCAGAGAGAGCCGTGAAATCCTTTCCGAGACCAGCCTCCTGGAAACCCAGGCCGAACAGGATCCGGCGGGCCTGCTGTTCGACGTCTACCAATTTCATCTGCCTGTTTCAGAATACAACATCCCCACTAATATGATGCAGCAAAACTGACCGCTTCCATCTGGGACTGGAGGTCCTGCAAGGCATCCACCGCAGCCTGGGTGTCTGCCTGCGTTGCCTCTGCACCGATAGCCTCTTTCTCTTGGTTGAGCCTGAAAAATCAGTCCCTCCCTACTTCGTGAAGGGAATCAGACTCACATCTCTAAAGCAGCCTCGACTTTTGTTTCTAGCAGCCGCAGTTCCTTTCTGGCCTGCAGGCCTCTTACCCCGCTTTTGAGATGCGCATTCTTCTGCGCGAGAAACAGCTGCTTCTCGAGCTCCTGGTGTCGCAATGATCTGATGGCCCGGACCGGCGCGAGGGGGTCGTCTGTTTCCAAACTTCTCGAGAGGACTTTCCATTTAGATTTTCCCAGATTTTCCCTCTCAATCAGGAAACGATGGTGTTCTTACAGGCAGTCCGTTCCGTGATTTCATTCCTGTGGCTATCGCTACCCAGCACCACCTGTAGGACCGTCTTGTCGCTGTCTTCAACGAGATCCGTCTCCGTCTGCTGTAATAGGGCTATTCGCGTCGCATGCGGGATGGCAGGTATAAGCTTGTCGCCCATTGCTCGAAGAAGTGCTTCACGTATAAGTAGAAGTAGATGGAAAGATGGGATTAAACAAAAATTTTATACTGGATTTCCCACTCCCATTCCGCCCGAGGAGACCATAATGCACCCCTCTCTTTAGCCGCAGGTGCGCGTCAAGGAGCAACTCTTTCCCCTCACTCTTCTTCCTGCGCTTCGCATCTGCGGTGTCATCTGTGACCAGGATCGTCAAGCCGGGCACGTCGATCTAGCAAGTCAGAAGCTACTAGCAGGTAAGAGGGCAAAGAGAGAAAGAGTCATACCTCTGGAGACCCTCTTTCGTCGAGATGGAATCTAGTCTGTTTGCAGGATGCTAGGATAGGCATTTTGATGGCAGATGAAGTATAAGGTCAGGTAGAGAGAGTCTGATCTATGAGTCTGAGTGTCATGTTATATTGGCAACTGATATTGTTTTGTCGGGGTCCCAATGCGGTATATTGATGCCTAAGGCATGCTTATATATATATATATATATATGTGTGTGCGTGTGTGTGTGTTTCCGTCTATTATGGCTACTTTCTAAACTCTTCAAGTCGTCTCTTCTGCGTCCCATTCTCATTGAAGTTCGCCTCGTCCAACCACGCCTCCATCGCCCCCCGGAGTGACCCCTGCCACTCCTCCCTGAGAATGGAGAACCAGGCGGTATCACGGTTGCGTCCGCGGATGACCAGATGCTGGCGGAAGATGCCCTCGAAGGCGAACCCGTAGCGCAGGGCGGCATGCCGTGACTTGGCGTTGAGCGAGTCACACTTCCATTCCAGACGGCGGTAGCCAAGGGTATCGATGGCATAGCAGGCGAGCAGGTAGACGGCCTCGGAGGCGCAGACCGTGCGTTGCAGAAAGGGCGAGAAGAGCACATGGCCCATCTCGACGCAGAAGTGGGCGGGCTCGATCCGCATCAGACAGATATATCCTACTTCCCTCCCGAATAGAGAGTTCGGCGTTCCATCCACGACGGCGCGCCGGTCAATCACCGCGAAGAAGTAGTTCGCCGAGGCGATCTTGGCGGCGAGGCTCGCGCGGAAGCTGTCGACGTCCTCGTATGGCCCGTCGGGGATGTACGTCCACAGCGGCCGGTGGGCGGCGTCGGTGCCCCCCAGGCAGGCAAAGAGGCCGTCGGCGTGCTCGAGCGTCAGCCGCTCGAGGCTCACCGTGCGGCCGGGCAGGGTTGAGGCCGAGGGGAGTTGGGCAGGGGGGAGATCGACGGGGAGACCGACGGGGAGACCGACGGTCATGGTGTTGGTTGAGGTTGAATAGTAATGGATTGGCTGGATATTACAATGCGCTGCTTCTACAAATCCATATAAAATAGTCGCTACTAGTGATTACTTCTATGATGAGTCATATGCCTGTTGTAACTAACTATAGTTACAGCATAAGTTGATATATAATGTGCCTGAGGCATCAGCCGTCACTATGATTAGTCATTTATATCGGTTCTGTTTACTAAATGATGCTCGTTCTCGTCTGAAGATACGACACCTTTTTACTAAATGATGCCTGTATAGCCCCGAGGGCATCCAGACGCGCGAGGCTCTATCACAGAGCTCGTACTCGATAAAAGATTCAAGGTCTGATGGTATTCTCTGGTGGCAGTTGGGACAGAGACTGGCGTTTTCGCTCTCCAGTCCACTGTTGACAAGCCCCTTGCGAGTAGAGTATCGTCTAAACCATATGCGAAGTGGTTCATACTTGACTATTGTTTGCTATTATTCTATTGTCTTCTGTAGGCTGAATTAGGTACGAGTACCCTGTCAGCTCGTAGGTTGAGTAGCTACTAGACAGCTATGGATAATTCAGGCAACGTTGCTTGGAGCCATGGATGGCTTTTCTGTGAGGTCGAGAATATATTGACATATACTTTTACTGGATTGAGGATTTACCTATAATACTTGGATATATTCTATGCAGCAGCATTCTGGCCTGTTTCTAGGAAGTAATCACTGATTATTAGTTGTAACTAGAGACGACTTGACACTATTGAGAGCACTACTTATTGACTATTGCTATTCTATACTTATCAACTACCTACCTAGGTATATATTTATGAAATTAGTGAAGTCATTCACCCTACTATCCACTTTCTACAACCATTAGACTAGAAATTGAGAGTCAACTGAATTTTAACAGTACAGACAGTGAGAATGGATAGTGTTAGTGGATATAGACTGAGAACTCTGCAGTCTAGACTCATGCCTCTCTCATTATTTACTCCTGGTAGAGGTGGACTCGGGCCCTGTTCAACCACGAGCCAAGGCTCAGTCTGCCCCGTTCCAGCCCTACCCTGACCATCATCAATAATTATTGTGTATAGAGTTCGATAGCGACGAGATAGAGGGGTGTTCTATCGAAACCCATCGTGATCCTCCTGATCTGCAGTGTACCTCGGCAAAGACCGGTAGTGGGAGGTATAGTTATCGATCGACAGGCATGAACTCGAACTCGTGCCTCTAGTTAATATTTAACTATGAGCAGTTAACTATAGTTAACTAGTAATATAGTTAACTAGTAAAGATCGTCAGTATTACTACCTTTGATTCGTTGTATTCAGTAAAAGTACCTCAACGGCCTGTGGATCGGCCTAGGCATGGCCGGTGAAGCTCGGAATTTGATTACCCTCCGACTCTCATTCCAGCGGCCGTGACAGTGGGCACTGGGCACTCACACATGGAGAAGTCTTGAAGAATTTTCCTGGGTGATCTGCATAGCGGAACGAATCTTCGTCATGGTCGTTTTCAGGACTGTTTCAAGGCTCTAACTCCAAGTCAGGGAGGTTGCTCCGTCCTCCTCGCAGCCCAGCGCATGGGTTCGATACAGTGGCCGACACTAATTTCTGACCAGAAAAACCTTATCGAGCAGGAGTGGGAATAGTATATTCCGGTGGGACAGGGAATCCGTGAGCAGTGGCGTTGTTTTGTGTGTGTCAAGACTCCAAAGAGTCGAGAGAAAAGGAGCTCGACCCATGGGCTTCTGAACTCAAAGGCTCGGATCGGAGCCACTTTTTTGCCCTTGTGTTTCACTTCCCCGGAGACCCTTACCGGATCCGGTCTAGCGGATCCCTCCTGCACGTGTCTCGAACGCCGGTCGCCGGTCGGAGCCTGAGGCGGCTTGTCCGACGCCAGCGGCTAACGCGAAAGGGAAACAAGTGCGTCCGACGCCCGGTGTCAGAGTGGCTGTGGTGGCACAGTAGGAGTCGCAAGCAGTACTCCGTAGCACATAAGCACATATAAATAAAAATAATAATAGAATAAAAGAATAATAACAGAAGAATTAATGTCTACTACGGAGTACATACGGAGTATTATAGTTGTAGTACTGGCTGTTTATTTCTATTGACGTATGTACCTAGTATAGCTGCCACCTGCGTCATGTCACCAGTTAGGGCTCCGGTGCCGATTCCGGGCAGCTCGTAACCAAGGTTATCCTGTCCGCTGCTCATCCACTGTTCATCCACAGGACTACTCCGGTACATATTTTCCATTAGATTTCCACTCTGAATCCCATAATACTCCCACTCTCCCCACTAGTCGACATTCCCTGCACTACTGAAGCATTATCAGCCAGACTCGAAATCTTATTTTCGAGCCCTTCCACCAGATCGCCAGAGCCCCCCCCTGTCCGTTGGCCCAATCACCGCCCGAGCACTGCCCATCGCGCCCTGCCCGGCCCCTGTCCGCCAATCACCGCCCGTCCTGCCTTGGCGCTCACGGCACGGCAGGCTGACTCAGCACAGAGGCCGCGCAAGCCTTTTTCTATTCCTGTCGGCCTGTTTTTTCCCCCTGTTCAGCCTGCAGTTCCATTCTCCGCAGTCTCCTATTGAGAGAGATTCTGACACCTGCTCGTCCTCGTCTTCTGTACAACTATCTTCTTCCAAGTGATCATCACTTTGATCTTTTCTCTTTTATATACCCTTGCATCGATTATCTCCCATCAAATACTAGACGGAAGAAGAACCTGCTCGCCCGTTTGTCTGACACGCTTGATCAACGCTTACGAACCGAACCAAACTTCCCCCCCCCCCCTCCTGCCCCCCACGGTCGCCAACGACTACGTCGCCATGGCTACTCTGGCAGAACATCCGATGCCCACGGTCACCTCGTCGACGACAGCCTCGCCGATGACTACCACCACGGGCTGCTATGATCCCGATCTCGACTCTTTCATCAACCTCGACCAACTCACCTACACCTCGGCGGAGTCGGCCAGACCCAAGGCGGCAATTTCAGGCCATGTTCCCGTTACCAGTGCAGATTTCAGTGCTGGACAGTCTCCGCTGGCCTTCCAGGCGCCCAGTCATCAGTACGACGAACACAAGCAGCAGACTGGACTGCCCCCGGGCGCTCTGGCCCATGCCATGGCCTTCACACACATCGGCTACGGAGCAGCCAGCCACGGTGTTGCCATGGGCGCTGGGGAGGTGTTTCCCGGCAGCCAGATGAAGCGGGAGGAGCCTCCCATGGACTTTGGCGCCCTGCCCGCTCGTAACCCCTCCGAAATGGACCTGGAGTCGGATCACGTTGCGGCTCCCGCCTCGTACTTTGCCCCCTCGGGTGCTCCCCCCGTCAACAAGAGCCAGTTCATCGATCCCCATGCCCTGGGTGGCCACGATATGGTGTCCGCCGGTCCATCGACGCAGGTCGGCCGCATGTACCCCGGTATGCACCAGCAGCAGGCTGCCATGGCCAAGGCCGCGCAGCAACAGCAGCAACAACAGCAGCAGCAGCAGCAACAGCAGAAGCATCATGAGATGCTGCAAAATCAACACCAACATCATCCGCACCAGTCGATGCCGCAGCGCCGGATGGACGAGCAGGCTCGTCATTCTATGCTGCCCCCCAACCGGCCGATGCGTCACCCCGACCCCGTTGTTGAAGAGCGCATCACCCGTCTGCTTCAGCAGATGAGACAGAACATCTTCGTCCCTCATGACGAGAACGGTTCTCCTTCCAACTCCCTGCCCCAGATGGCCAAGGCCAAAAAGGACGAACAGGATATGGATGAAGACGAGAGACTCCTCGCCAGCGAGGAGGGCAAGAAGCTCAGTAGCAAGGAGCGCCGTCAGCTGCGTAACAAGGTCTCGGCGCGTGCCTTTCGCTCCCGTCGCAAGGGTATGTTATCGCCTCTCTCTCTCTCTCTCTCTCTCTCTCTCTCTCTCTTCTGCAGATTGTAGCTAATTTTTTAGAATACATTGGCCAGCTTGAGAGCGAGGTCGCTTCCCGGACCAACGAATCTCATGATCTGCGCCTGCAGAACCGTGCCCTGTACGAGGAGAATGCCCGTCTCACAGATCTGGTCCGCATGCTGCTCTCGTCCCCTCAGTTCTCAACCTTTCTCGATGAGATGAGCGCGCCCGGTATGCCCAGCTCTCAGTCGCAGCAGCACCAGCAGGCCCGGCAGCCTTCGGCCGTTCCGCAGCATCACGCAATGCCCCCCGCCGCTGCCGCCGCCGCTGCCGCCGCCGCTGCCCACAAGGAGATGACCGCTGCCCGCAACCAGGAATACGCCCTGCCCTCCCAGAACCCCCAGGTCGGCATGGTGATGGTCCCCACTCCGCCCCACGGCATGGAGGTGTCCCCGATGGCCATGAACGCGACCCCCGGCTGGAATTCGGGTATCGACGTCAACTACTCCAATCCGTCCGTCTTTGCCGTGTTGGAGGTTCCCGAGGGCCCCGTCCTTGACGCCGAGATGCTCTCTGGCAAGTCCTTGGCCGGGTCTTTTGGATCGTACTTTTCCGAGTCCACCAAGGAGGAGCTGCCGTCTTTCGACTGCCCGCCCGTCTCTGAAAACGCCATCCCCGAGTCTGATGCCGGCGTGATCGATCCCGAGGTCGACATCGATGAATCCGACCCGGCTTTTGCTCTCTTCCTCGACTCACCCGCCTCCTCGTCTCCTTCTTCTTCCGCTTCTATCATCCCTACTACTACACCCGTCTCCTGCGAGTCCTTCTCGGGCATTTCTTCCGACAAGGATACCCCAATGTTCGAGCTGGTGGTGGAAGGCGAGTCAACCCAGGTGGATGCCTCTGCCCTGCGCCGATTCGCCTCTCTCTGCCACAGCATGGACGCAGCCTTCGACCGTGTCTCCAGGGTCACCGCCCACCTTTCATGATTCCCCCTCCACGCTTTTTTTTCTTCTTTATCATCAGCTGGGATCTGTGAACTGTAAATTGTGTTGCAATCTTTTCCTTTTTTTTTTTTTTTTTTCCTTATTCCTTTTCTCGGTTTCTTTTCTGAGACTTTGACTGGACCTTGCTCACACTCTCTGGCACACAAAACTTTCTTCTAGTTTCCTTTGTCCATGCCTTTTGCATTGTACATCTCCCTCTCGATATCTTCACCTTTCTTCTCCTCCCTCTCTCACACTGTTTTTTATCCTTTTCTTGTTGTAATTTTCGGTTGGAAACTTGTTATTTATCTGGCTTTAGGATAGGGGTTATGGATAGACGGGGCTGCTTTAGGTACTGGAAATACATTCAAATATTATTGATCTGTCGCAATTGTAGGAATGCTGTAGTAGCCATTACAATATAATAAGAAATAGCAAACTATCAAGTTATCACTAATTAATAGGCGTGGTACTCTACAGTTACCAGTAATTGTTGCCCGCCAGTTGCTGTGTCATCCAGACAGAAAACCAAAAAAAAAAAAGAAGAAATTGTTGCACTTCCCCCCATCTCAGGATAAACACCACCACAGCAACCACACCCCCTCCTTCGATCCCACCACTGCTTGACTGGATCAGTCAGCTATGGTACGGAGGATTGCGGCGTCATATCTTTGATCTTTGTTTGAGATCTTTCTTCCAGCCACGTTGGCTTCCCTGTACGTGTCCGGGAGGGTACGCATGAAGCCCTTCCGCTTCTTCAACCACTACCCCAAGGCAGGAATAGGAATAGGAATAGGAATAGGAATAGGAAGAGTCGGAATCACAGCTCGGTCAAGTTTGCCCACCGCCTACCGATTCGCAAGTGTCGTTGCTTCGAACCGATCCCGACGTGAGAGGAAGCCCAGAGCCAGTGCAGAGGCCGCGACAACCAAAGGGTCAACCAAGAGTTCCCAGCAAGACGACACCAATAGCGTGGTGACATTCCGGGCGCCACGGATTTTGCACGAAAGAGGCAGGCAGAATATCTTCTTACAGTACGATCCAGTCCGTCTCCGCCAGAGAGCACCGGAGGGCGATCCGTTCGAACCACCCGGCTACAAACCCCTGGATCTGCCCGTGGGCTCGAAACCAATGAAATCCTACTACCAGGTTCTCACGACGCCGACGGCCGACACGCCCGGCACGGCCCTTGTGCTCAGCTTCCCGGATAAGCGGTATGTGTTTGGCCAGATCGCAGAGGGCACCCAGCGGGCCATCACGGAGCGAGGCGTGCGGCTGGGCCATCTGTCGGAGCTGTTCCTGACGGGACGGACCGAATGGGCGAATGTCGGGGGCATGATTGGATTGATCCTCTCCCAGGCGGAAGCCATCTCTGTTGCCAACGCCTCGATCGAGGACGCAAACAGGCAGAGGGCTCTGCGGCAAGGCGAAAGGGAAGGTCAAGCCGCCGACAAGATAAAGCCGGATGGCCGGAAGACATTGACCATCCACGGGGCGAAGAACATGACTCATATGATGGCTACGGCGCGGCGGTTCGTGTTTCGAAAGGGCATCCCGGTCTCCTTCCGGGAGTACCTGTCCGACGCGGAACGCAGACTGGCCCCTTCAGACAAGACGGACCAGGACACGAGTCCTCCGCAGCCCACCTGGGCCGATAGCAACATCAAGGTGTGGGCGTTGCCGATCACCACCTCTGCTCCGGCGCAGCGGCGGTCCCCAGAGACTTCACCGCGGAAGAGGAGTCTGGATGAATTCCAGGAAACCGGTCTTGCCGTCAAGGACAAGGAGCCGTTGGAAGACTGGAAGAAGGACCAGCTGGTCACACAGGCCGTCGTGAACCACATGTTTGATTCCGACTGGAAGCTGGATTCGCTCTTCGAGATGCAGCTGCCCACCGTCAGGATGCCGGCCGCGATCTTCGTGCGTGACCCGGTCACAAAGGATTTCAAGCCCTACACCGGCCCCGTCCCCGGCGGCAACAGGCCCGTGCCGGACATCAAGGTGTTTGTGCGGCGGCCCTGGCCCGGCGCCGCCATCGAGAAGCTGCCACAGACTCGCCCGTCCAACGATGCCATCTCGTACATTGTCTGCAGCCATGATATCCGCGGCCGGTTCGACGCCCAAAAGGCACAGGCCCTGAAGGTCCCCAAGGGCCCGGCCTACTCACAACTCACTCGCGGCCTCAGCGTGGTCTCCGAGGACGGCCAGACGATCACCCCGGATATGGTCCTGGACCCCATGCGGCCGGGCAAGGGCATCGCCATTGTTGACCTGCCTTCCACAGACTACCTGGATGACTTTTTGGCCCGTCCCGAATGGGCTTCTCCATCCATCGTCTCCCACTTGGAGCTCTTTGTGTGGATCCTGGGCCCGGGAGTGGGCGAGCACCCCAAGCTGCGTGCCTTTGTCGAGAAGATGTCGCAATGCAAACACACCGTCTCCAGCACGGATTACTGCCCGAACTATCTCGCTCTGACGAGCGTGGCGGCCTCGTCCATCCGTCTGGCCCGGCTGCGACAGGAGAACTACTCGATCCCCGTCCATGACAATGAGTCCCTGCCGCAGCGGGGGACGCCGACGGCCGATTCCCAGGCCACCAAGGAAGCAATCCGCAGCTCCCCCTTCCAGCCCCTGCGTGCCGGCCTGACCATCGATATGGAGCCGACGTTCGGGTTCAAAGAGACCGAGGTCGCGCCGCTGTTGAACGCTGCCATGTCGATCGAGCAGATGCCCAACTCGGTCGACAGACGGATGCGCACCATCCAGCGGCGCATCCAGCGCGAATCCTTCACGGAAGAGCTCCGCCGGTTCAAGGCGCAGCTGCCCCGCGACGATGTCGAGGTCATCACCCTCGGTACGGGCTCGTCCGCGCCCTCCAAGTACCGCAACGTCTCGTCCACCCTCGTCCACGTCCCGGGAAGCGGCTACTACATGCTCGACTGCGGCGAGGGCACGCTCGGCCAGATGAAACGCATGTTCGCCCCGGAAGAGCTGAAGGAAGTGCTGCGCAACCTGCGCCTGCTGTGGATCAGCCATCTGCACGCGGACCATCACCTCGGCACGACAAGTCTGATCAAGGAGTGGTACCGGGCCAACTACGGCGACAAGATCGAGCCCCCCCCCGCGTCGTTTACAGACGGGAGCGAGCCAGAGGCAATGGACAAGATCCTCAAGGAGAAGCGGCTGGCTATCGTGTCGGAGGAGATGATGATCAGCTGGCTGGAGGAGTACTCGAGCGTGGAGAACTTTGGCTTTCACAAACTGCTGCCGCTGGTTGCCCACTCGCCTCCCCCGACCGCACGGGGAGCGGAAGACAACCGCACGAGCTTCTCCTATCGGTACTATCGCCCGGGTGTCTCATCGGAGTTCGTCCCATACAAGCGACTCCGGTTCGATGACTCCCTTTCGGCACTGACCCCCTTGCTCCAGGCCGCGACAGGGTTGTCCGATCTGCTGACGACCCGGGTGAACCACTGCCGCGGCGCGATGGCCGTCTCGCTTGTCTTCCCATGCGGCTTCAAGCTGTCCTATTCGGGCGACTGCCGCCCGTCACCCAGCTTCGCCGAGATTGGCAAGGGATCTACCCTGTTGATCCACGAGGCCACCTTCCAGGACGACATGCAGGGGTCGGCCATGGCCAAGAAACACTCCACCACCGCCGAGGCTCTCGAGATCGGTCGCCTCATGCAGGCCCAGACCATCCTTCTCACCCACTTCTCCCAGCGGTACCAGAAGGTTGCCCTCGTCGAGCCCAGTCAGGGCAGCAGCAGCAGCAGCAGCAGCGCCGCCGCCGCCGCCCTCGATGCCCGCGTCGCCCACGCGGCCGCAACCCACACGCCCGATATCCCCTTTGAAGCCGACGATGCTCTCATCGACGAAGAGGACGATCTCCTTCGACCCACTGTTGTTGCGGACCGCACGCTTTCTTCTTCTTCTTCTTCTTCTTCTTCTTCTTCTTCTCAAGTCAAAGTGCCCGTCACCGTCGCGTTCGACTATATGCGTCTGCGCGTTGGTGACATCCCCGTCGCCCAGCAGTTCTCCCCGGCCATCGAGAAGCTCTTTATGGTTCTCGAGTTGGCTGCGGAAGAGAAGGCCCTCGAGGCGCGCTTCAAGATGGAGGAGATCAAGGCCCAGAAACAGAAGAATTTCAAAGCCAGGGGTAGCAAGGGTAGACCTGCTCTCGAGACGCAGAGCAAGCCTAGGTCTCCTAGGAAGTCGGCTTGGAGTGCGAGTGAGAGTGAGCCTGGATGGAACACGGATAGTGAGTGATTCATATATGTACAAATAGATTTGTAATTTATCTTTATTCTACAGTATGTAGTATACCTATATATGGCTAGTACTACATAGGTTATATATTATCTATCCACTCACAAGACGGTCTGGAGTGGCAGTCTCCGAAGCGGGTTCAGAAACGATAGGATCCTGTTTAGTCTCTGCCGCGCGCGTCTTCTTAGGCTGCAGAGCGCCGTTCTCGAGGGCCTCCTCCGGCAAGGGCCGAATATAAGGCTGACAGATGAAGAACGGACGGCTGTAGAGGGCTATCGTGGCTTTCGAGCCTGTAAGCGACTCAGCCTGCTGGCCGGCGAATTGCTCGTCAAAGCTGGCCGGGTCGGCCTCGTAGGCCTGCAGTCCCTCGCGGACAGCCTGTTCGACGAGGGCGAGGACGTGCTCGAAGGCCAGCATGTCGCCTGGTCGCGAGCGCGCTAGGGCATCCCGCACGTTGGTGTATTGGCCTATCATCGGACGGAGGAGCTGGAACAGGTGGCCTTGCATCACGGCTTGGCTGGGCGAGGCGGGGCGTTTGTATCTCTCCCGTCTCTGTTTCTTCTTGGGCGGGCCTTCCTCTTCTTCTCCTTCTTCTCCTTCTACCACTGTCTGTTGGTCTGCAGTGTGTGCTGTTTTTGACTCTTCCTCGCCTGGGAGGTATAGGGGTTTCCGGTCCGGTACGGGAACTTCAAGCACGTACTTGTATATGATGTCGAGGTACCGCCGGAACACGGCGTCGATGCGGTAGCCGCCCTTTCCGTTCCGGCCGCGCCAATATTCTCTTCCTTCGTGACCGACAGCGGGTGGCTCGCTGAAGATCGACGGGTCGGACAGGTTCCCTTCGGCGCTCATCACGCCGTCCGCGCCCGTGGCCGCGAGGCAGCGCTCGAGATCCTCGTGGTTCAGGTTGTTGCCGTTGGCGAAGATCACCGTTTCCGGCGGCAGGTTGTCGCGCAGGTAGCGGATGTAGCTCCAGTCGGCAAGTCCCGTGTTGTGGCCCTTTTGCTCTCGCCGGCGGCCGTGCACCGTAAGGAAGCTTGCGCCCGCGGAGAGGATCATCTGCGCGTACTCCAGCGTCTTCTCCTTGGTTTCCTGGATGCGGAACTTCGCCGTCACGGGGACTGGAAGCTCCGTGTGCAGCCGGTTGATCAGTCGATGGATCAACGGCCAGTCCTCCTGCAGGAACGCGCCATAGTGGCCCTTCCGGGCGATACCCTGCGGACAGCCCAGATTCAGATCCACGGCATCGCAGTATGGCGCCACGTGCTTCGCGGCCTCTAGCAGATCGTCAGGGTCGTTGGCACAGAATTGCACAATCAGCGGCCGGTCAAAGGTCGGGTTGCCGTCGAGAAAGAGACTGGAGTCCTTCTTCTCTTTCTTATCCAGCACGTCTCGAGTCGGTTGGAAGTGCTGGGCGCGAACACCCGCTTGCTCGCGGAAAAGACGTGCATGGTACATGGGAGAATAGGCAAGCACCGGTACGGGATCGTTGGGGGGCATGAAGGATCGAGTGAGCATACGCCATGCCTACAGACAGGTCAGCTAGGTACTGGTAGGGTACAGCCAGGTAGCAATTTTCCGTTGCGAGAGAGAAAACTTACAAATTCCGAACGATCAACCATCGGAGCCACAATGTACTTTGGACGCCCTATACTATCGTATAGCTCTCTCCCTGTGAGCTTCTTCCGGACCTCTTGAGCAACGCTTCCTGGCGCCTCCTGCTGCTCAGCAGCGGGAGGGGACTGGGGGTCGGAAACGGCCATTTTCACCGGCGAATGGCCTCGTAATCGTGACAAAATTCGCCCCGTGAGCGGGGTCAGCAGCCGAGAGAGCCCTATTTTGTTGATTTTCAAAAGACAAGCGCGTAGTCGCGAGTCGGACGTTGAGTCTGTCTGGACAGGCGAGGGGAACTTTTGGAAGAGAGAAAATGACTTTATCGCGGAGAGGAACAAAGATTGTCCGTTTATCTTATCTCACAGCAAACACCGTCGATTATCTCGACTCTGTCAACAAAGCCGTGGAAAGAAAGCACAGAGGGGATTATGGCTACGTGGATGCGCTGAAGGAGTGTGCGAATGGAAATAGGGTTCTATATCCTTGATCTTTGCTGTCTCTCCTCATAGCAGTCGACTGGCACGCGTCTTTGAGGGTAAGAATGGAGTCTCCAGGAGGAGGAGGAGGAGGAGGAGGAGGAGGAGGTAAGATCTTTAGTTTGTAGTTTGAATAAAAGGGACTGGCTTCTAATATGTTTCAGGTGTCTCATTACTGGCTTTGGCTGAGGATGGAGAATGCGTTGTTCAGTTGAGCGGGAAAGATCTCATCTATCATTCGGACGTGGCGTCGCCAGAATTACGAGGCGTCCAATTTGTCCGGGGCAAAGAAAATTTACAAGGTTCAATGAAGCATCTGAAGTTCTCGCGGTACTGTCAGGGGAACGTCTCAGACCGGCGGGTTCTTTGCTCCAGTGAAAGCCGCATTTCTGTATGGCAGCTGAATCCGCTGCAATTATACGCCGACATCGAGGGCATCGAATCCGGGACATTGAACATCGACTTTGGCAGCGATGAGAACGAGGTCATTGTCTTTCACCCATGGAATACTAAGCTGGCCATCCATTCTCTTGACTCCGGTCGCAGTCAGGTCATCAAGTCTCCGAAATTCTCTCACCCCAACGGGTTTGGGTATCGCTCGAAAACGAGACAGTTGGCAATCCTGCTGAAACCAGAAGCCAGCGACCTGTTGACCATCCACGAATTCCAGTCCTACGAGCTCATCAACCGAGCAGTGCTGCCTACGGTAGACGCTCAAGGTCTCAAATGGAGCCCAGATGGAACATGGATTGCTGTCTGGGAAACGGCAAGCGCAGGAACCAAGGTTGTTATCTATACTGCCGATGGGCAGCTATATCGAACATATACTGGACCCCCTGGGGAAGATAGCACGTTCGACCTTGGCGTGAAAGCTATTGAGTGGGCGCCCGCAGATAGTCGAACTGGTAGCTCAGAGCTTCTGGCCGTGGCGAAAGTGGACGGCAATATTGATATTCTTACAAGCGGAACGGTATGTAAACGTGTGTTTCCACCAGACCTATGTAAACATGTCCGTTGACGTCTTAGTTCTCCTGTTCGGTTTCACTATCGCACGTCTACCGACTAGACCAGAACTTCCCCGCCATCTGGCGCGAAAATGCCACGGCAGCAGACGGTACCCTGAATTACATCGAGTCATCTGGATCTGCAGCATTCAGCGCTATAGGAGAGCCAACGGCTCCGCCACGCGGTGTATCCACACTCACCTTCAGTCCCGACGGTCGACTTCTCGCAAGTGTCGACCAACAGCGACCGAATATCGTCTGGCTATGGTCATTTGAGATAGCCCCGAGACTGGTCACAGCTTTTGTCCACGACAGCCCCGTCAGGCAGGCTGCATGGCATCCTTGGAAACCAGAGCTTCTCATAACTACTGCAAACAGTGCACTCCCTGTCGTCCGTCATTGGATTCCCGGCAGTGACCCGGCCATTATACATGTCCCGGTGAAACGGAATGACACTGGCAGGTATGATGTACGATGGCTGGCTTCGCATGAACACAAACAAAGCACATTCTGGGTTGGGTCTTCTGATGAGCTCGTACTTGGACATCTATCCACCGAGGGAGATATTCGCTCTTTTCATTCGATCTACACGGTGATGGGCAAATCACAGGCGGGAAGCTCTATTGCGAGCGTGAACAGGTAAACTCGGTCTACAATCTTTGGATCACGTTATGTGTTGTCCACAGATGGCCTCTTCACAGGATTCCTCGGTTGCGAGCCTTAGGGGAAAAGCCATGCTTGATATTAAGCATCGTCTTCCATGCTATTACCGGCGGGGAGCTTCGTCAGACGGCGCAATAAGTTGAAGGCAAAGGTCATTTCCACCCCCTTTCCACGGAGCGGTTGCACATCCCTATTTCCTTACAAAGGCATCTCCGACTTGCTACTAGCAGGGGAATCGATCTGCATTGTGTTTCAGGTCAATGGGTGCCAAGTACGTACAGCGGTAGTATTGGCAACGAGGTTTTGACATCGTTTTTGGTTCAAATTCTCGGCTAGTGAAATGGGATGACATCTCAACACAGTGAACATGTTTCCGCCATGGAACATATTGATCCAGCTACAACCAGGCTATCCTTGATCTCCCATCCTGATTGACGCTTCACCTGTTTCTCTCCTCTCTCTAGCCCTTTGGGATGAGGTAGCAATTCTCGGTGATGGGCGAAGAAGCTTGCTGTTCCAGGTTACTCACCTGACAACCATCAACTTCTCGGAGCTCCCTGTCTAATCCTATCGCTGCTTGGTGCTCTCCGGGACATTGCCTCCAGGCCCAGCCTTTGTCATCCCATCACAGCGTCATCTCCATCAAAGCATGCAACCCCCCGTCTAGGCCCAGGTTCTAGGGTCAGAACGATCTTCTCGGTAACCTGCCAGTGGGCTTTGCGATGACCAGGACGTTGGTTATAGCAGCGTTGGAGCTGATATCGCTTTTCATTTTCTTTCATGCTGTTATTTTCATGGCTGATGGATGGCTCTTCGTCGGTAAATCGACGGCTATGATGGCTTTACTATTCTTCTTACGGTGATAGATAATATTATCATGAGAGGAGGGGAGAGTCCTTTAGCAGAGGCCCTTTAATCAAGTAATGACGAATCTCTGGTATAATAAGAATTGGAAAGCCGACTCCGGTTCTAGGCAGATCAAGCGACGTCTTATATATGAGACTGGAGTGTCAACGCCAACACACACAGCTCTTCCTCGGCTAACAGTCCATCTCCTTACGAAGATAATATACAGAATGCCACCCAATAAAACAGATGAATCATAGTACTAGGCTGTTGACTAGAAGTCTTTGAGGCTACTGAACGCAGATTGTAACTACTAACTAATTTATAAAGTTTTAGACGTAACTGACAACTCTCTTTAAGCTCTATTTAGTACTGACAAAATAATAAGCAGCAGATATAATAGAAATAGAGGTCCAATAGTAACAGAAGTTGCTATTGATTCTTAAATAGTATATATCATTATTCATGTGACCATAATCATGTGACTATTGATCATGTGACCGATTGACCGAAAGAAGTAACTAACCGAGCCTGAAGCAGCAGCTGGGGCTTAGGGCTCGGGAAGAGCAGCGCTTAGTCATCATCCCCCACTCAATTTCGCACTTGGACTTCCCAAACTTCTCGTTGCTCTCTCACCTCGAACATCCACCCGACAGACAAAATGGTGAGTACTAATTATGGCCGGACTCTGCCCATAAAAAGATATGATGCTAAACTTTCCCTCACAATAGGCGCCCGCAGCATCGACCGGTGGCAAGAAGCAGAAGAAGAAGTGGTCCAAGGGCAAGGGTACGCAATTCACCATCCCCATCCCATATCCTCATACTCGCTAGCGACCGGGCAACAACATCCTCGTTCCCCATCCTGGAGCATCGAAAGATATCGGGGGAGTGGAAGGGGGAAAGTTGTTTGCGCCTGGAAGATATAAACGAACAATGGATGATGAAAAGCCGTGTAATGAAGAAGCTGACGTGATTGTTTTTCACCCGATATAGTCAAGGACAAGGCCAACCACGCCGTCGTCCTGGACAAGACCACCTCCGAGAAGCTCTACAAGGATGTCCAGTCCTACCGCCTCATCACCGTCGCCACCCTTGTCGACCGCTTGAAGATCAACGGCAGCCTGGCCCGCCAGGCCCTGGACGACCTTGAGGAGAAGGGTCAGATCAAGAAGGTCGTCGGTCACTCCAAGATGAACATCTACAGTATGTCTTTCTATCCCACATGGGTCCCTTTGGGGAGTTCAGCTGCTAATTCTTTACCAGCCCGTGCCGTTACCGCCGAGTAAATCGTTTACTCTGATGCATTTTCTCGCGGTTTTTTTCCTTTAGCTACGAACGATATCTTTGAAAATTCGGGAAGTCTGGCTGGGCACCGGTGTATAGTGGCTCAATGGGCTTGAAGTCGCGTTACTGATGTAGACGAGACTCAAATCAACAAAAGTGACCAAAAAAAAAAAGAAGATTGTCTTCCGTATGGGGTAGAGTTTCGTCTCGTTGAATTAGGAGTGGTAAATGCCTGATGTAGTCCCAACAGTAAATGTTGCCCAACCCGAAACTATGAATATACATGATTCAAAAAGATGCCAAAAACGCCCGTATCCGATCAAGGGATCAAGGGATCAATTCCCAGCTTTCCCAAGCTTGCCCGTCTTGGACTCCCCCTCCTCTCCTCTGCGCGGGCGATTCTGCAACGCGGCAGCACAGAGCGGCCTCTTCTCCGGCACGGGCTTCCCATCGACCGCATCGGGGTCGCCGACCACCTTCCCGGCCTCGAAGTACTTCTTGTGGTTCCGGAAGAAGTTCTCCCAGTGCTGGACCTGCCCGCGCACCTGGGCCTTGGCCTGGCGACGTTCCTGTTCTCGCCTGATCTTCCGCTGCCCGCTCGTCAGCAGCTTCTCGGCCTCGTCGTCTTCATTGTCGATCGGGATGAACATCTCCTCCACGCCCGTCAGGTCGGATGTCAGGTCTTCCCGGAAACAACCCGTCACGAAGGCGCGGGTCGCATCCCGCCCCGTGAAGAAATTGTACGATCCACCAGGCCCGTAAATCATCCGGTTCGCAGAAACATCGAAGATGGTCCCATTGATGGCTAGGAGGAGGGGAAGCGACGGATCGGTCCCGTTGTATAGAGCGAGTTGGTCAGGTGTGAGGTTCAATGGTCCTTCCTATAAAAGATGAAATTAGAAGAAGAAGAAGAAGAAGAAGAAGAAATCTTTATAATCATGACATAGCATAAGATGAAGCGCTGCGCTTACCCAATATCTCATCACAACAGGCCACCGCGTAAACCAAGGCCGGTATCCCCATATCACCGACTCGGACGAAGTCATATAATACGATAGTCCGCATGAAGCTAGGACTAGCGTGACAATCACACGGATTATGTCCGCAAGGCTGATCCAGTTGCCTTCATCGGAGGAGGAGGAGCGGCGTGGAGGCGCGCTCGTGTCTGGCGAGGACGGTTTAGGGACTTGTCGTTGGCGGAGCTCTGACATTTTTATTCTGCAATATCCTGCATCATAACCAGATCAGTGGAACATAGAGAATAGGGGTGGGTTGGACGGAGGAGATGGTGTGGTTTTGTAGATGTAGCAGACCTGGTGACTTTCGATGCTCTTCTCCGCCTGGAATCTGCCCACTGCACTCGAATCTGCAATCAAGTGCTCTAAAATTTCATGTCTAGGTAGTAGGTACGAGTCTCTAAGGGTAAATCAGATTTACAAGGGAGGAAAAAGTTTCGAAAAAACGCGTCATAATTATTGCAAGCTATCTGACTGGTCTACGTCTCAAGTAGTTTGTCATCTATCCACAAAATCCAGTATATTCCATGCTATCGAGAATAAGAGATCACTAGAAACTTGTTGAAGTCAGCAATAGTTTTATTAACGACCGATGACAATGACAATTAAAGAGCAAAAAATGCCAATCAGACATCCAAGGAAGTATTGCGCACAGAGCACGTCTTTGATGGGTTCAAGCGACGGCTAGCGTGGAAACTGCGAATGTAGGAAAAAATTTTCATCATAAAAAGGCGAGGGGAGGGCAGTTGAGGGCGTTCAACAGGACGCCAGAAAAAACAGGAAACGTTATAAGTGGAACTTACCAAATGCTGTTAGTAGACAATTTGAATAGAATGAAAGCTGAACAGGCAGTAAGACACTGCAACAACGCTCAAGCCAAGAGACCAGACTGCTCATTAGAGTCAGGTAACTCAACCGCGTGGTCTTGAGAATTGAAAGATGAGGGAGCACAGAAGGGAAAAAGAAGCCTTTTATACCGTGGAATATTCTGCAGGTGGTCCAAGCTCTGCCAGTGGGGCCTCACCGAAATAGACGAAGGATGCCTGAGGCCACCAGTTTGAAACTCATTGATTGATGCGACGTCTGCTTGAAAATGAGATTGCTGGTAGATAATGTAAAAATACAGGGGTATGGATGCAGAAGCATGCTCTCTAGTTGACAGGATCATTCAGCGCCAATGCGCCGGGCAGGATACCCATGCAAAGGACAGATGGAAAATTCAGCAGCGGGCCAAAAATTATTCATGTGCTAGAGTCCTTTTCTTCCTCCTCCCAACTGCGCGCGAAAACTTCGTTGAGGGCGTCCTGGAATAAGCGGCAGTTCATATCAATAAGACCCTTCTTTTCTTTTGCCTCCGGGTTAGGGATTACAGAAACGAGACAAAGATATCTAAAGGAGGAGGGAAGTCAGCACCGGCAGCTTTTGAAAGATTGCAGTGAAAGGCATACTTGTTCATCTCCATCAAATGGATCATGGTCTCGTCCTGCAGAATGACGTGGCTTTCAGCCTCTTGCATCTGGTCGCCTTTGGGTTTTCGGTCCGGATGATCCCACGAATACAGCTCCGAGATGTCGACGATCACGTCGATGTAGTCAGAACACATTTCATAGCAGGCCATATCAACCGGGCGGGTGTCGGACGCAATATAGATTTTGCTCAACACGTCAAAGAGATATGTTTTTTCAAACCCGCAATTGTTCGCAAGGGTGTTGATCAGGTTCTCCAGCGTCGACAGATTGGGGATGAGCTTCTGTATGACTTTGCTGAAAGCTTCGAACACGGAGTAGTCGTAGATGGAAGTCAGGTAGTAATGTACTGGCGCATTCTCATACCCTGCGTCGCTAAGTTCATCTGATATCCGTTGCACAATATCTTGGAATGTGTCGGTGCGATACTCTTCAGAAAGCCCGTCAACCTTGTGAATGAAGACCTCGATATTGATGTTCGGGTAGTATTGCTGAACCGTCAAGATTGTACGGTTGAGTCGCGCAACCGAGTCCAAATAGTCATCCTGCGCATCAATAACCCAAACTAAAGCACCCAGGCTACCAAAAATGTCTTCAAGATCAAAAGATGGCTCAAGATATTCCAGCTGGCCGGGGAAGTCCCAGACCTGAAAGTCCATAAACGAGCTAGGCCTCTGTTAGCGTGCCCAGTGCATCCGCATATGAACACTCACTGGACTGAGTCCTTTTGAATACGAGTTGTAGATTCAAGAAACAAGGTCTCATTCGGAGGCATCTTATGAAAGACCACGCTTGCGATAGACGACTTGCCACTTCTATATAGCAATTAGTAATAGGTATATTTTCACCATTCATCACTCATCCACTCAGGTGGGATTTCCTACCTGCGCAGACCCATCAAAAGCAGACGGGGTTTGCCATCATGAGGACTGCCACCGGAGGCCTGTCCCAGCTTCCCCTGTACCGGTTGTATCAACGTGTGGCTTGTACCCTGCACAAAGTTTTCAAGGCTTAGCTGAGCACCTGTCTTATACATTGGGGGGATCCCATGCAACAAAGAACTATCGGTATAAACATGACGATCGGGGCCTAGGGGGATGATTCTCGACCGTGTGCGAGTCAACGGTGTGGGCATTCTAGATCAAGAATGTAGGTATTCGAAAGGAGACAACAAAACAGTGATAGCATGTATGGAACACCACACGTATTCAAACACCTTATGGTGCTGCCACGGTGCCGCCAAGGTGTGTGTATGACGTCTTGGGTCCGATGCGGCCTCCCTTGACAGAAAGGGAGAGCGCAACGGCAATTCAAACAGGGACGCCTGCCCACATGAAGTTGCACACAAATAATATTGCGGTTGCAATCCCAAATGCAAGGAAATGACAGCTTCCCTGGGTCCGCGATGAGCCTTGCATCGTTCACTGCGGGAAAGCACGATGGAGTAGTTGCCAACGGAAGAGCACACGACATGGACAACGGCCAGGGTGATTGATAAGGTAGAAAAGAGAAGGCCACCAAGCAAAGCTAAACGACAGAGACCCGAGACAAGACAAGGACGTCGGCAGCGTTGGGACTCGGCCGTTGGGTATCAGGCAAGAACCCGTGCGAGTGTGGGACGGACGTTCATAATACACGATATCCCCGATCGTGCTTTCTCACAGGCCACACAGAGCATCCCCTCCGATAAACAGGACAGGGGAGAAAACAAGGAATATATCTGAAAAAGTGGCTACTCACCTCCATTTTTTTTTTCACACAGGCCCCTCCCGATGACCGCAGCACCAGCCCGTCCGACAACCGCCAAGGGACTGTCCTTCAGCACAGGACTAGTCAGACCACCTTCTCAATCACAAAGCGTCAACAAAATATTTGCCTTGACCGCGTGATATCAGCGATTGCCGCGCTGTGCCAGACAGGACGGGTTAACTCGGACAGATTTCGCGAATCCCGCTCTCCGAGACTCTCTTGAGTGGATGTGAAGCAAGAGTGTGTGTAGAAGAAGAAATCGAGTGAGAGAACCGAGCGCGACTCCTGCAGGAGCTCTCCGGTTGTCTTGTTACGCAAATGAGCCGAGCAGATGGCAGCGCGATCAGGGTGACTAGAAGGTGTGGATACTTGCTGATTTTAAGTGCTGTGGTATCGGAGCGCTGCAGTAGGTTGGATTATAGACAGCTATTTGCATCATACCAGTACATGGGAATCCAATGCACCGGGAATATTCATCCAATGGTATGCAAACAGTTGAGATCTTCAAGAACACGCGTTAGATGAAGCTGGGGCGGGGGCATCAACAGGACTTGGGGAGGGCAATCAACGCGAAAGAAAGGTATCTGCGGGGTAACCTCTCTGGCCGATAACCAGGTTCCTGCGATTACAGAGAGTGGAATTTTCAGGGCGCTGGACTAACCGTGTTCAAGCGACGAGGATTCCCAGGACACCACTATCCTGAAGCCTGGCAGGGGCGCCTATTCGGAGCGAGACAGTTGGAGTGGACGTTTGACTGCAGGGGGGAATTCCACGGGGGCGGATAGGCCGGGGGCGGTCGGAGACTTGATATCAACGCCAGAAGAGAGAGCATGGATAGAACTGGCTGTTAAACAACCCATTGGGAGATTCTGCATATTATTTCAAGACTCTACTTTGTACACTCTATCTTCACTCGGTTATCCCCTTATTAATGAAGCGATAACTTGCGACAGAATCGGACTGGCGATGTCTTTCCTGACTCTCAGACGTTCAAGACACTTCCTCTCGTCCTCCGGAATCATTACAGTGTCTCTGTCCCCTGCCTTTGTTCATTCAGTGCTCTATAGTATCCGTTCGATTCTGCATTGTTTGAGACTCAGGAATGGAGGAGACCTTTTTCTGTGGGAGCTCTTCGACCAAACCGTTGTGTCGCGACTGGGGATCCATTGATGCTAATCGACAACTCCGCTCTACTGACGATAAAATAAATTCTCTAACGGGTCTTAAGCAATGTATAGTAGTCCATTGTATCTTAGACCAGACAAATAAGAGAGCTCATTGCGTTTGTATTAGTTACAGCGAGCGATTTCACTATGGTTGACTCACCGCCTGCTCGCGTCATCGCCAAACTGCCCCAACTTACTGGCATCTCCGACTCTCCGTCGCAGAGCTTCCAGCCGATCTGCGAGCAGCTGCCAATCTCTCATCCCCGAATACCCTATTGGATGCATCTAGTGTAACCTGCAATAATGACGACTCTCGTACCTCGAGACCCTTACTCTCCGGAAGAGCTCGAGAAGCTCTACCCCAAGCACCTGAAGCTACAGCTGGTTCAAGTGGTAGGTTCCTAGGGTACAATGGCACAGGTTTGGGAGCTCAGGCTGATTCAATTGCACAGTTTCTTCGTCACGGTATGCTTTTTCAACCGACAATTATGATCTTAAGGGATTGACCGGCAATTTCCAGGCGAACGGACACCGGTCTCTTCGAGGTTCCAGAATGTATGCGCACCTTGACTTTCAGTTGCATCCGGCCTAGGTTGAGCTAATATCATGAAGGCAGGCCTCTCACCCTGTAATTATCCACTTTCCTCACCCGCCCAATGACTCCGTATCCTTTGGCTGATTCGTTCACACAAGATTGGCCGTATTGCAATGTCGCCCGCCAGATGATTCAGATGGCATCGAGCAAGCAGGATCTCTCGGAGTGGAACGGCTTCCAGTGGCGACGGAAAATGGAAGCGTTTGGTAACAATGATGAAGCAGTGGTTGCTACGGGACCAGGGGGGCAAATGGAGGGCATGTGGTAAGGCTTGGATACATCTTAACGGTCAGGCGGGTGTGTTTGCTGATCGCCAACAGTTCGCATGGTGAATTGACCGACAAGGGCCGTGAGACCACATTTGCCCTGGGTCAGCGGCTGCGACACCTTTATATCGACCAGCTTGGATTCATGCCCGACATCAAATCCGATACTGAAGACATGTATCTCCGTGCCACCCCTATTCCCCGTGCCTTGGAGTCTTTACAGCAGGCCTTCTGGGGTTTGTACCCTGCCAGTAATCGCACTGCCGACTTCCCACCACCCGTCATTGTCGGGCGTTCCTTTTCTGAAGAGACTTTGTTTCCGAATGAGGGCAATTGCCGCCGTTTTAGACAGTTGGCGAGGCTGTTCGCCGATCGTGCAGCTGTTCGATGTAGGTTGTCTGGTGATTTTATGTTCTCGTCAACCATGAGATTCTAATACTTTTTTTTTTCATAATAGGGAATAAAACTGAAGAGATGGACTATCTGAACAGTCTGTGGTCCAAGTGGATGCCAGAAAATTCGCCAAAGGTCGCCGTCGACTCCCACCCCCGTCTCTCTGGCATCATGGATACCATCAACGCAACCGATGCCCACGGATCTGGCACCCGTCTTCCATCCGAGTTCTATGACAAGAAGGGCCGGGAATTTATGGACAAGATCGCTGTTGAGGAGTGGTTTGCGGGTTACCAGGAGAGCAATGAATACCGCAAACTCGGTATCGGCGCGCTTCTAGGCGATGTGGTCGACCGGATGGTCAGCACCGCCGTTGATGGTGGCTGGCGAAGCGATACCACTGCCTCCGGGAACCCTGCTGCCGGAAAGGCTATAAAGATGGCTCTGAGCGGGTGCCACGATACCACCCTGGCTGCTATTTTGGCAAGTTTGGGTGCGTACCAGAACGAGAAGTGGCCTCCGTTCACCTCTTCTGTTGCAATCGAGCTTTTTTCGAACGCTTCTCGCAGGTACGGTGGTGAGAACGCTGGAAGCATGCTTGAGGAGTTCTCGAACCCGGTTCCCACGGAACCGGGCAAAAAGTCGGGCCTCTTCTCTTTCTTAACAGGTGGCTCGAAGTCATCTGCTGCAAAAGCTCCTACGATTTCCGAGACAGCTCGGGTGCCTCTCGGCGACTTCCCTCCGTCATCTAGAAAACTCCTGCAGCAACATTACGTTCGGATCCGTTTCAACGACCGTCCTGTCCGTATTCCAGGCTGTGCTGCAAAACCAGAGAATCATCTCCATGGAGATGACACTTTCTGCACTCTCGATGCCTTCAAGGAGATTGTCGATAAGTTCACGCCCAAAGACTGGAGTGAGGACTGCATCCAGAACCTCGGTGAAGGGCTATTCGGCAAGGGCGATGCGGAGAAATCTCCATCTGGGTTTTAAATCCATGGGAAGCGTACATAGAAGTGACCTTAGACGTGTTGATCAATCAGGTAGACATAATTTGAGCCATTGTACCGCACTGATTAGGGTCCAGTCATCCACTATCTTTAGAAGCGAGGCCAAGATCGTATTCTACTTAATAGGGCCAGGCTGGCAAGCTGGTGTTAGTGAGACTCTACATCAATGCCCTTCCTAGCATTGCTACTTTGATTTGATTTCATGACATAGCAGCCTATGGTCACACAAGTTACTAGGTACATACTTTGTGACATGAAGGAGCGAACATGAGACACACGACAGCATCAGGTTGACCCATGTTACTTCATTGGATTTCTTGAAGTCGGGTGGAAAGCATGCTCCTTCTTGTTCTGTCTGCCTGATTTGGTTTTTCGAATCAGGAAAGTGGGCTCTTCGACAACAGACCACCTACAACTGCGCCCCCTGAGCAGCCTCTCAAAGGATTTCATCCCCTTCAGATACACTCCCCGGGAGTCACTTGTTCAAAATGGAGTCGTCTTGTTTGAGAAGACTCCACACTCTCTCGGATTCATCTACGGGCGTCGCGGCCGATGCACTAAAGCTCTATTCGCCCACAACCCATCAAGCGTCGCTCAGAACCACGGCGAAGAAGAATAAGAAGACAGAGAAATTGGCGGCTCGCCCGTCCATGCTTTTGGAAGGGAGGGATGACGAGGTCGTACCTGCAACGTTGGCCATCCCTGCCCCTGTCAGTATCCAGCAGGCAGGCCCTATTTCCCCAAAGGTCGCCGAAGCAGAAGATTCTCTCTGCTTGAAGACGCAGTATTTTGAGGATGTCTTCACCGCACGGGGGCCACATGATGCTATAAAAGACAAGCTGTACCAAGAATCGCTTGTCGTTGTTGAAATCAAAACCAATGCGAAGGTACATATCACTGCTGTTAAGACGACTAAAGGATAATCCTTGCCATGCTAACCGAAATTTGTAGGTCAAGGAAGACGAGCCCCAACTGCTCTCGGCCATTTTGGTCCGTTTGGCGGAGATCTTTCAAAGGCCAGAATCGTCGATGCTCGTCACTATTCAGCAGAATGCGTGTCTTGCCTATGGAAATTCTCCTCTTGCAGCATACCTGGTGAAAGTGTACTCTCTACCATGCTCAATTGCCCCCGTCATGAACCTACGCCACACTGTCTTGATACAGTCAGTTCTGGAAGAGCTTTTGCGTATTGAGCCTGACCGGGGAGCTATCATATACGTCTCCATTCCGGAAGAGAACCTGGCCACGAAGGGGGAGACGGCAAGGACAGCAATAACATCACTTGATCAAGGCTCAGAGGAAGAGCCAGGCGTCCTCCGAAGCATTTCACGGTCACTGAGCAGAAGGCTGCGAACTACCAGTACCCGCAGTTCGCGACATTCGTTTGCAACGACAACATCTCGACCCTTATTGGCAGAGGGCAGAGAACCTACGGAGACGGAAAATAAAGGTACTGATGAAATTTCTACTGGCGAGGCGACTGTTGCAATCAAGAAAACCAAAAGCTTAAGAAAATTTGTCACACGCAAATTGTCGGAGCTGGGATCTCTTGGTGATGTCTAGGAGCCATGTGTAAATCAATGGCTATGCAGTGTCCACTATCGGGATAGTTCAGAAAAGGTTCAAAACCAAGTGTATGGTCTACTAGCCGTGTGATCATAGTTCAGGGACTTGGAAAAGATATCGAGAGATTGGGTCTGTGGTCTTTGCAGAAATAAAGGTTAGATTATTTGGTTTCATATCCACCGTAAGAGTCAGTTCCCTGGAATATATTTGCAAAAATTAGGCAACACTGGAGGGTCCATTGGGCCTAAGGCCTGTTTGGGATGGACGTAAGGTTGACACCTCTCGGCAGCGCAGCGCAGCGTACCTACCTGTACCTGAACTCATATATCTCATGCCCACGACGCACACGACCTACTGACAGCCTTTGATTCCACCGCCACCAGCAGGATGGATGAAAGTGAACCGAATCATGGGGTTATCGAGGTAGAGGGGGATTTATTTGCCGCGCCAGATGGAGCTGCCTTGATCCGTACGGCTCTCTGAAAGCGCACCTTGTCTTGAGAGGGCCCACTGACGATTCCGATCAACAGATGCGTGTAACAGCCAGGGTTCGTGGGGGGCAGGTATCGCCAACACTTTCCGAATCAGGGTAGGTATTTGATTTGTCTATGCTCCAGTTTAAACAGCAGCTCACTGTTTTCTGTCAAATAGTATCCAGCTGCATACAGAATGTATCGCGTCCACTGCGCCCGATATATCAGGAGGCCGCAGTATCAAATCGTTTCATCATGTGCTCATGGTAGAACGTCCAGAAGACGGCGCTTGCCAGAGGGTACTGCGCTGATCATCCCGCCCCAGGAATACGACTACGAGCACTCCGATAAGAGACACTGGATTATCTGCCTTTTCACTTCGCCGCGGTTCGGACAAAACAGGAGCTCCCCGGAGGTGATTCTGGAGAATACCGTGTTTGCCATCGCCGACATGAAGAGACAACTCAGGATTCTTCGCGTTCGGGAGGTTGAGGGCGGGCCTGCTGAGCTTTGGTCCTGTCGGTTCAACTCTGGGCTGTTTGGGGTGGAATGGAGGCTGACGAGGAGTGTTCTGGAAGATGCTCACCTTGATGTGACTGTTGTTCGTCCTCGGGGAGGAGTGTGAGCTACCTGTCATTCATCATGTTTTCAAAAAGGGGGCTTTCTAAATTTAATGGGCTACTGCAAACAATAAAGTACTCTATTTGGCTGCTAGCAAATAGCCTGGAACCTATATGAATGCCTTGGTTTTCTCCAGGTTCAGAAAAGAAGCTGATAAATATTATGGGGTGATGTCACCGAAGCCATATATATATCGCCTCGTGAAATATTTCCCCCCGATGAAAACAGCAATCGGACTACAGAACACCTCAATGCTATCAATTCAATACCGGAATAAATGCACCCACACCCAGGAGATCCAGCATACCAATTGTTGGTGGTTCCATAGTTCCCAATCATCAATATGGTTCAATCACCTGACAGCGCGCTTCGTGTCGCGATCCGTACCGCGTCTGGACCATGACATAACCTACATCGCGGTGAACTCAGTGGAGACTTCTACAGGAAACCCATGAAAGATATCCATATAATAGCGACTGCTGGGAAATAAGCCCGAGCCTATACACGATCTGTTCGCCATAATGCCAGTTGAGGGCCAGCCCGCGCAGAAACGCAGGCGTTTGCCGTTCAAGCCCCCGCGTCCCCAGACAGCAGCAGCAGCCAGCGTCGTTCCATCGTCAAGCACAGCCAAACCCAAGCAAACAAGCAAAACCAGCAAAAAAACGAGTGCCACAGCCTCCGCTTCATCCTCATCAAAACCAGCACGAAAATCGAAACCTCCCAAACCGCGGTCCCCAACACCTGTATCTGTCGCATCAGGCCCTGGATCACAGGCAGGCTCTGATGCCGAGTCAGACAGTCGAAGCCGTGCAAGCTCGGTCTCAGAAGAACCGGAATACATCCTTGCAGAGATCACGACGGCGCAGACCTCAGACGACGTGCTTTCGAGCGAGCCCACGATCCCCTCCAAACTGCTCACAAGACTGCTGCACCAACACTTCCGGAACGAGAAGACCAAGATCGCCAAGGACGCCAACGAGGTCGTCGCAAAATACGTGGATATCTTCGTGAGGGAGGCGTTGGCAAGAGCTGCATACGAGCGCACGGAGAGCCAGGCCTCGGCAACAGGCGCTACGAGGTCTGGCGGTGATGGATTCCTGGAGGTAGGTCTCGAATAAAGGAGTTATCGCCATGATCATTTCAACTTACTTTCTTTCCAGGTCGAGGATCTTGAAAAAATGGCCCCGCAGCTTGTCTTGGATTTCTGAATGGTGATACCTAATATGAAGCCTTTTATCCTTGATGATTAGTAAAGATATTCTTTCTCCTTTAATTCCTGGTTTCCATTCCATTCTTTGCCCTTCTTGTTCAATTATAGTTAACTCTAGTAAGTTATTCACCGGTGCATCGTCTTTGTTATAATTTGTAAATTGAGAGTTAAAAAAGAATGGCTTATAGACCAGTTAAATGAATAGTATTCCAACAAATTGGGCTTGTAGCTCAGTGGTAGTAGCGCTCGCTTTGCATAGTTACATGGTCAAACAAACCAAGTGGCGTCTTAAAGTCTTGCGAGAGGTCAAGGGTTCAATCCCCTTTGAGTCCATTTGTTTTTTGTTTTTTTTTTTTATCAAGTTCGAATTCCGAAGAAAAATAGACCTTTTTGAATCTGGTATTTAATAAAAATCGAATTTTATTAAAGCAGCACATGCCATATCGATCTGCCGCTTTCCCCTCCTCTCTATTGATTTTGTAACGGAACTGTCCTCCCCGCTCCCGCATACCAACAACGCGCATCGCGTTCGCCGCCAGGGTCCTTTTTCTCCTCGAAACCTCAATTGCCATCCTAAAGCTTAGTTGTATAGTGTACCGGCGCATCAAGATGAATGAGGCGACTACTTCTTTGCTTACAGAGCATTTCAGCTATACTCCCCTGGTTAGTAATCCTGAATTTCTACTCTGCAAGGAGTCTCAAGTACCCCCTCCTCCTTGAGGCGCCAACGCGTACTGGATACCGGAAACTAACGCAGCACCGTCCTGGTGAGAGTAGTCTCTCATAGATGATATCATCAACTCCATCAACAACCTGATCTATCAGGGTATTTCTAGCCTCGAGTCCGGTCTGATCACCACACCTCCCGAGCGGCTGGGCTTCGCGCATGCGACCAACGGGTCGACCATCCCTGATACCGACGACGACGGCAATGTCGTATATCCTGAAGCCAGACTAGAGATCGAGAATGGCCTTCATCAGCTAGAAACGCTCCTTGAGTCGACCGTGGACAAGTCCTTTGACAAGTTCGAGATCTATGTGCTGAGAAACATTTTCACCGTGCCGGAAGATTTGACAGGATGGGTTAGACTTGCACATTATGAGGTGAGAACATTATATTTGAAGCAGATACTTTGAGCGAAACGTCAGACTGATTTGGTCATATAAATTATCAGAACCTCGCCCTGGGTGAAGCCTCGAGTAATGCGCCTACTCCGGAAACGATCTTGACACAACGCAAGAAATTGCATGAGACAAGGAAGCTCAACCGGTCGCTGAAGCAAGAAGTCGCTCGGAATGATGCCATGATTGCTCAACTGCGGGCGATATTGGGCTCTGCCCAAGGCTCTGGCGGGGAGACTGAAGCTCCACCAGCAGGCGACTCTGCCACGCGCCCCGATCTTGATCTGTCGTTCCTGACTTCTAGCCCTGCGGCACGACAGTTGCGCGTTGGCGCCGCGGCAGGGCCGAATACTACACACACACCCTTGACCACGAGCACTGCTTTCATATTGTCCCAACTCCCAGCACTGCAAGAGATGCTCAAACGACTCCGATCGAAACTTTCAAGCCTCCCGAAATCCGACGTTTCAACCGCAGCGGACTCTAAGAGAGAAGAACGCAAGGCATACATTGAAAGCAGGATCAGACTGCACCTTGAGCGTGCTGGACAATTGGCCGTCGGAAGTGATGGCCAGCCCCTCCTCACAGGCCGCAAAATTGCACTCTCCGAGGCACAAGCCTTGGAAGCAGTCTCTGGTTTGCTTACTGAAGACACAAAAATGGAGTAAACGAGAAACTCCGCTTTTATTTTTCTATTGGCTACGGAGAGAAAATCGTTTTCTACATGTGGCTCAACCAAGAGGGGAGGAGGCTACCTACTTCAGACCCAGGACACGGACCAGGTTTCCTGATCACGCCTGAACGGAACGACATCCACCTTGTCCGACTGCAGAATATTGATGACCTTTTCGCCCTTCTTCTCGATAGTGATGAACTGCCTTTGTTCCTGCTCCAGGCCGTAAAAGGCGCGGCCGTGCTTGCTCAGGAAGCCTTCGACGATCTCGGGTGTGATATCCTCTTCTTTCAAGATGCCGTTCTCGCAAGCTTGCTCAAACGCATCAAGCACATATTGAGTGGTGTACGGCTGAGTGAAGACGCCGGCTGCGATCTTGTCACCTCCACGCTTGGAGACCGCTGGGTGGGGTGCGCTGTCAGAGCCGAAGAAGAATTTGGGGTTACCAGATGCAGCCGTGCGGAGGAGCTCGTCCCGGTCTGCTGGGGTCTTGGCGACAGGCTTGCAGAAGCAGAACGGGTCACCGGCCCAGTTATCGACGATCAGGGATAGATGGTGAGCAGTGATGCTTTATGATGAGTAAGTTATTTGCTTGGAATGTTGGTAATCTTAGGACGTGAGAAAAAAAAAAGGACAAACCTTCCCGCGACAGTTGGCCCGCATTTCTTGACAGCTTCGACGGCTGCTGCAGTGGTGCAGTGCTCGAGAATAATCCGCAATTTGGGGAAGCGCTCATGGAGCTCAAACAATGTCGGGAGGAATCTCTCCTCGGCGGACATGACAGTCACGTCGCCTGTGGAGGGACATTCACCGTGAATGTTGAGAATCATGTCCTGGCGTTCCATTTCGGCAAAGACGGGGTAGAATTGTTGATAATCGACAACGCCAGCCGAGGAGTTGGTCGTGACACCGGCGGGATAACTCTTTACACCGGTAACTCCGCGCTGCTTGGCCTCGATGATGGTCTCGGGGGTAATGGTTTCATGGAGATAGAGGGACATGAGGTAGTTTACATTCGGTTCAATGGCTTGCAGGCGCTTTTTATAGTCAAGGGCGTGATCGACGGTAGTAATTGGCGGCACCAGATTGGGCTGATTGCCATCGATTCATTAATGGGATTGATTCTTGTCCTCGATTTGAAAGGAGCTGCTTACCATAACAAAGACGGTGTTTACTCCGCCTTGTCTGATTGTGGGCACGACCAGGTCCATCATCGCGCCATCGCGAAGATGAACTACATACAACCTCGTAGTCAGCAACTCTTATTCTTTTGTCTTTCTTACCCCATTCCATCCACACAGGGCTGTTGATTTATTAAAGCACCTCTCTTGCCTGGCTACCCCTCCAACCTGGGGTAACTTACCATGAAAATCCGCCGAGGCAGGCAGCTTGAGTCCCTGCAACTTTGATAAGGGCATAGTGACTGATTCCAATTGCCGAAAGGAAGTTATTTTATCTCAAAGATCTGCGTGTCTTGTCCTCCTGCCAATGTCAACGAGAAGCTGCTTCGTCCGATATCCCCCTCCATTTCCCTCCCCCGCCAATTTTTAATCTGCCGTGGGGGTCCTGCTGCTGATTGGCTGCGGATGAGCGCGACCGCCTTTGGTTTTGCCGAGGGCGGTATGTCTTGTTACCCAATCATAACGATATCATATGACTTGCATCCATCCCCTTTCTGGTAGGCCCAAAACATGGCCCGGGGCAGGTCCTCTGCGTCAACTCAGTACGCGAGAGGAGCCTCCTGGTGTCCTGAATAGCTGAAGGACCTTCTCTGCTAGATCAGAGTTTATTATCTGCATCAGTTAAAGTATCGGTCAAAGCTGTTAATCTTGGAATTTGTTCCTAGACCTTCACTCGCCAATCATGTTGGCCTTGGCAGCTGCTGTAGCCGCCGACTACTTTTGATCATCCCTGGCGGCTGCAAGTGAAGTCTGACTGACGGGTGACAGATAAAAAAGCAATGAACTAGCTAGCTTCTCTGATTTGATCTTTACTTCCCCCCCGGAAGATCTATTTTCAGCCGGCGCTTGCACTGCAGCGCTGACAGGTATACATCGCGTACCTACATGCGGATCGTCGACTTCGAGACCCCTGAAGAATCTTCGGACGGCCTGAAGGAGCGCCTGCGCGCCTGTTAGATGGAGTATATGCTGGGGACCTTTATTTCTGGGCTACATGCAGCGAATCAAGATGCCTTGCTTACCGGCGAGGCGGTTTGAACCCCCTCTTTCCGTCTTTCTCGAGGCTCCTGTGGATTTCTTACTGGGCCGTTTGATTCGACGGGATATCAAAATGTCTGAATTCCAGTTTCGCAGAATGCATGGGGCAGGAACCCTTGCGTGGAGGAGAAGTTAGGTTATCTCGCAGCTGTCCCATAGGCTACATAACACGACCTTCTCCCCTCGAGCCTTGCGATGTTGTGAGGCACGGTTGGAGTTCTCTAAGTTCTTTCCTTATTCTTTCTTTGCTTTGGCACAATTGTTCTACTTAATCTACACTCACTTATAATCTTCTGGAAAGATTCCTCCACTCATCATTTGTTTACTTCATTCTCTGTCCTGTTGGTTTCGGAGCAGAGAACCAACTTCTACGACCTAGTTTAGGAATTACAGCTGTGCTGGTTCCCTCTATTCTTGACTCTTCCTTCTCACCCGCAATATCTACTCTTCATCTGCGTATTTTCTCTACTAAGCCCACCATGGAAGCCAACACGACCTCTGCGGCCTCCTTCTCTTCCGGGTCCTATCACGCATCATGCGCCTCCGATGCAGATGAGTCGGCCTATCTTCGACGGGCTGGAATGCTTCAGCGAGTTCGACTCGGAATTTCTTTCATTATATTCAGTGCAGCGATTGCTATTATTGCCTGCGAAGCGCAGCCCTTGAACCATTACCGCAGTACATCCTCTACAGCGGATCTCCGGCTTTATTTGTGGCCTTTGAACCTTGATAAACGTCCCACCACTGCTTTGCTATCCTGCGGCTGCGTGATTGCATTTCAGACTTTGGTGTATATCTTGGCCTCATTTCTGCCTTCGGTGAGTAAGAAGATACAATCGTGAAATTCACGCTTGGTCCGATCTCTGCAGAGTTTCATGGTTCTGACAATCTTCATATTTAGCCCCGGTCATATATTAGAACTCTCAACCTTCTCGCTTCAGCACTTGCGTTCTCTGGTTTTGTCACTTCCGTGACAGGCTTCGTCTTTGCAATCTACCTACCGTCCTCCTCCTACCCTACCGGCTTCACCTACAATGAAACGATCCACACATGGACTTGCAAGTGGAAATCTCTCGATGAATCCAGCCTGAACGGAACCTCTCTCACAGCGCCGGCCCACTTCTCGCGTGACTGCATGGAAACCAGCGCCGGGTTCGTTCTTTTGGGTCTCCTCATCGGCCTCGAGGTCATTATGGGTCTTGCAGCCGGAACGGGTCTCTGGTTCGAGTATAAAGTGATGAAACAGCGGAAAGCAGAGAATCTCGAACTGGAAAAGGTTCATATCTCTACTCTGAAGAACTAGTTTCTTTCTGTGAGGGGATTCTTTTTTCCGCCATCAGAAAAGCCATAACGAGAGCATCGAAGGGGAAACAAAGCAATTGGCAGGCCAATTTTTGAAGTTTTTATGAACCAGGGTTTTCTGCCTTCTTTTCAAGTAGATATAGCAGGTATCTATCATTGTATTCTGTTGTTTAGTTTGGTATTGTACCTTGAGGTGAACAGAAGAACATAAAGTGTAAGCAATGTATCTTTACACCTCCCTTGATTGAAATCTGACAGATCGAGCTGTGAGAATGCAAGATGTAGTTGCAGAGGGAATTCTGGAGATTGGAAACATCCTGGTCAGGTGAGGTGCCGCCCTACCTTTGCCCTCCTTCCAGCCTCATACCACCACCACCACCGCCTTCCCTTGCAAACGTCCCCTTCGCTCTCATATCAAGGAAGCACTCACTGTATTTTCACTTCGATAGCCATCATGCCATCTACAAGCAGGCCTTCTTAAGCTCTAAGAATTGGCTCGAATCTGCTTTCTGCAGGGAGAGAGCTTGACTGCACAGTGATCCAGAGAACTACACCCACCTCAGGAGTTTTCCCTATCCTGGAGTTTTGTTTCTATTCTCATTGCACGGAGCACTCTGCCATCAATTGTACAACCCGGCGGCAAGACTTTTATCCAAGAGAGCAACGCAGGATACTGTCGCCAGAAAGCCCCGGATGCTTCGTCATGCAATCTAGCCAGCCCCTTGTACATACACATCCCTTGTCCGGATAATTAATCTCCGGGTCTAATAACCAGCATGCAGATGGAAGAAGTGAGTGGAGGAAAAATCCCGGTGGGGATGAGCAGGATACAACAGTGATGATCTCTGCCTATGGAGTAAGCAAACTCTTGATGTGTTTTTCAAATGTCTCACCCCCACACTTTGCTCCGGACTCGCAAGCCCTGGTCTCTTCTATCAAGAGAAGGAAGGAAAGACTTTATTGAGGAGCACGGAATACTCTCCACTTGGTGTATGCTACGTCGGGGTACATAAGCTATTGTCCAAGTTATGTGGAGTTGCGGGCGTACCAGCCGAGGCAAATTATTATGATGCATGCATTTAGACAGGACTCGCTTTGCAGATCCCTGTCCATCTTATCTTCCGGTGCGTAGAGACCGGAGTTTCCTTGAAAGTACAATTAATTGACTGACCTTCATTGCTGCTCCAGAGGCTAAAGTCGAGGCAGCTATTTATCCAGTCGATATGAAGTAATTCCCGCCATCCCGGTATAAAATGAACAATTGAGAAGTGCTGGAGGGACTGTAACCCTTCTCTTGAGTACATTGTATGCGCACATCGTCCCCTTCTGTTGTTGCTGCTCGGTGACCCATCATGCGTCCCTACAAGTGGGCATTGGCTTTGCTCTCCTGCCTTGGGGCTGGCGCAGTAGCCGAAAATGCGACGGATTCCCAATGGCCTCTTGACAATGACGGATTGACCAACGTTGTCGAATGGGATCACTACAGCTTCCTCATTAATAACGAGCGTGTCTTTATCTTCTCCGGAGAATTCCACTACTGGCGCATCCCAGTTCCTGAGCTCTGGATCGATATCCTCGAGAAGATCAAAGCTCTCGGGTTCACTACCTTTTCGATTTACGTCAATTGGGGGTACCACGCCCCGAACAACTACACCGTGGACTTCTCTACCGAGGCTCATGATATCACTCCGGTCTTTGAGCTGGCAGAGAAGGTTGGCTTGTACCAGTTGGTCCGACCAGGGCCTTATATCAATGCGGAGACGAACGCCGGCGGATTCCCTCTCTGGCTGACTACTGGGGCCTATGGGACCCTGAGGGACAACGATACCCGCTATATTGACGCACTGGAGCCTTACTGGTCGAAGATCTCCCAGCTCACTAGTGACTACATGATCACAGAGGGTCACAACGCGATTTGCTATCAGATTGAAAACGAGTATAGCGACCAGTGGCTCACTGATGCCACCGAGAGGGTCCCTAATGAGACTGCGATTGCTTATATGGAGATTCTCGAAGCCAGTGCCCGTGCTAACGGAATCAAGATTCCTCTCACTGTAAATGAGGCCAATACAGGCGCTCTTTCTTGGATCCCTACTTGGTCTGACGCTGGCGGAAACGTTGATGTCACTGGTTTGGACTCGTATCCTGCGGTAAGCCCTGCAGCTCTTATGTATATCATTTGCTGGGTTTAACTGATACCTATTCTACTAGTGCTGGACCTGCGCTACTGCTGCATGCGGAGATGTGGTGCCGTACGAGGTTGTCGACTACTACGCTTACTTCCAATACTCGCAGCCGACGTTGCCGTCCTTTATGCCGGAATTCCAGGGCGGCGGTTACAACCCGTGGGGAGGCCCTGAAGGCGGATGCGAGAATGCCACTGGGACGGAATGGGTGAATCTGTTTTACAGATGGAATGTCGCCCAGCGTGTCACGGCGATGAGTTTGTACATGATCTATGGCGGAACGAACTGGGGTGCAACCGCCACCACAGTAACGGCTACTAGTTACGACTACTCTGCCGCTATCTCTGAGGATCGGTCTATCGGAACAAAGTACTATGAGATCAAGCTGCTCGCCCTGTTTACCCGGAGTGCAACCGACCTTACCGAGACCGACATGATTGGTAATGGGACGCAGTACACCAACAACGCTGCGATCAAGGCCTTCGAGCTGCAGAACCCGAAGACCAAGGCTAGGTTCTACCCTACCTTCCACAATGACACGACCTCTGATACCAACGAGGTCTTCAATTTGAAGGTCAACACTTCGGAAGGGGCCTTGACTATTCCGCGACACGGCAATTCTATTCGGTTGAATGGCCACCAGTCAAAGATCATCGTCACTGACTTCACATTCGGGGATAAGACCCTGTTGTACTCTACTGCAGAGGTGCTGACCTACGCTATATTCGACAGCAAGCCGACGTTGGTCCTCTGGGTGCCCACTGGCGAGTCTGGAGAATTCAACATCAAGGGCGCGAAATCCGGATCTGTTGAGCGATGCGATGGTTGCTCCGGCGTTGGTTTCTACCCGGAACTTGGCGGAGTCACTGTCAAGTTTACCCAGTCCGAGGGCATGACCGTTTTAAGTCTGAACGATGGAACTCGTGTTGTCGTTCTTGACAGAACGACAGCCTACTACTTCTGGGCTCCAGCTTTGACCAACAACCCCACAGTGCCGGATACAGAGAGTGGTAAGTGAGCTGATACGTCATCTATACACCGATATCGCTAACTCATGGGTAGTCCTGGTTCAGGGCCCGTATTTGGTACGCGGAGCTACGTTGTCGGGCTCTACCCTGTCGATCACGGGTGACGTTGTGAATGCGACGACACTAGAGGTCTTTGCCCCTTCGTCGGTCACGACCATCAAATGGAACGGGAGAAAATTGTCGACCTCGGCGACGTCGTATGGTAGTCGCCAGGTATCTCTTGACGCTGCTCCTGCGATTAAATTGCCTGCTCTAAGCTCTTGGAAATCGAATGACAGCCTGCCGGAACGGTTTGCTTCATACGATGACTCTGGCCTCGCCTGGGTTGGTAAGTATTATTTATCTCGACCCGTCATGGCTGGTTGACACAGGGCTGACTGTCACAGCTGCTGATGATATGACGACGCCCAATCCCGAAGCTCCGGAGACTTTGCCTGTCCTCTATGCCGATCAATATGGTAAGACATACACACATTGGTGTAGAGTCCTTATTTCTGACTTTATATGTAGGCTTCCACAACGGAGTTCGTCTCTGGCGTGGCTACTTCACCGGCAGTGCAACGGGAGTGTATCTGAATGTCCAGGGAGGGGAAGCCTTGTAAGAACGTGCTCATTCTCACTGTGCTACGCAATCCGACTGACTCAAACTCTGTCTGTAGTGGCTGGTCTGCCTGGCTGAACGGGGACCTGGTGGGCTCATGGCTCGGAAATGCAGACGACGAGCTGTACAACTTGACGCTCTCATTCAGCAACGTGACGGTCAACACGGACTCAACCAACGTGCTGCTAGTCGTGCACGATGACACGGGCCACGACGAGACAACGGGGGCGCTCAATCCGCGCGGGATCCTAGGTGCAGAGCTACAGGGCCGGACCAACTCGACGCAGTTCTCGCACTGGCGCGTGGCAGGCACAGCGGGCGGGGAGTCTAACCTGGACCCCGTGCGCGGCGTGTACAACGAGGACGGCCTGTACGCGGAGCGAGTCGGCTGGCACCTGCCGGGCTTCGACGACAGCGCGTGGAGCGACACCACGGACCCGAGCGACGGCTTCACGGGCGCCACGGTGCGCTTCTACCGGACCGTCGTGCCGTTGGCCCTCCCCACGGACGTGGACGTGTCCATCTCCTTCCTCCTCTCGACCGTCACGGACAACACAGCCTTCCGCGTCCAGCTGTTCGTGAACGGATACCAGTACGGCCGGTTCAACCCGTACATCGGCAACCAGGTGGTGTTCCCCGTCCCGCCGGGCATCCTGGACTACCAGGGCGACAACACGATCGGGCTGGCGGTCTGGGCGCAGACAGAGGCCGGGGCGCAGGTCGGACTCGACTGGCGCGTCAACTATGTGGCCGACAGCTCGTTGGACGTCTCCTTTGACGGCAGTGCGTTGAGGCCTAAATGGACGGAGGAGAGACTTCAATACGCGTAGCCTTGATACAAGTACTAGTTAAGATAACTATTCAAGCATACTTCTCCCTATCATTCTTCCACGCCGGCTGCAAATAACTCCAGTCAGAATTGAAGTCGAACCCAGACCGGTACTTTCCATAACTAATCAATTGGACCGTATCAAGGGCCGCCCCCGCATCCGTCAGAGACCAAAGATTGATACCCAGCGTGTTCAGGCCGCGATTGTTGATGATCCCCGGCGGGAAAGGAAAAACCTCCTGCGGACCATAATGAGGCAGATAATGGCCGAACTGGTATCCGTTCATGTAGATATGGACGACTGCCGCCGTGTCCGCCGGAGAACCCAGCTGCAGACCTAAAGGAACGTCAAGGTCGGCAGGTAAATCCAGGGTGAAGTTTGTGAGGTAGAAGCGGCCCGCGGCACCTGCTACGCCGTCGAGGGGTGAATCTGTGGATGAATCAGTCGTGGGAACAGGGTAACCGGGTAGATGCCAGCCCATGCGTTCCGCGTACAGGCCGCCTTCGTTGAGGGGACCGCGGACGGGGTCGATGTTGGCCTCGCCGCCGGCGTTGCCGCGGATACGCCAGGAGGTGAAGTTGGGAGGAGTTATGCTGCCGTTGTTTTCAGTAATCAAAGATGCCCCTAGGATGCCCCGCGGGTTCTGCGTGCCGGCTGGGCTGACGTCGTCTTCGTCGTGGCCTGTATAATCGAGAAGAAGGGTGAGCAGGTTATCCGTTGCTTTCAGGGAGGACGAGTTGAACGGGAGCACGGCCGTGCTGGAGACGTCGGCCGTGCCGCCGAGGGAGCCGCCGACGTACTCGCCGTTCAGCCAGGCGGACCAGCCGGCCGCGTAGCCGTTCTGGACCGTGACGTTCGCGCCGGTTATGTTGGCCGCGGTCGTGGTCGGGCCGTCGAAGCGGCCGCGGTAGACCTTGATTCCTGCGTGGTAGCCATAGTCCGGCGAGTACAGGACCGGAAGGGTCAGGGGGGCGACGGGGTTGAGCGTCGTCGTGTGGTTGCACACGGGCCACAGGGAATCGTCGTACGCCGGGTTGATCTCCGGGATCGAGTCTTGCGCCTTCCACGAGTCGAGCGTTGGCAGGCTGACCTCCACGTCCTCTGCGCCAGGGGCGGAGCCCACCAGACTGCCGTACGCGGTCTTCTTGACGGATACTTTGTTTCCGTTCCATTCGACGGTTTTGATAGAGGAGTCCGCGAAAACCCTAAAAGGTAAGCACTTTCCACTAAGAAAAAAAGACGAATACCTACTCCAAAGTAGTGGTGTTTTCATTATCGCCCACCAGTTTCACCGTGCTGCCTTCGACCGAGGCATTCCGAACAAGGTACGGCCCTTGAACGAAGATATGCTGGTCCGGCTTGACGTTTGGGTCCGAAGTAGTCGGGGGTGCCCAGAAGTACCACGCAGAATCCCGATCTAGTAGGTAAGCAACGAGGCCGTTGGAGAATTTGACGGCCGTCACGCCGGTGCCCTGCGTGTAGGTGTAGACGGTGCTGTGGGCGGACGAGGCGGCAGTGGTCAAAGACGTAGAGCCGTAGGTCGTGAAAGTGAGATTTGCGGCGTCCTTGAAGGCAAAGTGGCCCACCTGTCCGACGTCCAGGTAGAAGGCAATCACGTCGACATCAAGATTGGCGTAGGTGAGGACTTCGGCAGACGAAAAAAGCAGCGTCGTGCTACTGCTGATGGTGTAGTCGGTGACGATGATCTTGCTCTGGCGGCCGTCCAAGTTGATATCAGACAGAGTGACCGCCCCCGCAGAAGTAGTGACGTTCAAGTCAAACTTCACCGAGTCAAAGGTGGATGTGTCCGCCTGCTGCGTGACATAGAACCTTGCCTGGGTGTCCGGGTTACGAATGACCCATGTCCAGATGGAGGATGAGTTGGTGTACGTCGTGCCGTTGCCCTCCATGACGGTCTTGCGCAGGTCGGCCGAGACGCGCGTGAAGAGGCCGATGAGCTTGATTTGGCGCAGCTTGTCGCGGATCTGGCGGGTCTCGCGCAGGGGAGCACTGTAGTCGTAGGAAGTGTACACGACGGGAGCCGGAAAATGGCCCCAGTTGGTGCCGCCGAAGCTCATATAGAGGCTCTGCATGGTGACGCGCTGGCCCAGGTTATTCTTGTAAAACACATCGGCGAACTGCGGGGACAGCTCGGAGGTGCAGGTGTCATAGAAGGATCCCCCCCAGGCTTCGAACCAGCCGCCCTCAAACTCCGGGAAGTACTCCGGCTGGGTGTACGAGTAGTTCTGGAACCACTCGTAGTAGGTGTGCAGGACCTCGAAGCCCGTATCGACATCTGTGCAAGACAGTCCCCCCGGGTACGAGTCCAAGCCGTAGACGTTGACCGCGCCGCCGACGTCCTCGTAGTCCGTCGACCAGCTCATAGACCGCATCCCCTTCTCGTTACTCGAGCTGGGCACGACGATCCCGGCCTCCGCGTACGCCGCGATGATCTGTTCCATGTACAGCACCAGCGTGTTGTCCGCACTGTGCACCGTCTCCTGCAGCTCATTCTCGTTCTGGTGCAGGATGACGGGTCCCCCCTCGGTGATCTGGTTCGCCTTCAGGATCTTGGCTACCTCCAGAATCCAGGGCAACCAGGCCTGATGGTACGTCTCGTCGGATGTCCGCGCGTCGCCGAGCTTGCCATTTGCCGCCCACAGGGCAAACCCGCCCGCCGTTGTCTCGCCGTTGATGTACGGACCAGGGCGGGCGATGATGTACACTCCCGCCTGTTTGGCGTAGTCGAAGAACCGCTGGATATCGTGTGCGCCGGTCTCAAAGTCGAACACTCCCTCGGAGGCGGAATGATAATTCCAAAGAAAGTAAACTACACAGCCCATGTTCATCAAAACCTAATCCATAGAGGTAGAGAGAAAATACCCAATAAGTTACGTACCCGACACAGCATTATATCCATTCGCCTTCAACTTCTGCAACACATCCAGCCACATCTCCGGCACTGGTAACCGGTGGTAATGGAACTCCCCCGAGAAGATGAAGACCCGTTCCCCCCTGACGGAGAGACTGTATTCGTCCCAGGTGACGAGCGTGGTGTTGCCATCACTCGTTCCGGAGACTGTCGAGGCCCGCCAGACGAGCAGGGAGAGGAAGAAGCTCAGAAGGGCTGAGAGACGCATGTTAGACCACTTTTTCCCTCATTCAAATGTCTTATTCAGAGAGGGATTCCTGCATACCACGAGTTTATTCTTCGCTTTATACCCCCCTTCTCCAGAGAGGGGAATGTCGGTTGAGTCGTCTGATGACATCCATGCTCTCCTGTCTGTTCCAACAAGATTGGTGGATGAACTGGCTCCTGGTGCCAAGAGAGAGGGGAAGACTCAAGGGAAACAATCTCGCTTCGCGTCGATGTTACGCCGATCGTTGAATTGACACATGTTGGCAGGTTGGCAGGTTGGCAGGTCCGAGGGGTGAAGCCTGGAGGTGACGTTGGAGGAGGAAGTTGTGGGGTTCCGGCGATCCCTGCCTGGGTTCATTTATATGAAGACAATTAGATTAAAGGGTTCTACAAGGATTCTACAGGGGTTCTACAGTTCTATTCATCTCTACAACTGAGAGTAAGAGTTGAACGTTAGAAGCATATTTACTAGCCCTGAGCCGTGCCTGTAACTAAAGTCTCAACAAGATGAACAAGATGGCAGAATCAACTGGAAAACGCATAGGCAGAAAAGAAAAGAGACAAGGGGGAAAAAAAAGAGAAAAAGAAACATCTGTGCAATATCCATACCATTCCAACCCGAGGCCACTTGACTGACGATTAGAGAGAAGAGAAGAAAAAAAAAGAACGCAAAAGGAAGGGAAGAGAAGCCAGCGTTCAGATACAAAGACACAAAAACAATATGAGGGAGAAGGAATGTGCAAAGACCCAGGAGTCAACACGTCAACACGAGGCAAAGAGCTCAGCTAGATGGCTGCATGATTAGGATAATAAGAAAGGAGAAAAAAAAAAAGAAAAAAAGGGGGGAAAGACAGGAACAGGCAACATGACGAATGCCATTATCGACGCTGTACGGTAGGGCATACCATGAAGGGGGAAGGAAAGAAAAAAAAAGAAAAGAAAAGCAAAGAAAACCTGTGCAAGAGGACGAGTGAAGGAGCAAGAGAAGATGAAGAAAATGCAGCCGATTCCCACGCTTGAAGAGAAAAACACACTAGATGCGAGCGACATGACATGTCAGAGAGAGAGAGAGAGAGAGAGAGAGAATAAGAACGAGGAACGAGACAAGAATCCGTGAAGATGAGAAAGGCCGAAGATGTGACCGAGGAGGACGGAGTAAAAACAGAGTAGTGGAGAGCGGAGGGAAAGACCGGCAGAGAATCGTCAGGCTTTGGCTTTGCAATGCATATAGAGAGAGAGTTCTCGGGCCGCAATGTGAATCCAAGGAAAAGGGGACATGAATGCACGAATCGTCAAGTGTTTGTCCAATTCGACAAATACCAACCGGCACGCTGCAAATGACCACTGTCTTCTACAAAGGTCTAATGGGCGAAAAAGAAAAGTCGTCCGAGAGAGAGAGAGAAAAAGAGAACCAACCCGTCTTCAAGGCCAGGCAGCACGGAAGTATGCAGTAGAAAAGGAAGAAAAAAGAAGAATAGAAAAAAAGAGAAAAAGAAAAAAAAAAGAAACGCCGTTCAAAATGCAACGAGTTTAAAGGAAGTGCGTGTAGATCTTGGAGGTTTCATGGACTTCCATTTCCTACAATAGAAAAAAAGGGGTCAATATACAGAGATCCAAAGGAAAGAGAGAGAAAAACGTACCATTTTGAAAGTGTTGAGTTCCTCTTTGATCTGCTGAGCCAGGAGAGGGGTCAGACGGTTGCAGGTGGCAATCTCGCCGCGACGATCGTACTCGCCGCTCGGCCAGGTCTCATGGAACTGGATACGGGGGCTGAAGACAATGTTCCGCCCAGCCACCGGTTGAGGGGTGATGGGGGCACTCTTGGTCTCCGCGCCGGCGAATCGACCCTCGGCGGAGAGGAAGTAATCCTCGCCCGCGATCTTGATCGAATCGCGGCGTCGTTGGTCTGGACGGCTCTGGTCTTCTGGGGTGCTCGGGGCGCTCGAGTGGGGGGAGTCACCGCCATGGTCGATGCGCGGCGACGCGGTCGCTCCAGGATCCGAATGAGTCTTCTTCAAAATTCCTTTGCGCACCGCCGCCAGCACCTCTGCACGTTCCCGGTCCCCGCCAACGATGCTCTTCCGCGAGTTGCTGCCGTTGTTGTTGTTGTTATTGTTGTTGTTGCTGCTGCTGCTGCTGTTGTTGTTGTTGGAGCTATTGCTGTTAACCTTGTCGCCGGCGACTGGATGGTGATGAGTCGAGTCCGGAGCCGATGAGGAGAGATCGACCTTAGAGAAGACGCTGGTACTGAAGGTGAGGTCCTGTGGATTGGCATTGGTGGCGAGGTCCTTGCGATCCGCCTCGATATTCACCATGGACAGCTGTGGAGCCATAGGGGCAACGGTCGACACGGGTTCGGACGGGGAGGCGCTGGCGATAGACTTGGGACGGAACAAGCCGACGAGCGAACGGGTGGAGCGTTTCACCCCCTTGCCCATCTTGCGGAGCATGATGGACGCGGAGGAGGCGGTGGAGGAGATGGAGATATTATCCGTCGAGCCGTGGAAAAACCCCTGGTGGTGCGAGTAGATGCTCTCGCCCAAGCCACTGGCTTCCTGCTGCTCAGCGATGGCCGCCTGCTCCGGACCCAGTTCTTCCTTGAGTTGCTCGCGACGCAGCTTCTCCGCCGCCCGCGCTTCCCGTCTGCTCAACTGATTGCTCTGCTCTTGAGACTTGAGCAGTTCCGACGAGCTGCCAAAGGAGAACGCCCGCCGCAGCCGGGACTTGCCCTTGTGGGACTCGAGCCTGGAGATCTCCGAGAGCCGCTGAGCCGCCAGACTGTCCCCTGCTACCGCTGTCGCTGTGGCCGAGGCCGAAGGTGCTTTCTCAGTGGACGATGGGGTGGCGGATCCGGTCTGCTGCGGCTGAGGCTGCTGTTCCGGTTCCGAGCTGGTCGGTTGGGATAGCGGCGACGGACCGAGTGTCCGCTTCCCCGTGTCCGATTTGGCCGTCTTGTCGGCGGCGGCGGCGGCGGTGGCGGCGACGGTGGTCGAATCGGGAGAATCGCGAGCGAGCGAGTCATTGGATGACGAGTGGGTCGAGTGGACGCTGCCTGTGCTGTCGTGCTGTGAGTGGGCAGAGCCAGGACGTTGTGGTTGATGGAGTTCGACGGGGTGGAAATCGGCGGGGCCTAACGACGGGCTCCGGGCTCCGGGGACTTGGAGTTGAGCGTTCGCCAGATTGACCGAGTCCATGGTGGCCCAACTGCGGCGTCGATATCGTTTCGCCAGCTCGGGTTGCGACTTCTCGGACTTGGGAGCCTCGTCCGCACTGGAGACGCGGGTATGGCCTTTTTGGACACGTGGGATGACAGTGACGGTGGGGGCAGTGGTTATTGTTGTTGCTGTTGCTGTTTCAGTGGGAGTCGGGGTGGTCACAGTGGCAGGAGTAGCGGGGGTAATGACGGTGTTGTTGATCTGCATGGCCAGATCATCCACGGCAGTCGTACCGGGGGTTGCGGCCGTGGTCGAGGAGCCGCTCTCGACTCGCCTGGGTCCCCGACGGTATCGATCGGGGGAGGGCTTGCCGACGGTGGGCGAGGAGATACTCATAAAGGCCGGGGGTGGCAGACTGACGGTGGACAGGGGACGGAGCGGGGTGTCGATGCGGGGACTCCTCGAGGGAAGGACGGAGTCATCCTTGGACATGTAGGAACGGAGAGAAGAGGCGGCGGTGGTGTTGGTGTTTGTAGAGGAGGAGGTAGTAGAGGTGGTGGAGGTGGTGGTGGACGAGGCGGAAGGAGTGGAGGTGGAGGACACAGAACCAGCTGCAGGGTGATTCCCGAATCGAGGGGGCTGAGAGTGGTGGTAGACGGGCATCTGGGCCGCAGGCGCAGACAGGGCTCGGTGCTCTGGACGCAGATGGGGAGGATAAGGCTGGTGTTGTGGTTGTTGTTGATGGTGGTGGTGGAGGTTGGGCGTGGAGTTGAACGCGTAAGGCGCCACGGGCGCATTGGCTCGCGGGTTCGCGGAGCCCCCGACCCACGACATGGTGGTGTGGTGCTGAGAATGAGACGAAGATGGTCGAGTTTGAAGGACAGGTACGGTACCGCTCTGTTGCGGAATGGTTTGCACCAAAGCGGCCATGACAGCACCCTCGTAGTGTCGGGTTTATGGGATCGTTTTTCTTCGAGGGGGGGTGGGAAGAGGGGAGGTTGGTGAAGAGGGTGCAGAATCCAGTCCGGAGGGAAAAAAGAAGAAATCTTGAGGTGTGAAAAGAAAAATCAATCGAAAGTCTGTAGAAAGAAAAGAAACCAAAAGGTCGTTAGCCATCCATCCATCCATCCATCTGTCAGTGACCATGTGTCACGGCGATCGTCGTTGGGCCCAGGGGCTCCCAGGGGGGGGGGGGGGGGGGGAGGCGGAGAAGAGAAGAGAAGCGAGAGGGAACACCACACACCTGTCTAGACAACCAGAGACATGGAATTATATTGATACAAGAATTAGAGAGGATGGGCCAAAGAGAAGAAGAAGAAAAAAATAAAAAAAAAGAAACGAAAGAAGAAGAAGGGGGGAAAAAAAAGAGTCGCTGACGAAAGAAAAGCTGCAACGAGGTCCCAGAACTGGCAGACCGGTTCCTACAGCCACGCAGCCATGTAGAAAATAAAAGTAAGGGTAAAAAAAAGACCAGATCCTCAGGAAGGGCACCTGTTCTTCTGGAGGGGAGAGAGCAGAAGATGGGCCGCTCGCTGGACTGGGGAGGGGGAATGTGAGAAAGGGAGAGGGAGAGAGAACGGGAGGAGAGGAGAGGAGAGAGAGTGAGAGAGGAGAGAGTGAGAGAGGAGAGAGGGAGAGGGAGAGAGGGAGAGAGGGAGAGAGGGGGGTTTGGGAGGACGGGGAAGGGATGTGATCGGGCGGAGGACAAGAACAACGCAAAGCGAGTGTATTATTTTATTATTATGGGAGTAATCATGATAATAATTCTACTAATTAATTATGATGATTTTAATTTAATTTAATTATTGTTGTTGTTGTTATTGTTGTTGTTGTTGTGTAGGAGGTCTTGAAGTCTCTTCTCTATCAACGAGGTAAGTTTGTCCCTGGTTAGATCCATGGGTGGTTGACAGGATAAGAATGCCATTGTCTACGGAGTATCTACTCAAAATCCAGGCATTAATTTGCAGTACTAAGTCTATCTATTTGACTATTCAAGTCGTCTCCCTAGATCTTCCTGGAGATCATCTCTGCACGTGCAATGTGGCCACCATCCTAGCTAACTATAGCATGTCTCCTAGGTACATAACACCTGTAATTAATTACTAGTAACTGCTAACTAATTATAACTAGATCTAAGTATATTACCATATACACATTACCACAGCATTATTCAACATATGGAGTATACGGATGTTGCTTCCGCATTATCTATTATTTACTCTGTACTTATTACATAGTATGATGTACACTTATTATACTCTGTAGAATCCCCTATTTTATCATTTGACCGGCTTCATCTGAAACACCGAGCTGGATAATGCGGAGGAATCCTTTAACCTGATCTGCATGTCGCTGAATAGGGTAGCAGTCAATAGAATACTATACTAATGAATACTAATAAATACTAATCTCCAGTACTAGTAGTAACTACATAGCTATGCAGTGGATATGTACTACTGCTATCATCTACTACATAATACATATATAGTAACTATCTATATTAATAGAATCAATCCACTTATGGATGTCTCGGAATACACGGTAAATAGAAGGACGGGAATACTCCCATCTATAGGTCCATGCCTAGGGTAAAGTTTCCATAATTATACTGCTAATAGTTGGCTATTAGTGATTTTAGTGAACAACTAGTTACTTCTATTGACAACTAATAATACCTGGACTAATTGATATTAGGAATAGTAAATGAGGCTTTCATTCGCCACTACATGACTAGACAACACTTGATTCTATAATGTAGTCTAGAATATGTCATAGCCATGAGTATGAGGTGACTGAATATATATAATCAATTATATATAATATATAAATCAATCATATGAGCAGATGCTTAAATACATAATAATTGTATAGTGGAATACACAGTCCTACAGTAGATATTCTTACTCATAGACTAAAGTATATGGTGAAGTGATGGATACCTGTGTAGCAAATCTCTAGAACCCCAGATCGTCGCCGCCCTCGTCAAACTCCTCGTCCATGTCCATGCCCTCCTCGTCCTCGTCGCCCTCCAGCCCCTCGAACACCATGAACTTTTCGTTCTTGGCGTCCGTCTCGTCGGGCACGGCGTTCCCATCCTGCACCTCGCAGTCCTTGAGCACGCACTCGCGACCGATCTTGCTGCGCCGGCCGACGATACACCCCGTCAACTGGCAGCGTTCGCCCACCACGGCCCCGTCCATGATCAGACAGCGCGTCAGGCGCGCCCCGCTCGCAATGTGGCAGTTCGCCCCGATCACAGACTCCTTGATCACGCACTTCTCCTCCACCGTCACGTTGTCGGCCAGCAGGCAGTCGGCCCGCGTCACCGTGCACCGCTGCGCCACGCCAGCCGGGTACGCAATCTTCTGGGCGTGCGCGAACGGAGACGCCGCCCCGCCCCGGCCAGTCTCCTCCAGGGACTCCAGTTTCGCTAGCCGCAGCGACACAGACAGCAGGAGCGCCGAGCTGTCCACCCGGCGGATGAGCGGCGCCGACGGCTTCGACGAGTGCACGTACGCCAGGATCGGGGGCACCGGCAGCGCCTCCTCCTCGGAGGCCGTCTCGTCGAGCCGGGTGTTGTTGTTGTTGTTGTTGTTGTTGTTGTTGTCCAGCGTTGCCGTCCGCACTCGAGACGCAAACTGGTACTCTGGGGCATGCTGGGGCGCGGACCCGCCGGACATGGTCACCGCGGAGCCGGCTTTCGTCGTGCTCATCGCCTGCAGGTCGATCTCCTCCTCGAGAGACTCGCCATCGTGGCTGCCGTTGTCGCCGCGCCCGCTGGTGTTGGAGTCCGGGTCGAGGATCTCCCGCAGCTGCAGCTTCTCCGCCAGCCCGGTCTGCCATTCGGCCTTTGCCCACCAGCCGACGAGATCCTCGCTGATGCTCTCGAACTTCTCATTCACCCGCGCCATCTCCTTGATCCAGTAGGGAAACACGTAGATGTGGGCGTCGCGGTACGTCGTCAGCATCTTGACCTGCGCGTGCTTCTTCACCAGGGCGTGGCGCACCAGCAGGCCTTTCTGCTCCTCCATCTTCTCCTTCAAGGTCACCATGGGCATCGACAGCACCAGCTTCGACAGGCCGTACCGAACCGACGACGACGGCCCGTCCAGCGGGTGCGACACCGCGGGCGCCTCGTTGGGCTCCAGCGCGGTCGTCGCCAGGAAATCAGCCACCTCCCCCTTCACGCTCTCCTCCCGCCCCTGCGTCTGGTACCAAACCCCGAGCCCGCCACGGCGGCCTCCCCCTTCGCCCCCGAGTCCCGCCGTCTTGGGGGCCTGCGCGGCGGTCCGCCCATCCCGCACGATCGAACCATCCAACGCACCGTGCGTCACCATCCACGCCTCGAGCAGCGACTCGCCGGGAATATCGCAGACCAGATCGCACGGTAACACGATGAAATCAGACTTGATGCATGACTGCACCTCCGGCAGCCGGAGCAGCTCGGCGGTTCCCATCGTCAGCGTCAGTCCGGGAGGCGCAAGCACCGACGGCGACGGTGACGGAAGCGATGTGAGGTGCGGGTTCTGCGACAGGGCCGCCTCTAACGGGGCCTGGCTTGCGGGGGGGGTCACCAGCGTAATATCTAGCATTTTTCGTCCCTATTAGCCCACCAAAACATGCCACGCACAAAGCAGGGTATAGGAAAGTGCTCACTCGTAATCCCCATCCGGTACAGTAGGTCTAGCACGTACCAGACCATGGGGCGATTAGCTATCGGCACCAGAGCCTTGGGGAACTCTTCCGGGTTCGACGTGAAGGTATTCAGAGACACTCCAGGCCCACACAGGATGAGGGCCTGGAAGCCCGTCTGAGGCACAGGCACCGAAGGAGGCATCTCTCGGGCGAACAGTCAATCTCAATAGCCTGCAATTGATTCCTTCGTGTATGCCCAACCACAACGCGGTAACCCGGGCGCTGCTTCCTTGTTTGCTTCTTCTGTGACTCTTTCCGTTTATCACACAAAATCGCAGCCCACCATGTCACGTGTCGATAACCATTACATAATCAATGCAAATAGAGCAACCAGAGCAAACAGTGTAAACAAAGCAATCAATGTAAACACACCAGATACGTCAAGTAAACAAAAGCCACCAACCAGCCACATGCTTTCTCTCCCGAGGCTGAAGCGACGCCTGCCTCCCCCCCAGCTGGAGCGCTTCTTCCCCTTTCCCTTCCTTCCCCTCCCCAGCCCCTCCAGTCGACTCTGGCGAAGGGGATGAGATGAACAGACTTGACCTTCTTCTTTTATTGGCCTGATTTCTTTTTCTGTTTTTTTTTTTTTTTTGTTCTAGTTTCCCCTGGTTCGGCGCTCCCGAAAATATGTCCTTCTCATACTCCCAGGAGGTCCGTCGCCGGCGGGTGGGGACTGGCTTCAGCGCGTCCGGCCGACGGACGGTAATAGGGTACTGGGTGCCTTTGGCGATGACGGTCGGCGTGGCAGCCGTAGGGCTTGCCGCGTGGGTCTGGAGTGAGCGGAGTGATGATGAAGAAGAAGGTGAATCGAATAATGCCGCTGTCCTTCGGAGAGAAGGGGCGGAGGAGGAGGAGGAGGAGGAGGAGGAAGACGGATACCCTCCGCTTCCGCCTGGGCCGCATTTGGAGGTAGATGGAGCGGGAGAGCACGCGCGCGGTACTGGGACAGACTTCCACGATGGGAGCATGATTGCTCGAATGCAGGGCGCGTTGCGGCGCACGCCTAGTCCGCAGCAGATCTTCGACGGGGCGAGCAAGCGGGTCGCGGCCGGTGTCGCGGCTGCGGGGGCATTTGTTGGCGGGGCGTTGACCTCGATCCGCGAGGAGAATAGAGGCGACTTTGAGGATCACTCGCGCTGGTCGGAGGAGGTGCGGTCCCGGAACAACAATGCTGGTCTAGAGGGTGCGGCTGTGGGTGCGGCGGCGACGACGGCGACGACTGCGTCACGCTTGATGAGCGGGCCTACTCCGTCTCGGACACAGGCGCCTGGTGACAAGAAGCGCAAGACGGTGGTTATTGTTGTTTCGTCCGAATCGCTACATGTGGATCATGGTGACTCAGGCTCCGAGCACGCTGTAAGATTCTAGCCTTTCACGAGCTTCTGATTTACTTGGGAATATGCTGATCTTTCTCGCCAGTCCATCCTGTCTCATCTTCCCGAACACGTGGATACTGATACCGCTCGTGTGTTTGTGCTGATCTATGCGCCGGGGCTCAAGCACGCAATCGGCCAGGGAGTCTCCCGTCCCACTCTGTCGGTCACATCGTCCTACTCTAATATCTCGCGCGAAGAGGCTCGAGATCCCGAAGAACTGGCTTCCGGTGGCGAGCTGACCGCGGTGGAGCCCCGCCAGGTGGACGAGTTCGAGGGCACCAGTCCCCTGTTCCGCACGCTGTACACGCAGGCCCAGGCGCTGGTCGAAAAGGAGAACATGATCATGACCTTCAGCACCCCGACCGGCCACGTGCATCTGATCCGCCACCTTGCCCCGGAGATCGTCTACGTGCAGGAATCGTTGGCCGGCCAGGATGGCGACGCCGTCCGCCATATCTCCGGATGGGTCCGGCAGGTGATCGTCGTCATGGGCGACGAGGGCGGCCGCGGTGGTCTCATCGATAGCGACGACGAGTCCGCTCTCGCTGACCAGGGCGAGAAGTGGTGGGAGAAGGAGGGGACGACGGGGATCGGCAAGCGAATCGAGGTCGTCGACGTCCACCGCACAGGAGACGACTGGCGGCGCCGAGTCCGCGGCTATGACTGAGCACGAGGAGGGTTCAGCCGGCTCCATTCCCTCGCCCATTGCCTCCCGCTGTCTCTCCCCCTGGCTCTCTGTATATGCTTTTACGTGCTCTGATGATCTGCTTTATTTGGATTCCCCTTGAAGATAAGATGTGGTTTATGTATACTGCTGTTTATGCAATAGTTAATGTCTCATGTTTGCCAATTATCTGATACTTCGTAAACTAGATTATCTGATACTTCATAAACTAAATTATACCTAGGTACCTTATTGACTACGTTGATACTATATTATATACCAGATAGTTGCTTTCCATATCAACCAATATATAACTAGTTACCTTCAACTAAGCTTAATATATATCACTCTTCATTGACTTTGCTATAGTAAAATATTCAAAATTGTCATAAAACTAATGAAGTGAGCCATACCACAATATACCAACCATAGTCAAGAGGTCAAACTATCTCGTTACAGGTACGGAGTACTTCCACTGTTTTCTGCCTGAGGCAACAATCAGGCACAATTCAGGCACACAGACTAGTCCTAAAGCGGCAGTCATGTGAGTCCTCCCATCCAGGCTTGGCATCCCGAACTCCCTCTCGCGGAGCCTCAAAAACGTCAACGGCTATCGCGACCTCCTTTCAGCGCCAACCGGCTCCTCTCCCCCTCCCGATCGCCCACCAGACCTGCCTATCGACCCAGAGCGACGGCTGGCACTTTCGCATGTGTATCGTCGCCGCTCTGGCCACCGCCGCGTGTCCGCTTTGACTCCGGTCAGCGCGTCGTCGTCGTCGTCCCCCTCCCCCCGGCCCCGTGCTCCGCTCCCCACATGTCTCGCGCACCAGCTCTCCCATCGTCTTTCGGAGCCTGGAATTCATCCTCTCTCGGCGAATCTGCCTCTCGCAGGCCGTAGCCGCCTTCGTCTTGTTACGGGTGTGCCGTTCGTTCGTTCCGTTCGTTAGTCGTTGTCGTCGTTGTCGTCGTTGTCGTCGTCGTCATCATGGCCACCGCGATCTCCAAGCCTGCCTCTCACCCACCCAAAATGAAGCGCCCTCCCCCGCCGTTCGTTCAGACGGGAATCAATGGAATCAAGTCGTCTCCCTCCGCTGGCTCGCCGCCGAGCACGTCGAAACGCCTGCCGGGGGCTGGGAACCCCCCGTCGGCGACGACTCCGGTCAACGGGTCCCTACTTTCTGAGGGCGCGAACGGTGTGATGGGTCTGTCCGCCATGTCTGTCAACAACACGCCGCTTGGCCGGATGAAATCGGGGATCCAGAAGTCCGGCGAAGTCTCCGGACGACAGCACCAGCGCCAGAACTCGAGGACCACCGTCTCGTCCGATCTTCAGGATTTCCGCATAGCAAAGAAGCACCCGGAACCATATGGTGAGGCCTTGGGTGAGCCCCGGAAGTTAGGGGGATGTATTCTTTTTTTTATTTATAAACTGACTGTTGTAGTGAAAACAACCGCCTACATCCTGAAGAAGTTTGCCAAATCTCCCCCCTCGCTTATTGTTCATCTTCACCCGACGCATTTTCGCTTCGAGCAGCAAGACGGGAGTTTCCCGTACAACTCGGAGATGAAGGTCATCATCGAACATATCCGTGCGGGAACGGTTCCCCATGATATGATAGAGGAGCTCCTGCGTGCAGGCGTTCGGTTCTATGAAGGTAGGCGGAGAGCTCCTTGGATGCTCTCTACGTGCTTCAGCCTGTTTCTCTTACTGACTACCTATCTAGGCTGCCTGATTGTCCGCGTAGTTGATCACAAGTCTGTTTCAGCCAAGGCAAAGAAGTCGTCGGCCCGATTGTCGGATGAGAAAACCGAGCCATTCTCAATACACAACTACAACCAGCATGTCACTCCGTCGGCGTACGTGCCGTACCCGAAACAGAACTCATTAATGTCGGAAACCTCGCCCTCGAAGTCTTCAACGGCAAATCAATCCGATGTCCAAATTAAGGGAGATGCTACTGTTGATGATTCGACTGGTGCCCGAGACTCCGGAGCTGTGACTTCGGCGTCGGCGTTATCTAAGGATACCACACCCAAGCCTCGAGTTTTCACGACAGTCCTTCATCCCACCCCACGTTCCATCCAAGCAGAATTGACTCTGCTCGCCACCACTCCGGACCCGAGAGCTGTCAACAAGAGACCGCCCGTTTCTCAAGCTGGAGCTCGCACACCTTCGACTGTCGTGCCGCCGTCGCCCGCCGCGTCGACGGAGTTCCCCGACCGACCGGCCAAGAGGCAAAAGATGCTAGTAGAGCCACATGAACTTCTCGAGTGTGAAGCCAAAATCACGCAAGCAATGGCACCGCCTTTGTTCCTGAACCCGGTCAATAGCCTGGACGCTGCTCAGGATCTGTTGAAGTATCTCGAAAGCCCACTACACAGGGACCCGCCACCGTCGCCCAAGAGACGGAAGCGTACGGTGGCCGAACTTGCAGCCGACGAGGCTCTGGCCGCCGAGGAAGAAAGATTCATGCTTATCATGGACGAACGGCTGGAACCCACCGTGTCTGGGGCCGCAGGTGCGGCCAAGGCTGCTGGTGTCGATGAGACTGCTGGCGTTGCGCCGTTCGAGCCCCGGTTCTCCCGCTTCAAGACGCTGGAGAACATTCGCATCCAACACGAGGAGAAGGCCAAACGAGAGCACGAGATCAAAGTCAAGCAGGAAATGGCAAAGAGACAGCAGCAAGACCAAGAACGACAACGCCGTGCCCTGGAGCAGCGCCAGAACGAAGAGAAGGAGGAAGCCCGACGGGCACAGCTCGCGGCCGCTCAAGCCCAGGCTCACCTTACCGCCGTTTCGCAGCAGCCCGTCCGGCATTCCGTCATGGCCCCTGCAAACGGGATGGCCCAGGCGCAGCAGTCTTCCCCCGTCGTTCGCAACCAGACTCCACTCAACGCCTCGTCTCCGCTGGTCGGCAGTGGCGCTGTGTCGCAGGCTGGTGTCCCCATGGGTATGACGGCGTCTGCCCAAGGAGCCGGTAGCCCGCCCCGACCACCATCCGCTCTACAGCACGCCCACCCGAATGTGATGAGTCATGCAATGGCACCCTCTCGAAGCCAGCAAAGCCGCCATGGAACCCCGCAGATGGGCCAGGGAACCCCGGCCGTGTCTCATGCGACACCCGTCATGCGCAACGCTACACCGACCCAGCGGATGGGCCACGGCAGTCCGAACCACACCGCCATGGCTCAGACACCTGTGATGGGTCACGCCATGATGGGTACCCCCCAGATGGGCAATGGAACCGGCCTCACCCCTCAACAACAGCAAATCCTGATGCAGCACAGGCAGCAGCAGCTTTTGGCGCAGCAGAGTCATATCCAGTTCACACCCCAACAGATGGCCCACATTCAAGCCAGTGTGCACGCGCAACAGAACATTCAACAACAACAGATGCTCCAGGCTCAACAGCAACACCAACAACAACAGCAGCAGCAGCAGCAGCAGCACCAACAGCAACAGCACCAACAACACCAGCAGCCGCAACAACAACAACAACCGCAACAACAACAGCAACAGCAGCCGCAGCAGCAGCAGGGGCACCCGCAACAAGTGCCCACTCATCAATCATACCAAGCTCATCTGATGCGTGCTCAACTGGCGCAACTGCAGATGGTGCAAAAGCAGCAGCAACAACAGCAGCAGCAAAGCCAACAGCAGCAGCAGCAGCAGCAGCAGCAACAACAACAACAACAACAAAACCAACAGCAGCAACAACCGTCGCAAAGCCAGCCGATGCAAAACCTCCAGGGCAGCCCCCAGATGACAGCCCAGCAGCAGCAACAACAGCAAATGTTGCTGGCTGCCGCCCAGGCGAATGGCGGGCACCTCCCGCAGAACATGCCCAACATGAGTCTGACGCAGCGATACCAGCAGCTCTACCAGCAACGTCTGCTGCGGTCGCGGCAGGAGTTCGCCCAGCGGTTCATGGCCCAGTACGGCCCGCCGAACCAGTATCCTCCCCAGATCGCACAGCAGTACGGGCCGGGATTGGACAAGAGCGCCAAGGCCTGGGTGACGGATATCATGCGGCGAGAACGTGAGGCCGCCCAACAGCAGCGGGCGAACCAGGTCGCTGCTGTCCAGGCGCAAGTTATCCAACAGCAGCAACAGAATATGATGCACAACGGGATGGGTAATTGAGGGTACACCCGAATTTCACTGGCGAGGGCTTTCCATTCTCTTCTCTTCTTTTCTTCTTTTCTTCTTTTCTACATATTATTGATCATTGACTTATGTACTATCGGCACGGCTTACGCTATTCTTAGGGTCGGTTCAGGAACGGACAGGAGCAGGAACAGACTTGATACCAATTTTGTACAGGAGTTTTTACTTGATTTAATATGAGTTATCGGTATATTAGTTCCCCCATAGTAAAGGCCACAATGTGTCGAAGCATTCCTGAGCCAATACCTCGTAGTACCACCAGAAATACGTATATACTCTACTCCATTAGTACTCTTTACCTCAAAAAGTACTGCGTAGCATCGCCACAGGGTAACAGTTACGACCACGTTAAGACGGGATGGATTCTAGACCCGTCAAGGCATGTACTACACAAGATAGTTACCTATCTAGTTGTAATATTCCATGTTCATCTCAAAATGCCAATCGATCCTTCAGATCAGATCATACTTACCAATCGATCCTCATGATCGGACCATGCACAAGGTCAAGTGTATATAGTAGATTGCTTTTTTGTCTGTCTAGCTTGCTGCTCATCCTTTCTTTTCTTTTTTTTTTTTTTTCCTTTCTCTTTTTTCTTCTTCTCTCTTCTTGAGTGGACCACTGTATTTGTATCTGCACATTCCTGTTCATGCAGCTGCATATGCCGTACTACCTTATCAGGGAGTCAAGTAAGGTTCGTCAATCGTCTAATAGTCCGTGGTACTACTTGCTTGGTATCTTTGCGATAGTAAGTAGTCTTTGCAGTGGTCAACAGTCTTTACAGTGTGCTTTACAGTAGTCATGATCATTAGGATGTGTCTTAGATGATGGTGATAGAACATAAGACTGTCTGGGGCGAGAGATACGGAAGACTCTTCAAATTACTGATAACTGCTGGGGCAAGAAGTCACCGAGGTGGTGGTACAGGTGTAACGATTGTCTCGATCACCGAGAATCAATAAATGATGTGGGATTAGGTGGCTTTCTTCGAGGAGAGCCTGCCTTGGTTTGATTAATTACCCTCTGGCGTGAACAGAGAAGCATATGAATGGCGGTGTTTGAGGCGATTAAGCTCGAGGCCTCAGGCGTTGCCAATGATGGGTAGCTGGGTGGAGTCGGGGATGCAGGATCCAAAAGGACGATCCGCGGGCAGGTTCTTTATCAGTGGGGGGGAGGTTGAGGGCAAGAGAGAGAGATGACGATGGGGAGAGACATTGAGGGTGGATGCCCACATTCCTCGCAGGGACCTGGAAATAGACACGCTCATCTTCGATGCCATGCAATGCTATGTAATGCAACTCAAATTGAGAAAAAGCAGTTGGTCGAGAGCAAGCAAGGGGTTGGGAGAGGGAAGATGGAGGAGCAATAAGAGGAAGAGCAGGAGCAGGAGTGGGCAGCAGAGAGATACCTAGTGGACCGTGGGTGGGTAGTAAAGGATCATTTGAGTGTGGTGGTCACACATACTCCCTCACGCTGCCTCGAGCGCTGCTGCCAATGCCGGTGTGGGCGCGTTGTCCAGTATCTTTCTTGTCTCTCTTTCTCTCTTGGTCATTGTTTGTTTCTCCCCTAGATGGCGGATTGTGATACAAAGAGGCCGTTGAAGGATGTGGTCCTGTTTCAAATTTGTTGTTATCAAGACCGACGTTTTCTTGCACCCTTTGGTGACGTCTGTCTACTAGTAGAAGGAAATTACCACGGACGTGGAAGCAGTAGCCAGTCGCCGCCGCAGTAGAAACAGCAGCAAGTACTCTCCTTACCTGGCCGAGTCCTAATGAATAGATGCAGGTCCTTCAAGTTTCCAGGGCGACTTTTTTTAATTCTCCTTGTTTGTTTATGGCCTTGATCGATGATGTTCGTCGCAGTCCAGGTGGAAGAGAAGCTATTGTTTTGTTCGGAGGAAAACAAGCTTGGAATGAATTATCGGTCGATCCCCCCCAAAGCGTATTGACGATATCCGTGCCCTCCTCCACGGTCTGTGTAAAGTGTATAGTGTCAAGCCGGTTACCTCCGATCAGACCCCGAGGTGGAGCCAGCGAATCACGATAGATTGCCAGCGAGTAGCTTCGCAGAGTTTGTAGCAGGAGGGCTCACTCCGAGCAAATCGCTAGCGTGATGCACGATGATGTCGTAGACTGGCCTGATGAAGAAAGACTCGAGGGACGTCTCTGCAAAGAAGATGACCCAGCCGATCCGGATTGCCAAGACTTCCTCTCCAGGTTTCCTGGCGCCGCCGTGTAGGGGTAAGAGGGAGGACTTCTACCAGAAAGCGTGCGTAGCCGCCGTGCTAGAAAAAAACCCCCCCCCCCAGGGTGAATATATCCTTTGCTGCCCTCCCTCCCTTTCTCCCCCTCCTCGATCACGTCGCGTCGCGCGATGGGTGAGCGGCGCGAGCCAGGGCAAGCATAAGCGAATATGCGAAATCTTGCGAGGGGAACAACGTGGTTCAATATTGACGCCCATCCTGGCATACGTACATGGTAGGGATGCCTGATCTATCGGGGAGGGGTGTCAGGTGCTGGAGATCTGTGGAGAGGGCACGACCAGATCGGAAGACCCTGGCCTTGGAAAAGAGGATCGACAGGGCGTGGAGAAGGGCGAAAAACCTGGAACCTTGAGGGACTCGGCCGTTGGAGCAATAGCCAGATCGATGATCATTGGCAGACAGAGGCACGGAGTGCTGCACGTATTGGCAGCGCTCCCAAATACTAGCAGCAACGACCGCCAGCTAGTTGTTGGGCTTTTTCTCTCGGAAAATTCTGCGGAGCTAGTAGGCGAATCAGCGCCGCCAGCGATGCAGGTACGCTCCTGATTGAGAGGCGCGCCCCCCCAACTCCTCCTTGCTGCACACAGGTCTGTGTGTTGCAGGGGGTCATTCCCATCGCCTCCAGGCCGATTTCCACCCAATTATACAACACACCCCATATCCTTTCTGTATCCTCGCTGCCTCAGGCCGACGCCGGGTGGTGGTGCGTCCTCTGTTCGGGGCAGAGTGCGGCATGGGAGATGAGGCGGGTATTTCGACTGGAGGAGGTAGCCAGCAGCACTGCTCAGTAAAGCCCCCGGAAGCATGAGGCGTATCAATAGGCCGCTGTAGGATTCAATAACACTGATCAGAGTTGGCATGCTTGCCTGGGAGTCGGGGTTTGAACCTTGTTGCTGACACTATTGCCTCTGTTTCCTCCTTCCCCCTGGTCGACAAGGAAGACAATTCCGCCTCTGCCCGGGCGGTGGACGGTGGCTGCACCGTGGCTGAGTGGCTGAGCGGGCGGCGGTGCGTTAGTGGCGCATGCTACTAGTACGTATGTGGCATGTTGGTGCCTGATATCCTAAGGCTACCAGGTGGCAGCGGGGCGTCCGCCAAGACAGGCAAGGGCCACCGCCGCTCCTTCCCAAAAATACTAAAAATACTGGACTGGTTGGTGGGCGGGCAGAGGTGGACTGCTCGAACCACCAGGATTCGTGTTGATGGCGGACCCAGCCGTCACCAGGAATAGACTTCCACGGCCAAACGACAGGTCTAGAGGTCAGAAAGGCAACCATGGATGGCCGAGGTAACGCCAGAGCCCGTTGGTTAGGCCGATTCGCCGTCGCATTCCCCATCTCGTCGTCTGGTGTGGCGTGAGCGAGGATGCCCCTGAACACTGCTCGGGGGGGAGGCAGGCAGGCAGGCAGGCAGACAGGGCTCGTGTGGCCGGGTGAGGAACCCCACGATGCTCGGAGGAAAGCATTGCCAGATGAAAATGATCGAGCTCGTTGGGGGTTGCAGTTCGGACTGACGCGTGACAGATCAGAAGTGTCGGAGGCGATGAGGTCTGCTGCTCCGTATCACTGTATGCTACACAACAATCCACCGCACACCGTGTGCCTATACAATGGCGGGGAAGGATGAGGAGGAGGCAGTCGCTGGACCAGCGGGAGCCTTCCCCGAGTCCACCCACATTCCAGAGACAATGAGCGGTGATGGCGAGATGGAGGGTCCGGAGCGTTCCTGACCGGGCGGGTAATCCAGTTGGTATCTGTGACAGGCGGCCGCGGTGCGAATCACGGCTGCAGAAACCATACAGCCGATCCATTGCTGGTCCATGGTGTGCGTCTGATCACCGTCACCATGATCATGATTCGTCTAGACTACATTTGAAGGCCACCGATGCTTTCGAGGCTTGGGAGCGCAGATGTGCGAAGGCTCATCTCGGCGAGAGCTCGCTGGTATAGACGCCCACATAGAGAGAGAGAGAGAGAGAGAGAGAGAGAGAGAGAGAGAGAGACATGGGCTCGCCCCGAATGGCTTGCTATTGTTGAGAGTACTTCCATCATCAAAAGATGAGCCACCTCATGCTCGCGTCTGCAGCCTGGGCCGGGTCTGCACAGACCGGCGAGCCTCCGTCCTGCTCGATTCGATCTGATGGTGCTTGGATCTAGTCAGTGGCAGCCACACGCCGATCATTCAGGGTCTTGGACACGCCGATCGGTCGAGAGCCTAAACGACGCAGGTCCCAGCAGCTGGCCCGCGAGCAGCAATAATCAGCATGATTCATCGGTGCAGAAGCGTTTTTTAAGGTTCCCGAACTGTGGGTGTACCTCTTGCCCGGCAGAGCGAGGAACCGCAGCGGAGATCCTCGCATTCCACAAAACCGGTTTGGTGGGAGGGCAGGATGCTCGCTGCAGGCCCTGCTAGTCAGCGAGGTTATTCTGCTGGCTGGTGCGGAGCCAGAGGGGAAAAAAGCAATGTGAGGGATGGCAAAGGCTACGCAAATAAAACCCAGCAACTCGCGGGCTTCACGGGGGTCCCCTTGCTGGTGTCTCTGCTATAACAACTCCTTCGGCTCGTCAACATCTGAGACCTTCTCGCCCTTGACCACCACTTCCATCCTGTCTCTCCTCCCATCTGGCCCGTCGCCTAGGAACCCATAGTCTACATTCCTGGCATTCCCAGGGCACGCGACGCGCCACTGGTTTTGGCCGTCTGGAGGACCGCGATGGCGTCTGTCTGTGAGTGAGACCCAACTGTTTATTTCACCTCGTTTGCCCTCCATTCCTCTGCCGTCCGTCCCTCTCTCGCTCTCTCTCTCTCTGCCTCCCTTCTCTTGCTTGTCATCCCTCGGCGACATTCCTTTCCTTCGCTTGTTCGCTGCTGTCCTTCGCTCAAACTGCCTTCGGCCCTATCTGTCCCTCGCTGCCATTCCTTTCCTTTCTGTCACCCGCAACGACACTCTTTTTCACCACCAGAGAATCCCCCTCCCCCGCCCCCCCACCAAACCACTCTTTGATATCTCTCCTAATTGTGTCTTTTTCTTTTCTGTTTTCTCTTGTTTGCTTGTTTGGGCTCACACGGAACTCGACACCACGTAGGTGATACCCCGATAGAGCTTTTACCACACAACGAGAACGATTCCGCTTCCAACCTTGACGATATGAGAGCCCACCACACCATGGCTGATCGCCTGGCCGTGGATGTCGAGTGCCCGCCGCTGAGCGGCTGCCCATCCATCACGTCAAACTATTCGCCTATGGAATCGCCAACGCCAACCCCCACGAGTCTTTACAGCCAGGGTTCCCTGGCTTCGCCCGGGTGGCACGAAGGTGCCTCGTTCGCCGGGCACCCCTACGAGCGCCACACTGCAAGCACTCCGCTCCGAAGCAGCTTTCGCCTGGCCGACGTCACCAACGATGGCACCGGTATGCCGGTCGCCAACATGGATCTCCCAGAGCGTATGCCGCTACCGGACTACATGTCTGGCTACGACGAAAATGTCGAGCAGTTTTGGATCCCATCCGACATGCCGAAAACATACGATCCTCAGGCCTCGTTTCCGTCGCAGGGCGGTATGATGCCCTACCCACAAATGGCACGCAACTACTACCGCCAGCATCCCCCGGCCACCTATCTGCCGGAATCCGCCTCTAATCCTTGTCTGTCACGTCCAATGTTCAACCAGCCCGAGCGTATCCCTAACTCGGTATCGATGAGTAACATCCTGCAATGGATGCCGACAGCCGAATCCATGCCACCGCAGACCATCACCCCGTCGCAGGCCTTCCATCAAGCTCCCGTCACGCCCCCGCCTTCGTACTCGGAGTTCCACACCAGTCTCAACGCATTCAAGAACCAAACCCCGACAACTCCCATCCGATCAGGCTCTCTGGGTACTCCGTCTGGCACGGACACACCAATGAGTCGACTCTCCGGGGGTGCTACCGATTACCATGACGAGTTCGGCCACCTGTCGCCTGCGTACCGGGACGGGTACCTCCAGCGGCCCCCACCTCAACGGCAGCCTTCAGGCAGGAAAGTGATTCGCAAGCAGTCGTCGAAACATAGTATGACACTTGAGAGTCTCCCGTCCATCATCAAGCAGGTGCAGTTTAAATGCAAAGAACCTGGCTGCCCCGGTCGGTTTAAGCGCCAAGAGCATCTCAAGCGACACATGAAAAGTCACTCGAAGGAGAAGCCGCACATCTGTTGGGTTCCCGGCTGCCATCGAGCCTTCTCACGAAGCGACAACCTCAACGCCCACTACACGAAAACGCACAGCAAGCGTGGGGGGCGCAATCGTTACGTTGCCACTTTGGATCAAACGAGCCCGGACTACAACCCGGACTTCCGCGGCCAGTTGACGCAGGACGGTCGGCCCATCTATGGTTCTAAGTTGGAGGATCCCATCCTTGACGACCGCGAAATGAGCGTGGATTATGATGAGTGATCGTTTGCTTGGACCCATTGTCCTCGCTGTCATCCACCATCAATATACGACATACCTGGTCTAAAAATGAAAACCAACCAAAAAAAGCAAAGAAAAAAACAAAGGAAAACAAAAACCCGAACCACACAAAAAGAACTGGAATGATACCCATCGGAGGATCTCCTTGTGTCTCACTACTACTAGAAGGCGCAGACCAACCTGACACCTAACCCCTAGTCCGCCTCTTATACTGTACAACCAAACAAATGTTTCATTGCATTGATTTTGCATAATTAATGGTTTCCTCTTCCTCTTCCACCGTTATTTTTTTTTTTTTTTCCAAATCCTCACTGTTCTTACTAACTACCATCCATCTGACCATCATCTCTGGAGGCACTCCTGTCGTACTCGATTAATAGCTTCCATTCCCCCCTTTTTCTTTTTCCTTCTCTCTCTCTCTTTCTCTTTTTTGCATTGGGATCGGTCGAGGAAATGGGCGGGTCACTGGCGTGTATGGATTGCGACTCCGATTCAGATTCAGATCCCGATTCAGTACGGAGTACTGTATGATCATGTTTCTCCTATTGTTACACCTCATTTTTATCTGCTCATGATCTGCATGCTGAAGTAATTGAATGGATCACAGCCTAGTTATGTGTATCACTATCAAACCACCTAGCTAATATCTATTTAAAATCTTGTCCCACCTTGTATCCCGGGCTTCCTCCTATTACTTTTCTACGTTTTTGAGGTGTCTCGACCAATAGTCCGTGGCAACAATATCCACTTCCTGTCATGATTTCCGAGGCGGAGTACACAGTCAGATAGATACCTGTTACCAAACCTTTTTGTGTCGAATGACAGATCACAATTTTTTTCCCCTACCCTTTTCCCTTTCCCTTCGCCCGCCGCAGATTGGATGGATCAAGTCTCCGCCAGACGACCTCAACCCCAGAACGGCCGCTAGGTTCGGATTCCATATGTACTCCGTACTCCGTAATACTCTGTACTTTTCAAGGTATGTAGCAGGTTGTTAAAAGTAGCAGGTTTCCCCGGTTGAATATACAGTGGGAAAGCCTTGATCGGGTAGGGGAAAGGGGCCCTCAACAAACAGAGTTCAGGGGGGAGGGGGGAGGGGGAACCTATTAGCCATTCATCTCCAAGCAAACTGTTCGTTCAGAGTTTGAAAGAGTTTCCATACCTGTCTGACAGGGGTGTGGGGAGGGGAAAGAGAAATAGAACAACTGAGGCTGGAGGATTTTTTTGGTTGAGTTTGTCGTGTCGTTGCGAGACCGAGAAAGTTAAGCCATGACTAGTACGACGTCAAGAGGTATGTGCAGATACCTCTTTTGTCTCAACAATGGGGGGGGATTTGAGTTTACATTGTTAATAGAGCGGGAATACGGAGTAGAGAGTGCGTAGATAACTGGTAACTGACTATAGAGTAGTTACGGAGTACCTCTATCTACTACGAATTATCTACCAAGTCAAGATACTGTACCGATGGCTTGGATCTCGTACGGAGTATACAGTTTGCTTTGGTATGCAAGCTGACTGACTCGGCAATACATCATTCGCGATGACCGATTGAATCTTGGATGCTGGGTGAATAGTTACGGAGTAACTAACTAGTTGACTACTACAATGTACTCGACGCAGTACTCCGTCCGTACTACTTGCCACGGAGTACTCCGGCCCATCTTCCTCAAGGCCTCTCAGCACTCTTCTAGATTATTCGCTGGCTGCTGTGCGACATTCCAGTTCCAGTGAGACGTACATTTATTCCTTCGTCCTGCATATTACCACTCACTCACCGCTATATCTTACCGACGGAGTAATGGGGGAGATGGGATGGGGCGCCTTTCTTTTCTTTTTCTCTCTTTTCTTCCTGATTTGTTTGCTTGCTTTTTTTTTGTTTTTTTTTTTGGATAGTCATCTCCCAGAGTTCTCTGAAGACGCTCCGTCGGCCGAGCAGGTCGTCCGGGTGGCCCCATTCCACCCCCCGTCCGCCGTCGAGCACCAGGATCCGATCAAAGTCACGCACGGTCTGCAGATGGTGCGCAATCGAGATCACCGTGCTGTCGGCAAACTGCGCCCGGAGCACGTCCATCATCTTCCGCTCCGTGGCCGCGTCCACGTTCGACGTCACCTCGTCCAGGATGAGTATCTGGAATCCGTTCAACACCGCCCGCGCCAGACAGGACAGCTGCTTCTGGCCGCGCCAGAGCGGACTCGACTCCAATGTGGCGTCAAGCCCGCGCCGCGACAGCAGCTTCCAGACCACCCCACACACCTCCTCCAGGGCGGTGACGATCGCCTCGTCGCCGTGCTGCGAGAACGGATCCACGTTGAATCGTACCGTCCCAAACAGTATCAACGAATCCTGAGGCATCACCGTGATGCTGCGGCGGAGCGTGTTGCGTGGCATGTCCGCGATTGGGATCCCGTCGATCACCACGTCGCCTTGTACCATCTCCGCAAGTCGGAGGATGCTCAGGATGACTGAGCTTTTGCCACTTGTCACTAGTTAGAAAGGAGCAACAAGAGGGGGAAAAAATGAGGCAGAGAATATCCTGTCTAACCTCCCGGTTCGTCCGCAGATCCCCGATCTTCTGACCAGGTTGGATGTGAAGCGTGATGTCTTTCAAGAATCGAGTCGGTATCCGCTCTGATGCCCTCAGTAAGGCGGTGTTCCTTGAAATGGTACCTAACAAAGGCTCGTAGAAATGATTGCTTACTTCTATCTAGCCGACATTTGCTGGAACCTGATCTCACCCTTCATCGGCCAGTCAACTGGAGGCGCTATTTGCTCGGTGAGAAGATGCTCTGACGGTGTCTCTTCTTCGAAGGCTTTCTTCCGTGAGACGGTGCCAATGGAATTCTCAACCTCCATCCATTTCTGGATCAGGTAGGTTATGGTGGTGCTGAAAGATAGAATGTTAACCAGGGAGACACCCAGTGAGCCGGCCGAACTGCCCGTCAGCTGCGTAGCGAGAGTCATGATAGTGGCCATCGCCGCCACAGTAAGATTCAGGACCAGACTCAACCAGCATTGAATTCCAAATAGGAGACAGAAGGGTCGCTGAGACTGATCCAGTAATCCATTGTTCCGGAGGACCCAGTCCGCTTGCTAGCCAAAATCTCGGATGGTGACCAGTCCTTGAAGGGTTTCGAAGAAATTCGAATACGGCGGCGACTTGGCTTCGAGGTCGAGGAATCGCATCTGCCGCGAGGTTCGGAGGTAAAACTTCTGTAACATATACAAGACGCAAAACAGCACCGGGTACATCATGGCAGCCCACTTGGAGGCGGACGCAATCAAAATCGCTTCCGCGATACATGTGGTAAAAGTCAGAAACCCCTCGATCAACGTGACGGGGAGGCTGCATGTTCACAAGAGACATATCCTGACTGAACCGGTTCAGGATATGGCCCGAATCTGTAGACACGAAGAACCAGTACGGGGCTGCCATCACGGAATTGAGCAGTGTACCGTGCAACACTTCAGACGAACAGGTGGTCCTAACTATCACCAAGGTCCATGGAATAGAAAAAAATGCGGTGATACCAATCCCGCAGAACATACCATATATCCTCATTTACATATTGGTGTTTGCATTCGGGTTTGTGACTTCAGCGCTTGACCACCAATCGAGCCAGACAGTCGGGAATTCAGCACAGAAAGCCCACATGATGGAGCTCACGATGGTCACATCCCACCTGAGAGTTCCGATGTAGTAGGCATCAAGACAGAGATCACCTGTTTATTATATAATATCACTTCTCTGCTCCTCCTCCGAGTCTTCAATCTCCTTCTTCTCAAGTTTTTTTTTCTGTGTATGTTCCCTGCGTCCTGCTAGGTTTTGTAGCTTCGCAGGAGCCGGCTCTCAGGTCGCTGTCGCTACGTTCCAGACGCAACGATGAAGGGGGGCAATAGTAATGGTCCCATGAGACATGACCATTATATAATCTGCTTGTTGTGCGTGCTGCATTGGTTAAGAAAGGGAAATTAGTATTAATCATCTATAAATATTAGTTAGACAAAAGATGATGATTCTCACCTACATAGGTGGCTAAAAGAACTGTCCTGCCAGCCTTGCGACAGAGTCCACCCGGACCAAAGACATTATCCATAATGACTTGTTCCGTTGTAGGACCAAGCCTACTCAACACGTCGTCCAACAGAAGTATCCGTTTTCGTGAATAAAGAGCCCTTGTCAGGCTAATCCGCCGCTTCTGATCCCTTTACTACCGACGACGATATTGTCACCTTGAGGAAGGCCATGGACATCTGTTGAGGGTGCACGCGCCCAAAATGGTGAAATATCAGCTTTCATCATATTCAGAGCAACTGACTATGATCTCTCGGATACTCTGGGTTGGAAGTCAAGGGCCCTGAGTACAAAAACCCATTTCCAGCGAGGGATGCGGGTAGATGAATTCCTTCTTGATGAAGAGCTCATCCAAAAGACTCAAAAGAAGTGTGCTCTTGCCACTGCCGATTGGACCTGTAATGATTGTCCATGCCGGATACAATTTCAAAGAAGATGTCGTGTAGAATTGCTTGGCTAGAAGCCTTGTAAGCAAAATCTACATTATCGACGCAGAGCAGAACGTCCTTTTTCCGTCAACCCTATGGATTTGGGCAAGAATCTGCATTTCGATTCCCTCTCTTTCCCGGGAAGAAGGTCGACTAGATCTGGCAACGCGGCCGTCTCTTTGGATAGGACTCAAGAAAAAGGGCTAAGTAGCGGCTAGTCCTGGAAGAGCAGTCACAAACCTCGAAATCGGTTGTGTCCTCCGACATGAGAGACGCTGTGCGGTTGATGAGGAGCGGTTGTGCGAAGGTGAACCCGATACACACCTGCTTGGCTGCCTTCCACGAGACCTTCGACCCCGGCACTGCCTTGATCCTCTGCTGCGAAAGATACACAAGCCGGCAAACTGCCGCCGCGAACAACGCAGGCAGAGGCACAATAGACAGGATCGCCTGCTCGAACAGTAGAGTGAAGTCGAAGCCTGATCGACAGAGAAAGGCCCCTTCAGGACCGAAAGCGTTGTTGGCCTTAGCCTGGCACGTGCCCATTCCTGGAATATCATTGATCACGTTTACTGGCTAACTAGTTTAGTAAATAGTAATCAGTCAGCGAGTAACGACTCCAAGACAGCTGGATACGATTGCTTTTCTTCCTCGACACCCCCCAGTGCGTCTCTGGGATTCTTAAGGATCTGGTAGCTTGTCAGCCATCTGATCTTGCAAGCGATATAGGAGCCTGGCGGGATTCGGGAGAGGATTCGGACTCCGACTCTGTCACAATTCTGCTTGACTCTTAGTGGGTGCGAAATTTGATAGTTATCGCCTGTAACTTGTCAGATAAGGCGCTAAATTAACTAACTGGCTGCTAAATAGTTGATTGGCAATTGCCCAGATTCCAACTTCCTGCAGCATACGCTATCAGATTGGGGGTGAGCTAGGCTAACCATAGCTCCTTTATCTAGACTCCGAACCAGACAAGAAGGAACGTCAGACATCCGCATTTCCATCTTCGATTGGGCTTGAACGGTAGGTTTGATGTGGAGAAGAAGTAACTATCTTGAAAGTTACTACCTTGGTAGATATAAGGCGTCTGGACGGGGGGATAAGAAGAAAGGTGACAGCAATAATGGCTGAAGTCTCCCATACCTATGACGAAAGCACACCTCTGCTGGCCATAGGCCAGAGATCTCCAAGAGAATCGAGGAAGAGATGGCTGGTTCTCTTCATCAGCTCGCTTTTGATCCTTGGAGCAGATCTTGGTGTTACTATATCCAGCACGCCCCAGTTGGAGATCTTTGAGGAGATTCTATGCCACAACTACTATGGTAGCCATGACGGTCCGGCGGGGACTATGATAGACGAACGACTGTGCAAGTCGGCCGAAGTCCAGACTGAATTGGCATTGATCAACGGGTGGAAAGATACATGGGATCTTGTACCAGGTGAGTCCATTTCCCCTAGAGCGCGGGAATACAAGTAGATAATGGGGTCACTGACTATGTCCTAGGCATCGCCCTTTCCCTTCCGTATGGAGTTCTTTCGGACCATTGGGGCCGCAGGCCGGTGTTTATGTTGTCCTTACTAGGTATTATGCTAGGAGAGCTCTGGGTGAGAATCGTCTGTAGGTTCATCGATCACGCCGCAATCAGCATGGGGAATGCTAATGTTTCTAAAATCCAAGGCTTCTTCCCAAATGTGTTTTCACTGAGGCTTGTATGGCTCTCGGCGCTGCCCAAAATCATCGGTGGAGGGGACAGGGTTGCCGCATCAATGGCTATGGTCATGATAGCGGATCTTTTCTCGGAGGAGGAAAGGTACGACCAGCTCCAGTATCCCTGCGGCAATCGGCTGATTAAGAATTAGAGCGACTGCCCTGTTTCGACTATTTACCTTTGTGCTCATATCGGAGATTCTGGGAATGCCCATCAGTGCATATCTCATGAGGTTCACCCCCTGGCTCCCTTTCAACCTAGGACTGGGAATCGCCATGGTCAGCAGTCTATTTGTGTTTTGCATCCCAGAGACCTTGACCGATGCCAAGGAGAAGATGCGCCAGTCATCCACGCCAGCAGTTAACGAAGAGGATGCAGTGCTGGAGGAGTCGAGCAAAGATGCCACGGTCCTGCAGGCCATCCTGCACCGGGCTCGCAGGTTACAAGAGGCCCTTGGCTTTATTTGGAGCGATGCCGCGATCGTAATCTCTCTATTTGGGCTTTTCATTTCTCCATTGGTCAGGCTGATGACGCCGGTTCTTTTGCAGTACGCCTCGAAGAAATTTGACTGGAATCTCGCTCAGGTGAGTCAACCATACAAAGATAAACAGTGGTTTTATATACAATTATATTTTAGGAAAAAGCTGACGAACAACAAAGGCTAGTCTATTATTATCGCTAAGAGGTGGATTCTCTCTTGGGAACTATGTGATCTTGATGCCCGCCTTGTCCTCCTGGATCACCACCCACCTACGCATGCCCGCTCAGTGGAAAGACCTCCGCCTGGCTCAAGCAAATGTTCTCCTTTCAATCGTTGGCTTGTTTATCGTGTTCCTGGCCGGATCCCCGGCAACCCTGATGACCGGCCTGGTTTTCGTGGCCCTGGGTTTCGGCTTCCCAATAGTCTGTTGGAGTTTCGTCACCTCCCGCGTGCCAGCAGACCATGTCGGGACGTTGTATGCAGCGGGCTCGGTCATGACTGCTTTTGGTGGGATTGTCATGCTGCCTGCGGTTACATATGCTTTCCGCTTCGGCCTGCACCTGGGAAATGCGTGGCTGGGTCTCCCTTTTCTCCTGGCAGCCTTGCTTTACTTCCTTGTTTTTGTGGCTTTCTTGTTTATCCGACTAGAGAAAAGAGTCGACATTAACGAAGCTGGTGTTCATGTCGGAGAACTATCGTTGCAAGAACACCTTGAAGACAGTTCCTGAAAGGAAAACGTTGTACGTATTCTTCTTGTGGGACTCTGGATACATCCCAAAAACATTTCATTGGATATCTTTGGCAGCTAGATGACCGTTTAAAATTGGTCTGGTGCTGCTCGCAATAAAAACACTGGGCGTTTTCCCCGCATGTGTACTGCTGTTTATTGCTCGGGTGTATTGAATCGAAACGGCGATTGTTCGGGGTAACAGTGGACTAATTACCCTCGACATCGACATGGCCTTCTGTGGATCTGTCAACAGGTTGATGCAGTCGTATCACGTCTTATGTCAACGAGTAGTTTCTTTCATTAATCGAGGCGTTTAGTGGAGTCCTTCGACAATCACTGTGAGAAGCCGTAGATTTTGGGTGTCTTGATCCCCAAACCTGTAGGGTTGGATAGAGTGCTCTGCAGCAATAGATGTAGCTTCGTTCCAGACAAAGCTCTTGCGCCAAGCTGCACAACTGATAGGATCAGTTGGAGCTGCATATGCTGGTATAGGCCTCGGGTAAACTCGAACACTTTCTGCAGCAGCGCAATCGCCATGCTGTGCGTATGAACGGGGAAATGGCAACGGTGGTCTTTTGCCACAGGTCTTCTTTCTACAGGCCCTTGAGTCGCATAGCTTTCCTCTCCTCTTCCCTCTTTGAGTCCACGCGGTCCAGAAAGTCCATGCGGCCAAGATAGCCTTCCTTGGCCTTACTGTGGACATTGAGTTCATCTCGGATACCCGCTTTATCAACGTATTTGGCCCAGTCCAGCCTTGATTTCTCGACAGTGTTGATTCTTGGTCCCTTGGCATTCGCGTCTGCGGCTGCGACAATCTGTTGTTTCTCCCAGCTCTTTTTGATGGACCCCGTGGGGTTGGGGTCAAACCGCGACACCTTGCGGAGCGGCCTGCGCAATTTCACAGCGGACTTGGCAGTTTCCGCCAATTCATCCGCAGTGACAGGCTCGACGTTCTCTCCATTAGCTAGGAAAAGCTTTGCTTCGGCTGAGTCCTTGGGTACGATCTTCTCCTCGGTAATGATTTCACCAGCGAACTTGTAAGTGCGCTTGATCTTGACCATTTCTTCTGCATAGAGTGATGTCTGCTTTTCTTGATGCTCCGGCTCTTTGTCTTGCACTGCAGGTTCTTTGATTTCTTCTATTAAGGGGAACGCGTCCTCATCTTGGTTCTCTGGTTGTATTTGAGATGGCAAAAGGCCTGAATTTGTATCGGAGGAATTCATCCTCGCCCATAGCGCATCGACATCGACTGTTGCACCTTCGATCTTTGCAAGAGGTTTGCGTTCTTCTATCCTGCATTTGTACTCAGTCAGCTTCGGGATCAACGGACGAATCCATCTTGCCCCCCTTCCTCAGCCGGAAGACCTACATTTGCATTCTCATCGCTCTTGTTTTCACGAACCCCCCCGCTCCACTTTCTTCTTCATCGTCGAAACAGATATCATCTTCGTCTTTGTCTTCTTTCGCGTCATCCTTCGACTTCTTTCCCTTGTGTCTCTTCTCCTTCGCCTTGCGGATGGTTGCCTCGTCGCCCGAATCCAGCTCTTTCTCCTCCGGTTCCCGAACCTTTTTATTCAACTTCCGTCGTTTTGTCGCCGGTTTAGCTTCATTCTCGTCATCCGACGATAGCGAGACGTCTGAATCATCTTGCGCGGCATCAAATTCAAAGTCTTCGTCTTCGGCCGAGTCGTACGCTTCGTTGTCAAGATCAAGCTCTGTGGCCTGCACTGTGGGATCGGCAGACATCTCGGTTACAATTCAAGTGTTCGGATTCGATGATTTAAGGATAAGGGAAAAATAATTCAGTGAGATACCGAAGTAGCTCTGGAGTGATGGCAAAAAGGTCGAGGCTACGCGAATCATTACGCGCATTCTGCCAAAGGCGGTGTTGGGAGACGAATAGAAGCTGATAGCCAATCAACGGCATGTGTTCTACACTGGACTTAAGGTACGTCAGTAGCAAGTATATGATGCTTTCTTAAAATAAGGAGCCTTGAAGTAAATATTATATAGTTTGCTCAAAGACTCGATGAACAGTCCTCGATTTCCATCTCACTGAAAAGGGGAGCTCACTGGGAAAAGTCTGGATTAAATACTCCGTCATAGTTACTTACAGGTGTACCAACACGCCTGTGCCAGAAGAAAAAAGATTTGGCGTAAATGGATTCAATTTTGGGTATCAATTCTATTCCGGAGAGTATCTCAAATTTTTTGGTTCATATATTGGCTTTGTGTTCGAGCAACTTCCGTAAAGCCATAACTTCGCCTTCCCATTTGGCGACCTGAAGCCTCAGACTATCTCGATCTTTTGTTACTTCTTCTAACCGCGACTCCAAGTTGCTCACATGGTCCTCTTTCCTCTTGCGGAACCGGCGAGCAGCCATTGTATTGCGCCGTCGTCTGGCTGCAGTGTGGTCTTCTTCCGAGCCAAGAGAGCTCAGACTCTCGCTGGCGCTCGATTCGGCGGTAGATGCACTGGAGAGCGAGCGTTTTCCCCCAGCTTTAAGCGGCATACGTGTAGGGATAAGCAGTTGAGAAACAGAGTCAGAACAAATCTCCTTTGGTGCCAAGATGACACTCTGCCGAGTATTTCTAGGAGATAATTGCTGATCGCATATCCTAGCGTCTAGTAGGCCGTGAATGGCAGAATCACGGTGGTCTGGCTCTTGATAGGCAGCAGATAGAGGACTAGTGTTGTAACCCATCCATTCAAAGGAGAAGTCGGAGCCCTCTGTGGGATCCCGAGTCACTGTAAAAGGCGCCATATCGCAAGAGTAGTCGGAGAGAACAAAGTCGGCCTGGAACAGCTGCTCTGGGGATCCCAAGAGGGCCGGACAGACTCCTTGCGATTCAAACATTGGCGTAGTAGAATAACATGTAGACGCTGGACTGGCTGTCGTCGAAGGGTATAGCTCAGCCATAGAACTGCAACGGTCAAACACTGGTTTGCCTGACGAGGACGATCTCTCTATAGCAGTACTAGAATCAAAAGCAGTGGAAGGGGAGGTCATAGTATGAATGGATCTGCACAGAACGCCTTGAAGATTGCGTCAAATAGAGATGATCTCTTGAGAACAGATGATGACGAGAAACGCTCCATGGCGGAGTCTGTTCTGCCCTGCGGTTTATATATATAGCAGTGAATTGGAATGGATCCATACCGGTCGCTCCTTCCTCTTCTTTCGGTCCTCTTTCCCTCTTTCCACTTTTGTGCCGATCATGTGAAATCCGACGCTAGCCAAAATAAATCCGGAGCTAGGCCAGAACTAGATTTACGCTAACCGCTTTTTCGACTCAGGGTCCAGCTCCAATTGGCCTTCTGGATGACTAAGCCATCACTGTCACCTTCCTCCGGTGGTCTATGTCCGCCAAGCACGGACTTATTCAGTGCATTTAACCTCCTCCCTCTCTAGAGTATGGAGCCTTCGAAAACAAGCGGCAATAATGGAGATTCTAGTGGGCGACAGGCGAAGACAAGAAAGCCAAGGCCAAAGTTGTCTTGCGTCCTATGCCGTCAGAAGAAGTCAGTGCATACTACTCAGGGCCCCGTCTGGTTCAAGTCAACGAACCAAGTTGCTGACTGTAGTTCCTAGACTGAAATGCAACCGCCTGCAGCCCTGTGACAACTGCATAAAGCACAATAGGACGTATATGTGTCACTATGCGGGTCCGCAGGGGATGGCTAAGAAGGTGTCTCTTGATATTTATAACAATCTCCGAGATCTGGAAGCCCGGATCCGGCAGCTGTCTACTTTGGATGGATCGGTCCAGTCTTCCTTGAGCTCAACATATACCCAACCGAACATCCAGATGTCGACGGCAACGCTGGAGAGTCAATCGACTCTGCCAGTGACGTCAGAACAGCAGCCAGAGAAGCAGGATGGTTCTTCGGGAACCATGTTGAAAGACCAAGATGGCACAAGATATATCAATCCAACCCATTGGCAGGCAGTGCTTGATCAAGTAAGCATCATGGAGAGTTTCGTAACTGATCATAGTATTCTGGAGCTTACTCGAAGTACAGATTGCAGAGGTGAAAGACTATCTCAGTCTGTATGGGAACACCAGTTCGCCGGAGGATATAGAAGAGGAGACAACCTCGTTCACCGACATCAGTGCACCCAGCCTCTTGTTTGACCGCTCATTCTCTACAAATGAAGCAGAGCTACTTGCTGCATTGCCCGCTAGATCTACCGTGGACAGACTTGTTTCGTTCTACCTCAACTCGAAGGAGGCGCCTCTTGGTATGTTTTGCTTCTATGAACATGATTGTTTCCTTGGCAAATTGAAATTTTTGAATCGCTGAGATCTTGAAAGTTATTATACACATTCCGACCTTTACAAAAGAGGTAAGAATGATATCTGACTGATGTTGATAGTGCTGATTGCAGGTTTAGTATGCACAATTTTGGAAGGATCCCAGTGATGCGTCGATTGGCTGGCTTGCGCTCCTGTATAGCATTCTATGTGCCTCAGCCGGTTTGAATCTGTTTTCGATGTCTGGCAGAGCAGACGGGGAGTTGGCGCAAGCGTTTGAGGAATACCGGATCCGAGCATCTCAATGCCTGACCCTCTCTGTCTACACGATCCCCGGACGGTACAAGCTTGAGGTGCTCATAATGTGCGCAGCCATGGAAACATTAAGGAGTAGTGATGCTCACGTCGGTCCATCTGTCACTCTGAGCCTTACCACGCGTTTGGCGATGCATAGCGGGTACCACCGTGATCCAAAGCATTACTCTCATATCTCGGTATTCGAAGGGGAAATGCGACGTCGAGTCTGGATGTATCTCACCCTTCTTGATCACTATATATCCTTCCAGGCTGGCCTGCCTCCGACCACGGCTCATGCGCAGTCGGATGTTGAAGAACCTCGGAATCTTTTGGACGAAGACTTGGATCCGTTGATGGAAGTGTTGCCGCCCGACAGGCCTGTCTCAGAGAGAACATCAATCCTATTTCCAGTGGTGTTGAACCGGATACAGTTTATTTGCGCAGAAATCGCTGAAAAGGTCTGTTCTGTTCGAGGCGTCTCCTACGGTGAAGTGATGCGGCTGGACAGCAAACTACGAGAGCTACACGAAAAGATCCCTCCTATGTTGCGGTCACGACCCCTGAGTGAATCCATCGCGGACTCCCCCTCCGTGATCATGGATCGGTACAACGTGGATTTGATGTACCAGAAGGCACGGTGCGACCTACACCGGCGGTATTTGACCCAGCACCGCCTAGACCCGAGGTACGCGTATTCGCGACAGGAGTGCTTGGCCGCAGCGCGACAGGTGCTGAAAATGCAATCGGAGATCTTCCAAGAGAATTACTCAGGAGGGCAGCTCGGCTACGCTTCGTTTTTCTTCTCGTCCTGTGTCATCATGCATTTCCGCGTGGCCGCAATGGTCGTCTCATTGGAGATCTCCTGCCAGTCTCGATATGACCTACAGCAGAACCTCGCGGTACAGGAGAGAAACTCGATCCTGGAGACACGGAAACAACTGTCGTATGAACTGGAACGCTCATGGAACGTCTGGAACCAGCTGCGTGGCCAGTCGAAAGACGCGTTGCGGACGGCTGAGGCCCTGGAGATCATGCTCAAGGTTGCGAACAACCACCTCCAACATGGCACAAGCACCGATACCAAATCTACGCCCGAGGTATTAACACAACTAGGTGAGTGAACATACAGCTATCCTTTGAGTAGGAAAGCAGAACCATCGCCCGTTTACTTGTTTCTTTCGAGGCTGCAACTAAAGTCATTGTCCCAGATATGAGATCAGCATTTGCTCTTCTCCCAACCTCCACAGACCAGCAGCAGCAACAGCTCACGTCACCGGCTTCAATCATTCCGCCCCCTGGAATCACACCACCTGCTGCTCCTTCCTACGAACCTTCCTTCGAGGTCGACCTTATGGACGCCAGTTTTTACCTAGGCCAGGACCCCCAGCCTCTGGACGCGCCCTTCTCTAATCCGACGGATAGCGTTGATTTCTACCAGACGTATTGGGACAATCTGATGCTTCTTGGACATGATTCTGGTAGTTTGGATAGCTAGATTAGCTGGTACTAAGCCTCTTATTGTCATTAGTATCGTCTGTCCAGACACCTAGTCAATATTTATTACTGATATGCTAATGCTGATTTATATAGTATACGAATTGCCGGGAATAATAAATTCAGGATGTGGAGCTGGACGCGTAAACCGACGACAGCTAATGTAATATCCAGTGCATGTGAACGAGCGGCTGTTTGAAAGTAATTAACTGTAGATTAAACCGCCATATTGCATATGGAGTACTTGCTCCGATCGACCAGAGTCTAGGCTAGGAGAAGCTTACACTGTTGACAGTGGAGTATATCCACAACCAAGTATAGATCTGATTACGACTAACTCTTTAACCTGAAACTAATCTTGATTGAAAGGATTAGACCGGAACCCAGTATGATGAGTACTCGAAAAGGAAAGATAGATATGTAAATAGTGACAAAGAATGGAATGGAATGTTTTTCAACGACTCTCGCGCAGACAGCGGAGGGTTCAGCATTGTATCGCCCCAACGATTTAAGAGATGTAGCTGGTGTCAACCCAGTCCTCGTAGCTGCTGCCCAGGATATCGGTAATGCCGACCGCAGCGGTGAGCTTGGTAGCGAAGCTGGCGCGGGTGCCCTCGGATCCAGCGCCGGAGTTGTCGTACTCACCGAAGAGGACGTCCTCGGTGTTGGGCTCGCTGGAGGACCACTCGATCCAGCCGGCGGAGTTGATCACGTCGCTGAGGTAGGTGTTCTGGAAGACCACGCGGGCGTACTCGGTCCAGGGACGGCCGAGGTAGTAGGTTCCCTCGGTGACATCCTCGTCAGCGGCGGCCTCGACAGTGCACTCGTTGAAGACGTAGTAGCCCTCGTCAGTGCTCGAGGGGCGGCCCTGGGCGGTGATGGTACCCTCAGAATAGGTGAGCACGCCGATCGTGCAGCTGTCGAACCATGCATTTCCGGTCTGGCCGAAGACGAAGTCGATGGCGCCCTCGATGTAGCAGGTGCCGTAGACCTGGTAGCCGGTTTCAGCAAGGACGGTGTCTGGCAATCAATTAGCA